GTTGAATCAAAATGCATGCTTACTCATGCTCTTTGGGTCGTCCAAGAGAAACGGGCATGCAGCTTCGGACGTCCGGTGAGCTCGAATCAGGAGGACCGACAAGCATTACCTAGACACCTAACCTGCTCAAGACCATATACTTAGTTGTCACCATTAGCTACTTCATGTTATGGGAAGTTTGTGCAACAGTACGATTGTCGAGTAACACCATCTCAGAATGCACATCACGACATCAGAAGCACACCACATTTCTGTTCTAGCAGGCCAGGGGGAGATCATCAAGCTCCGTGCCGCCGTCAAGAGCCTAGCCGCACGGGAAGAAGCTTCCACTGCCGAGGTGCTGATTGCCTGCAAGGATGACTTCCAGCAAACAGCCGCACACATAGCTGCCAAAGCTGGACAATCACGTAAACAGACACTACCCGTGAGGAAGCTATTCAGTTGGATCCTGTTGCTGACTACCAGACAGGCTCAATTGAAGTCTTGGGTGAGCTACTCGGCACTGAGGAGAACAAAGCGGTCTACTTCAACATGGCAAACCGTTTCTCAGGAGACCGGCCGGTGCATACAGCCATGCGCCACGGGTTTCTGGACGTCTTCAAGGCTCTGGTAGCTAACGGGGCGGATCCAACGGTCAAGAACCGCTTTGGGGACACGGTGCTGGATTACCCCGGCGATTTTGAGCCCGATGAGGTACAGAGAGTCGTTGATGAATACAGGGAGAGGACATCGAGGCGGCCTGACTAAAGAGGGTATGGTTATGATTAGAACCTGGCTGGATATGTTTACCTTAGGATACACAGCTTACTATCAAGTGATCCCTCTTCAAGGGGTACACTAGTACTGATGTAGTAGTCACACTCAATCAAAAGACCAGGAGCAACCTGGAAGGTATGGGTCACGGTCATATCATGATACCGTCCATCATAGCTTGAATCATGATGCCTCACTCTGCTTGAAGTTGCTCAACTGTCCGAGCTGCTGGTCCGATACTAGTACCTAAAGTTCCTACCTAAGCACCCATGACAGCTGTGTACTGATGCAAGAACTAGTAGAGGAGGTTGAGTGGCTGTCACGGTGCGGGGAAGCGTCCAGTCCTAAGAGGCGGGGGGGAATTCATTAGACCACCAAACCAAGGCATCATTGACGATTGGTGAAATGATTTACATGACACTGACACCTTCCTCTCCTAGAAGAGATGGTGAGAAACACATGCCAGGTTCGGGCCAAGCCAGAAACAGTCTGATGAGCGTCCGAGAAAAAGACCAGAGGGGAGCATCTTCGTGCTAAGTGCATTTCTGTTCGGTAATGATACCCCGAAGGATACTTTATGCTTTTGCAAACGATGCCGTAACTACGTAGTGCGTAAAATGCTGTGCGGTGTTCAAGGGAGCAGGTCATGCCAAAACGTCATGCCGGCTTCCTCCACCCCGTTCGCAATGCTCCCTCACCACCAGGATCCGACTGTCAGCCGTCAACTTACACTCTGGCCTTGGCGGCATCATACAAAGCCTTGATATCCTCCTGCCACTGTGCCGCGTTAATGCGGACTACACGCCGATCATATGTGACCAGCCCGTTCACCTCGGCCTCGACGTCAGAAGTCTGGGTATAGATGGCACCGCTGCAGCCATACATCTCAACCTGTTCTCGGAGAAGGCGCAGAAGTGTGCGAGCGCGGTAGTGGAACGAGTCAGGAGTGGCATGCATCTCGTACGTCTCGTTGATGGTTCTGAGAGCCGTTTCGATTGGCCAAAGGCTGCGAAAAGGAAGACATGTTAGCTCCTCTGCATTCGGAAGGTGGCACAAGGCACAGGTGGGAAGGTTGAGCAACGCTTCAGATCATACTTTTCATCTGCCGGTCGGGACCCGAGCCCGCCAAACTCGCCCTGAAAACCGATGCGATTCGGGTCGTATGGAGAGCTAGGCAGAGAATAATAGGGAGCGCCGCATTGAGGGTCAGCATAGTGATGGTTGTCCTGAATGGGGAACGTTAGCCATCCGAACGCTCTCAGCGAGGTGGGCAATGCTTACTGAGAAGTCGCCGGCTCCGTGATCTCTCCAACCCGAGTTGGCATTGATCAGCCGGGTCGGATCCATTCGGCGGACTCTCTCGGTGATGGCGAACTCCGGGTGGTAGTCGGTGATTTGGCCCCAGCCCTCATTGTAGATGACCCACGAGACGATACTTGGATAGCTCTTGTGTTCTTCAACCATTATGTCCAGCTGCCTCTCCCACTCAACCTGCTCGTCATCAGTGGGCCGGCGCTCTGGGTACACGCGCATCGAGGGCATGTCTTGCATAACCATAAGACCCAGCCGATCGCAGGCCTCGTAGAAGAGGTCTGGCTCAATCTTGATCTGTGAGGCGCGGTAAGCGAGCTGTAAGACAGAACTCTAACGAATCCTCGGGGATGGCATACATGTTTGCGGACCAGATTCATGCCAAGATCTTTGATGAGCTCAAGGTCCGAGACCATTGCTTCCAGCGTCGGAGGCAAGTGAAGACCGTCGGGCCAGTATCCTTGGTCAAGCGGGCCGAACCAAAACACAAACTCGCCGTTCAGCAGCTGCCGTAGGGTGCCGTTCACCATGCCGGTCGAGACGGTCCGGAAACCAGTGTAGCTACTGACCTCGTCAGAGCCCATTTTGACCGTGATGTTGTACAGGGTGGGCGAGTCCGGGCTCCACAGCTTCGGTGACTGGACGGTAAACGTAAAGGGCTCGTTAGACATGGCTTGTTGGGTGTGAAGTACACCGCCGTCCAGGTCGTGTACAGAGATCTCAACTGGTGTGCTCTCATTCTTGGAGCCGTGGACAGTAACGTCAACTAGCTTCATGGTCAGTAACAGCTTTCCAGCCTGATCCCGGGTCTACTCACCCTTCCCGTCCATACCAGCGGCAACATCTAACTTGGTAATGGAGTTTTCGGGAACATGCTCAAGCCAGACGGTTTGCCAGATGCCGCTGCAGGGAGTGTAGAAAATGTGATGGGGCCGCTTGCTCTGCTTTCCTTGGGGAATACTCTGATCATCGGTAGGGTCAAAGACGAAGACGAGCCTCTCACTTGTTAGTTGATACAATCTTCATTCAGAAAGTACAAACTTCGACACTCACAGCTCATTATCCCCATAAGGCTTGAGATGCTGGGTCACATCAAAACTAAAGCGTGAATAGCCTCCACGGTGAAAACCGGCCTCTGCTCCGTTGACGTACACAGTGGCCTCGTAGTCAACAGCTTCGAAATTGAGCATGACACGGTCACCTTGAGAGGATGCTTCGGGCACGGTGAAGTTGGTTCCAAACCACATGTGGGTCACGCCCGTCGTCATGATGCCGGAAATTCCGCTCTCGATGCACGACGGAATCAGCACTTCCTGTCTCAAGGGGAGCGTCGGTTTGACAGCAGTGTCATCAGGATCGGTTGCTGCTTGGTAGGTCCAGATTCCGTTCAGCGATTTCCAGCCATCGCGGCGAAGTTGAGGGCGAGGGTACTGCGGCCAGGGATTCGTTCCAACCTTGTCTGTCCAAGGAGTGTCGAGCGGAGGCGGCATGAGCTTGTAGGGCTCGGCAGCATTTGTGGATGCCAGCAGAAGGGCAAAGACCCAAACTGCAAGCTGCAAAAGAATAGGCATGATGATGTGGATTGTGGAATGTGGAGATGGCCCGGTGATGTTAGATGAAGCAAAAGCTATCCAGGTGGGCAGCAACAAGTTACCCTCGGTGCTGAGTGGATGATCACAACGGGCCGTCGATTACCAAGGTGGACGAAAAGTAAACAAGAGCTAACAAGGTTAGGCATACAGTGAGCCCTTATGTGTTTCCAACCCGGCCCAGTGGGAGAATCTGCATTCTCTCGCTCACTCTTGTCTCCAAGAGGGGCACAAGTCTCCGATCAGTAGTCACCCCCATGGGGAAGGACATGACCATTTCATGGAGCAGCGGTCAGCGGAACCTGCGGGGTTTGGGATGCGGTCCCAACTCTGTTAGAGAGTCTAATAACTAGGCGTGACCGACTTGGGAACGAGTTGGCTTCGATCTGATGGAACATAAGCATTCACCGGCACAAGTTGAGGTCACTTGAGGACTGTGCACTTGCCTGACCAGTAGTGACCACACAGACACTTACCTTGGCTATGCAACAAGCAAGAGAGATCGGCCTGGCCAAGATCGGGTACAGGGTAGCAGTTGCATCTTGGCGTCTTAAATCGTCCGAAACTGCAACTGCAGGCTGCAGCTCTGAGCTAACGGCGTGGTAGTGGGCTCCGCCGCTGAGGAGAAGGCAGGTGTGCCTTGAGATCGACCAGCTCTTTGCAGCTTCCAAGTTGGGATCAAACGGCGTCAGAGTCATGGATAACCGGCAGTTCCCCTGCGAAACGACTTCGGGCGCTTCTGTCCTTGCCAATTGCAAGGTCACGGGTCCATGGTAACACAGGAACTCCTGCCGCATAACCAGGCGGGCCAGGGAAAGCCTGGTTAGCAGTGACTTGCAATTGGCTAAGGTATGAACAGCAATAAACGTGATTGCAAGCACTTTGTTACCCCTCCAATCCTCCATTCTTAAGGCACCTTATTCAATCTAATCCTGGTGGAGATCACCGTTCAGCAAACCATCCCACATCCCCAGTTCTGCAGTGGATGAGCCAGCTGCCTGACCGATCAATGCAATGCAGAACACCGGCTTCAGTGGATCATCCCGATACATGAGTACCTGCGTATTGCACATTCCGGCCTCCAACAAGATATTGATCGGGGATGGAGCACTGACATGACTGCTCAGCCAAAATCAGGTGAAGATCGGATCGCCGAGACACCAGAGTGACCAGACTTCAAAATTTCAGAGTAGTTCGAGGTCTACAATGTCTATTCTTGGGCCATTCAGGTATGTCGTGGTAGGCAAGCCGGAAGGCCCGGTCGGAGGCAGAGTTAAAAAGCATCCAGGCCTGTGATTTTGGGCATTGTCAGCCCTTAATGAGCCCGTCTGACTTGCCGTCCAATGAACATCACCAAGCTTTGTATCATTCAACAAGCAGCTGACACGCCATCACCACGCCAGGATGCGATGCATTATGCATCTGGTTTTCGTCTTGGCATGAAGCGATGTTTATGCGGTTTGCCATCAATCAACCAACCGTCTCGCCTTTCATGGCCCGTTGTCATCTCGAACTCTCGCAGAATTTCACTTATCTACTAGGTAGTACGGCCGAGTTCATTTGAGACGGATCGAAAGTTCGAAACGGGACACAAGCTGCCGCCAGCCTATATCCATTCAACGATCCATAAGTACCACTCCTGCCAATCTCCGGTTTAGTCTGGCAAGAGAAAATTTCTTGAACTAGCAAATTAAAGTTCAAATGATTGGCGCTGACCTAGCAGCCCGGCTGGCTCAATCATTGACGGCTGGAATCTTATCATCGCATCTCGCGCCTTTCGCGCGGCGCTGCCTCCAGAGCCTGCAAGGACTTTTGTCCCGTTCCTATACTTGGCGGCTTGTCTGAGATGACTTATGACAGGGATTTGACTGTCAAGAACTCAAAGTGAAGCAAGCAGGGAGGGAGCCTGAGGAGAGCTGAGATTGCAGGAGTGAAAAACGAACAATCTCGAAGAAGGCGTAGGAAGACTGGAGAAGAATAGCTTGAAGGGGAGGACGGCCTGGGGAACCTGGACTACAGGTCACCTTACTATGAGCGATTGGGCAGTGATGCTGTTGAAATTGCGGCCTCCCGTCTGCTTCGAGCTTTGTATTTTAGCTTAAATGGTATAACGGCTCATCTTCTCCTTTTCAGTCTATTCAGTGTTCACAAATGCAGCGAGGCCGCGATGCCGTCCGATTCATCGGTTTTCGATACTTGAGACTAACTAAACCCCTAGCTTTCTCTTCTTCTAACTATGACGTACCGAACTGTAAATACCAAGTGCCCTATGATGGCAGCTGCATGATCAGGGCCTGGTAGCAACGAATGAAATTGACTTGTTGAAGTTCGAGGCAAACAGACAGACAATTGATATCGAATGAGCATGGATATAAATAACGAGGATCAGGAATGTAAAGGGGGTAAACAGACCAAGACAATAGGCTCAAGCTCCCCCCTGAACTCTCATCCAACGCAAGCTCCCATATTCCCTTCCAAAATGCCCAAACAAATTGACTGAGAAAATCAAGAGTAGGATCCAGCATCAGATATTAGCATCAGGGTCATCTTCAACAATGGCAGCGAGCTGAAGAATCTTCTTCGCCTCAGCGAGGAACTCATCCAAGCCAAACTTGCCCTCCTTGAGCAGCTCATCCTGCAGCCAGCCCCTAGCCTTCTCAGCCAGCATCTCCCACTGGTCCTTCATATCTGCAAGCCTCAACTCAAGGTGGACAAGCACCAGTGCCGTGGCAAGCGTGTCTGACTTGCCGCCAAGCTGGTCCACCACCTCTTGCGCAGCAGCCGGCAGGTCCGAGTCGGCGTCAATATGAAGCAGGTCCAGCAGGTTGTCATCCCAGTCCCAGGACCCGGCAAAGGTCTGCAGTGCCACGATCGGGCTGAGCTTGTCGTCGCCGGGAATATTCAATGAAACACCGCCGGTGCTAGGGGCGCTCTTGCGCGCCGCCATGCTGGCTAATTGCTTCCTGGGCGCCTTCCCGAAGGTCATTCTTTTGGCCGTTTGGCGTGTGCGTGCGCCACGCCTTTCCGTCCCGGCCATCTGAGCCGCTTGTTGGCTTGCTGAAGGTGGCGCCGATTGCTCGTATAACTGAGCAAATCCCTCCGCCGACATCGCTCCACTGTTGTCCGCCATGTCGGCAGTGATGTGTCTTCGATAACGCATCTCCGACGTTGTCGGAGCAGGCAGTGGACCGCGAAGTCTTTTGTTGGGTGTTGAGCTGGAAGCGTATTGCGCGAAGCTAGCGATGGCCGTCTGCCCGACCCCGCGCCCGAACATTGCGTCGGTAGGGTACATAAACTGAGTCAGGTCGCGCTTGGGACTCGACGATCTGGATCTGGAAGATGAACTAGAAGCGGGCTCATGCAGCGGAGCCGCTGTCTCGGAGGCTTTCTCCGCAGTCGCCTCGACAGCTACGAAGCTGCACCACCTGCCGCCGACTTGGTAGGTCACGCCGAGCCGGACGGCCTCTCGCTCTACCATGTCATGGTACCGGCCCGGATACTTGTCTCTGAGCAGCTGGCCTTTGTCATCGTTTGCGTCTTTGGCGTGGTAGATCCAACCACGGCCGTCCTCGAGCTCCTTGACGGCCTTCCGAGCGGCAAGCTGGTGGATTGTTTCAGCCTTCTCTGGGAGCACCGCCACGGGAATCTCCAACTCCAGCGGTCCATGGGCGGATGTGCCGCGGAGGACAACGGCTTTGGGCTGCCTCTGCACCGTCCCTGGCGACATGAGTAGGAACACGGTGGTGCGGCTGAACGGATAGAGCGCCGGGATGATAAAGGGGGCCTGCAAGAGCTTTGGCTCTAGCACATACGGGACATGCGAGTATTTGCCACCTGCGGTGGTGTCGAGGGAGGCATCGGTCATCTCGACGTCCGGGTTGGCAGATTCATCAAACAACGAGATGGGCTGTTTGGGAGGTTCCTTGTGCTGCTGTTGCGGCTCGACAACGTCGATGCTCATTGCATCCATGACTTTCTCAACCTCGACAACCTCGAAGTCATCCTCGGCTTGATCTTTAGCCGGCGTTTCGTATCTAACCTCCAAGGTGTAATCCCGGATGTGTGGCATCAGAGACGCCTTCAACATGCGAACTGCCTTGCCGCTCATGTTCTCGTTGTCGCTAACGGTTTGGGAGAAGCCGTTGCCGGCTTGGGCTACACCTTCGATGAGCGAGTGGCTAACGTTGCTGCCTATCCCCAAGGTGAATACCCTGATGGCGCCATTGCTCTCAGAGACGCTTTTGGTCACCAAGTTAAAAAGCTTATCCTGGTCCCAAATCTCGCCGTCCGTCACAATGATGATCTCCAGGTCCATGTCTCTGTAGCGTTTCTTGATGGCGTCCTCGGTCGGGCTGTAGATGTCGGTGCCTCCGAAGTTTGCATCAAATTTATCCACATACTGGGTGGCCTGCTCGAGACTGACAGCGTCGTAGGTCTTAGATCCATCAGGGAAAAGGAACTCATGGCGCGAGCCGAAAGAGCAGATGTTGAACTTGACGCCCACGGGTAAAGATTTGAGAAAGATGTGCAGGGCGGTTTTGAGATTGTCAATCTTATTGCCGCCCCGCATTGACCCCGATCTGTCACAGAGGAACACAATTTCGGGCCGCGAGGGAGGAAGGTTGAACTTGGGCACAAGCGTGGCCATCAAGGCCCGCTGGTTGGGGATGGTCGGATGTGTCTCTAGCACTGCCACGGGCTTGTCGACGCCGCTTGCCACGATCTGCAGAACAAAGTCGTCGCCTAGTTCTGTAGTAGCCTGTGAGAGAGTTGCCGAGGCCTTTTGGAGAGACATCTCCTGGCCCTGAGCAGTGCCGACCGAAGTGTTTCCCACCGTCACTGAGATGGGGTGCGAAGGTGACTGGACGTTCCTGACGGTGCAGCCATTGGGCATCTCGACATCGACCACGATGCTGATTCCGCTGTCGTTTCGGAGTGTGCTCGCCCGCAGTAACTCGCCGGGGTAGTTGCCAAAGCGCGGGGCGATGGAGGTGGGAATTGTGTAGCGGATCCCGTCGACCTCGGCGTCATGCTTTAGCTCGCCCAGATACGTGATGTCGACCTTGATGGTGGCATTGGCGGGCACATTGCCGATGGTGGTGGTGAAGACATCACTTGCACTCGGTAGCTGTTCGAGGAGACCAGCAGTCTCGCCGCGTGCGACGGCGTCCGTGTAAGTCTTGCGCGCCTCTGCCCGCTCCTTGACCACACCTCGGATGACGCGGTCGTTGTTGATGGTGCAGATGAAGCCGACGACCGAGACGCCATCGTACAGAGGGAAGGTGTACCTCAGCTCGGGGATGGCCTCGGCCCTAGGGTTGACAAATGTCTGGGTCAAGGTGGTCCGACTGGTCGTCGAGACAATCTTGGCATGGGCTGAGAGCGAGAGTTGGGGTAAGTACTCCCTCAGCGGCCTCGAGTACGACGGATGGTTGGGCAAGATGTAATAGAGACCGCAGATGTGGTTGTGGACTGTCATTGTGGCGGCGTTGCGATATCAGGATGAATGTAGCATGTATGTAATTGGTTGGTAGGTTGTAAGCCGTGAGGAAGACAAAGGGGGGTTCCAAAAGCTTGCAGACGGACTCGGGCTGGCAGTGAGGTCTATGTGACGCAAAAAAAGATATCTGACCGGACTCGAGAGAGTGTAGGATGGAGAAGAAAGATGTAGTCTGCCTTCAATGCCTCCTCAAGGGGGCTACCGTCAGCTTTTATATGTTGGAACTTGTAAGTGAGTGCATCCGTCCTCAATGACTCGATTAATCATTATTAGGCAGCAGCCGTGGCCTGTGTAGTTGAATGAGATCGCTTTAGAGCTTAGCCCCGCGTGTGAGAGACTCACGGTGACGAATCAAGCAGCTGCTGACTACACGCCCCTTTACAAGCAACCTAATACGAAGTACGTTGCGCAGTTGTGCAAAACATGTGTGCGGCTAATTGCAATGTGAAGGCCAAACATAGAGTACATACCTGCCTTCCAACCCTCCATACCCGGTCAGAAAACCTGGCTGCTCCCAAGTTCCAACCACGCACCGGTGTCCGTAAGCGGTATAGGGGCACAATCAAAGGAGGCGCCCTATGAGAAAGGGAAGTTTGGTCTGGAAGTGACAAGGAGATGAAATATAACTTCAATATGATTTGGATCATCATCGACATGCCTGTACTTGTACGCTCCGTGCTCAGTGCTAGGAATTTACTGGTAGTATGTTCAGCATCCATCACCGCCCACCAGACTTCAGAGTAGAGAATCCATACCGCTTCTGAAAAGACCATCAAGGCCGGTGTATCCTCAGCATCGCCAGAAAGTAATCTTCCAGTGGCAGAAGGTTGAGCAGGGCAGCATTCGCCTTCCATGCCAATAGGCAGGCACAAGCCCCCGCTACAGCATCGAGAACAAAATGGTTTGCGGTTGCAACAATGGCGACAAGTATGATGGCAGGGTAGACCATTCCCATGCAAACCATGGCCAGACGCTTCCAGCCAAGCCTCCCGCGCTTCCTTAGCGGTGCTGTGGCAATGGTAAGCCCGATGAGAAAGGAGTAGCCAAAATGCAGCGACGGCATGGCAGCTACAGGCGCGTCAGTTGGACTGGCAATCCAAAGGGGAGGATCCTGAGGTTATTGAATGGACTCACCATACTGGTTGCAGAACCTATTTGTCGTCCAAACGCTGCTGTCCCCGTCCGCTGAATGGACCGTGTCTACGAACCCGTAGCTCTTGGCCTCCCTCGCGTGCTCGCCTGTGTAGCCGGGATCGCTCAACAGCCTCGGAGGCATGCACGGCCAAGAGGAGAAGACGATAAAGGCTAGGAGGTTGCACATGGCCATGGTCCTCCGCCTCTTCTCGTAGAGGGCCGGCCCAAGCTGTCTGTGCTCCTGGCTGTTCTCGGTCATCCACCGGCTGCTACTGTCTCTTTGCTGCCGCCTCGGTCTCGCTGTTGTCAGATGATATAAGACAATGAGAAAGAGGATGGTGCCGGGGATATGGATGAAGGAGTACGCTCTGTTGGTCCATCGCATGAGCGTGGGACTCGCGAGGAACCACCTTTGCACGGCGGGCTCGATGAAGATGCCCAGCTGCTGTTCGATGTGGATGATTTGCAGAGCATGTTCTCGAGCCGTGTCAACCGTGGATGTCTGCAAAGATATTGCGGTGATGGCGCGGCCAAGTTGGTATACCTGAGCCAAGCGTCAGAAATATGATACGATGCATGTGATGCCAGAGGTAGCCGAGGTCAGGAATACATACCCAGTAGATAAGAGCCCAATACCAGACTTCAACCAAGAAAGGCAGCTGCTGGAGCACTCGAGAAAGAAAACGGTCCTTGAAAACCGACGTATTAGGTGTGGTTACTTCCCGCTCCCAGCCTAAGAATCTGAGAGTGCGTTTCCTCTTGTTCAGGGAATCCACATGAATCGTCAAGTCCGCCTCGCTGCTTGACCTACTTGAGCCGGGGGTCGAGAGGGGCTCTTGCGAATCCGATCTCCGTCCTTTCTCGAGGAATCCCAAGCTCGGCTCGGGATCGTGCTTTGTTGCTTGCCAATAAACGCGTCTTGACGAAAGCGACGAAGTAGAAGATAAGCCATAGCCATGTTGACTCTTGTTCCGGTTGATGAAGGTGCCAAACGCGAGCAGGGAAATGACCACAATGGGTTCCACAACAGCCCCGACTGCCATTGTGAGAAAAGGATAGGACCAGGAAACACGGATTCAAAAAGCCTGGAGAGGTGTAGACGACAGCAAACAGCGGATGTGGGTGAGCCCTGCTGCGTATATACAGTAGCATGTCTCGAAGTCCCCAGTCCTGTATGCACGTTCCAGCTCCCGTTGACCTGTTTTTCATCCGAACTTGAAGAACCTTCTTCCGCTGGTCTCTACCGCGGTAGTATGACCCGTATCTAGCGACGTCATTTGCTTCTCTGGTTCCCAAGCCTCTGCGTCCTTCCGCCCCACCGCAGTAGCAGTGCACTCGGCACAGGGGGGGAGTACCGGTAGCTTAATGCCTCGGGCTGTCGGGCCTGACAAGCTCCCGGGGCAAGAAGCATCTTGGACTTCAAATCCAATGATACTATGCAAGTGCTCTGTGCCCAAAAACTGCCGGCAACATTCCTGCGTATCCATATGTCTTCAACCAAGCGCCTCTTCCGCCATCGAGATGGCTTAGATGAGATGCAGCGGGATCGGAGCGTCTCTCCTGGACTTGTGTTGTAAGTGTGTGGTAGTAACAGTAGGCTAACACCGAAGCCCAGCGCGATAACTATGCTCAGAGACGCGTCACACCTAGACGTAAGTACTGTAGGGCACCGGACATTCCGGACATTCCGGTGGGCCACGGTGGGTCGGATCCACGAACCCGGACCGAGCTCCTGCAACTCGCCCGGCCCTTGAGACGAAAGAAACCAGAAGACCAGCATCCGGACAAGGCAAATTCTTGATCCTAGAGGGCTTTGCCAGAATAAAACCAACAATGGGCAGCAGCATCGCCGGCCTCCGTGTTTCGCACGTCTTCCGAGGGCTTGAAGGAACAGGATACCTACTACTGGAGCGGGACATACTGTCTCGAATCTCAATCTCTTAATCTCCGTGCTGCCCAGCAGTGCCTCCACCCTAGACGTCATTGACAAGCAACGACCGCGGCATTTGTTGTGGGCCGTCGTTGATTAAGCATCGGGGCTTCCCGGGTCTTCCGGTGCCGTCGGCTTCGGCCTCAGCCACGCCCGTCGTTTTCAAGAATCTTCGGTATCCTTGCAGGCGCTGGTCGCAAACGCTTTTCAACCAAGCGACGAAGAGCGCAAGTCGTAATGGGAAGCTCGTCGGTTCGTTTCTGGTTGTAGCCTGTCGGCACTCGGCATCAGGTTTTCGGAAAACAAGTCCAGATTCGTCGTTGAAGTCGCAACTTGGCAACTTGCGTTGAGAGGCAGTTACTACCGGTACCTTAGGTCGGGGTGGGCCTTCCGTCACCCGCGATCCCGTCGAATCCCACAACGGATAGGTAGTTCATCCTATCGGTGCAGGAGTGGTGCGCGTTCGATGTCTGTTGATCCTTTCCTTGTGGAACTACCAACTTGCCCCGCGTAGGGCCGAGGTGTTTCCCGATCCTGCCCCCATCCTTATCGGAACGTTAAGAAGAGAGAAAGTGCCGATTTGAGACAGCAAATACACATGTATGTTCCGCGTTTGACTGACTTGCTCACCGGAAACCTAGAAGGCTGGAACCACGAGCTGTGCTGGGAGCCTTGTTTTTTCGCGAACCACAGGCTTGACTGCTGCATTATTCGGTATTCATCCATGCAATTGAAGTGGAAAATGGGCCACTGGTGTCTTGTTTGTGTGCACCGCGAACAGAACGTTGAAACTGGAAAGCTCGAACTAACCAAGGTAGGAAACGGGGCACATGTTGGTCTTTCACGGAACACTACCGGTACCTGATAAAAAGTTAGCTTTAATGTCAATTGGTAGACTTCGTATTTTGAAAGGTTATACATATGTGATTTACCTAGCTCAGGATTTGCCTTACAACCTTGAATTAAACATGCTATGATATATTTCAGCTATTCTCTCCAATGTAATAAATCCAGAGAAAGCATCAATCTATGGATATCTAAGAGAGAAATGTCACTCTGTGATAAAGTGGGCGGGTGGGGGCAGTGGGGTCATGCCGGCAGCGCTGCGGGGCGCTACGCCAAGCCTACCAGATAATGACGAGAACACCATCCCAGCGCGTCTTTTTAGCGCGTTCCAGCGCTCTGGGATCACCACATTCCGCCCATAAGGTATGCCGCGATCCGCCCAATGCTCTCCTCACGCAAGCGGAGCCACGCCTCCTCAGGCTTGGAGGATCGCATGCTGAGTCCTTCGAAGAAGGCTCGGCTCCATGATTTTCATATCCTTAGCGATGACGAAAGAAGCGATGCTGGAAACGGCCGAGACACGCGTCACGCGCACCGTCGCGTCCATGACGGCGAGGATGGCTCCAGATCAAGGCTCGACAAGACGCTGAGCTTCTTTGAACGGCTGCAAGAAGACGAATTTTCGGATCTAAAGGCGGATCTTCGCGCCGAGCTGGACAGGTTGCATCGCCTGGGCAAAGACGACGCTTCCGACAGCACGAAAGTCGACCGCGACTCAGTTGACGATGTCGCCAAGGATTTGGCCGATGTGCTGCAGAGCTGGGTTGGACAAGCCTGTCAATATCGTCTACTACGGACTCGATGCTCAGGATTCTGAGGGACCGTTCACCGTCAAGTCTCTCCCTGGCCGTGACAGGCTTGTCGTTGAGACCTTCGACCGGCTCAAGGCAGAGGTACCCTTTGAGGTCTTCATCGCTGTGATTGAGAAGGAGGACACAGGCCGAAAAGTCGCGGTTTCGACGAATCCGAGCTACCTGGCCCGCAGTATCTTCGACCTGCAGGGACACAGCCTGGCCTGCGATCTTCCCGTCGAGGAACGGAACTGGGTGCACACAAGGCGTGGTACTTCTACGCAAGCGCGGTCTTGTTCCATGACTGAAACTGTGAGTATCTGATAGTGCTGGTGACTGGCTGTGGACGGTGGGCCCATGGCGCATGCGCACAGGCAGTGATGCTTATTCCCCGCGACGGCATGATCGGCTTTCTGTTGCAGTGCGAAATCCCCCTTGCCCAGTCAGCCCGCTACTGCTCCAGAACGACGGGTGTGCAGCGCCTGATCGAGTACTTTGCCGCCAAGATCACCGATCCCCAGAACCGCGCCCGCCTTCTCCCCGCCTTCAAGCAGCTCTGCACGAGACTGTGGAAGTTGGGGGAGGACTCTAGCTTTGCTGTCCTTTCGGATGATGCAATTGAGACGCTTCTAAAAGCGCTGCTCACTGCACAAGATTGGGATTTTTTTGAGCAGGCTGTTGTCAAACTCGGGAAACACGTGCCGCTAACAACATTGCTCCCCTGGATCGTGGCTGAAGTTGAAGGTGGAGGCCTTGCAGTGCGTGACATTGAGAAGGGGTATGCCATAACTGCCGCAGTGACATAAGATTTAGACCGACAAGCTTGCAGACTGCTGGCTATTGGCCTGGCCTCTTCGAACCTCTCTCACAGATGCAATGTAGCCCGCGAGCTCCTCCGTCTTCGGGCAATGGGGAGCGAGGGCCAGGAATTGCTGCGGCGCCTGGTATCCAGCGCCTTGGAAAGTGTAGGCTCACAGTCTGCCACTGCGCAGGATGGTCGGCGCTTGGTTGAACTGGTCTGTGTTGTGCTCGGCCCGGAGATCTTGACCACAGAGTAAGTATCATGCCAGCCACCTTCTGAATTTACATGTCAGCAAGCTCATGCAGGTACAATGTATAGGCTTCTACCTCTCGTCCAAAAGACTGCCCCTTCCATACCCTTAAGTCTAGGAGTCTTTGAGGGTCTCAGTCGACTTACAGCGGCCCAACGTGCCCAGGCTTCGGTATCCAAAGAACGTTTGGAGCAGTTTGCAAGGCATATCACGGACACGCTAGACGTATCCAAGCTTTCTTGCGGTCCTTCGCCTGTTCACCAAGGTCAAACCTGTCGATGCTGTGACCGATGCAATGGGAAACCTGTTGGGCCAGGACCTGTTAATGACTCTGGTCTCGCTCCTTTCGTCTCTTCCCTCCTCGCAGAGGGTGCCAGTGACATCATCCTGGCACGATTTGCACTGAAAGGTCGTTGGCGACGTCGGAATCATCAAAATGCGAGACTTCCATGGTTTTTGGTTACCGTTCCTGAGGCAGCTCCTCGAGATACTCGAGGAACACGCGGTCCCCATTGTCCACGCCTCGCTATCGTCATCTCTTTGCGGCGGTCCTTGAAACTTTCCTCGCCAAGCGTGTCGGCCCACCTCCGATGCGGTGGCTGCCTGAAATTTGGACGGTCCCCTGCCTCTGCAGAATTTGCAGCTTGATCAACGGATTTCTTTCATCTGACGCGCCAGCTGCTAGTGTCAACGGTTGCTCCGGAGAGGAGCTGCTGCATATCGGCACTTTCGTGTGGCCTTATAGAACGCAGCTGCAATGCGCGTTTTCCCCAGGCGAAGGCGGCGGTATCGTCATAACCAAGGTGATCAAGGGCCCAAGTTTCCAAAAATGGGAAGAGGAGACGAGCAGCGCAGCTGTTGAGATCGGCAAGCTCTTTGGCCCAGCACTACGCACCGTCCTGGGCGGTGAACACGACACAGTCATGAATTCTAAACCTACAGAACCCCCAGTTATACCCCTGCCCATCGAAAACTTTGCGAAGGGGCGTGAGCAACCGCAATTCCCTACGGCTTATGCCATGGCCAGCGGCCCGATTCCCGCGATTCACCCCAACCCACCTGGAGCCACTTTTCCGTCGCAACTCGGTCCGCTTGGAAGTGCTGCTGGATCTCATCCTTCCGCCTCCGGTAATGGGTGCCGTTTGCCCCCATTGCAATCCATTCTGCCTCCTGAGTCTGTTGCAGGAGGGTTGGGACAAGTGCGTAACAGTGTAAGGCCAACCCCTGATGCAAGGACGGCCGGTTGGCAATCCCCAGCAACAGCAACACCCCCCGGCGGCCCTGCATATGCACCTCAAAAGAACCCGGCTCCAGCCCCGCTGCTCCCGTCAATTGCAAAGGGTCCACCAGCAGCGGGAAACAAGCGAATCATGTCGAGCACATGGCGCGGGCCAACGCTCCGCGCTTCTGCCACGCCCGCTGCCCCCGCTGCTGCTCCTTACACGTCTCCATACGGCCGGGTCCTGTCACCAATGTCCCAAAGTACGATCAACAAGCGGAGTTCAACAGGAGGGAATGCGAGCAAGCCCAAGTTGGATATTCCGCCTCAACGGAACTCTTCACGGCCGGCCAAAAGGAATGTGGGGGAAATCATTGACCTAACGGGGGACGACTGAAATCGAGCTTCTTGTTGGTTGGAGTTGTCTTGAAAGTGTTTGGATCACTGGTACGAATAAAGTGGGATACGGTTGACATGCAATGCAACCTGATAGATATATTATTGTATACTACTTGGTGGTTGGGCTGGGTTGAGCGCTTGAGATCTGTTCGTTTGTGGTCAACGACTGCGCAACCGCCACGATCTGCAGCTTCATGGGGCCATCGGGCACCTAACACTTCGGGAATATTTGAGCCCCTACTGCACATGCTCTCTCTCACATATCAGTTGTCAGAAACGATGTTAAAATATTAAAATTAGCCGCCCATTCGTTTGGAGATGGTGGGGCTGCGGCGAGCTGGCATCGGCCGATGTGATGGGTGGCACGCTGGGGGTGTCAGGGGGTGGTCCGCCGAAGCTTGGTGCCAAGCAAACCAGGATCTCGGAGACGCACACTCAGCTCTGCGCCGCCATGGCGCTCCCAACCGCTCACAACCGCGGCTATCCTGCTGATACAAAAATCGGGAACTCGACCCAGTCTCTCGCTGTGAGTATTCACTGCACAACGTCCAACAACTGGTAGTACAGTTTAAATACAGAGCAAGAAGCAATATCACCTTCAACGGGACGATTGTGCGGGCCGCAGCGCGTCGGTCCGCCACTGCAGCCGCTCCACCCCGCTCCGAAAACCGAGGCAACGCCCGGCGGGATCCGGCTGTCGACAGGGGAGCGCCATGGGGGAAGCACACCCCACACGCGGTGCAGACGCGACCATCGAGTCGCCAAATCTTGCGCACATAGGCTATGCGCACGCCAAGACACCCTTCGCCGGACTTGTGCGAGAGTTTAACGAACAGCTAGAGTTAATCGAGACAGGCGAGAAGACAAGGAAGATCCTCAGAGTCAAGGCCGGCGGCCACAAGCAATGCTTGCCTGGCCAGCCGCGAGTCCGCCTGGACAGCGGTGGGCTCAGTGCAGACGGCAAAGACCCGTTGCTCAAATATCTCCAGGACCAGCACAAGACCGATAAGCTCGACAGTCTCTGCCCCTTGATGAGCGTCATCTTCGTGCAAACCCCGTCGTACGCCCACATCACCGCACTGCACCACCAAAAGTCACGCGAGCGCAAGGTCATTGTCGACGAGCACCCGGGGCTGCACCTGCTTTGGCACTACCAGCTTATCTTCATCAAGCCCGTGCCCGCCTATTTCTACTCCCAGGCCTTCTGGGACTACATCCGCCATGCCGACGAGGACGCCTACAAAGCCAGCCTGGGCTTCATGCGCAGCTACTACTACATCATCCAGTTCGAGATCGACTACATCGAGGCGTGCGAGCTGAACCTGATCCCCAAAAAGGACGACGGCCAGCTGCCGACCTACGAAGAATGGTGCGAGTTCATTGAGCCCTTTGCACGAGTAGGCGACGACCACGTGAGCCGGCGCTACCACTACGGCGAGATGCGCCTGACGCGCATCAACCGCGCCGCCTGGTCCAGGGGGTATCTGGCCTATTTCCACATCTACCCGCAGTGGGGGTCGTTTCTGGCGCACACCATCGCGCCCATCATCACCGTCTTTGCCGTCAGCTCGGTCGTGCTCAACTCGATGCAGGTCAGCCTTGCGGCCATCGACACGGGCAGCGGCGTTGAGGGGCGGATCGCGCCCAGCGGGCCGTGGCTGAGCTTGTTGGACGCCGCGCTCTGGTTCCCTGTTGTGGTCATGCTGGCTATTGCTGTCATGCTCGTCGCGGGGATATTGGGCGTGCTCGGCATGGGTGTGAAGGATTTGGTAAGGACGAGGACGGTCAGGATGAGGAAGAAGAACGGCGATGTCACGGCCGGAGTCAGGAGTCATGGCATGATCTGGTAGCGACGGATCGTTCCTGACTTGCCTGCCTCCCGACTACTGCTTGCCTGGAAAGCAGTCGTCTAAGAGCGGTGAGGGGGCAAGAGGTATGCCATGCGCGCCGGACTAGCGTCTCTCATGTCCCGCACCATGGAACATCTTTTGGCCCTGCTTATACAGGACTAGGCAAGGGCCGGCTCTGTTGGGCAGAGTGAAAAGAAGGGGAAGCCGAGCAAGGCGCGCATAACAGAACGCTAGCCTGGTCATGCGCTCAGTGCCTTGGAGCTGTTGTTCCGCGGCGGAGGTCGGAATTTGCGCCGGTTTTCTCGCGCATGTTGAGGCTGATGGACGCTTTCGGAGAGCTGGGGAGACTGAATGTGGTGGTGGCAAAGTACTATACTATTTGCTTTTGTGTTCGCTGTATACGCCCCGTTGGGGATGGCGCCGGTTTGGATACCGCGGCATTTGCTTGAGCGTTTACGTGTTTTGGATATGTCTTTGGTATGGTTGAGGAACGATGCTTTTTCGGCGTACGGCAGTCCGGAATGTCCCCAGGCCTTTTTGGGTATGACTTATGAAAGCGAAGAGAGCGAAGCGGACGTTGTTTATCAGTTGTTCTGCCACTCACTAGCTTATGCGCAGATGTTCAGGGATGCCCAAAAATGTGGTCGGAACGCAATTGGGATTGGTTGAAGTCACCCGTGTGCAGCGCATGCACATCTACTTATCCAACTGGTGGCGGGCTGAAAGGGGTCTCGGCCTGTCTAGTGTGTTGTCTACGCGAGAATATTGTATTTGGGCAGAAAGTGGCTTGACATTCTACGGGCCCCTACTGCATCTGGATCGTCACCGCTAAGTTGCAGTGCTTCCGCGACTGCATCATGCATCGAGCGCAGCTGTGGCTTCATAAACTCAGGAGGAGGGGAAAGTTGATGGCCGTCCCTGGGTATTTGATGAGAGGAAAGACATACATAAGGGCTCGGCAGGTCCCAAGATGCCTAGAGAAAACTCAGGACGTCACTCAGATCATCAGAGCCCTCTGCAGTCCTTCGATTCAGAGGCACACTCAACAATCTTTTGACAACAACTCGCCGCCGACAGGTCCCAAGATGGGAAACGAAGGCGACACCTATGTCATCAAGGGCATCAAAGCAGGTGTCACTGACACCACCGTGCCCCTTCGCCTCGAGGCAGACAGCTGGTACCCAGGCAAGACCTTGGAGCACTTGATTCAGAACAGTCTGTTCATCTGGGCCCTCAAAATCTTCCAGGAAAGAGACCCTACGGGAAAGCTCTCGTTCTTCCAGATTGCCGGCATCCACGGATATCCCTACCAGCCGTGGGATGAAGAAGACTACACGGCAGCCACGGGCGGGATGGGATACTGCACCCACGATAGCCTCCTGTTCCCGTGCTGGCACCGTCCATACGCATATGCTTCTCTACGAGGTACGCCTCTCCCTTGCATTATGTGCTGGTTTCCTTCGCTAACAAAGTTCGGGAATACAGCAAGTCTTATATGATATCATGATTCAAGAGGTCATCTCCCAGGTCCCTGAGAGCAAGCGGGAACAATGGAAGAGTGCTGCCGGTACCTGGCGTTTCCCTTATTGGGACTGGGCCCAGAAGAAGACTCGACCAGACAAGGCTGACCCGCAAAAGGATACACTGGTCTACGACATCCCTCTCATTGCCAAGAAATCCCAGATTCAGGTGATAGACTACAAGAAGGCTGACATTGCCTATGTTGTCACAATTGACAACCCCATGTACAGGTTCAATATGCCTGGCAAAGCGCAGATGGGTTCGTTTGGCATCAATGATGTGCGGCACATCAACGCCGAGAACCGACTGTTCACGGTTCCCGTAAGCGCATCTTCTCAAACTATCGTTTGTCTAGAAAACTGACGTCTCCTCCAGTTCTCCAAGTGCCGCAGCACATCCCGCTGGGCGAGATTCGAACCCCAGGCGGGATCAGTCTCGTAAGATTGGGTTGGTGGTACCGTCAACAACGACCGTATCCGTGATGCCCTTGAAGCACACCCGTGGTACAACCACAACGCTGACGGCGTACCACTTGCCGAGATGGTCTACCGGCTGTATGAGCCCGACTACATGACTTCGTTTGCCCAGTTCGCCACGACCAGAGTTCCCAAGGGCGAGAAGCGGGACCCCAAGGCATATCTGAACCTGGAATTCCTCCATAACAACATACATAACTGGACTGGTGGGTTCGGCACTTTCATGGGCCACATGACCGAGGTCCCAGTTGCCGGGTTTGACCCAATCTTCTTTATGCATCACTGCAATATCGACAGACAGTTTGCCATCTGGCAGGCTCTCAACGAGAACAACCCAAATAACTGGTTCGATCATCTGGAAGAGCCGTACGATGATGACGGGACATGGAATATTTCGCCCCAGACCATCGTCACGCTCCAGACACCCCTGGCACCATTCCACAAGAACCGTCAAGGGGATTGCTTTGTCTCGGATGACATCAGAAACTGGATGTCGCTGGGATATTCGTACCCCGAGCTACAGCCCTGGCTCGACAAGTACAAGACGGCAGGGCAATTTGACGAGGCAAAGTACATGGAGGACATCAGAAACCAGCTGAAGACGTTATATCAGACCTCGATGTCGCCCTCCGTCTCGGGATGGTTTGATGACTCGTTGAAGTCTGACATCATTGTCAACGTCCAATATGACCGGTTTGTCTCTCTCATATCCATCAAGTCAAGCAATAAAGTCATGGCTGACTGGAAGATACAGCTTCGCCTTCGACGGTCTACCGTACACGATCTACTTCTTTCTGGGCGAGAAGGACACGTTCGACACATTCTCGGGCCCACCACACAAGCAACCTCAACATGTCGGATTCGTCTACACGTTCAGCAACCCCGCTTTTGGGGTTCGTGCTGGAGGCGGAGGATGCAAGAAGTGCCTCGTCAAATCCCGAGAGGGCACACTCTCCCGCGCCCAGATCCCGCTGACCGCTACCTTGGTTGCTCGCTCGCGCACCAAGACATGGGCCAATGCGGAGGCCGGGGAGGGACCACTAGAAGGGATCCACGCGCTGGCTAACCTCGAAAAACACGAAGTAGGCAAGTATCTGGAAAAGTTTCTGCACTGGAGAGTCAAATCGGTGGGTTACCAGTGCCTTTCCCATGTTGGGTTCAACCAGGGTCTAATGAGATGACTACCTTAGGCAAGCGGTGCGGACATTGAGATCCCTGACGAGGAACCATTCGTGGAGGTGACGGTTCACTACCGTGGTGCCCGCTTTGACGATCACGAGTCTGATGCGGAGTATGTGCCCCTGGAGAGGGCTACGCAGGCCAAGCAGGGCGGTTACATGTACAAGGGGAGTTCTGCTGGCGCGACTGAGAGCCTGAGTTTACCAATGCGGTAAACTAGGAGATGCATGATTGTTTGAAAGTTGAAGTTGAATACCTGAAGTACGGAGGATCGCTATAAAGTCTATAACCCCCCTGAGCCCCTCCCCCCCTCCCCAGTGATTTAGTGCTTGGCAGCGGCCAGTGGATCGGCAACCCCCCTGGCCGGCTTACTTCCGGCCGGACAACCATGACTCGACGGCGGCCCCACAACAACTGCGACGGCATTCACGAACGCGTGGTTCACGCTGCCTCAATCGGGAAGTTGGAAGACCTATCTTCTCTACCTTCCGCTTTCGCGGAGCTAAAGCCGCATTGTCAGCAGTAATCAACGGTGCCGAATAGTATACGGCGGCAGGGCCCAACCAACAGCGATCGGCCGAGCGGGTGTATGTGGAGGATCGTTGGATCGGTGGGACCCCACCGCGTTACAACTTACTAGATTGTGCTTAAGGTGAGCATTCCATCCTCATAGCTTGTTCTAACGGCTCGTCCTGCTTGGCGATCTTGGAATCATCAACCATGGTGGGAGCGACAAGACTTGGAGGACTTGCCTTCGGCGTGGTCTGCCTCGCGCAGCTTGCTAGTGGATTCAATGGAGGTGCATTCCGAACCTCCTTGACGCTCAAGGACTTCAAGGAACAGGTGCGTACCTTGGTAATTCTCAGAGTCGAACTGTCTCGTCACAGGCTGACACTCATGCATAGCTCACCCAGAAGGAGGCAGAAGACAGCCGTGCTCTGGCAGTCAGGGATGATGAAGACCTCCAGCTGCTGTACCCAGCACACACCATCCAGGTGCCCGTAGACCACTTTCACAATGACTCCCTCTACGAGCCGCACTCGAACGCCACCTTTGCCCTGCGCTACTGGTTTGACCCCAGCCACTACAAGAAAGGCGGGCCCGTCATCGTCCTGCAATCGGGCGAAACCAGCGGCGTCGATCGTCTGCCCTTTTTGCAAAAGGGCATCGTCGCGCAGCTGGCCCAGGCAACCCACGGCTTGGGTGTGATCCTGGAGCACCGCTACTACGGGGAGAGCTTACCTACCCCCGACTTCAGCACCGCGAACCTGCGCTTCCTGACGACGGATCAGGCCCTGGCCGACATGGCCTACTTCGCCGAGCATGTCGTCTATCCGGGGCTCGAACACCTGGACCTCACCGCGTCCAAGAACGCCTACATTGCCTACGGGGGCTCATACGCGGGTTCCTTCGTCGCATTCCTGCGCAAGTTGTACCCGGATATCTACTGGGGCGCCATCTCGTCGTCGGGTGTGCCTGAGGCCATCTACGACTACTGGCAGTACTACGAAGCGGCCCGGCTGTTCGCTCCCAGGGACTGCGTGGTGGCCACGCAAAAGCTAACTCACATCGTCGACACCATTCTCCTCAACAAGTCCGCCACCGACTGGGTCCCCCGCTTGAAGCGCGCCTTTGGGCTAGGCAATCTCACGCGCAGCGACGACTTCGCCAACGCCATCTCGGCCGGCATCGCGGGCCTGCAGGGGCTGAACTGGGACCCGGCCGTCAACAGCACCGAGTTTGGCCGCTACTGCGCCAACGTCAGCTCCACGGCGCCGCTGTACCCGCGCACCGCCGAGGCCGAAGACGAAGCCCGCGCGCTGGTCACCGCAGGCGGGTATGGAGACAAAAAGGAGGCAGCCGCCCTCGCCGCCCAGCTGCTCAACTACATCGGCTACGTCAACGCCACCACCGTGCGGTCCTGCCGCCGTGAGAGTCAGGACGCATGCTTCACGAATTATAACACGACTTTTTACCGCCAGGATAATCTTCAGCAGACCTGGCGGCTGTGGGCGTACCAGTACTGTTTTGAGTAAGCGTCTTCCCCTGTTACATACTATATAAAACTCACTGACATGACTAAAAAAAGATGGGGCTACCTACAAACCGGCTCCGGTGTACCCGCCAACCAACTCCCACTCATCTCCCGCCTAATCTCCCTCGACTACCTATCCGTCGTCTGCCGTGAAGCCTTCAACATCACCACCCCGGCACAGGTAGAGCGCATCAACAAGCACGGCGGGGTACACATCAGCTACCCGCGCCTGGCGCTGGTCGACGGGGAGTGGGATCCCTGGCGGTATGCGGGTGCGCACAGGATTGGGCTGCGAGAGCGCAAGAACACCGTCAGCGAGCCCTTCATCCTCATCGACAACGCCGTGCATCACTGGGACGAGAACGGGTTGTTCCCCAACGAGACGCGGCCCGGACTGCCGCCGAAGCCCGTTGCCAAGGCACAGAGCGCCGAGGTACACTTTGTGAAAGCATGGGTTGACGAGTGGAGGAGGTCTAGATGTAGGGGTGGTGATAGATGGTGCTGAACATGTGAGTGGATGCTAACCTGAAGCAGCAGCAGACTGGTTTGAACTTGGCGATCTGTGAAGCAGGCGGGCGGAGTTCTAGACGGCTTCCGGGGTCAAGATGGGATTGTTGTGCATGTTGGATGGAACTTGGAAACATATAAACTTGAATAAACAGGGGTATAGACTTCATAAAAGGGTATCTACCACTCCAGCCGGTCATCGCACACAAGGCTCACATCGAACCGCTCCTCTCCTCTCCACACCTTCGCGCCCGAATTGCACCCGGCCACGGAGCTCCTCAAATCCGCAATCATGCCCGGCGGTCCACTGCCAATGACACGAGTAGCACCCCGCGCCACCCGGTCGACAAAGTTCCTCACGACCGTATCCACATCCGGTCTCTGCTCATGGTCGCTTCCGCATGATATTCGGCTGTCAGCATCATCCTCAGAGGACTCGGCTGTCCTCTTCTCGTCCACGACCTTGCCCTCCTTTTCAAGTGGGGAACGCGGCTCGGCCGTGACATATGTCCCGATCCGGAGGCCGTGAGCGGCCCCCAGCCTGCGGAGCTCCTCCATTTCGGGCTCGACCCATTCCAAATCCTGCTTTCTCTTGACCGCCCACATCAGCTCGATCCTCCTCTCTGGGTTCACTCGCCCCCTTACCAGCCGTAGTAGGGCTGGGAGCACGTAGGTAATACCGGTGCCGCCCGCGACGCAGAGCACATTGGTATCTTGCGTGAGGCCCTCGACGATACTCTCGCCGTACGGACCCTGTAGAATAACAGGCGTAGTCGGCACCACACCATCATCCGCCGTTGCCGTTGCCGCGGCCATCTTCTTGTCAAGAATATCCGCAATCTTCCTCGTCTCGCCCCCTTTGGCGCGGAAGATGTACGAATGACGCACCCTGCCCGCCGCGTCCGGCACAGGCAGCGACAGGGGCGTAAATGGGTGGCTCTGCCAGATGCTACCCTCGGTGAAGCACACAAAGAAGTGTTGTCCAACCTTCCAGGGCGCCTGGACGTGGTCAAAGTCGAGCCTGACAACATGGCCCAGCCTCTCGTCCCTCCACAACTTTGCACTCGCCGGCACAGCCCCGAACCCGCAGGCACCCTTTTCCGTGATATACCCATAATGCAGCAGGCCCGTCCTGATCAGCCTCGCCAAGCGGTCCACGAACCACAGCACCAGCCCAGGCACCAGGAAGCACTGCAACTGCTGCCAATGCCCAATCAGCGCGCCAATGTACACCATGGCGAGCACGTAATGCGCCTTGCGAAAAAACTCGTACCCCGTCACGTTCCTTACCACCACTTGCAGCGAGCACACCCACAGCAGCACCAATAAGCCCAGCGCTACAAACCCCCAAATAGCATACGTCTGCCCCACCCAGGTGTTCCACACGGTGGGTTGCGGACGGTACAGCCAAGCCTCGACGAGGGTCCAGCCAAGCGTATGCAGGAGGCTCTGAACCAGAATGATATACCCCGTCCAGCGGTGCAGGAACATGAAGCTCGTGTAGGGCACACCTGTCAGCAAGCTCAGCAGCGACTCGCGGCTGGCCAGGAGCACCGACAGCGGCGTCAGCGCGTACGCCAGCACCCCGATCCGGTCGGCCCACGGGCCTAACGACGTGCGCGTGTTGACCACGTCCGCCGGCTGACCCTTGATCGGCGTGATCCAGCGCGAGTAGACGATCCCCGCAAACGTCCAGATCGTCAAGTACCCTGTGAGTATCAGCAGGATCAGGACCTGCAGCCGCGTCGTGTGGCCGAAGATGGACCGAAAAGGGGACGGGCGGAGGAGGTGGGTGCGCAACGCTGATGTTAAGGCGTGCCACCATGTCCCCCGCGGTCGCTTAGGGACCAGTTGGGATTCGGGTTCGTGGGGAGTTTGTTGTTGTGGGGTGACGAGGGAGGTGCCGTCGTCTTGTTGGGCGGGGAAGATGCGGCGGCCGAGGGCCCAGACGAGGAGGATGCCCAGGACGGTCAACCAGAAGATGCCCGTGTAAACCATCCCCTGGTCGTGGGAAGAGTAGACAACGTCGAGGTAGGCGCATGACCCCGGGTCGTTGGTGCATGGCACAGCGCGGTCGGCGTAGCCCCAGTGCGGCTCGAGCGAGGCCGCTTCGGAGAAGTTCTGGATGTGCCGCGGCGTGAGCGCCATGGCGGGCAGCACGGTCCCTCTGTTCGTTCTTTCTGCAATGGAGGTTTGGGAGTTGGCTCGTCCCTGGCGGAACCGGCCAGAGGATGAGTAGACTCAGTCAAGCAAGCCTGAGGGAGTTCGAGCGAGAACTGGCAAGGGCATTCATGGGATCATGGGGTAGTGGGTGCTGACACAGAAGGATGCACAGGGCCGGGATACGATGCATGTCTGTTAATAAACATGTGGCGAAGACCGGGAACACATGGTCGGTTTATAAGGGCCAGTCGCCGTTGGCTCTCGGGAGCCAGGTTCCGAACACGCCTTCCAGTCCGTCAACGGTGGGTTTGTGGGTTTCGGGTGTGGGACCCTTCCGGCAGGCATCGGTCGAGATCGAGTCGCAGTTTGAGCAGATTTAAAATCGAGCCGAGCCCAGGTTGAACTTCCACGAAGGTTTGCGCAAATTGGCAGCCGATAAACTGGTGAGCCAAGCACTTGCGCACGATATGAGAGGCTTAACTTACGAACTCGACGCCAGGAGTTTCTTGCCATTTTGGATATCGGTCCTCGCAATCGCCTTCTGGATGTTTTGCCGATTCCCTTGGCATTGAGCATCTTTGAGCACGTTTCCACATCAGCAAGTGGGAACCAGCGGACCGGGCCTGGATCGACTTCCAGGGTTCAAGCGAAGCGAGCCAATCGCTGCATTTAATGCCCTGGAACAGGCCCCGCAGGGTCAAGACATGCAGTCCGTGGGGCTGGTGGCGGGCATGCTTGGCAAGATTGGTCGAGCGAGCATTTGGAAGTTGCGGATTCTGGCGCATTTCTGCTCAGTGAGCTGGTTGAACCACAGAGGTATCCTCTTCGTAGCACGACGTGACGAAAACAAAAAGGCCGAGAACCATTCAAAACGTATTGTCCTGAGGAGAGAGACACGAAGAACCGAATGACAGCATTTCCTGAATCACGAGAACCACAAGCCGCAATCACACCAATTTCGTCCTCTTAAAGAACTTGTGTTGCACACACCAGACAACACCAGCATTCCCGAGTCACTGCTGAAAGTGCTGAGTGCGGAAGCTGCGCCGCGAATCAAGCAGCCTGCACGGCCGTCACACCACACTCGTCACTCGGGCGCGGAGCTTTTATAGTGTGTGCTTGCTAATTTATCTCCCGGCCGTCTGCCGGCATTTCTAAATTGTTTCCTCTCGCCGTTTGACCCGGTTCGCTCTCGAGACCACACTGTGGAGACATACACAGACTCAAAGCACGCAAGGTGTTTAAACGACCGGCAAAATGGATCACAACCACGGAGGCGATTCGGGCATGGCCGAATGCAAGATCTCGGTATGGTCGCATTGCCCTTTTCCTTGGGTCCCATCTACATTTTGCATGCCCCCTTTTCCCGCCAACCACTAATCAGGAGGGTACATACAAGTAGATGCTCTGGAACTGGTACACTATCGATGCCTGCTTCCTCAGCTCGTCGTGGCACATCACGACGCACGGCGCCTTCGCGGCCACGTGCATCGGCGTCATGCTCATGGTAGTCGTGCTCGAAGGGCTGCGGCGGCTGGGCAAGGAGTACGACGAGCACATCCAGCGGGACTTTCAGGCGCGCATGAGCCTCATCGTTAATAACGGTGGCCAGCAGCAAGCTTGCCCAGCTGCACCCGAGTCGGGAGTCGCACCACAAATCGTCACGTTCCGCGCTTCGCCGCTGCAGCAGTTTGTGCGCTCCCTCATTCACGCGGCCACATTCGGCCTGGCCTACCTGGTTATGCTGCTCGCCATGTACTACAATGGGTACATTATTATTTGTATCCTGCTCGGGGCGCTGCTGGGCAAGTTTCTGTGTGATTGGATGACCAGAACGGTGGTGATTGGCGGCGGGCCTGACCCGGTAGGGACTAATAAGGGGGTGAATAATGGTGCCGCGGGGATTGAGGAGCCGACGGTATGCTGCGGGTGAGAAGGCTATGGATTGAAGCGATGCGGTGCTTATACCAAGAGGCATGGCGGACGCCGAAGAGAGACGTAAGTCGATATGTTTGAACTTAGTAGTAGTGATTGGTACTAGTAAATAGTAATACTACCCAACTAATCACCGGAATGAGGACCGGTGTCCCGTTACTGCCTTGGCAATCACGTCGGCCAGCGAGACACTCGTCTGGTACGACTTGACCTTTCCCACTGCAGCGTCTTGCTGGTGATCGTGGTTCCACTCGACCACCTCCTGCGTCATGCCTTCCAACGTCGTGAGTACACCCGTGTAGCCGAGCCCGCCCTCGGAAACGGGTTTGCTCGCTACCTCGTTCGACGCGACCAAGTGGGTGCAGATGCTGAAGATGCCTGGTTTGAGGTGCTTCACCTCGCCCGTCAATTCCGGCAGAATCCTTTGCAAAAGGGGGTATTTGACCCGCGCGAGGGTGTACCACTCGATGAGATACGACAGCAGCACCATGACGATGGGGTGGAGCGGCAAAATGCGAAACGGGGTGGTGGCGAGCGTCTTGACGAGGAGATAGAGGTCTGCATAGCTAATGGGCGGGTTGGGATCGGTGATCACGAATGGACGCCCGGCTTGCCTGGACTTGGCCGAGTCTGGTGAGGTGAGAACGGCTTCAAAGTCAAGATGGGCAATGGCTACGTTGCTACCGTGGACAAAGCTCTGGACAATGTGGGAGGTCCATCTGTGGACGGCGTCAGCAACATATACTGTCATACCTCCGCCGGGGACAGAGCAGGGATGGGACTCCCTACGTAGGCAGGACCCTCTTGGCCAAGGCCCCTCCAACAGTGTTGTCAGTAGGGTTTCCGTAGACGCCGTTAGCGGGACGGATGCATCCCGTGCGCAGCACCTTGCTGTTGGCAGCGCAGACGATCCTCTCAGCGGCGGCCTTGGACGCGGGATAGTTGGCGTAGAACTCCTCGTGACTGCGCGGCGGCTCAAAAAAGTCCTTTTCGTCCAGGACCTGCCAGTAGTGGCGCGGCCAGCCTGAGGACCGTGACCACAGCCGCCACGGCGGCATCCACAGCTCGACTGGCCGGATGCTGATGCTGCCAGACGTCGTTGAGACCAAGACGTCTGCCCCAGCACGGCGTGCCGCGTCGACAACATGCTGCGTGCCCCGGACGTTGACGGCCTCGCAGACTCGGAAACCGACGACAAGCTTCGACCGGTCCGAGGGCACAATGACGGCGGCAGTGTGGAAGACGGTCAGGGGCAGGTGGGCGACGGACGCGTCCCAGGGCTTTGAAAACGCCTTTTCGGTGGCCTCGGCCGATGAGATGTCGGCCTGCACAAAGTCCACCTCGGTCGCGGATCCGCGGGACATATCGACCCGGTCCGGCGGCCGGAAGTCCACGATGCGGATGCTCTCAGGAGGCTGGCCCCGCTCGAGGAGCTGGAGGACAATGTACCCTCCTACGAGACCTAACGTGTTTTGTCAAGACAAAATTCCAACTAATGACTCACGATAGTGGACAAACAAAAATTTGCAAACGTCTCTCGGGATGCAAATATGATCCCGGCCTCAATGCCCATTGCCATTTGGATAAGTACCTAGTACTCACCTGAACCTCCCGTGACGATGTAGCGCCTCTCCAGCTTTGGAGGAATGCGTGCGGCATAGTTACGAGTTGTGATGGGCTTCGCTTCTAGCCTGCGGTATGTTGAAAGTAGCAGGTCGCGGGTCCATGTTGTCGACTTGAGCTGTTTGATTTCGGGTGGCGTGCTGCTCAGCAGTTGATTGAGTCGCACTAGATACGCCACCAGCAGCAGGATAACGGCGATCGCCGCCGGTAGTAGGAATCGCGCCTCCTGAATATACAAGTAGCCTATCATTGTAAGCGTAAGCTACTGTTGGCGACAAGGAGTGTATTAAGACTGTGGCTGTTCCAAAAGGTGTAGTATTTCTTCATCTCGTCCATTTGTTGTCTTACAGAACATAATGGATTACTTCCGAAGTTCCCGAGGTAAGGTGAGGTATTTCCAAGTCGTAAAGGACGGGAGGTAAGGTAGGTACTACCAAGGTACGCATAACACGGCAGGCGGTACCATAGGTAACGTTAATAAATTTCCTGTACGGATACCTAGCCGCTATTGCTAATACGTAGGCAGCCTCGGCAGCTAGAGTTATCAGTCTGTTATCAGCGCTCAAGTCCCACTTTGGACAAAACATTGACTTCAGTTGTGAGTTCATGTTCCCTTCCCTGCTCGCCATTCTACTGACCTCTTACCCACCACCCGCGCCCTTGTCAGGAGCAAAAGCATTGAGATCATCGTTCACAGCGCTCAATACTCTAGCCGTACTCTCAGCCTGCAACTTCTTCAACATGGCCCCGACGCCCTCATTGCTGTAGTCCTCAGCGCTGGCCTGGTCCTTGTGGTATTTGACTCGGATAAAATCCTGGTCGACGGTTGCCGGGTCGAGGGCGAGCGAGACGAGCGACCGCAGCCGGATCGTCTTGGGCACGAGCTTCGGCGTCCATTCCATTTCGTGGCGGAACCGGATCAGGTCCCTGTCATTGGTAACCACCTCGTGGCCCTTGCTCTTGCCGGCGCTGAAGACGTAGGGCAGGCCGAACCACTGCCCCGCGATCTTGTACCGGTCGTCGGCGTAGCCCAACTCGTCGTTGTACACGGCGTCGGGTGTGTACCGCCTCACTCGTTCCACCGTGGCGCCCAGCTCGTAGAGCGAGATTATGTCATCGACCAGTGCCCTGCGAGCCGGTGATAGGGGCAGCGATTTGCTCGGGTTGGGCGTGTAGTCGCTAGGTGTGTCGTTGGTCTGACGGGGCTCGAAATGTTTGCCCGGCAGCTTCGCGTCGGTAGGGAAGTTGACTTTGCCCGAATCGCCCAGGCCTTGTCCCTGCGATGCAGCAAGTGTGGTGGCCATGCTGGCAGTGTATCGCTTGGCAGCTGGGTGCCCAAGGTAGGCTTTGTAGCTGAGGCTAAACACTCGGAGGCACATTCTAGGATTGAGCATTCAAATGTCGGGCGTCCATGTTCAGGGCATGACAGGGATGATGTTCCAGATGCGTGTGCGGCTGGAATCCTGACGTCAATGCCAGTGGAATAAGGCACCTGAGGTACGATGACGCACTTACATTCACATTCACAAGACCGTACTACCTTATCCACGATGTAGCGGATGGTACTCCGTAGTGAGTTGCAGCAAATAAAGCCCTTCCCAATTATCAAATAGTTCTATATCGTCAATATATAACCCATCTCACCTATTCATTGATGTTATCTGACATAAGATGATCAGCATACCATCACAGTTTCACTGATGACTGAGGTACGTACTAGTAGTAGCACTTAATGCCAGCCCCTATGGTAAACTTCAAAGTTCCATAGCTATAGGCTCCGAACTCTAACAAAGCTTCTCCCTTAATCCCAGCTACTTATACCTTTGGCTTCAAGTCTTTAACGAAATTTACCAGAGGTCACTGAGCATTAGCAATTTGATTGTACATAGCTGACTGGACGCGCGCAGGCGGTCGCCGACCAGGCTTGATTCTTCCTCTTTCCCCTGAAGTAAACGTGTAGTGGTAACTTCAGGTAACACCAACACCAGTTGTTCGAGCGGACCTGAGTGTCAGTGACAGGTATATGGTTGCAGTGGTTGAGCTAACATTGACCGCGGTAGTGTAGACCCAAGCCTAGTTGGGAGAAAAGGAGGCCCGATAAATTGGATAGGTAGTCTCATTATCATGATTACCGCCTATTGCGTCCAACTTCAAGAGGTTCAAGTTGCATTTCAGTTCAATGCCAGAGTGGATGGGCGTTATGCCAATATGCTAAAGTCCAGCTGGGCACCACTGAGCTGTTAGTTATATTGACATGATGCTGCCAATACCGTCCTGCTCGCTCGCATGTAAGTGCAAATATAAGGTTCTGACTGTATGCATAGCTTCATACCACCGCTACCAGAAGACCTCCGCTCTCCCCGCTACCAGTTCGAAGTCCACTGCTCAGGAGTACATGTACTTTCAAGTATCCTTCCTAGTGCATGGATTAGAGCTGAATGAGACTTGATGGGAGGTTCTCCATGCTCATCCGAGGTTCCACAGGACAGCAGCGTTGCACTTGAGCCGATCACCGTACGTATCTAAGGTGCACACGTGTGACTCGTTGGTGGTGTCGGCACTCCCGACAGCATCGATGTTCTATTCGTAGTTACGAAGTACTTCGTACTGTGGAAGATAATGCAGAATCGGGGCAAGGGTGACAGCGGTGTAACGTGAAGGTTACACATAGCGTTAGATCGTGTGTGATCCATGGTGTGGGATTCAGATCCCGGTCAGCTCCAAGATTCTGGCCGACCGCAAGACTTCAGTCCCAACATCAGAACGGCATGCTTTTTGCTAGGAGAAAGGAGATAAGTAACGAACCGAGTGTGCTCAATCATATATCGACGAGCTACACCCCGGTGCGGAATCAGTGATAATACACCCCCGTAGATCGAAATGGATGTTGTCAAAGTTGGGGGCGGCTGAGACCCCCCTGTCACAGGCTCTACGCTAGTTCAACACAACCAGGGATTGAGACTTGGGGGCCGATATCCGCAGATGGAGACATGCTCAAACCGCTAAATCCAAGTCAATCCTTGAATCCTTTCCATCTTTCCTTCCTTTTCGGTTTGGCCGGTGAATGTGACGAGACGTCCGACCCGAGCGCTGCGCCAGGCCGGAGCCGATCGACATTCGATGCGGAAACTCAGGATGCGCTCCGTACTCGCTGCCCTCGCGGTCCTCGCGGCCGTTCCAGCGACAACGGCCCGGATGCAGCTGATCAACCCGCCCGAGTTCAGCGGCCAGGTTTCGGAAAGCGACTATCCTGTTCGCTACATCGGGCAGTCGATCGACCTCAAATGGACGCCCAACGCCGCCGGGAAGAAGCTGTCTTGTGTGCTATATCAGCTCGACGCAAGCCAGGCGGCCACCTTCGAAGGGTCATTCCACTTCACAGCAGGGCCCTTCGAGTTCATCACACGTAAATATCCACCCAACTGAACCCAGGGCAACACAACCCAGGACAGGCCAAGGTGCTGACTGACTCGGCCCTGCAGACGATCAAGTTGATGCGACCGAGTTCACGTGGATCGTCGGCACAACCAAGGACCTCAGCGTATCGCCCTTGTTCAGCATTGCCCTCTGGACCGAGGGCGCAAACTTCACCGACTCGGCATCCAATGTCTTCAGTATCTCCGAAGCCCCCAAAACCACAAGCACCCGAACCAGCACCACCACCAGCAGCAGCACTTCCACGAGCACGGGAACGAGCACGAGCACGAGCACCTCCGCCTCAGGGTCACCACCACAAGCGACTCTTGCCACGGCCGACGCGGCCGGAGCGACCGGAGCGCCGTCGTCACGCGAGACAACCGACCCGTCTACGACGCCACAAGTCGCCCCCGCTTCAGGGGGTGGAGGGTTATCGGTCGGCGCTTCGGCCGGCATCGGCGTCGGCGCCGCAGCGGCAACCCTTTTTGGTGTCGGGTTAATCTGGTGTCTCTGGAGGTGCAGGAGGCAGCAGCCTGATGTCGGCGGGCTCAATCCACCCGTTGCCGAACTGCCCATCTACGCCGCACAGCCCCTGCCCGGGAAAGCGGCGGTATATTATCCTCCCCCAGTGGCAGTGAGTCGGGAACCGGTGGTGGAGATGGATCCGTCCAGTCACGGGCGGTATGAGCTGTCCTCTTGAATTGCACAATCGCGGTTTGCGGCCACGGTGGGAATCGTCGTATCATGATGCAGAAGGTATCTCGATTGCTAAGTACATATCCAACACATTAGAAGGTGGTTCACATAATATCCAGGTTTCAAACCATTTGGCGGGACGGAGTGCATTGGGGCGATAACCATACTGGGTTTTGGTCTCTGGTTGGGCGGAAGCTCGGGTTCTGTGCGAGGTGATGCCCGTGATCATGATGGGAAGGTTGGGGTCGGAATCCGCTCAGCAGCCAGTTCGTCACTGAGGTGCCCGCACCAAGAACGCGGCTCTGACATTTTAAGCGCCCGCCGAGACGCCAAGACCAAGACTGCCGGTGCCATGGACGCTCAAGCAGGTGAATCGAAATTGGATGGAGTCGTTCAGGTTGCCGCGGGCCTGACCCGGAGCGACCATCGACCATTGAACCCCATGAACCTCAGCATATAGAACAACATTCATTGCATGTACCTGTTTGAACCAAGTTAGCAGTATATTACCTTTCTCTCCAGTACTGCCGTTTTCCATAATTCGAACATCTTGTTGTTCATATCTTTCATGTTCCTGTCTGAGAAGATGTTGTTGGTCTGGGTCTTGTACTATGCAATTCGAAGGTGCAATTAGCTCCTTCTAGTTTGCGATCAAATGCACAGCTTCAGGAAGGAACATCCTTTCCCTCTCGCACAGAGGCAAGCGTTCCCCACCACATGTCCCTATAAACCGCCCCCCCCCCCCTTCCTCTCTCTCTCTCTCTCTTCTCCTCCTCCTCCCCCCACCGCCTCCATGACCACCCGACAGAAGACTGAATGACAAGGACGAACACACAACGACAGCCCGGGTCATGACGGACCCTGGATTTTTGGGTTGGTAAATGACCAGAATTGAAGACAAACGGTGCATCGAAGTTGGCCAGTGTTTGTCGTGTCTTCCATTGGTCTGGTGGGATGCTTTACCCCAACAAGCAGTCGACTCTGATGGTCACATTCATTGTCTCAACCCCAAAATGACTGAGGAGGGCAAATGGCTGAGGAGGGCTGCCGGCGACACCATGCTGAGATTTTTAGAGCGTGACGTTCCGTCTTACGCCGTTTCACGACGGCGACTCAGCGCCACGTGGTCACAGGCCGCAAGATTCCTCTCGTCTTCACTGCATTCTGCGAAGACAACCTCATCTCGGCTTTTTTACGTTTCTTGGTAGACTCAACGTCGCCTTATCCAGTACAACCCATTGTGCGACGGCAGCTGTGATGACTTTGGGAAAGTTTGGAAGGTGCAACTTAGCAGGTATGTACCTGGACACGGTCAATACAACTTCTGACCATTGCAGCTCTTGGACAACATGGAAGCACGTTAGTCCGTAGTCGGTTGCCGGATGTCTATGCAAATCATCCATTGTTAAGGTACCTTACCTACCTAGGCACCCTTATGTTAGTGTTCGGCGGACGGCGACAGATCTGTAATGAGATCGCTGCACACAGCACATGGGTCGCAGGTCGGTTCTTATTGCAGTATTCCGTGGTGGTATTAGTGTAGATGCGTTTGGGGAAGCATGGAATTTATGGAGTACACTAATTTAGTGGACGTTGAAAGCGGGGGATCGTGGTGATGATGGGCCCGATGGAGACGCGCCCCATAGCAATGATAGCACCTTCCCATCTCTGCCACTTGTCGCGCAGATCTTACAACTTCACCGATTATGAACCTACACATCCTCGTCACCTTCTCATACAACAACGTAGTGCGCATTCAACTGGAAAGCGAAATCCCGCCGCATCCTCCTTATGATGTGATTATCCAATCTTAGGTAGACGCTGGCGAAAACGCCCCAGCTTTGTTTATATGTAAGTACCTAAGGTAAGGTATTTATGCCGAGGCTAAACAAGGCTACAGCATTTCATGAAACTGTGCTTTAATCCCCATTCATCAAATCTCGCCGTTAGCTTCACGACATGCATCATCGCTGACTCCACGACACCCAAGACGCCAAGCACGGGATTGGACAGCGCCAAGGCGTGGTCTCAGTTCTCTCACATGGTCGCATTCTACCCCAGATCTGCGGGGTGCAGCCATGGTCGCCATTCTGCGAGGCTCCGTGAAAGGACCGATTCGGCGGGACTCAAGGGGAAGAAGTTCCTACAGTACAGGCTCCCAGTCGAGGAGAGCAACCGTGATGACAGACAGAAGTGTCAGCGTCGGAGATGATATAGCTGCCCTACACCCACGCGTCGACAAGATGGAACCAGCCGCTGCAGTCGTCGACGGCCAACATCTCAGAGCTCACAGTCGCAGCCCGCCACCACTATGCTGGCCCTAACGCTCGCTTTGCTCGCTTCACCGGCGGCTCTCGCCGCTACACTCAATGCCCGGGCCTCACCGCAGGCTTACGCCTCAAACAAAGATGGCACCTACAAGCTCACGCCGGTAGCCGCGCCTGTTCGTGGCGCCGGCAACCCTGGCAGCGAGTCCACCTGGAAGCTCTCTATCAACGACCAGTCTTCGGGTTACAAACAGACCATCAAAGGCTTCGGTGCCTCAGTTACTGATGCCACTGTCACCGTTTTCAACAAGCTCCCAGCGGACAAGCTGACGACCCTGCTTAACCAGCTCATGACGGATGCCGGTGCCAACTTCAAGCTCATGCGCCACACCATCGCTTCGTCAGATCTGTCTGCGGACCCGTCCTACTCGTATGATGACAACGGCGGCAAGGTCGACACGTCGCTGTCATCCTTCAATCTCGGCGACCGGGGCACCGCCATGGCCAAACTGCTTGCCAGGATGAAGTCCCTGCAGCCGGATCTGACGGTGCTCGGATCCGTGTGGAGTCCCCCGGGATGGATGAAGCTGAACGGCGTCATCCAGGGCACCACGGTGAACAACAACCTGAACCATGCCTATGTTAACCAGTACGCTCAGTACTTTGTCAAGTACCTCCAGGCTTACAAGTCGCTCGGCATCACCGTTGATGCCATCACCATCCAAAACGAGCCCCTGAACAGCCAGGCCGGTATGCCTACCATGTACATTTACCCGGACGAGTCCGGCAGGCTGATCCAGGATAACGTTGGTCCGGCGCTCCGCAATGCCGGCTTCAACACGGCCATCTGGGCGTACGATCACAACACTGGTAAACTTCTACCCTGTATCCTCGCAAAGCAATGGCAATAAGCATTCTGACAATTCTCCCAAGACGTACCCAGCTACCCCCAAACTGTGCTGAACACGGCCTCTCAGTACGTCAACGCGGTCGCCTGGCACTGCTACGCCCCCAACAACGACTGGCGCGTGCTGACCGACTTCCACAACTCAAACCCCTCGGTCGACCAGTACATGACCGAGTGCTGGACGTCGACCCAGACGGGCTGGAGCCAGGCAGCCGACTTCACAATGGGCCCGCTCCAGAACTGGGCCAAGGGCGCGTTGGCCTGGACCCTGGGCACCGACAATGCCCAGGGGCCGCACCTCTCGGGCAGCGGGCCCTGCACCACGTGCCGCGGGCTCGTGACGGTCGACGTCAAGGCGGGCACGTACGAGTTCCAGGTCGATTACTACATGATGGCGCAGTTCAGCAAATTCATCCCCAAGGGGGCTATCGTGCTCGACGGTAGCGGAAGCTACACCTACTCGGGCTCCGGGGGGATCCAGTCCGTGGCGACGCTCAATCCGGATAAGACCAGGACGGTGGTGATTGAGAATACGTTTGGGAACAATGTCTATGTGACTCTCACCACTGCGACAGGTGAGACTTGGAGTGGGAATGTCTTTGCGAATAGTGTTGTAACCTGGCTGCTTCCTGCTTCGTCTTAGTAGGGCCAGCGACAGATACTAGTAGAGGCCTGGTGCTACGAGTGAGTACGCTAGTAGGTTTGTGTCTCCCTAGTCAAAACAGGAGTCAGGAACAGCATCAAGATGAGGATATGTCCTCGGGATATTACATTGTTGCTAGATCTGATAATATCACAACTTCCTGCCCTATCGAAAGCCCTCCTCCTGTCTGGTTCTATATCTCAAGATACCCATGTTTCTATTTTCAATCAAACAAGCAACGCCATAGGCCCTCCTACATAACAATACACCAGCTCTCCTGGTTTTTTTTTCTAACAAAATCCCTCAGCTCTGCATCGAGGACTCCCTGCTTCAGCTTCGTCGACTCCACCTCGTCCCTGACGCGCTTGAGTTGCAGCTTCAGATCGTTCAAGGCCTGTTCGAGTTCGAGCACCCGCCTCTCGCTTTCCACCCGCTCTCTCTCCCTCTCAGTTCGGACCTCCTCATCCTTGGCCGCTTGCTCTGCCTGGAGGCTGGCAATCTCGCTGGCGACCCTCACCAGTTGCTCCTCCAACAGAGCCATCTTTTCTGCCTGAATCCGCTGCTGCTCCATGACCTCCGATTCGATCTTGCCGTTCACAACCGGTGCAAGCTCATGCAAGGGAAGCACTTGTACGGCGGCCCTCTCCTTTTCGATAGAGGATGACGAGGATGATGCTACAGACCGGTGGTCCTTGCCATTGCCAGCCTCAGGTTCGAGGTCGAGATCGAAAGCCACGCCTTCGTCAAGCGGTCGCGTGTCCTTCACTTTTTCTCCCTCCTCCCCCACTTTATGTTCATATCGGGCCACTTCCAGAGATGTGGTGCGCTGCTGCCATGAGGCGAGGATATGCTTGATGATGCCAGCCGCCGACACGGCCCCGTCGTCCTGCCGGAGCACTGCGCAGCCGTAGTCGCGGATCATCTCTCCCCATGTGCCGTCCGTTTCCCGCAACTCGGCCTCCCGCTTCTCGCCTTCGTCCTGCGGGAAAACGTCCCACATGGTGGTGGCGAGGACGACGATGCCGGAGAGTGTTTCTTGCCCGCACAGCTTCTGGAACATTATGGGAATGTTCTTGGCGCCTGGGCTGTTGCTGCTGATGTGGCTGGCTCCTATTGAGGAGAGGCACACGATGCCGGCCAGCTTGATTTCATTCTCGGCGCTACTGGTAGACAAGCCTGTTAGGAAGCCAGCGACTTCCTCGAGAATGTCGGCGTCAGTCCGGTCCGTGGCGTCAAAGCCTGGTGTGTCGAGAAGGTAGACGTCCTGTCCGTCGACGCAGGCGGGATACACGGTTATGCGGGAGGTGCCTTGCCGGTTGTTAGCAGAACAAAACGTGTATACGTGTCATGCCAAGTAGTTGCAGTTCTTGATAATGATGCTTCTGGACTGGAAATCAGCTATAGGACGACTTACTGGACTCCAGATCCTCCGCCGGCAACGCCGTCTTAGATAGGTGGGAGATGAACCTGGTCTTTCCCACTCCTTTGAAGCCCACGATTGCAATGACTGCATCTTCGGGTCTGTTGTCCAGGGCACACCTCAGGCTGTCGTTAGTACTAGGCGCTATCCATGGATATCTGTTGATGTGAGAGGGGCATACCCGATGCTCGGTGCTGATGCCGAGAGCCCTGTGGAGCGTAGGGATTCCCGCGAAGGGAAACGACCGTTAAGCTTTGGGGTCCCTTTCCTGTGCACTAACCCTGCGGAGTGTATAGACACACCCGAAGCAGCACAGCCGTTCTGCTTCAAGGCCCCGTCCAGGTGCACCAGCTCCGGTCTTGATTGATCTTGACCCATATCGTAGTGGCTCACTCCAACTTTGAGCCAGAAAAGAAGCCCGTGCAGGACTGTCGTAGATGTATCCGTCGTTGTATCCGAAGTAAGGGGAGTTGTTGCGGGTGATCATGAACAGGCTCAACCATCGCATGCCCTTTCACCATCCCTTATATTCGGCCTGTGTTGAGGATTTTGCGTTCCCCTCTTTTCTGGCTTCATTATCTCCCAGATTTTTTTTTACTCGTATTTACCGTACTTACCGCCTGCTGAACTGTTCGAATCATTCATTGATGCCATGTCGGCCAGCTCGCAGGACCACATCACACTGATCGAACAAATCATCTTGCAGACTCCTGACTCCGTCGCCACTCGGGCTCAACTTGCTTCGTAAGGCACGCGGTTGGAACCTCAGTTCGCACTCTCCTCTTTAGCTGGATCCAACGAAGCATGACTCCAGTCTCGAAGCCGTTGTCGGTCAAATGAACGACAGGAGTCTGGTTACCTACCACTAGTATTGCTCGGCGTTGCAGTGGCATCAAATATGCATGTTTTGTCCCAGCATCTCATTTGGTTCGCCTTGATACTACAACATGATCCACGGTCCAGAGGGATTCCACGTGTTTATTAGTGTATGCTCCGAAGTCCATTTGATAGCAATATGCGTCCTTGATCCGACGCTTGTTGGCGCCTTATTGGTCTTGGGCCGTACGTTCGTACCCAATCTGCCCAAGGTAGTACTTCCCCTTTTGTGAAGGCACTGAAGCTGCCAATTTGCAATCTCCCAGCTTGCTTACCTAAGGTACCTATCTTAAGGCTTGAAAGGGATGAATTGATGATATCCGATCTGACTACACACCTACATGTAGGTAAGTACTAGTAAGGCTTCGTGAAAGCCACTACTAGGCTACTGGTAGACATGGAAGGAGGCCAACAATTGATGCCAACATGCGGACTCACATCATGGATTGATGTCTAACTGAACCGCACTCAACATTGAACATGCCAGCATGTTGAAAATGCTGCTTTTCTCGCTTGCATTCAAGTTCCACGTACGCTTAGGCAGGTCTACTTGGTCGCCAACAGGACATAAGCCTCGAACCTGATGCCCCCAAACTGGTCCACCTCTCCCTTCACAGACTCCTTGACAGCGTCAGCCCACCTAGCCTCCTCTTCCGCCGTGTACCCCTCACGGGCCTTGCTCATCATGGGACCAGACATGAGCATAGTCAGGCCGGCTATGTTCTCCTCGTCGGCAACAACCAGCGTCTTGTCGAGCACGGTGATGTTGTCCTTGACAAACCCGCCCTCCTCCACCACCCTTTGCAGCACACCCTCCTCAAAGAATTGAGGACTCGGCGTAGGCATGAGGGGCAGATCCGGCCGGATCCTCTTCTGGGCGGCATGCACAATGATCACGGGCGCGAACCGGCGCCAGCAGGTAACGATGGCGAGGCCCCCCGGGCGCAGGGTGCGATATGTCTCGCGGATGGCGTCGGCGGGGCGGACAAAGGTGAAGATGCTGAAGTTGTTGATCGAGTGGGTGAAGTGATTGTCCGGTACCGAGGCCGACGACAAGTCCTGCGAGTCGAGCTCTTTGCACTCGACTTTGGGCAGCGGAGAGGCAGCGAGGGATTCCCGCGCCGCTGAGACCATCATGGGCACATTATCCGACACCAGCATCTCCTTGGGCAGCTGGTCCTTGGGCAGGCTGGCGACGAGAGCCGCCGCGCCAATGCCGGGACCCGCGGCCGTGTCGTGGACGACGGAGTCCGGGCCGATGGGATTGGCCGACGTCTGGACACTTTCCTTGATGACGTCGGCTAGGATGTTGAGTGTCGCGTGGCCTGTCTGGCGAACGTAGACGCTGGCGAACTTGGAGAAGTAGTCCGGCAGCGGAAGGTTCGGGTGCTGTGCCGGTGAAGCCATGTTGAGAGGCGAGAGCCGTGAGCTTGAGGTGAGTTTCAAGGGTCGATGGCGAGCGAAGGACGTCACGTCCTGTTGCTATGGAACACCAGGAAATCAACGTGAAATAGTGAAGGGACTGGACGGGTTGAGGAAACGCTAAGAACTTGAAAGTTCGAATCCGCCAGCTATATAGATAGGTATTAGTAATATTCTGTATGCTCTACCGTTTCTGTGACCCTAGAGGAGCTTCAGTGATCCTAGAGGATCTCGCTACAGTACCACATATCACGTAAGCTTGGGTTTGGATGTTGGCTTTGCGTGTCCTGGCTGCAAGATACCTGAGCCTATAATTCATAAGCTGTTGGTTCCAGACGGATTGCACGTAATGGCTAGGGCAGGATCAGCCGAGGTAATACCTTATTTGACCGCTTGTCTATACATACATGCATCACGGGCAGTCCATGGTCCCCCAGGAGAGAGTCTGCTCTAGGGGTTTGATAAGGCAGTCCCAAGGTATTTGTACAATTCTTCAGCATCCGGTCTGCCATGGGAAGCACATATAAGGTATCTATGATGCATCACATCTTTGAGTCATGGCCGGGACAACAAAGGTGCAAGCGTTAAGGACCATGACAATGGTATCTGAAATCTCAATCTTCCAAGTCCTCATCTCAGAGACTCAGCCGGAAGGCCCGGAACCCATGAATCTATGTTACAGCGAGATCTTAGCCGGCAACTTTATCGCCAATGCAGCCCGACGAGGAACAGCAGCGCAAAGAAGTTGGAGAGAGAGAAGAGGAAGAAGAGAGGGGGGGGGCGGGGGGCGGGGGGCTGGGGGGTTTATACTGATCTGAGAGGTATGGGTTGGACTTGCCAAATGCTCTGAGGCACCTAGCGAGGGAAAGAGCAAGGCATCATGTACTGAGACTGGTTCCAGAGACAGCCCGAGTGTTTAGCAAACATCTCCTTCGCTGCCCATGGCCAAGAAACGCACGCGAGTGCGCCTTCCGTTGTTGTCACTGTCGGAATCGTTCCCGCTTCCATCCAAGGGTTTGCCAAAGCCGTCTTGTTCTCTGAGAAGGCTTTGATAGGGACTCTGGCCGTGCATGTGGCTTGCAGTCCGAGAATTTCCGGAGGAAGCTGTAGATCTTGAGTCCCGTACCCTCTTCGACTCGCCGTAGGTATCTACAACAGAACCCGTGACCTCCTTGGGTAGAACGACAGGCTTGTTCAACGTAACACCTCTCCATTCACTCACCAGAGAGAGAGCTCGAGGGTGCCACCCCCAATGGGGCCCAGCCTGGGAAGCATGGCGGTAAGCTCCTACTGGCAGCTATCAACGAGCGGTTGAACCACCAGCAACTTCTCAACAAAGAGAAAATGAGACTCGCATCATCCCAAAGACATATCATTGTATCAAAAGCCAAAACCAACGTGCGGCGCTTGCTTCATGTTTCGGCTCCGCCGTGATCACGCAATTGCGTCACGCCGTGGTCATGGCTTCCCCTCGAATAGACCAACGTGCAGTAAACCTATTTGGCGGGAGAAATAAAGCAAACAAGGCACCTTAAATTCCGTGATACGGTTGATCACATAACTACCTTACCTTTACAGAGCTTACCCTCTGCTGATAGCTGGCCTGCCTCCCGTTCAAACGGTTCGCGGCATCGAGTCCAACAAAGTCAACTTGAACCTACCCGACCGACTGGATTTACCACATACCTGGAAGTTCTGGAACAATGTGTTACCGATCAATTTGCAGAAACTGCCGTACGCACTCCCCGGCTTCCCTAACTGTATCTACCTTATGATTTGTATGTTTCAAGCTGGCATATCAATGCCAAACTGACGTTGTTCTCTCCCAACACAGACAAGGCCACCTGGGGCGGGTGTGGCAGCCACATCTCGCAAATCATGGACTATATCCCCAAAGACCAATGGTGCAACTGTGAGCCGCATGTTGAGTGGCACGGAACCTCATATCCACGCCAAGGGAACTATCGAGTCACCGAGTGAGTCGTGCCGTGGCTCTCAGGTCTAGACTTTGAGCCATCGTGACATGGAATATGTTGCTAACCGAAACACAGCGAGGCCTTCCAGGAGCACGATATCCTTGATATGTACCGTGGGAATGTTGAGTCGTCTGAGTCACACTGATGATGTGTTACATACGAAACGTCCTTCAGGTTGTCTTCGTTGGGAGCTGCTAAGGGGTGTTGTGACCGGGCGCTGAGAGTTTGAGACCACCGTGGGTATTCCATCGATCGCGTCAGGAATCATAATAGCATGATGTTGGACGCACCATTTGGGGCTAGTGAAGGTTTCCGTCCAAGAAGACGTTGTAATCCCGTACACGCACGTTAGGGTACAGAACTCACTGAGGGCCGCCTGACGATTCTGCCTTGCGGGCGGGCTGGCTTAGCTGCGGCGGAGTCGGAGGAAAGCTGAGCACTCTGTACTGGAAGAACTCTAGTTGGCGTCAAGTCAGCATAAGGTCTCGAACTGAACTTTGTTACTCTGTTGCCTTTGCCCTTATCTTGATTGAGAAGGCACTCCGGGCTGCACTTGCGCTTCTGAGTCTGACGGCATATCGTCCGATGACAACTGGAAGGAATTCGCTGCTGCTGTTATCGAGACGGCTTGTTCCCGCCCTTCACGTCGAGACTTGGGAGTAAAATTATTCGGGGCTCGGATTGCCCTCTCCTCGCGATGACCTGCAGCGATGTGACATGGGGAATTCGATGTTTCCTATCCTGGAATGGGATGGAGCCTAGGGCTAACGTGCAAATAACCTTAAGGAGTCCCCGGAGACTTTCCTGGTGCGAACCTACTTATGTATAATACTTGGCGCTGACACTGATGGATGTGCTCTCCCCAGTGACTTCGCAGCCCTGTCGTGCCGTTGAGCCTTGCCCGGGGTAAGACTTACCCGCCATGCGCCTCATGCCATGGAAGCCGAAGGCAGTGCGGGGAAAAAGTAAGACAACATGTACCAACCTCACAACTGTGATCACAGTTCTCTCGTGAGCCCCGGATGGACCCATTCGTCAAAGTGAGAGCGGCAAATCTGACGATCAAGCCGATCGAATTCGCGGGGTTTGCCCGACCAGGAAGCGGCACCCGAGGTCCTGGGACGGTGTCATTTTACTTGAAACGTGCCACTCAATGCGATTCCACCTCCTTTTGTACTGTACATACCAAACCGTACTAACAGACTCTGCGCAATCAGAATGCGATAACCTGTTAGTGCACGATTCGCCGCAGAAAACCCCATGTCCACTTTTGGGGCTTCCTCAGGCTTCTTGGCGATCCATTTCAGGGGGGCACAAACGGGCGCTTGACGGTGAGGCTTTGATAAAAGGCGTGTGATGCCACCGGGCGCGACACACCGACACGGCCTCAGTCGGCCTCACTTTCGACCATTCTTTTCTGTCAGGACGATATTCGTTTCCACTCCGGCGACTCGGGGAACTCTCCAGCGGAGGGCTTGCTTTTCGATGCACGTCGGATAGCCGACTTTTTTCTTCTCTCTTTCCTTATTAACACCCTACACTCACAGGACTCAGGGGACAGCCAGCAACATGAGATCCTCAATTCAAGTCACTCTTTTCTTCCTGCTTGGCCTGGTTGCCAGCTTGGTTGTTCCACCGCCTGAATCCCGAGCGCAGTATACGGTTGCGGATTTCTACGGAAGAGAGGTATGCCGAGCGCTACACTACCTTAGTCGGTTTTCAGAAAGCTGAGATTCTGACGAAGCGCAGGCCTGCCATTCGATTCTCACTTCCTGCCGGGTGGACGCCGATTGTTGTGCCGGCTTGCGATGCGCTACCTATGACGGCGAGTCGCTCTGCACACCTGGGGGTTGAGTTTATTGCATTCAACATAGCGTCGAGCGTTTCGAGACACGGGACCGGCTGCCCCTTTCATTTCTTCGAGTACATAGTTGCCTTGGCTGCGGGCAGTACAGAACATGCATTTCTCTTCAAGTCCAACAATGACCGATGGCGCTTCGAGACGGTGCAGCTATGTAGGCCTGGCCCGGAGTTATCTTCGCACTCGCAGGTTGCTGATGCCGGAAGACGTGGCTATCTCGAGTATGTCATTCAATTGAACGGGTCCTAACTTCTACGATCAAACTGGAATCATCACCCCTGGGCGGATATGGCACTGGCAGACATCAGTGATCCCTAGCACAACCGGATCGAGTTCTATTGGCCGCAATGAAAGGACTTACCAGAGTATAGCCACCGCTGTTGCGGTGTATGAGAGGAGTGAGAGGCATCCATCCTTGTTTGTGTTTGGTTTTCCCGCCTTCGTTTGGTCAATCATAACAAGGAGTCGGCTTTCAACGCCTCTTGAGCGGCACCCATTGTGGAAGATCACCTCGGCGGCTACCTAGTACTGAGCAAGCCTGAGGCGTACCTTGTACATATCTGGCAAAAACTATCTCACTGTGTACTTACATGCTAGTACTCAAGTCAGGTTACTGTGCACTCAAGGTTAAAACCCAGACTGTCCCGCGAGTCTATATGAGGATAGTTTATACTTATCACTTTCCCTACTACGTAAGAGCACTACTAACCTTCGCAACCAGCTATGATTTCAGTATACTACCTACATCCCGCTGGGTAAAGAACCTTAGACCTAGGCTACTATACATCAGCTACTAGACATCAGCTACTAGAATGTCCTACACGGAGAAAAGGGGGAAAGGTCACACAACGGCGACAAGACACCTTAAACGGTTTGTACAATACAATACGCCATGCGACAAGACGTTTTCCTTTTAGGATACCGCACATGGAACTAGATCGTCACAACTTACAAACCATGATCTTACGGAATTCATGACCAAATACTTTGCAGGCCTTGTTTCCCCAGCTTTACTACACTAGTCAGTTGGTAACTAGAGGGCTGGATCCGGTTCAAAATAACAACAATTCACAAAAGGCGTCAGTGGTTTAGTGGTAAAATCCATCGTTGCCATCGATGGGCCCCGCGTTCGATTCGCGGCTGACGCATTGTTTTTGACAGTTAACCACCTCCTACAAGGGGAGAATGATTTTTGTTTTGTCCCATTGAGTCTGGGTCCCAACTGTTCCAGCCATCAGTCTCACATCCTCACGATCGGATAAAGCACCAGAACTTCCTTTCTCATCGCCGCCTCCCTTCCCACAATTCCAGCCTTCCCCCTTCTCAGAACTCAGCGATCATTATGCCGGCCGCCTCTTCTCGGCCGCTACCTCGGCCGCCGAAGCAGGGATAGTCTCCTCGGCGCCGGGCCCCTTGCCTCTGATTCCACGCTCCACGCCCTCAGGGAGGTCGGCGCCGATGGCCCTGACCTTACCCTCCACCGTCTCATCCGAGGTGCTGGCGGTGCTGCCGACGCCCTCCAGGCCGCTGCGCTCCTTCTTGCGGTGGCTTGTGGCGGTCTGGCCCTCCATCGGTCGTGCAAACGTCGACTGGCTGTGCACGTCCCCGCTCGTAGCCCCGGGCATATCCAGGCCCGAGGTCCGGAGCTCCGACTCCAGATCCGGGTTCAGCGCCTGCCCTGGTGCTACGTTCACCGGATTCGGCTGGTACGTGTGCTCCTTCGGCGCTGTCCCCGGCGGGTGAGTCTGCGCGCGGAATTCGGGCACCGCATCATTGCCCACCTTCTGGCCCAGTTGGTGCTGTGGGTTTTGATGGTTAGCCTTGGTGATGCGGTTCTGGTGAGATCCAGGTTAAATTGGGTCTGGTTTCACTTACGCCACCGGTCCGATTTTCTGTGGGCGGCACACTAGAGTGAAACTGTCCTTGGTTGACTACTGAGTCCGGGTTGGCTGACATTGTGATTGCGATTCTTTAAGTTTCGGCTGGGTAAGGATTTGTAGAGGTCGACAAGCGTGTAGGAACGGTAAATTCGTTTCTAATCTGTTTTCGGATGCTGTACTGGGGGAAGCAGCCTTGAGTGCATCCCGAGTGTTGAAATAGTCATTATCGCCAGGGCCGTCGATGATGTCAGGCTGATCGCTCCCCTCTGTCCTGTGGCGTCATTCTGTGGATGGCACATCTCCAATTGTGCGGTGCAGCGAAAGGACCACCATTTGCCACGGGATTCAACGAATCACTAAACTAGACCTCCTTTGGACATATCCGCCAGAACGACGCTGGCGCGACCCCGATTAACATGACGATGCGCCATCGACATGTCCCTAAGGCAGATAACCCAACGGAGTGCACATCTCGGACGGTGGACTCGAGCTCTATCGTTCCAGAGACCCAAACCCATACGTTAGCTTAGCCCGAGCTTAGCCCGTTGCCATACAGTCAAACACATGCTCGTCAGGGCCTGCAGGCTGTGGACAATGCAGTCAATCTCTTCGACTGGGATCCGAGATCGAAGCTGATGATGTAATTGCGGGACTCGGCTGGGCAGGCGGGAGCAAGCCGGGGATCGTGCCAAGCCGTGAGATCTGGGTTTGCATGTTCCATTGATGGAGATCAAGGCTGAATAAATGGACGTTAGGATTACGAGAATGATCGAAATACCGGCGAGCCGGTTTCGCCTTTTGAAAACGCGTCACTGCCGGCAGGATGCATCTTGACAGCGTTGACAGCACACCAGATGCTGCGCACTCGACGGATGTCCGCATCTGCGCTGTTGAGAGAATTGCAGACTGTGGGAAAGAAATCCAGCCACCGGGCCGAAGTTGGCGTGACGGATGAGACAGTTGCGGCTGGCTTGCTGTCCAGCCAACCATCTGCAACCAATCTGTCCTTGGGATTCAGGGGACGCTCCACTTCTCGGCGTGTGCGCTAATGCGAGGTTGGCGTATGTACACATTGTATTTTTACTGTAAGTTACCACTCTTACGGAAAGTTACCTTGCTCATCGCCCCAAGATACCGTATAGTACCGGAGCTAACCTCTACAGTAGAGGGATACTACATCAGAGTACCTCGAGGCGTTCCCAGTACGAAATGCAGCCCTTCCTTGGCAGACCTGTTTTCATATGTCCTTGTTTGGTGGCTTGAAGGTTCTTGCGCGTACAAGGGCTTCCCCCGTCCGCTCCGTTACCTTTGTTCAACCGAGATTTCTCATGAAAAACTAAAAACTAACTGCGATAGCGACTGTGCTGTGCCTGGACTTGCTTTTCGTCCGTAAGTTTAGGCGCAGAGCCTAGCTTTGACACATGGGGCTATAATAGCGAACCGCTGAGGATCAGCTTGCAACCCCGTCGAGGGGGTTCCAAAGTGCACCAAGCAGGGGGGCACAGCCCAAAATACGAGCATCCTACGGGACACACCGTCACGCCTTCTCCCTCCTCCCCGAGAAACGAGACGATACCTGCACTATTCAATCCGAAGCCAAAGTAGGAAACGTCGTCTTGTCATCCCGATCCCACTTGCCTAGTCGGCCCCGCATCATTTACGAGCTTCTGGAACCCTTCGCAGCAAACGGGAAACTTCGAGGGAAAACGGGTCGAAACAGCCTGCGACGCTCTGGCGGGGATCAGGAAACCCAGGTCCGCACCTGACAACATTCCCGCCCGCCGACACTGCGTATGGAGCAGTCACGCTACTATTCCGACAACGACTTTGCTGAGCGCCAACCGCTAACCAATTCATTCTCCCCCTCTCGCCGTAACCAACAGCATAGACAACCGTACCACGACCGACAAGAATCACCAAAACATCCACCGCCGCAGTCGCTGCCTGGCCCAGAACCCGAGTCCTCATTTGAGAGACTCCGAGCGCAGAGGCGCTACGGCCAAGAATCACCGAATCGAAGCCGGGACAGAGGCCTATACGCTGCCGCGGCCGCGGCGTCGAACGGCCCCGGACAGGCTTCAGGCGGTGCGTCGCCGGTGTCTCCGTCGAAATCATTTGCACAGCACAATTGGCACCGAGCTCCATACCCACCACAATCAGAACCGAGTATATCTCCGCAGAGCACTGTCACTCCAGGTGCCGACAACTTCGGCAACACAGCATCTGGAGGCATGGCTGGGATAGCGCTCAATGTCGCGGAGCAGCGCGCAAGAGAAAGCGGCCTCAACGCGATACACGACCCTTACTACCCTCAACAACCCTATTACCATCAAACGCCGGGACAAGGCTACGTCGAGAGGGGCCGGCTCGGACCGGGTGATTATCCAGCCCCTGACACAAACTCCCACTCGAGTTTACAGGGCCTGCCATTAGCAGGCGCTGGGGCTGGACACGGAACCCCAGGACAGAGGACCCCGTCAAGGAGCCCGCAAGCTGTCGTCAACGACATATACACTGACGACCCGTACCAGCACCTTTCGCGTCACCATCACCCAGATGCGAGTCTAGGCGTGGTAAACCCCGACGAGATTGAAGATGACGGCGATGATGGGCTACAGTATGGTAGAAGGGGTCCGCGAACGAGCGTACTCAGTCTCGGATCAAGCCAGAGGGACCGTAACAGTGCCATAATCGCGGCCGGCGCCACGGCCGGCGCAGCAGCGGCTGGTGGTGCCATTGGGGGGCTGGTATCACGGAACGGCAGCGGTAGCCTAAGTAACCAGTATGCCCCTGTCAATAACGGCATCAGCGGGGATGGGGCTTCGGGCGGGTCAGGCGGTGGAGGCGCATACAACATGAGCCCATTAGCCATGGCGGGAGGCGAGAAGATTGCATGGCAAGCGCCGAAGCCTGGTAGGACCAGAGGCCAGATCTGGAAGCTGGTCATCATCTTCGGCATCGTAATCATTCTCCTTGCAGCAGTTATCATCGGTGTCCTCTTTGGAGTTGTCTTCAAGAACAACGATGGGACTCGCGGCGCGGCAGGTTCGAGCTCGAGTGACGTGTCGAGCGCTGCTGACGACACCAGGGCAAACGGGGATCTCGATTCCAACTCCCCCGAGATCAAAGCCCTCATGAACAACCCTGACCTTCGCAAGGTCTTTCCCGGCATGGATTACACCCCGCTCAACACCCAATACCCGGAGTGCCTGACCAATCCCGCCTCGCAGAACAACATCACGCGCGACCTGGCCGTCTTGTCACAGCTTACCAGCACCCTCCGGCTTTACGGCACCGACTGCAACCAGACGCAAATGCTTATCCATGCCGTTAACCAGCTCGACCTTAAGGGCAAGGTCCATATCTGGCTTGGTGTATGGCAAGACGCGAACAAAACGACCAACGAGCGCCAGCTCCACCAGCTGTGGGACATTCTCGACAACTACGAACCCAGCTATTTCAAGGGCATCATAGTGGCCAACGAGATCCTCTTCCGTGAGGAGATGAACATTACCACGTTAGGATCACTGCTCGAAGACGTACGCCACAACCTCACCAAACGGGGTCTCGAGTCGCTGCCCGTCGCGACGAGCGATTTGGGCGACAAGTGGACCTCGACGCTCGCCGCGCAGAGCGACGCCATCATGGCCAACATCCACCCCTTCTTTGCGGGAGAGCCCGCCAAGACGGCGGCCGACTGGACCATGTACTTTTGGGGCAACAAAACGCAAGGCTTCCTGAAGAGCGACCCGGCCATGAACATCATTGCCGAGACGGGCTGGCCGTCGCAGGGCGGCACCGCCTGCGGCAACAATTTCGAAACCAACTGTCCGCAAAAGGCCGTCGCCGGCATCGACGAGATGAACATATTCATGGAGGACTGGGTTTGCCGCGCCCTGGAGGACGGGACCCAGTACTTCTGGTTTGAGGCGTTCGACGAGCCGTGGAAGTGGAAGTACAATACTGATGGCAAGGAGTGGGAGGACCACTGGGGGCTGATGGACGTCAATAGGAACCTCAAACCGGGACTCAAGATACCAGATTGTGGAGGGAAGAGGGCTCCTTAGCTGGATTAGGGGTCTTGGCTCTTTTTTTTTTAAATATCGCGTTCACGCATCTCTTTTCACCTATTATGGCGAGTAAGACAGGGCTTAAGGCAGGCAGGCGGGCTACTTTCCTAGAGGCTAGTTGGGTTTATGGTTACGGTTGAACAGTGTGATACCACATCATCCTGCTCGTCGTCACGGTTTATAGCGGTAATTTACACCTTTGCTTATGTTGTTAAGGACGGCCGTCCTTTTATTCTTGTCAAAGCGGCCGCAGAATCTCCTCCTGGCAGTAGTGAGTTGCGCAGAACCCATCTAGATACTTAGACACAACCCTTCCGTTTCCGGAAGCCATGAGGGAAGTTTGGATTCTCGTATGCACAATTTCCCCGGGTCACACCGGAAATCAAAGCAGGCTTTGTCGTCACGGCCTCTCCGACGACATTAATGGAAAGACTCCCAAATTTCCTTTGTCATATAACCCCTTTCTGCCCATGCTCGAACCTCTCCTGGCGCTTCGGATGCTGCAACTCAGACCATCCCCAAACCTCCAGCGAGCTCCAACCACGACACCGCATCGGCCAAAATACTGTAGCGCCAGCCATCCAACAACCCAAAATCAACATACTGAGACATAGTGAAAATGCGGCACACTCGCGGCTCAGGTCACGGTTCCCAACGGCTCGGGGTAGACCCGGAAGACTTTGTTGCCGATCATGACGTCCGCAGAAAACCAATGGCACCTCCACCTGCGCCTGCACGTACCGCCACCGTCCACGCGCCGCCGGCTTCAAAAGCAACAACCAAACCCGAAAAGACCACCTCCAGGAGGCACCTTGTCATGAGCATCCCCGGCAAAGACGCGCCGGCCGACGAGGCAACCGAGTGGATCATCAAGGTCCTTCGGCGCCGGGCGGCGGGGCGCCACAGCTTCCGCGAGTTCTCCTTGTTTTCCGCCCGGTCGACCGAGGAGGAGAAAGGTGATGAAAGCGGATCGGGGCAGCCCGAGCAGTACGAGCACGACCTGTTCCTGCTGGGGAGCGACGTGTGGAGCCTGACCGAGGACGAGCTGTACCGGGCTCTGCCGCCGGCGCTGCCGAACCGGCTCGCCCGCCTCGTCGCCAAGGACGTGGTCACTTTGAGGAGGGATGTGAGTTCCCGTTGCCCCTACTTTTCGAGGCGCCCATTGAGTCCTTTCCTTGCATGCTGTGGATACTCTTGCTGACTTGTTCGGCGCTTGTGTTGCTTGCGAGTTGCAGTATATGCTCCAAAGACGGCTGCTTGTGGATATAGCCATCTGGGTTACGGGATTCTTCCTGGTGATCAAGATTCTCTCGTGGCTCGGTCAGTGTTTAGGCCCCTTGCTCTTTGGGTAGTACCCGAATGGGACTACATCCGTGAAGAGCTCTCTTGATCTATTTGTTTCCTCGTAATTGCTAATGCGAGATCGCAATACAGGTTCTTCGTGAAGAATGACGACTTGGTAATGGCGGAATCCAAGTCATCTAGTGGAAGTGGACTTCGCGGGGCGAGATTAGGTATTCAAGTTTCAACACTCGGTGATAGCGTCCTGTCACGTATAAGTTATAACGTTTTCATACCACAACTCCACGGCATTACAAAGCGCCGTCAATATCGAACAAATAGCCCAAGGACGGGACCTAAGATGTCTCTCGGGTGCGAGTCGGGTTACTCACGTCGCAACTTTAGATCCCAGTGATGTCGTACAGCATCTAATTGAGCAAGTGTGTAGCTTTTGATTGAGGGCATCATGAGTGACCGTAACGGTGAAGAAGACTTTCGTATTTGGCCGTATCTCCACTCTTCGTAGAGCAGAGCCTGTGGCTGCTAGTAGCGAGTATTGGAACTGAAGTCAGTGTCGATAAAGCCGTGTGAGTTTGTTTTGTAACTGAGGTACATTTGTCGCCTGTCCTTGGTTGGAGAGCGGACTAACTGAGGAGTGTCCAACATGACGAGAGCGGCGACCGGAAGGATAGCAACTAAGACCTTCGAAGATATGGTCTGGCCGGAGCTGCCCCGTGGCAGGTCGAGCCTCGAGATGTGCTGGTTTTGGGGTGGTACTATGTATGGGTACACCACATGACTCCATATGGTATGTTGGGTAAATTATGAGAAGCTCGTACATAGCTGTGCAACGTACCGTGGTCCATAACTGTAGAAATGCAGATATGGAACCGCAAGCCTAGGCAAAGAATGATGCAAACCTGCGGTGAGCGGACGCCTTGCACCAGTGCCGCATATGCAGGCCAGCACGTTCTAGCAGGGGTTGAGATAGGTTGCCATCCCCTTGGCGTCCAGTGATGTGCTAGTTCATGCAAGCACCGCTGCACGGGAGCTGATTGTGGGTGGACAAAGCTCATCCAGCCAACTGCATCAAATGTCTGGGACCAAGTTACCAACTGTAGTCGCCGATTGGGCCTGTTGGTGAGTGTTCAACCATGCTCACCGCATACGTCGGATTCAAGCTGCATGGTGCTTTGGACTCTTTGGAGGAACAGATGGGTTGGGTGGCAGGCCCGCCCACTGTCCGACACCGAACATCCGGCTTATCTCCTTGTGACTTCGGGTCTTCGGACTAATATGTTGCCATGGAACGACCAGACCTTCCGCGGTGGCAAGGAAGAGTATTCTCGCTTATATAAGGTCTCTCTTCCCATGTAGTTTGTCCTATTTTCGACGAGTCTCACCCATGACTTGGCAGGAGGTATAACACAGTAGCTCGACACGTCTCTCCCAGTTAGCCTCCCTGTAAGGCATCCCGATCCACCAGATACCATTCTACCGCGATCTAACCATCTGCAGATTGCAAATTAGGCAATTCTGCAGGCGCGATATCTGTAACCGAGTGGACTGGCTATGGGCGCTTATCCCGGACATCTTTGCTGGTCTTCAGGGGGTATTCTTTCTGGCAATGGCGCCTTTCATTCATGACGACGGTTGCGAAGCCCGCCCCACCCCTTCTCACACGACCGGGGGCGAGCCGGGTGACTCTGTCGATGAGATATCGGTAGCGGTCGAATGGAAGCTTTTGTTGCCACTGCTCCCTCACGGTGTGGCTGACCCGCAACCAAGTGACGGACGAAGCGTTCTTGAGGTACCGTGTCATGCTGATGAGCAGGATCGTCTGGCTCTGGCACATGACGGCGTAGCTAAGGTAATCAGAGAGGTGGGCGAAAGGGCCGTTACCATGCACGCCATCCGAAATGACGCCCTCGAGGAGGGTGACTTTTGGGCATCGACATGGATCGTCAAGAAGGCAAATTCGGCGGAACCTATGGAACAGGAGAAGTTGTTGAAGGGATATGTCTGGGCCCCGGTTGAAATCTGCTCGCCCAAGATGCGCCTTAAAGACCCTGAAACTCGGATCCGGATGCGCAAGGTTATTTCCGCATTATGTTCGAGCCATCGGGTGGCAGCCAACTGCACTTGCGATATCCATATCCACCTCGGTAGAATGGACGGCCGGGCGTGGTCGTTGCCGACTTTGAAGAGGCTCGGGTCGTTCCTGTGGGTAGCCGAACCAACATTGAGGAGCATCAGGGACCCGAACTCGCCAAATTTCAACCATGTCTACACGTGGGGGTTCGAGCTGCGCCGACGAAGCCGACTCGCGAAACGAGTCGAGCATCTGGTTGATCCTTTTGTTTGTCAGTTGCCCGTATCAATGACCAGCCGGCTTGGTGAAATCTCAGACCACCAGGTTTCAGATAGCCTTCGCGGTCAGACAGTGGTACCTGCCGCAGAGCTCGCGGCCATTCTCGAGATATGGAAGACGGCATCGCGTCTTGAGCTCGGTCAGCTGTTGTCCGGTCCGGAGAAGAAATACAGAAGGCTGGGATTCAACTTCAGTGCGTTTGGCGAAGAAGATGAACGCGCGCGACACAACCCTCGAACCTTTGAGTTCCGCATAATGGAAGGCTCGGTCCAGGTCGATCTGATCTTGAGTTGGATGGCCATCTGCGGAACGATCGTAGAGGCCGTGGTGGCTAGAGCAGACAGCCGCTTCGTTTCTGCGCTCGGCCTGATGCTACGCCAGCGGGCGCAGGCTCAAATTCCGTTGGCTGTAGATGGCGAGGAGAGGGAGGGGGTCAAGCGAGGGCGTGAGTTTCGAGGGTTGATGCAGGCATTGGGTCTCTCGGTTGACGAGTATCGTGCATTTGAGGAGAAGATCATGCGAGACTGGTAAGGCACGTCACCCGATAGTCTATTTGTGTCTGGTCAGTATCCATGTGTACGAGGTAGCAACTCGCCAGGAAGGCAAGTTACTTATACAGGCTATGCTTCCGTAAAGAGAAACCTGGGGATGCCGCAGTAGATACACGCCAACCTAACCTTGACTGCAAGAAACAGCCCGACTGTACAAATGTATTCAACTCCGAGAAGAGCCATGACTAGGTGCGAGAACTGACTGCGATGACCTGTCCGATTGCAGTGCATTCACTGCAGTGCCCCAAATAAAAATTGCGACGACTTACAGCAACAACTGTCTGCAACGACTTGTTGTGAAGATTGACTGCGTTCATTGAAAATTCTCTCAATTCTCTGACCACGTTGAGAACGGCGACTTTGAAGGAATTGGGCCATTGGGAACGGTGTTATATGATGTGGTTGTGTTTTGTGGTTTGGTCTGAAGTCGCTTGAGACTTGAGAAGCTGAAGGTTCATTCCCTGGACCCGCTCCTCGCGTGGTGTGGGAGGTGACAGGGTTAGGGTATATGTAGGAGTTCCCCCTTACCTAAGCCTAGCTCGCCAAGGTACATGCATACTTCAACTACCCCTTAGCAAGGTGTTTTAACGGAACTCAAAATTTCAAGCTCTAAGCAAAGGCTGTCGTTCCCAGCATCTAAATTGAAAGTCTTGTTTGACCAAGCAAACTTGCTGAAGTGCCGTAAAATACATAGCAAGGGATACCGGTAATTAAGGGGTCACGTTCCGCGGCGGCAGATGCAAGTGCGTGTTGCTCAGGGATCGATGACATCAGGGCATCACCCATGCAGAATTCCCGAAAGCATGCTTTGTTGTTCCACGCAAAGAATAACTTTCAACTCACCTTCATCTCAATTTGCCCCTACCGCAACAATCAATGCAAGTGGGACCGTCTCGCTGACCTTCGACAATCGTAAAGCCACCTCAGGAGCTTAGTACCTTGATTATTCCATCCGGATCCTAGTCTACCTTTCTTCCAGTAGTTTCCATCCCCGTGGGCCAATATGACTGCCACAACAAGATCTGCGGCCAAGAAAGAGGGCAAATCAGACGGTGCGCCTCCAGCCTCAGAGGCTCACACCGGGTCGAAACACAAAACTGGAGAAGGCGCAGGGTCTCCCAAACCCAAGCGAAGCAAGAAGGAGGGAAAACAGCAGAAGAGCATCCCTGAGACAATTAAGGGCCAGAATGGAACCCACAAAGAGAAGACCACTGCAGGCACCGAAGGAAAAGGGGATCATGCTTCTTCTGCAGTGGAACCGCATGGCCGTGAAGAAGCCGAGTCAGTCCCATCCAGCATCCTCGAGAAGGGCATCATCTACTTCTTCTTCCGCGGCCGGGTAAACGTCAACCGGCCCTCGAATGTCGACCAAATAGCCAGAACCTACATTATTCTGCGTCCCGTAGAGAAGGACGCCAAGCTCGGGAGCGGGCCGATTGGGGATGCCGGCAACAGCCGCCTCTGCATGATTCCAAAGAAAGTGCTGCCTCAGAGTGGCCGAGACCGGTGGATCTCGTTCGTCGAGAAGTCTGGCGCATCCTTTCAGAAGCTCAAGGAGGAATTTTTGGCCTCGTCCGACTATGAAACCAAGACAGCCGGCACACGGCACACGCCCGCGGCAACCCCCGTGGCCGAAGGCGTCTACGCCATTACCAGCACGGGGAGAGAGAGCCATCTGGCGTACATCCTGACCCTGCCCGAGAAACTGGGCGAGGTGCAGCGGGAAGTGGGACTCAAGGAGAAGGGTAGCTTCATTATCAGCACCAAGAATCCGCAGTACCCGGGCCCGGCGAACGCGAGGCTGCCAAAGTCTCCGGATTATCCAGAGGAGTGAGTCCCGATAGCTGACATTAAAATAAGTTGAAGCATCTAACAATCCGGCCACAGGTTACTTAAAGAATTCCGGTCACTTCGCTGGGTGCCGACCCAGCCAAAGCACCTTGACTTTGCCAACACGCAGTTCCTGCTTGTCGGTGAGTCTTCCGGGATCGAGAAAGCGCTAGAGCCACAAAAGGAGGACCAAGAGGACGGCAAGGCAGAGCCGGTAGAGGAGATGGAAAAGCTGGAAACTGAAGACACGGAGAGGATGAAGGGTCTGAGCAATGACGATTCAAGCCGCATCTTTGCCGATCTGCAGGTGGACGCTGGGAACTATCCGAGGTTGCAGACGACGTTCTGAGATACATTGTCTGCAAGGGAAATGAATGCAAAAGTCTTAAAAGATCTGGAGATCCAGGATCTCCGACGGTTTGCTACCGGCCGCGGATTCTGGGCAGATGTGACAGGCTTCTGGCTTTCACGGCGTACTGGTTGGCGTCCTGTCTGTTTAGGTTCTTAAAGAACCGCAAAAACGTTCAAAGAATAATGGAACTGACTGGCAATGAAATACTACTAGTAACTCATGCTCCGAGGTAGGCTGTCATCAGGCATGCTATATCTCAGGCTGCTCTAGAGCAACGGTCGCACAGGAGATCTCAATGCTAGCCGACGAGATCACTGGCAGACTCTTGGTGGGTTGGGATGTTACAATTTAGCGTTCGCCACTTCTCTTAAAAGTCATCCGCAATCTCTACACACCCTGCTATGCCTGACGATTCGGCACTTTAAACATCAACTGTACTAGTAGTACTAGTACTCAAACAATCAGTACTATATACCATCCAACTAACCAGGTACAGATTCAAAAGTTCCCTGTCTGAACTAGAGCGGTTTGAACAACTGTGGGGGACTCCGAGTCAAAAATCTGTCTAGTAGTCTTCTGGCGGCTGCCCAAGATCAGCCATATATTCGTAGATTCTCATCTGCCAGCTTTTCTGTTCCGTTGTGCTAGCATAGTACTGTACTCGACTGGGTCAAGGACGGGATCTGACCTACTCGCGTTTAGGTTATCACATGGCCAGTCTTCCTGGCTGCAAGTCGGTTGGGTGGCCTACTAGATAATGAATCCAAGCAAGTCACATGTACCAGGAGGAGTACTACTAGGACAATAGAATACCTTCCAGGTTAGTTTCACAGATATCTTGCTCATGGCTCATGAAATATGGTTCTACAAGACAGGTTTCTGGATCGTGAGAGTCCTGTATAGCCCTTTTGTTCACAACCTGACTGCAACTTGAACTGGCTGTGTCTGCTAGACATAGCGACTCATCGCATCACTGAACATCTGTCTTGTCATTACTAGTAAGCACTTGACGAGAATAGCAACCACGCTGAGGCTGTATCTGTTCCATAAGAATATAAAAGAACCCTGGAGTACTTGGCTACCTGGTAGAATTTCTCACCATTATTTCTTGCTTAAGTCTCTATACTCTTGAGCAACACCACCTGCACCCCCACGACCACCACCATCACTACTACTATTGTTCATCAACACGGGGCCTGAATTATGGCCAACATGACCGACCGAGCGCTCCCAAAAGCGCAAGACATGGACCGCATCACGCAATGGGTAGACTTCTGCCTCAAGGTCAGAACGTCGACCCCCTGGGCCGACAAGTCCAACTTTGGTCTTGTCTTTGCCATCGAGAACGTTGTGATGGCCGACGGCTCACTGCTTCCGGGAGCGGCTGAAGCCATCAAGTGGCTGCTCGAGCAAAAGAAACCCATCTCCTTTGCCTTTGTCACCAACCTGGACGGTTTTACCGATCACCTCCAGAAGGATACCTTGATCCGGAAGTTTGAGGAGGCTTCGATACCGATTACTGCGCGCCGGGTTGTCGTTCGGGGAAAGCCCTTCGCGTTTCTGGTGGACGGGCTCGGGTTTGACGACGAGCACGTCCTGGTCTTCTCAGGCCAGCCCGAGGACGAGATGCGTAGCCTGGCAGAGAAGTGCGGGTTCAAGCCGTCCAAGGTTTGGACGCCCCAGGACTACCTGAACCGAACAGAGGATGTCCCCCTCAAGGCCGTCATGGTTTGGTCTGACTACCCAGACTGGGACGAGGCACTCGATGCCATGGATTCGGCCTTCCGATCCAACCCAAACGCCTATCTGCTCGTCTGCTGCGACGACTTTGTCCGAGCCACGGGAGGAGGCGCATACCGCAGTATCAGCAGCCATGTTGTAACCCATATGCTTGACAACGCCAATGTCGCTGTGGACGACTCGGATACCGCCCCGCGTCGATGGCGCTGGGCGAACCGGCCCCAGGTGATCCCTGTCGATAACTACGGGGCATCCATCTGTGGGGAGCTTGAGGCGCGCCTCGAGCAGCTGAACCTGATGGAGAACGGCAGGGTCTCTGATATGGTCCAGACTGTCTATTTTATCACTAGCAACCTCCTGCAGGATGCAAAGAATGTTGAGCGGCATCTGCATCGGACACGGGGTGGCCCCAGATGGAGGACCTTCCTCGTCGGTGGTTCGCTCGAGAACGGCATAGAAGGGGACCGGGAATATTCCCCGGATGCCAGTTTTCCCGACATCAAGGCGGCTGTTTCTGCGGCTTTGGCTGAGCAGAAAAGAATGCCGGTGCCTTGAGACCCAGTCTTGGATCCTACGGCAAGCCCGGGCTCACCACTGATACGGTGACCCGGCACTGAGGAAGGGGAGAATACAGCAGGAGCCACCGGCCCTTTGCTGAATAACGATGGACGGATGGATGTGACTGAACCCGAGTCCTGAGCTATACCCAATGTGGTGCTCGTAGCTGAGAGGACCTACCTTAGGTAGGAAATACTATTACTTATCCCAATAGATCTGTGTGTCTGTAGTCCCTGTCCTGTGAAGCTTCGGTCGACCTTAGTAAGTATAGTATATATCTGTTCTTGTGTATCCCTAACAGGTAAATAACTAACAGCTTGAAGTTCCCAGAACGTAGAAACCCAAGTAACCTAACACAAGTACACAGAATCACTGACCTGAGTAACCAACGCCCCTATCCCGGTACGTACTGTTCTGTACACGCACAGTCATGCAAGATGGGTATCTCACCATCTAGGCGGCCATATCCGTGGCCGTGCCTACCGTCCCACCCCCCCGATTCGCCCAACGCCGCGCACCCTTCACCAGCTTGGCCAATCACAGATAATGCATCATCTGCTGCGGCGCCCCCGGTCGCTTCTTCTCAATGACGAGCACCGTCTCAATGTACTTCCTGTCAAGCGTCTCACTCTTCTTCCTGGCCGCCAGCAGCTGCGCCGCCTTCAGAACATTCTTGATCTGCCTGCCGTTGAGCTTGAGCTCGGCGAGCTCAGCCACATCTTTATCGTTGAGCGAGCTCTTGAGGGACGACCCGGCGAGGAAATTCTTCCAGATGGCGCGGCGCGAGGCCGCCGTTAGATCCGGGTACTCGATGCTGACGTGGATGCGTGACTGAAAGGCAGCATCAATGTCCTCCACGCGGTTGGTCGTCATGAACATGATACCCTCATAGTACTCGAGGGTGCGCAGAAAGATGGACACGACCTTGTTGCGCTCGAGCTCGTGCGTGCTGCGCGCCTCGAGGAACACGTCGCACTCGTCGAGCAGCAGGATCGCCTTCCACCGCGCCACCAACTCCAGGATCGACTGCAGCTCACGCTCCACCTCCCACGGGTCCGAGCCCAGATCGCCCGAGCTCAGCACGTGAAGCGGTACCTTGAGGTTCTCGGCCACCGCCTCCGCCGTGAGCGTCTTCCCCACGCCTGGCGGGCCCGACAGCAGGCAGATGATGCCCTTTCCTTTGCCGGAAATCACGTCGTCAAAGCTGCTCCCCGCGAGCTGCGACTCGGAGAAGGATAAGATCAGCTCCTTTTGGTCAGGCGGCAGTACCAGCCTGTCGAAGGCGTTGCTGTTCCACGTCACCTCGGAGATCTGGTCGATGAAGAAATCCAGCCACTTTTTGAAGCGGAGCGAATAGCCTCGTGTGCGAGAACGGCAGAGCATTTGGTAGTAAGGGGGCAGGATGAATTTGTCATCCGGGAGGCCCATCTTTTCCTTGTGTTTGCTGAACCGCTCGAGGTCGTCGGCGTGCCACTCGTTAAGATAGCGCACGCGCCAGGGGCTGAAGCGGTTGAAGCTGTCAATGTCGACAACAATGCGTCCCGTGACCTGGCACTCAATCTCGTTGCCGTCGCGGTCCCAGTTAATTGCCTTGCCCTCGTACTGCTTGTAATGGTGGCCAGCCAGCTGCTCAAAGATTTCACCCCGTTTGGTCAAGTTGACCGAGATCGTCTCCTTATCCGGGTGGAACTGCAGGGGGTACACCTTCAGCCCCGTGATCTTCTTGGTGCCGATGTACTTCCGAATGTTGATTTCCTCTTGGAAGCGGCCAAACTCTTTGCCGCCATAGTCGACGCAGTCGCAGCGCACCTGGAGGAATTTGCCGGTCAGATTGTTCTGCATGTACTCAGTCTCGACCATCTCAAAGGCGCTGAGGGGCCCATTGTACTCGGACAACACAACGGTGCCGGGCTGGAAGATCATCCACAAGTCCTCGAATGACACGACGCCGTTCCGCACGTAGTCCTGGGATGCCTTGACCTTGTCGCCAATCTCGTAGTTCAAGATGTCCGAGAGCAGCTTCATATGCTCCTTGGTCTTGTCGTCGAGATCTGGCTTCTCGAGGTACTTTGTAAACTCGGTCCTTTTCTCGCCCGTTAGCATCTCCGACGGTCGACCTGCATAAGATGATACGAGTGCTCGAGGAAACTTACCATCGATGCACGAACGGCTTGAAGGGCGCCTCAAACTCGAGCCGCGTGAGCTCACAGGCAACACCAGGATAGTTAGCGAGGATTTCAGAAAGCGCGGCCCTAAGTTGCGGGCTTTGCACGATGATGCTGTGTGCTTCGAGCTTCTTGCGGCTGTCGTTGCTCTTTTGGTTGCGCACCACGACTGCGTATGTCGCTGTCTCCTCGTTCTCGGCCGCCTCCTCGACATCGTCGGGATATTTGTCCACCCAAGTCCAATTGCCGTCGTCGTCGGACGCGCCCTTGTAGATGTGCTTGGCCTCGCTCACGGATCCCACAGGCACCTTTTGCTTCTTGTCTTTCTTGTCATCATCCTTGTCTTCGCTCGCCTTGGACTCAGTCTTGGTGTCTTCCTCGTCCTTATGGATTTTCTTCCTCATCTTCTTGTCTTTCTTCATCTTCTTTTTCTTTTTATCCTGTCCTTCGGCCACCGGCTGATGTTCGGCTTCGGCTTCGGCTTCCGTGGTGGAGCCGGAGCCGGAGCTGGAGTCGGAGCCGGAGTGTGTGGACCGGTTATCCGGTAGTTCTTCCGGCTTTGTGGGGCTCACCGCTCCGTTCCCGGAGCGGAAGCGGAAGGTGGGCCAGCACCGGGGCATTGTGCACGCAAAGGTGAACGGCCGTGCTGGAAGTGACTTTTGAGTGAAATAAGTGTAAAGAGAGGGAAGTGAGGAGGTTGTGCCGTGTTGAGGGTGATTGTCAAGCCGGGCCTGAGGTGATTGGAAAGCAGCCTTTTTATGTGTGATGCGTTGGTCCCAGAAATCCCGGGCTGGAGCCTGGAGCTGGCAGGGAAGCTGCCGAAGCTGACTGTGTCGGCGCCCAAGCTGCTGAAAGAAACGTAACTAGCTTGTTACCGGTAGCTTCCGTACACAAATAGTGAGTCACAAGCCCTACTGGTCGTGTTTCTCCACGTGTAAAAAATCAATTCTGGCCTATAATACATGGATCTTCCTGCAGCATCTGCCTCACGCTACTAAACTCCTCAGTATTACTCAAAATCGAGTTGTCCTCAAGGGCGTCCTCTGTTGCAACTGCAATGCGAAGAACCTGGGCGGTGTCCTCAAGAGTCAAAGGTGTTCTCAGCGGCGGGGAATCGCCCCTTTGGCCTGGCGTTTGCGGGGCCTGTGAGCTGAGTCGTCCAGCAGCTAATTAACGCCAGAGCAGGGTACCGTAGCGCAACTCCCGGGTTAGGGTGGGTCGAAGGCTCCTGCAGGCCTGAGGACGAATCCATGGTCTTCAGATCCCGCAATGTGGCTTATCGCTGCCTCCAGACTACTGTGTATGTAGGAAGAATACCTAACGCATATCCGTAGTAGTGTAAGAATATGGATCTTTCAATTGAAATAACGAAATTCTCGAGGGGGTACTTCGTTGGTAAGTTGATGCATCGTACGAGTACAATACAGGCCAAATACTTGTATGTGCATGTACAGTACAGTACAGTACAAGAGGCCAGGCAGCAGCGCCGCAACAATCTCTGTAGGTCTACACTAGTATCAGGCGCAGTCAGCGTGTGTACTGTATGTATGCACATATGATACCTACGTATCATGCGATGGATGTATCGAAATACAGTATGGCAAGTTAGGTATTCTATATTACAACACCCGTGGACGGCAGAGTGCCAAAGGCAATACATAAGGTAGTTACCCCTGACAGTCTTCCGTCCTGCATGCCAAAAATGAGGCAACCAATCTGCAAGCACAGCGGCAGCACACCGCGTCGGAGACAACTGTCAATCACCGATTGAGGACCTCAGACGGGGGGCGTGTCTATGTACTGTACAGTACATACATACAGACTTCGTATCTCGCATATGTATTGTACCTATGATTTCAGCTGCCGATCTGGGCTCCACAGTCTCAAGCATCCTGAGTGGTTTCCTCCGTAACGGCCTACCTTTGGATTCGTTTGCTCAAGCTGGTTTGACAGCAGCAATGTTTATTCCTCACACGACAACCAGCGTTTCTCAAACGAGCTTCGCTCAGCTTGCATACTTTGGGCAACGCTCTGCTTGGTGTGACATTTGACCGTTGGGTCGCATTTCCGTGTTCACGCAGGAGCCCGGCGCCCATAACGCCGCCAAGCCTTTACCAGCACACATGTCACACGGCGTCGAATGGTTCTGTCGTCGACCCTGGCTTAAGCGTTGAGCGTCCTCCCTCAACGCCAAGACGAGATCAACATACATGTAGGAGCGAGGGATAAGCCATTACCACACGATTTGGGCTAGGACCACAGAGGTTTGAGCCTCATCAAATAGAGACCGGCTATCCAGCTGTCTCAAAGAGCGTGGGCGGACATTATGAATCGGATGGGCAACAAGGCGGCCCTGAAATGGGGAAATTGGGAGTATCAGTTTCTGAAGAACGGTTCAAGAGGAACCTGCAAGTCATCGAATGTCCCGGCGCCAAAACGTCATGACACAGTCGTCCTGATGAAGTCCCTGCCGAAATCCCTGCCAACTGTTGTCAGTGGCCCCTACATCCATACACCCATCAGTAATCCGTGCGATAGCTAGACGGGTGGCCGGACCACCATCTCGAGTATGAGCTGTAATCTAGGCTGGTGTTAACAAAGCGCTACATCTTTCCACCGCAGAGTCATTACTTACCTCTTTGCGTGCTGATACCCAGCTGGTCCGCCACATTGACGTACCCTTCCTCATTCAGCTTCCCTGTCTTCTCAATCTTCTTCACCATGTCCTCATCCCCCTGCCAGACGCTCCTACAATAAGGACACGTCACCTCCCCTTCTCCTTGCCGCCTCTTCGTGGCCGCCCACGTCTCGAAACACCCCTTGTGGACATTCTGCCCACACGCCGCGCGACACCACACAATCGCCTCTGCGCCGGAGCCGGCAACCTCCATCTCGCAGAAGCAGATGGGGCAGTCGCCCTCGACCGGCTTCCGGTTTCCCCCACCACTTCCACCTCCACCTCCATCGCAGTCATCCCCCGCTAGGGATGACGACAACGGGGCATTGGCAAAGATCTCCCTCAGCTCGCTGCCGAGCAGCGCGAGCTGGTAGACGAGTTCGTAGCGGGCGCGCAGCACGCGCGCGAGCACGTACACCACGTGCTTGCACTGCTTGCCGGAGCGCGCGTGCGGGCAGTCGCACCGCGGCTTCCGCGTGATAATCACGGTGTAGATGTTGCCCGTCGAGCCCGTCAGTTCGATCTTCTCCCCCGGGAAACCGGCATCATCGTCGCAGTTGTCGTGTCGAGTGCGTGATAACACGTAGAAGCGCTGGGTGGAGGCGCGCTGGTAGATTTCGTGAAAGGATTGAGGGGGTTTAGGGCGGAAGCTGGTGGGAGACGGAAATGGAAGGGTCAGCAAAGAGCGGCAGCGGAGGGAGTACGGAATGGCATGGCTTTTACGGACCGTCGGAGTCGCTTTTCATCGTTCTCTTCTTTTGGCGGTCGGGCCTTTTTGAGGGGTGTGATTTGAGGGAGGGCGCTGGATGTGTCGTCGGCAGCGGCATCGGCAAGGTTCGATATGGAATGCAGGCACCGCTTGCGCTTCAGGTTCTTGCTAATAACTGCCGGTGTTGCGGCAGTCGATGCCTCCACGTAACGGTGCTCAGGTTGAGCGCCCATCGTAATGCTTGCCCTGGTGGTTGAAAGAACGTCTGTTTGGGAAATCGGGGAAAGGAACTACCAGAAGCTGGATTGAGAATCTAAATTCCAATATTATGAACGATGGGAGGCTTTCAGGTAAGGCGGGTGACCTCACTAGGCACGGCGGTCTGGTGGCGATTTCGCGAAAGTCGGAACAGGCCCCGCAGCCCCGCAAGCACGGAGGTTCCGCGAAATCATGTGATAATTTGCCCGTCACCAACTCACCATGCAGAGAGCTCTGATCATGCCTGATTGGGTCCACAGTAGGGTTCTGAAATGAAATTTCAACCGATCTTTGAAATTTTTCATTTCACAGGCACCGTGAATTTCAAGATTTTCATGCCAAGGGACTTTCCTCCCATATATCAGGGACTGAAGGGCCGGCTAGGTAACTAGGAGTCCTATTTTCCTAGCAAATCACCAACGTTCTTGAAGAACCTCATTGAAAATTGGTCAACTATATAACCCAAGCCCTCGTCGCCATCTACAGTCTAACCTTCATATAACAATTGACTCGGGAACAGGATTTTAATCGTTAATCCCCGAATATCGCTATATAGAATGCTCTACTTTATACCTAAAATAGCAAATTATAGGGCATCTGCCTTGTAGACTAATAATCTAACTACTAGAAATATAGATATACTGATACTTAACTAACTTTTTTGGGAAATTAGACCCTAAAAACTAACGTGACTATAACAATTTATATAGATTACTAAGTAGAATTGCTAATATTGATCTTAGAAGTTAGGTTTTTATAGTTCCCTATATATATAACGATAGGTACAAGCTTCTAACCGTTAAAGCCCGAATATTGTTATATACAAAAATGCTGTATAAAGATTAGACTATAAAACTAACCCCTAGCACTTATATATATAGTGCGAGCACGGGCCTAAGGATGGTTGGGCAAGTATAACCCTAACTCTATATACTTACCGCCTGCTAAAAGCGATTAGCAGAAATAGTAGAAATTTCGAAATTCACCAGTCAGATTTCAGGTTTCGAAATTCGAAGCCAAGTTTGAAATTACAGAACCTTAGTCCACAGTGATATCTCAGGTTCTCAGCCACAGCGTTTGGCGTTGAATGTATCTGTGGGCCCAACACCACCCCACACGCCATCCCAACCAATCAGAACCGGCAGAAAACAAGCGGTCTTTCCAAACACACTCAACGCAGTCTGTGGGAACCTACAAGTACATGAGCACAGACTAGCGTGGCGCGGCTGCGCCATGCAGGTGCCCCACCAGCCGCAGGCGGGCACCACAGAGTTCAGGAAAGAGTCTCTCTCGCGTCCGTGAACAAGAGAAAACAGTGACTTAAGTGTCACTCGTCATCGGCGAGAAGGTTTCTAGGTATCAATTGCTCCTGGACAGCCCAAGATTGAGGAAGAGACGCTTCCCAACTACCTCCCCGAGCGGCTTTAATTGATCGCTGGCCTGTTGGCAAGCTACCTAGGTCCAAACGCGACAAGACATCTAGTACACGGTTTAGATGGCCAAGGACCTCGTGTAAGATATTATGATGATAACACTCACTAACCCTGAGCCTGTTGAGCATGAGCTGCGCACCCAAGAGACGATCCGAGACATGCAGGCTTGGCAGCAAAAGCGCCTCAGACGACACGGCTCTTACTCATCACTTGCTTCGCCGTCATCAATCACTCCGAGTCGTGGGGTTTCCAAGATGGCCCATCCTCCTCGCCGCCGACTCGCGCCGAGGCAGCAAAAAGGACGAGGGCCTCGCAAGGCTGCAAAGCATGAGGTTGCCGAGGCGATAAACCTATGTATAAATATGGCTACTACCGGGTACCTATCGTTACAAGTACCCGATCTCCCAGCAGGGCACAAGCAGCTTGAACGCGACCACCAGACATCTAATACGGATCGCCATGCTATCCGCCACAAGGCTCGCCGACCTGGGATCCGTAGCCGGACCAGATGGAGTACATCCATGCCTCGCCCGCTCTCTCCCCACGGTCAGTACCTTAGGGACACGGAATCTCGACGCCGGGGGGGTTGCACGTTTCGTATGCGGTCTTGGGGTCTCGGCTGTGGGCATGGCAGGTGCCTGTATGTCGGTGAGCGGTAAGGAAAGACAGCACCCAGCCCTGTGCACACGAAAACAATGGTACACAATCTCAAGTCGAGCAAAGCATGGATTTGGAGAGGCGACCCGGTCCAATATGGTAAGGTAGGTAGGTAAGGTAATAAGGCGCATTGGGGAGGTGCAGTTGGAACTTTGCTCACCGTCTTCGCAATAGCAGAAGTTGCCGATGCCCTCTTGTGGATCGGCCCTGTTTGGGGCAAAAGCCCTCGAGTCAGCACGCTGATCCGGCGTAGAATCGCGGAAGGGACAAGCTTACTCATTCTCGCACCGACCCTGTGCGGTGCTGAGGCCCATCATAGTGGCGAAGAGGGTGACCGTGACGAGGAGGAGCTTGGGCAACATTGCGAAGTTCAGGCGTCGGTCGGGTTTGTTGTTATGTTCTTTGACTGGAGGGTGAGCCTCAGGGGGGTTGGAATGGAGGCAGGGGAACAGCGCGTGAAGGCTGCAGCGAGTGGGTGAATGGGGATAGGACCGAGTTGAAATGTCTTGATGCTAGACGATCCCAGGTGAGTGCCCTTTTAACTTTGAAGGGCCACTGTCAGCTAACTCCAGAGCGGGATAAGAACGACAGCAGAGCCCGTGTTGCTAGGACCGGTGGGTGTCTGGAATAGGAGGAATACTACCTGCCTACTTAGGTCCCAAACATGTTGCACCGAAACCCGACCGTCTGGCCAACAAGAAGCTGTAATAGAGATGCACGTCCTGACTGCACACGCGTCATGGGATGGCGCGGGCTAATCCTTCATACCTGGGATCGGCTCAGGGGCTGTGGGATCGGCGGTATTCATCATTCAGGTTACGAATCTTATGCCGGTTGGTTCCAGTTAACTAGACACTTGCACCCGTCAGACACTTGCAGCCTCCTCGATTCGAGGCTTCTCCTCACCAACTGAAGGATCACGACCAGCTACCCATTCCGACGGTTCCGGGGACGCCAGCTCGGTCAGGCCCAAGAAGCTGCATGACAGGCTGATGGCTGATACGTCCGGCTGACCGTCGCAGCGCCTCCGCAATCGATCCGCTCGTCTGTTTGGCGATGAGGAGCATGTTGTCCATCATGCCCTGCACCAACGACTCGAAACTCAGTCCACTCTCCTCCCCTTGGCTGATGCCGTCATCCCCCGTTGCGACGGAGACGATCTGCTCGAGGCGGCGCAGCCACCACATCCACCGTTGAAGGCTGAATCCTCCATGCCGCGGAGGAACCTCTCCAGCTCCAATCAGTCCTCGTCCTCCTCCTCCTCCTCCTGAAGAAGCAGCATCTACGGCAACGATCAGCTCCCCCAGCCTCCCCACCTCGTCAGGAAACTGGTCCCCCCGCTCGGCATCCGAAAGCTGCACCAGCTTCCTCCCCGCTGTGAACAGCCACGCGTTGGCAGCAGGCAGGAGGTCGGCGACGCCGAGATCCCGCATCTGCCGCCCCGGATCCGGCTGGTCCGCCACGGCAGCCAGCGGACGGGGCGTCTCCAAGGCCTCGCGGAGGACGACGAGGGCGATGCCGCACAGGGCGTCGTCGGGTGCGGCGCCAGCTGCGGCCAGCATGGCAAGGAACTGGGCGCCGCTGAGCCGCTGGGCCGAACTCATGGCCGCGCAGTCGCTGGTCCAGTGGGTCGTCATGTCCTGCGCCAGGAAGGGCAGGTCAGTCCAGATGCGGGCGCCGTCTGATGTCGTAGCCGGGACTCGCGGGAGTGTTACTAGTTCGTGTTGGCTCTCGTCCAGGGAGGACTCGGAGCCTGGCTCGGTTGCATGCACCAACTTGAGGTTGCAGACGCCCTGCTCCCGCGCTTGAACGATGCCGAGGGCGAGCCGATCCAGCTTGGAGCTGTTGGGGGCCGTGTTAATAGCGCCGTGCCAGTACGTGTGCCACAGGTCGTGCATGTCGTGGTCCAGCAGGGCTGGGTCGGGGGCCGACGGGGCCGAGGTGGAGGCAAGGCGCGAGTTGATGGACGCTACCATGCTCCAGGTTGACTGCCACAGCATGTTTCCGTCGCCGTCCTGCCGGGCCGATTCCGCGTTGGCCTGCTGTACGATGGCCGAGATGCGTACGCGGTTGGCGATGCTGGTGGTCATGTTGCTCGTGGCCATGCTCGCTGACGGAGTCTGACGTTGATGCGATTGACAGCGATTGTAACGTTGGATGGCCGGTCGGGAAGGAGCATGAGACGGTGAAAAGCAAACCGGAACCTTCGACGTCGAAAAGGATGGGAGGAATCGGAGGATGCAGCTTTATATTAACGAAGTTCTGTTGGTGTCCTTGCTGCCTTGCTTTGACGCATGTCGGGTTGGATCCATGGGAGCGTTCAAGAACTTCAAGTTCCATCCGGGGTTCCCGCCGCTTCCGCGAGGCGTGTCACCAAGGAACGTGGTTAACCGGGAGCCATGCCGGTCGGTGAATGTTCGTGGTACAGTCTTCAGATCTCCTCACGGCGGACGGAGATAACTCACGCCTGGTATTCCCATTGGGCATTACCGCTGTTGCCTGGCACCCTAGCTTCAACTCTCGATGCTGGACGATCTTACAGCCTTAGTGAGGGTACATGTGGGCAGTCGAGACGTTCCGACTCGAGAGGAAGCTGGAAGCAGGTGACCCCTAAAGTCTCTCCTCATGTCAATGAAAGCCATGTTGGATGTTCATCTGCCTTGATCTGGTTCTGTCTTGGAGGCAAGACACTTTCCAGATGTACCTTGGCTTGCCGTGAAGATAAATACTCGCCTTCCTCGAGCTTTTGTTCGAGGTTGGACTGGCAAGGCTCCTGCCCAAAGTTCTCTCTTCTTGCCAGCTACTATTCGTCTTCAAGTTAGCAGTCAAGCTCAGACGCGCTGCCAGTGCAACCATGATGCCCACCATCCCAGCAGCCGTCTTGGGCCTACTCTGGGTTACCATTCCGGGCGTCTTCTCCCTGGCTGTCCCCGCCGAGGGCCTGCTGGAGCGTCAGAACAACGTCGACTGTGAGAGACCTGGGCTCAAGACCACCAACGTTACCGCCGCGACAAACGAGACGGGCATTCTCGAAAAGCGCAACTACAACGGGGTACGTGATGATTGATCCCAGCACGCCCCGAGTCAGGTTCCTCGGGTTGCTTCCCGGCGACCCCGGCTAACACCCGTGACCCGCGCCCGACGGTGCTTTGAGTGTCAATAGTTTTGCAATGCCGCGTCACAGACTTGCCAGTTGTCCTGGCGGGACGGCAGTCTCATTTGCTCGGGCATTTGCTACTGTCTCCCGACATCGGCGGTATGTGATACTATCATAATAATCATACTAGTAGCCCCGGGCCCATGCCTGGCTCCTCTTTCGCCCTCCTCCGCCGCCCTGCCCTTCAACTTCACCCCCTTTTTCGCTATCATCTGTCTTGCTTTCATATATGATATTAGGCACTGACGACCGTGAGGTGGCTGACTTGCTTGACTTGCAGTGCTCCGCGAGCGGCAATTACTGCTACTTCAATACTGGCAACGAACAATGCTACTGCACTTGAAAGAAGTTGAGGGAGGGCGTTGGGCAGTGGGCAGTCCGCATTTTGGCATTATCTCCCTCCCACCAGTTCCCCGGAACTTGATGCGGGACGGATTTCTATCTAGAGTGACGAGTCCTAGACTACATCGCAGAACGCGGCACGGTCGCGAATGTGGCAAGGAAATCAGGGTCTCATCAACGAGCCTGGCTCGGTTTAAGTTGTTGGTCAAGACATCACATGTCGTTGTGTTCTACTAGACCTCCTCCATCCATCAGGATTCCCCCCCCTCTTCACACGAAGATGCTTAAGCTCATAACAGATGAGAACCCAGGCCGGCTTGCGCTTCTGGTGACAAGTGACGAACGTGCTAACATACGTACCAGAGAGCACTAACTGCTGGCGAATCTTTTGGTTACAGGTTGACAAGACAGCAGAAGAGTCACCAAATTCCAAGACCATCTCAAATATGCATCCAAACCTACGGTAGCACGGGTGAAACCAGCTGCCACACTCCGTGGCCTAGATAAACCAGCAGCTCTCTTTAAGAGTTTGATTTATGTTGAGAGGTGGCCGAAGAGCCACTTAGTCACGTCTCTCAGCTGCCCGGTTAGATTTCTTCTTAGGCAAATAAATGTACATTGGGTCTTGGGACCACCGATTTTACACTTTACCCCTAACTCCCATCTCACCTGTACCCAAAGAACGGCCAGTTCGCCATCCATACAAGCCTTGAGATTTGCTACCTGACACTTTGCGGTGTTCTTCTTGCACCATTGGGGTTGCATGTATTGGCGAAACCGCATGGAGAGTCACTTCCCTGACGGTTGAAGGCATGCGGGAGGCGGCAGGAACAGGGTGCCTGCTTCCCGAACCCATTGCTTAACGTGTGCCGTGTGGTACTAATTGGCAGGAAGGAGCAAACGAAGCTAGACCATCAAACAGTTGGGGCAAAGAATTTTGAAAACCCATCCTAAGTTGGCTCCGTAAGCCACCCAAACAAACTGCCGTAGTTGTGCAACCATTTTGTTAAGACAACAATGTGCTCATGCACCCTCAGACTAAGGCTGCCGAACTGTAGACTTAATCATTAGTTTGCGCATCAGACAGCTCAGCAATTCAGAGTTGGCGTAGCGACACATGCGCCTAGCGTCAGGTACGCACGCTTTGCTTTCACTTTTCTTCCTTATCCTCTCCCTTCCGCCGCTACATCTCACATGGGCTTTCTGCCCTTAGGTTACTGACGCAGCGCTTCCTTCGAGACTACAGCTCTCTTGTTAACGCATCTTTGATGCTCTGTGGACTTACGATATTGGGATTCCCTGCAACGATATAATCTCGGGCGAACAGAAAGCGATCAACATGGATAATTCACCGACCGAAGTGAGACCTGAGAAACCCCTTCTCTTCGACTACGTGTCCTGATTTCGCCACGTTTCGTACAAAGTCGCTAACTGGCCATGGATAGCAGTCCGCATGGGATATTGTGAGAGACCATGTGTTCTTCCGCCCTCGTCAGGGCCAAGATTGGCAGTCGAAGCCAGAGCTCCCTACTGCCCAGGAGATTTTGGCGCCTCAGAATCCAGAAGGGAAAATCGATCTGCCAGAGAACCCAGTAGACAAGCCATGGGCATCAAAGGGCGAGTATCTGACAACCCAGTACGAGATTCTGCGTCGAGAGGCGATTGAGGGCCTGCGCTTCTCCGTGTCCTCCTACATCGAGCTTCGGGCCGAACGGAAGGAAATGATGGACGACGACCACACCTGTGTATACACCAAGGTGAGTAGTGCGCACAAGATAATCATTCCATTCTAACTCTTGCCTTTGTCACAGGTGCGAGTAAGACAATATCTTTTCTCTACAATAGGACCCATAGCGAGGGTGTCATTTTCCACCGAGCGATCCAGATACAACATCCAGTGGCAGCAATCAAAACGACTCCAACCTGGCAAGATCGTTGCTCTTTCTACCAGGGACGATGGCTTTCAAAGCATCTGCAAGATTGCGTCGATTGCCCAACGTCCCTACCGCAATGGCCTCGATCAAGACCCCCCGCTCGTCGACCTGCTGTGGGCGAATCCCGAAGATGCAGTCCTCGACCCTGATCTAGAAATGATCATGATAGAGTCGTGGCACGGGTATTATGAAGCGGCACGGCATGCGTTGGTCGGGTTGCAACACGCAGCTAGGACCAAGTAAGTGAAACGTACGCCTTGCAACCGTGACCGCAAACTGATTGATACCAACTGCGTAGCTCCCCCCTCGACAAGTACTTAACCGGAGCTCAAACAAGAGACAAGGCGCCGGAATTCATTGAGACGGACCCGCGCATGAATTTCTCTGCGCTTGCCCACAATGCCACCAAAGAAGACTCGCCGACGAAAGACTCACTGAGGATGCATGATATTATCCACGGGGGCGTTCCAGACCTTCGTGGCCTCACCCTCCTAGATGACTCGCAACTCCTCGCCGTACATCGAATCGTGTCGAACGAGCTAGCTATAGTGCAAGGCCCACCCGGAACTGGCAAGACGTTCACATCGGTAGAAGCGATTAAGGTCATGGTTGAGAATCGACGCCGGCATCGGGGTCCTCCTATCATCGTAGCGGCCCAAACAAACCACGCACTGGACCAGCTTCTTATGCACTGCATTGACTTTGGGGCAAACGTCCTTCGCATGGGAGGGAGAACCCAAAATGAGGTGATCCAGAAGCGAACCTTGTATCACCTCCGACTCGCATTCGGTAGCATTCCTGCAGATCGGAAGTGCAGCGCTCTGGACCGACAGCGTCACAAAAACATAGATGACATATGGGATCTCGTCCACAGCCTCTTTGGCGATAGGCTGCTTGATCCGGCGGCCCTTCTGAGATTTGGCATCATTTCCGAAGCCCAGTTCAACTCGCTCTGCGATGAAACCATGGAGACCCAGAAGACTCTGGAGAGCAACGGCCCATTTGCACTCTGGCTAGGCGACAGTTTGATTCCTGCCAAGATCCTCCGAGACCAGCACCAATCCCAGTGTGAGCTAAGTGAAGCACAAGCCCGCAAGGACCTCGAAGAGTTCGAATACGACGGCGAAGAAGTGGAGAACATCGCGGACGAGGAGGAAGATGAGAATCGATTCCGAGGTCGAATCATCGAGTTGAAACACGTTTGGTCCGGTAAGGTCCCAGCTAATCTGTCATCATGGAATCGTGCGGTAGCGCGTGCTCTTGCCAAAGACGATCTTTATGAAGTCGGCCCGGAACTTCGCGGCGCGGTGTACCAGCACCTCCAAGCCAGGCTCTTGGAGGCAATGACCCCGAGGTTTGCCGCCTTGCTCGCCCAGAACATCGAGCTATGCAAGCAGCGAAAGGCGTTCAAGTTTCTGGGGAATACCGAGCTGGCGGAAACTCAACGTATCGACATCGTGGGCTGCACAACTACCGGCTTGACAAAGTACCGTGGATGCCTGGCGGCGATGAAACCCCTGTCTCTCCTAATCGAAGAGGCGGCCGAGACTCGCGAAGCAAACATAGCATCCGCGCTATACCCGTCCGTCCAACAGCTCATCTTGGTGGGAGACCACAAGCAACTGGCTCCCAAGTGCGATATCCACTGGCTGGGGGATGCCCCTTACAATCTCAACGTTTCGATGTTCCAGAGAATGGTCAACCTTGGCATGCCGTTTGTGATGCTCAATCAACAGCGCAGGATGAAACCAGAGCTCAGGTTCATCCTTCAACCCTTTTACCCAGACCTGGTCGACCACGCTAGCGTAGAATCGCTCGCCGAACGTCCTGACGTCCCTGGAATGGGTGGTCGTAACTGTTGGCTCTTCGACCATACCTGGCCCGAGGATACGAATTCGGATTTTAGCAAATTCAACGAGCAAGAGGCCGACATGATAACGAATTTCTTTGCCTATCTCGTCAGCAACGGTACCCGGCCGGAGAAGATCACTGTCCTTACGTTTTACAAGGGCCAGCGCAAGGTCCTGTTGACAAAGTTGAAGCGACATCCTTCACTCATCCAATCGACTTTCAATGTCTGCACGGTGGATTCCTACCAGGGCGAGGAGAACGATGTTGTCATCCTGTCTCTTGTTCGGAGCCCCCAAGTCGACAGGTCGTATGCAGTTGGCTTTTTGGAAGATGAACGTCGTGCAGTCGTCGCCATCAGCCGTGCTCGTCGGGGATTCTATGTATTCGGCAATGTTGAAAACGTGCTCCGTGCGCACGACGCTTCATTCAATCTGTGGTCGAAAATATGTAGTGGCTTCGCTGAGCAGGAGCGAATGTATCGGGCTGGTGGTCTTCCGGTCGTTTGTCAACCACACGGGCGACAGATTTGGATCAAGGAAGTTGATGACTGGGGTGATAATGCCGGCGGCTGCGATTTGCAGTGCCAGGAATCCCGTCCATGTGGCCATCAATGCACTCTCAAGTGTCACCCGTAAGTAAACAAACCAGGCAAGTTTGCCGGAAGATCTGCTAACGTTTGGTGAAGAATACCTCATGAGCAACTTTCGTGCAGCCAACCATGTCGTAACACGCTGCCTTGCGGTCATGGTTGCCAGAGACGCTGCAGTCAAGAATGCTTTTGCGATTGCAAACTTTTCCAGGAGATGTCCCGCCAATCCCAACTTGCGGCTCGTGAGCGTCTGCCCTTGGAGCAGCGACTTATCCAAATGGGAGGCCAGCAGACTGAAATGCTCATGGCTTCGATGAAGCTCCACAAGACATCGTATCAACAGCCTCGCATATCACAAGGGGCAGTTGGAGGCGGTCCGTCTGCTGCCCATCAGGAGGCTCCCCGTGTCGATGACGATCAAGCGCGGCAGAGTGTTTCCAACCGAGATCCAATTCCAGGACTTGGCCTTGGCCAGATTGGAAGGTCTGCAGCAGCAAGGAAACAATTTGTTAGGAATGTTGTGCAAGACGATAGGCGACTAAGCATTGAGAGAGAACGATGTTCCACTGCTGCTCATCAGCACAGGGGAGTATCCATCAAGGAGGTATATCAGCCTGTCTCCCTGGTAGATGGCCGGCGCGTTGAAAGCGAGGAGAGAACCTTCCATCATGTAAGGGAGACAGTCAGCTTAGCACAAGCAGCCCCCAGCCCAGGTCACCCTGGTGTGGGCTCCACGCTTCTTACGAATGTCCAGTCTCGCCTTCAAAATCTATCGGTTCTTGACGGACTAGTGCACCACGGCCGAGGTGATCATCAAGCGATCATGTCGCCAAGGGGAGGTCACGGCAGCCCAGGAAACAACGGCCCCAACCGGCCGAACCCCCAAAGGAAGCAAACTGGACATGGTGGCAAGGCCGCTCGCCGTGGCAAGGCTTCAAATGCCACTGTTAGGAAGAGTGCAAGATTGATGAAAGACGTCGGATGGATTGATTATGACAGTTCTGGAGAGCAGAGTGATTCACCGGGCGACCCGGGTAAGGGTCTGTCTGGTTCCATGGCACATAGCGGTTCGGGGACCACGACTCGAGGTGCATCAATGCAGATGGCAGGGCCGCACATCGGTAGCAGGAACGGTCCTGCTGTGCGAACTCCACCAACAGCCACTGTAAACCATGAAGCGCCAGTCTTGGTGGACACAAGCATTCCGGACGAGCCTATCGATTATTGTGGCCCGCTTCAAGAGCATGGCGTCGCCGCGGATCTGCTCACCGGTCCCCCGTTGCTCGTCACATTGGGGTCAGACGGTATCCCAACCAGCCACAATGCCAAAGGCCTGGAACCCTTGCGAGCGACGCATGCTAAGTTGCAAATGAATGCTGGAGAAGAGGACGATGACGAGAAGGAGGAGTGGCTTATCGAGCTGTGAACGGTGACGGTAGCAGGGACGAGATGCCATCCAAAAATCCTTGCTGTCGCAGCCAAGTGCGGCGGTGGTAAATGGCAGTGTGGCTATGTGAAGCGTATCTGGCATGGAGGCTGGAAATCAGCCAACTACGTGGCTATGCCTCAGGAAATGCGGACGATGCAGCTGCGTATCCTCGATTTCGGCCATCAGATCCTTCACTACAAACTCGAATCGAACCCACTGACGTTCTCTTGCATTTTGGAGGGAGTCGTTTGATGGCTAGTCGGGGCTGGGTTAGTATTCGGAAGCGTCTTTGCATGGCGGGTCTCGTTGGTGTCAGGCACGATGGGGCGTGGTAAATCTGTTGGCTCGCTTTGCCAGGTATTATCCTCTGTTGTGGCTGTCTTTTGTCCCTCCGTGGGGCTTCATTGTTGGTATACTGTCAAGAGTTGTCGTGGAGAGCCGGGGATGCAGTGGTTTCTTGTCATGGCTTCGATGTTAGTTCATTGCGGCAATCCGGAGCGGCTGTCTTAGACTGCGTGTAAGGGATAGAGATGTACTGAGCTAGATTGCTTATGTCCAGACGATTATACCGTGCTTGTCTCGAAGTTGGTGAATAGACGGCCATCGCAAACGAGTCCATCCAAGGGCTGTAAACCGCCTGTCGAATAATGCTACAAGTAATAACGTTTATCCAAGCCGGATACACTGCGAGAGTGAGCTGAGCTGAAGCAAACACCATGTACGAAGTAAATCTGGGTATATTGCATGTACCTACTGTCGTGGTCGCCACCAAGCCTGCCAACCAACGCCTTCCAACCATCCAATAAAGTGAACGCCGCACCTTCTGGACTCCTGTAGCATTGCTGGTAGATTCATGAAGAAGATCACAGCAATATAAACCCCCTAGGCACTTCTGGACCAACCAATTGACATGCCGCAACAAGCTAAACTCTGGCAAGAGAGCAGACACCCAGTTTTTCTTGCTCAGAGAACAATGCTCCAAAACGCCCAATTCATTGTGGTGCATACCTGTTTCCCAGCATCAGCAGCCCAACCGGTTTCGCTTCGGTCCTGGTCTCGGCCCTGGCCCTGGCGCTGGCCTCTATCCATTGCCATGGCGATAGCAACAGCTACACTCCCAATCTCGTCACTAGAAGCCGCGTCCTATTGCTTAGCAACGGCAATCTCATACCCAATCAGCACCTCGGTGCTGGTCCCGTCCCAACCCCTGGTGCCGGCGGCGGAGAGCATGATCCGCGAGGTGGGGTCGATGTACAGAGCACTAATGACACCGGCGCGGGGCGGGCCGGGGATGATGATGAAGGGAACCTTTGAGTGCTTGAAGGCGGCGTTGTCGCGCAGGTCGTACAGTCGTAAAATGTCGTGCGAGGCGCACACGAGGTGTCTCCCGTTGGGCATGGGCCGCACGCAGCTCACGGCTCCTGAACCGGCGGGGAACTTGAGCGAACGCTCGGGCTGCCACCCGCTCGTCGCCTTGTGTATGCTGTACTCCTCCACCGTGCCGTTGCGCCGCCCCGCGTAGATCCAGTTGCCGTCAGGCGACCAGCACGCGCCCATGCACCACGGCGGCACCCCGCGCCGGTTGTTGATGCGCGCCACCGGGTCCGGCACCCGGCGGTCCCAGATGCGAATGGTTCCGTCGATGGCAGCCGAGAGGAATGTGCTGGAGGAGGTTTGAGTTTGGTCGTGATGTGGCGGGGCAGCGGCTGAAGTGAGCAATGTGGAGGGCGAGGAGGGTCCGCCGGCGGTACTGGATTGGAATGAAGGCGGCGGGGGGTCCATGGATTGGTTGGACGATGCTTGGATGGTTTGAGGGTCGGGGAAGGATGACGGGGCAGTTGTCGGCTGTGTTTCCGGGATTATCGCTGGCTGACTAGAGTCCATTGAGATGCCGCGAGCCGTGTCCCCGCTAGTCATGGTTTCGCTGTTCGAGAGGTCGCCATGAGATTCCCCTTGGTTAGGGCCGATCCCTTCTTGCGTCGGTGGAAGCAAGTCTGGAACAGAAGTAGCGCCGCCGTCGAGGGCTGGCCCAGCTGCGTCACCCATTGTGAAGTCGGCAGACTGATCTAGCCCGTTCTGGCTCGGGTCGTCATGGAGTCCCATATCCATCGCTCTGGAAAATTCGTCGTCGTCATCGCCAAAGGCAGCTCCACCGCCACCCATAGTGTCGTTGTCACCAAAGAGTGACCCGGCCGGACTTCCAAATAAGGACTCGTGTTCCGGGGACCCAGGCCCGTCTACGGCTGCTCCTGCATCATTTCTTCCGGCCTGTCCTGCTTCGCCGGCTCCATTGCCAGCGTGGTTTGTGAAGAAGCTATTCAGCCGCACCTTAGAGTCTGTGTCGTATGTCTCGCTCCTGATTTCGACCTCACTCGCCTCGGCGGGGATGGGGGCGCCGCTCGCAGGACGCAGCTCAATAGCTGATATTTGCCCTCCGCTGCCCTCAAATCGCCGCAGAATCTGGCCGTTGTTCAGATCCCAGTCCAGGACCGTTTTATCCCAGCTACCACTTAGCACGCTCTTCTCGTCTGGTGCCAGCTGCAGTACGCTCACGGCGTTGGTGTGTCCGCCTTCGCGAAGACAGTGTATCCTCTTGCCCTCATCGTGTCGCACACTTTGCAGGTTGATACCTCCACTCTCAAGACCGCTCAGCAGCCACAGTGCGCCGCTGTGTATGGCCAGGCTGTACACTGGAGACAAGATCTTATCCTCGGCGCGCGCGTTCGGCGGCGCCGGCTCCTCGTTCTCCCAGTAGCTCATGAGTATCCCGGCCTTGACAACGCTATCGACAAAGGGGTGTCTTTGCGCCACGGTGAGTTGCTGCTTGCCGTTTATGGTGCCTATGCCGTCGTACTTTCGGATGTAGCCGTCTGAGCCGCCCGTCATCCAGTAGCGCAGATCAGGGGTGATCGCCATGCAGTTGACGCTAGTGGCCTGGGGTGCCGCCATGGTCGGCACGATATCGTAGAGAGGAGCGTCGATGTACTCTTGACGTAGAATAGGGCGCCACCGTGACGCCGTCGCCGGTGTGGTGGGTGGAGCGGATGCTCGTTTCGCGGATTCCGTCTGGGCATCCGAGGCTGCCGGGTGAGTTTCGTCGAACGGGTCGGCATCCTGTTCCGGCTCTGGTTCTTGCTCCGGCTCATCTTGCTCATCCTGGTCGTCCTCCTCGTCTTCATTGTCGTCTTCGGCCTCGTTATCCACTTCGAGGTCGTCGGCTTCTTCCATCAATTCATCCTGCTCGTTCTCGGAGCTCGCGTACTCGTCGTCCATTTTCGCGTCGAGTGAAGCTCTTGAGTTGGCTCAGGTGATAAGCGTGTTAGTATTTTCTGTGCTGGCTGTGCACGGCATTACTATGAAGAAGAATATAACTGCCGGCTCGCCGAGGTCCGAGAAACCTGTAGGTCGAGGCTGTCGCTTAGTCGGCAGCGGGCTTCGCATCAGTATAGAACTGTAGAACGTGCTGTGAAGATCGCCAAGACATTCTTTTCTACGGACGTATGGAGCTAAAGAGATTCACCCCACACCCCTGTCCCACGTTATCCCCACAACAAAAGGAGGGGCACGGCAGTATCCGATGGTCGCTCGCATTCACCACAAAGCAAGGTCAAGGGGCATTCTTTTGTATTTCGAAAACTTGCGACAAGTCACCAGGCAATGAGGTACCCGCGATAGGATGAAATATTTGATGCTTGGGCAAAGATGGAAACCTTCAGTTTCTAGGGTTGTGCATCCTCCCTTGAGGGAATTCGCTCTAAACTATCCCAGACACTCCTGAAGAGCCGGGTAAAAATACCTCTTTAAGGATTGACGAGCCATTAGATAGCTACATCTGCTCTCTCCTGTGTATCGTGCTTTCATGGCCAGACAGAACCAAGTCAGAGCGAAGACTCTGTCCTGACGCTGGAACCGTCTAGTTCCGGACATAAAAGCGTCATGAACGCAAGCAACTGGGATTCCAGAAATGCCTGAGTCATAGTTTGCTCACCCTCGACATTGTTAGATCGTAGGCCTTGCTGCGTTGATCATATACATCGCTGACCGACGTATGAATTCCTCCATCTTCAATTTGCCGGGGCTAACGTGCCCTTCGCCATGTCGAGGACATGACGGGCAGGTGCAAGCTGGCAGCTCATCTTCCTCGACTTGTGGGCAATTGTGCAGCGTGTTTAAATGAGACGGGTCCTGCTGGTGACCTAGTGGTGTAGACAAGGCATGCATTTTGGAACGGCCATTGACTGGGTGTTCATCCTCTCCTAGAGACCTGGAACGCGAAGATTTAGCTGCAGTGGCCGAACCGTTGCAAATCCCATTGGCGCATCTCGTCTTGGAAGGCGACTCTGTAAGAACACCAGCCGGAGGAAGGCGAGCATGGCGGTCGTCCACCTCCTAGTCCGTACCGCTTCCTGACACGCCTCCTCTCCAAAGCCCGTAGAAGCCTTCACAATTCTTCCACATCTTGATCGTACCGTCTTCCGACCCAGTTGCATAGAGATTTCCATCTGGCGAGAATGCGATGGACCAGATGGGCCCATGGTGGCCCTTGTGCACGTCAAGCTCTTTGCCATCCTCCCAGTCGTACACGCGCGCCCAGGTGCCTGGCTCTTCGCCAACCACAAATTTTCTGCCTTTGAGGTCGAGCCCGACACTCGCAATTCCGTGGGAGAGTTTGATCTGCTTCAATTCGTCCTCGGCCCTCATACCGCCCCAGAAATATGCCGTTTTGCCAGCAGCAACGGCCATGACGGGGAGACCGCCGCCAATATCCGTCGGGGCGCTATATGCCGGCGCAAGAGACACGAGCTCGCAGGATTTGATCTCTCCTTCTAACTTCGCTTCGCGAATACAACTCCTGCTGGGCAGGTCGAACCATCGAAGAGTGTCGCCAGAAGCCGTGACGATCACACTGGGATCCTGAGCCCAGACGATGAACTTGATTGGTTCTTTATGTGTGCCTTCGCCGATCTCGAAGGCTCGCGACGTCTCAATGGTGACGGGTGTAACGAGGTTGGGCGTTGGGGATGTAGGAGAGCCGGCTGGTTTTTGGTCTTGCAGATCGAAGATGCGGAGTTTCTTTTCAAAGCCACCAGTCGCAAGCATGCCAGAATTGTCAAATGGATAGGCAATGGCACGAACAATGTGATCGTGCTGGAGGATATAGAGAAGCTCTCCCGTGTGAGTGTCCCAAACCTTGGCGGTAAAATCTGCAGAGGCCGTTGCAGCGGTTGTGGCATCAGGGCTGAGTCTCGCTTGCCATACTGCGCCCTTGTGGCCGAGGAAGGTGCCAATCCAGTCGCCCGTCTGGCCATCTCGGAGCATGGGATTACCGTCTGTGCGACCAGTCGGTTAGTGGAGGTAGAGAGAGAAAAGGGGAACGACGTCGCGCGAACCTTTGCAGGCGGAAATCATGTAGTAAACCTCTTCTCTCTCCAGCGGAGAGAAGCTCAAGTGAGGGACGGGCCGCGAGTGGCCATGGCACGTCAATGGCACGTATTGACGAGGAGCGGCGGTATCGCCCATGCTGATGTGGAGAGAATTGATATATCTAATGGAGTCCGCGAAGAGGGCGTCTTCCGCATCGAGTGTTGGGCCTTTGAACGGCGGACGCTGGATGCGGGGAAGTCAAGCGACCGAAGCGAACTAGGTATGGCGAGTTCCTATGACGAGCGAAACTGGCGATGGCGAATTTAAGCGTGGAGCACACGAGGAACGAGGGCAATGGCAGAAACAAGGAGCGAAAAAATCGTAACAGGTCGTAACAAGATTCGTGAAAAACAAAAGGGAGTCGAATCACCAGTTTGAAGTGGCCGTCGTGCCCCACGCTGCTCGTAGGCAGAAATCGTGGAAAGAGTTGAGAGTTGAGACGGCGATGTTGATCCCTTGCGCAGCACAACTGCGGGGTGTACCAGTCCAATCTTAAATTAGGTAACGTTAGTGTCCAGGCCCACACGCGCAAGTGGGGCCACATGCCCTGTATGAATCGGATATGCTTACTGTGCAGCCCCTCAAGACAGATGATCCACAACTACTAGTACCCCGCCATGGAGCAAAGTACACTGAGCAGCAGGGCATCGCTTGGAGCTTCCAGGCAATTCCATTCCGCTTGTAGGCATGAGCCATGCTTGCTTAACAAACCACCGACTTTCCCGATCCCATGCTCTAGTTCTTGAAATATAGACGACATATTCTATACAAACGGGCTTCAACCGCGAATTCTTTGCGTTACAATCGCTTGGTCTCTTACCTTGCCTGCTCCTCCAGCTCTCCCTAAGCAAACCGGCGTGATGCCGGATTACAAACTGTCGGCCCAACTCAAGGGTCACGACGGTGATGTACGTTCCGTTGCGTTTACTCTCCGTAGCGGTGGCCAACCGCTGACTTTGTAATTTTCAGGTTCGCGCCGTGTGTTTTCCGACTGCGAGTACCGTACTCTCCTCATCTCGCGATCAGACAGTTCGCCTTTGGCGCAGGACAGCTGATAAACCGCCGACCTTTGATTCCACCATAACCAGCCAAGGCCATGGCTATATCAACTCGCTCACGTTTCTCCGGCCCTCGCCTAGTTGGCCTGAAGGTCTTATAATATCAGCCGGTCAAGAAGCTATCATTGAAGCGAAGCGGCCGAACTTGGTCTCGGCCGACAATGCCGACAGGCTGCTCGTCGGCCATGGCCACAACGTGTGCGCGCTTGATGTATCGCCTCGCGGCACCTACGTTGTGTCCGGCGGGTGGGATGGGAAAGCACTCGTTTGGGGGACAGATAAATGGGAGATATCTGCGCAGCTCGTCCACCAAGGCGAGGTAAAGAGCGTCTGGGCAGTCCTGGCTTACGACGAGCACACGGTTATAACAGGCAGCGCTGACACCAACATCCGCATCTTTGATTTGCGCAAGGTCAACCACGCTAACGAGGTTGAGCCCTGGCGTGTTATTCCTACCAGCTCTGTCGTGCGTGCTCTCTGCAAGCTTCCCGGCGGGTTTAAGGGGCATCCAAGCGGGGCGGAATTTGCGAGTGCCGGAAACGGCGGTGTCATTCAGCTATGGAAGATGAACGGTACCGAACTTGGAACCCTGCACGGTCACGACAGCTTCATCTACTCTCTTGCTTGTCTACCGACGGCCGAGATTGTCAGTTCGGGAGAGGACCGGACAGTACGGATCTGGAGGGGCTCGGAATGCGTCCAGACGATAACACATCCAGCCATTTCGGTCTGGGCTGTCGCCGTATGCCCGGAGAACGGGGATTTCGTCACCGGCGCCAGCGACAACGTGGTCCGTGTCTTCACACGTAATGCTGAGCGCACAGCACCGCCTGAGGCGCTCTCGCAGTTCGAGGACTCGGTCCGGGCCTCAGCAATCCCGCAACAACAATTAGGACCCACGATTAACAAGGAGCAGCTGGATCCCCACAGCTGGCTTGCAATCAATGCCGGCAAGAAGGATGGCCAAGTTAAGACGGTCCTCGAGGAGGACGGGACAATCGGGGCCTATCAATGGTCGTTGAGTAAGCCGGCTCGTTCTCACCCCCGTTTGCTCACATACGCTAATTTTTTCTGTAGGCGAGCAGCGGTGGATCCATGTTGGCACCGTCGTGGACTCTTCGGGAAGCAGTGGGCGGAAAGTTCAGTACGAGGGGAAAGAGTACGATTACGTCTTTGATGTTGACATCGAGGAGGGCAAGCCACCTCTCAAACTGCCGTACAACCTGTCAGAGAACCCCTACGAGGCAGCAACCAAATTTCTGGGGAATAATGGGCTTTCAATAACTTATATCGACCAAGTGGCAAAGTTCATTCTCACAAACACCAAGGGCGCAACGATCGGCCAAAGCTCCGAACAGCCTCCTGCGGACCCATATGGAACCGAGTCGCGCTACAAGCCCGAGCAAGCAGCACAGTCTGCGGCAAAGTTCCTACCACACACCGCATACCTCTCCCTTACTCAGTCCAAATGGGAACCCGTCGCGAAGAAGCTTAGAAGCTTGAATGAGAAACACTTGCTGGCCGGGAACAAGCATATCGCCATGAATCCCGATGGTCTCAGCCGTCTTGAGACAGTTCTCCAAGCAACTATGAGTGCCTCCACCTTGACAAAATCGGAGCGGCCGCCGACGCTGTTGGAGGTGCAGCGCACTGTCTACATGATCCTTACTCAGTGGCCATACAGCGACCGTCTTCCGGCTCTTGATGTGCTCCGCTGTTTGGTAGCATACCCGGAAGCGGCATCACTGCAGGACAATAAATACGGAAATTTCGTCAACATTGTCCTGAGAGGTGCGCTCGATACGGCAAACCCCATTGAGCATGCCGACAAGCCTCTGGCCGAATTCACCACAAGCTTTGACGCATCCTCGGTCAACGTAAACAACGTGATGATGGCGTTGCGCGCCGTGACCAACCTCTTTGGCACGGCAGAAGGCAGGAAGCTCGTGGTCAGAGAAGCCAGCGCCATCGTGGGTCTCCTAGCGCGCGTCGCGGGCGTGCAGGACGGGCAGGCGCCGGTTGGGCCCGACAACAACAACCTCCAGATTGCTCTGACGTCGGCCGCCTTCAATTTCACCTGCCTCGCCTTCAACGAGCGGGACGCGGTCGATCTGGAGGTGCTCATGCAGCTTTGCCAGGTCGCAGAGGGCGTCATACGCCGTCAGAGCGATCCTGAAGTCCTCTTCCGCGCAGCCATGGCTCTGGGCATGATCCTTGCTATTGGCGGCGGGGCGAGGGACGTGGCCAAGACGTTGGAGGTTGGCGAGCCCATCGGCGAGGCGGCGAAGAAGTCTGGCGAGGCGCGCATCAAGTCGCTGGCACAGGAGTGTCTGGCGTATCTGAAACGGTAGGTGGCTTGCCGCTGCCTGGCGTAGTGGACGTATTGGGCTCTTTGTGTTGTAGAAGGCAACGTACAGAAACGGCAGGGTCTTATCCCTTTCTATATCTTGGGTTCGAGAACTTTCGTGGAAGGAGTACCCACGGTTCAAAAACCTGGTCTGAACGGGTTATGAGTGTCGGATAAGATGAGCCCCGGGATATTGTTGGCGCTAATAGATGGGAAAAATGGAAGCATGCAATGGTCACAGTACCGTGGAATGAACTCCGTTTTGCGATGCCAAATTGTTTACAAGCGTAATCCGAACAGGACCCGTGAACTGTGAACAGGGCTCCATCTCCCATTGTGAGAGCCGCCTGCAACTGTGATCAGGGTCCCGACCACCTGTTTCCGAGGCAGTCCCACCCTGTATCGCTCTCCGCCCGGCGGCTGGCGACACGCATTTCTGAGTTTTTGACACTCCTAGCTTCCTCCATCTTTGGGTGAGTCGATATGCGCCAAATTCGCAACGTGGTATATCATTGAGGGGATTGAGACCCCTTCAGCGTCTCGCTGTCTTAGCAATGCTGTCCAGGGTGAGCCATAAGTAGCAAATCACAACTTTGTCTGTAAGTGATTCGTGATTGTTTCCGTTCCCAATCTATCATGATAGTTTACTGCTTATGCGGTGCAGTTACGGTTCTCAGACCATGGAACGTCAGGAACCTCGGTTCCAGTTCAAATCGACTCGGATAGAGTTCCAACGTGTATGCCTTTATACAAGTTCAGAGAGTACAACAGGCAAGATGCAACTTGGCTGGGGAATAATTCCCTGGTCAGCTTTGCCGATAGAATTGTCAATCATCTGGCAACCGCATACGCTTTGCTTCAGCCTCTGTCAGGCCTGCGCTTCAGTCCATAATAGCAACGCCCATCCCATCAAAAGAATAGGACTGTCATGGCGGCTACTCCAACAAGCCACTTTCTTCCAAGGCCAAGCCAAGCAACTGTCCCAACACGAGGGAAAGGGACATGATGCCGCCTGCTTGACATCCCCAGCTGCTCCATCCTCCCATGGAGGAAGCCAAAGAAAGGTACAGGAAAACAAAGAAGAATGTCCCCGAAACGCCTGCCCATATGCCACACGCACACACACAAAAAAACCGAAAAATGTACAATCGCAGCCCAGTCTCAGCACGGCCGCAAAATCACCACACCCTCCCACCAGTATCGTTCGCTTCACAGTAGCGCCCACAGCCCGCCCACTAGCAGAGGAAGATACCCGATATAGGCAAGCACATTGCCACCGACCCGGAATGTGCGCCCGGCGCCGCTGGTCGCACCATTCACTGTCTGGCCCGATGCGCGGAGAGTGATTGAGTAGATATCAGCGACGCCAATCTCGGTGGTGTTGAAGCAGTTGGTCTCGTTAACCTCTGCCAGGCGCGGGTCGCCGGGCTCGACAAAGGTGATATCGACACACTGTGCAAGCCAGGTTAGTCATTCGTCCGGTTGCCAGAGAATTAGGGACGGGAAGGCATACGGAGTAGAGAGCGGCGCCATGAACCGCCAACTCGACCACCTGGATGGTGGCATTATCGCCAGGCTTGACAACCGTGTTGGCGGGCAGCGGCACCTGCGGCAAGCAGACGGTGCCCGGATAGGGGTTCTTTGTGGGGCCGAGAATCTGGAAGGGAGTGATCATGGGGAAGCTCATGTTCGGGGGCCCGCCTTTCGGTCCGAGCTCGGGTCCTTCGGTGCCGAAGCCCATGTTGATGTAGATCATGGCCGTTGCGTGTCCCTGGAACCAGCCCGGCTGGAAGGCGATGGCGCCGCCTACTGTCGGCCAGTACGTCCTGTTTGCTGTCGCTTCCATTCCACCGCCTGGTCACGGCTGTCAGTACGGTACGCAGTCTAAGCGGCGGGTGAGGCGCGTCAGAACCTACATGGATACATCCATTGCATGCCATATGGGAACGACTCGTTCGTAATTAGGTTGTTGCCTCTCCACCCGGGATACGTGATAACAATGTGCGCGGACGCCAGCGCCGCTCCGGCGACTGTGAGCAGTGCTGATGAGAGCATGATGAGGATGGGTCTGGGGTGTCGGTGAAAAGGTCCGAGAAATGGCGGATCGTGTTATCAGGGTTCAAACCCGCCTCATTCTATTCCTCGCGAACGTCCCCTCTTTTGAACCTCTGGGTATCTTTTTATATCTCAACTGCAGCCACCTGTCTCCCGACTCTCAGCCTTCGGTGTTTGCGTGCCGGTGAAGTGGTGGCGAGTCTGGATGCCACCAAGCACGACAGTAGTTGGGATACCCGGAATCGTTGTCGAGGACACTTTGTAACGGCGCACCTTGTTCGAAATCGCAATCCGAAGGGAATCAAAGAAAAGACAGAACAAAGACCCGGCCCGCGGGCAGCAGGAGGGTAATATCTCGCGGCATCAGCCATTGCAGCCATTCCCCTCCTCTCTCCAGCCGCCCAGGCCTGTCACTGCAACCAATCTTGCAACCCCCCGTGCAGAGGGACAAAGTGACCCCTCGCATGCACCCATCAAAGACAACCAATGAGGGTGGCTTTTGGGCAGCAGATGCCTGTGAACGGCCCGGCCATTCACAGCTGGGGGAGATGCATGCCGTGCTGCGCCGAAGCTCCCGCCCCCTGTCACCGGAGGTGGCTGCGGCCAATGGGAGACGGCATCTGACCGCTCGGCTGCTGGCGAAGCGGCGACGCTTGGGTGAATCACTTGGCCAATGTCGTTCCGGGAGTCGACAATTCGTTCAAAACCAATCACAACCAGCCGGTCCAATCGGTGATAGCACCGCCTTGGCTTTGGGGGGATGTAGGGACCGTTCGGGTCGAGCGGTTGAAGAGCCACGTCTCTCCCTCGGCATTCTGCTGGTGGGACCTGCATCTCATTCGCCTTGCTTTTAGCCCAACCTGGGATGTTGAGCCCAGAGAGATAGAAAACTGGAAGATGACAATGCGTGATGTTGCACAGCAGATTTCTGGTCAGTTTAAGCCGGATCGCATCGGATGTTCGCCCTCCAACCCTTCGTCGAGGCTAAGCGCCCTGACTCCCAGTTTGGAAACCAATGATGTGACGCTCCACAATCCGTGAGGGTTGCTACTTTTGTGAGAATCCGGGTCTTGCCTGTTGTTACACAAACCAGCCATGATCTCAAATTACATGTACGTACTCCGTATACCCCGTACGGGTACGCCATGAGAGACTTGCTCTAGACGGGAGCGCCTAATGTTCCAGATGCAGTGAAGCAAAGCCCAGAGTGAGACCTGTGTGAGTTTTGTTGCCCTGTCGCTGTCAGGTCTCGCAGCGAGCAAAGGGTTGCCTTTGGGGGGCGACGTGGATTTATTAGGTATGTACTCCACCTAGGGCACGCGGGTCCATCCGGAGTGGTGTCACTTCGTCGAGTACTTCGTACACAACCGCTGAGCTGACTCGACCATGTGCAATCTGAGAACGAGAGCCAAGAGAAAACCGCCACGGTATCAGGTAACACCGCTACAGGTATACATATGGATGACATAAAAACTTTGATTCGATGGTGAGATCCGATAGTTATCGATCTGCAAAGGAGATGAACCCGTTGAGAAGGGAGAACAGGAAACAACTTTGACGACCGCTTTCCCCAATTCGCACTTCTCTTACAAGGTGGGGCTGGACGTTACCATAAACGACAGGCGGTGAGAATTTTAGGCTTATCGTTTGGTGCTTATCGCATGCAACTGCTCGCCAGATTTCGACTGGTCAGTTGCGACTTACGAATTTGGGCAAGCTCGAGACGCAAGCTCTGGAGTTTGGGCAGCATTGAGCAATGAGGGGAGTTCAATGAAGAGGAAAAATTAGATATTGTTGGAGCTGTCTAGCCACCTAAGCAGATTCCCCTGGGCACAATCACGCCCATTACCCACCCTCCTCTATCCCTCCCACAAGTCCAACTCAGCCTGCCATCGGACACAATGGCGGCCCAAGAGGAAGGCGAGTGGAACCAAGTTAAGCGCAAGAGGGGCCGTCTACGACCCGTGCCGACGCCACAGCCGGACCCCGGAGCCGATGCCACAGCCGACAGCATCCTGCCGAACCCAAACCCGGAGTTCTCGGCCGAGGATCTATGGCGGTACCACAAGACAGCAACCAACGACTGGCAAGTATTAGAATGGTGGGAGCGCATGAAGGCAGTAATGGAGCTGCTCAAACAACAACCAGATCGCCCAACCATCACCACAGCCATATGTCTCGGCCCTGGCCCTTACGAGCCAAGTAATGGCAGTGTCACGGCAAGGCGAACAGCTCATATGCAGACGGCCGCCTTTTGCTTCATTGTCGACCATTTGAGTTAGGCGCCCCCTTGCCTTTCCAACGACAGTGTCTCTACGATTTGAAATCGCTGACAAGGCTGACGTAGGATCATGGAGTGGTAGAGATATCAGATGCGTTGTCCAGGAGCCTCGTTTTACACAGACAGACAGGGAATTTTGCACTAGACTTGGTCTCGAAGTCGTCGACAGCCCAGACGCCTTCGCCATGGTGGATGAGAACACGCTGCTTTATGGCATCCACATGGAACTCGACATCTACAATCAAGCGCTCGCGAGTCTTCCTGGGCTCTTTGTCGGCGCTAGCTTAGATGAGTGGGAGAAAGTTGTCGACCACGACTACAAGGCAAAGTCTCCCCTTGCTGCTTTCTCAACCATGGACGCTACTTATGCCAGCTACACTTTCCCGGACTTCGATTACATGTTCTCAAGCACCATCATGTATTGCCGAAGGAGTCAAAATTGAAAGCACTCTCTAGGAGTAGCCCCCCGGTGTTTCAAGTCGCCCATGCTTTGAAGTGCACTTGCTTGCTTGCTCTGGAATACTCCACCAGATAACCAGACTGTTTCGGGGGAACCACAAGTCGATACCGAATCAAATCAGGGTTCCGAGGTCAAGCTGACTGCTGAGGAGGCCTTGAGCCTGAAATCAGGTTCCGAATCATCTAGTACTAGTAGTGGTCGTCACTAACCAGAGCATATTAGGTTTCTGGTAACCATTTCGAATTATAGCTAAGGGCACAGCGTATCCTGTTCACAGGTTTCAACCAACTACCACCAGTCCAGTGACCCATTGATTTTCGAGCAAGCACCTATGTATCGAAATCATGGAACTCTACATTTCGGTTACTCTACTAGTAGCAACATACTTTGGGCTATAGTCTGGGCTGTCGAGCAGTACGAACACGTCTTGAAATGTTTCAGCGCTCAGCAAACCGCTGGCGATGCTATGAATGATGTGCATGTGATAACTCATTCTTCTTCACAAAGCTTTCTGCAGTCTAGCAGACTCGCCGATTGTTTGTTTGAAAGCAAATCACTAGGTACCAGACCTGAGGAGAGAGCCGAGATCGGCTGGCAAGTAATGCATCTGCGCGCGGATGCTGACACACCGAACGATATTGAAGGCAAATTGAGCCGGAGGTGATGGCAATGGACAAAGCTGACGTGCTTTTTGTCTGGAGTTACATCCACCCGGTAAATCAAGGATTACTAGTGTTGATGGGGGATAAGAGTTCCCCCAAGGGCCTAGTCCACACTCATCGTCGATGGTCGGCTGACAGTTGTTAGTAATGCCCAGCTCAACCGACAGAAACAAGCGGCGGTAGAAGCCAGAATGGAGACTATGATTGATACACACGACAATCCTTTTATGCACCCACCGCCCTTTCTGTGCATTCCGTCGATTCAAATCATCCCCTTTCCCTTAATTAAACTCTCCTGATTTCATAAACCTTCTCAGCATGCCTATCGACTTTCATCTCGGCTCAAAGGAGGGAGCCACCCGTACCGCTGCCGCCAGCTTTGCAAACAATGTCCTCAAGCCGGCCCGCGCCGAGTACCTCAAATACGAGCAACACCACGAGCGATTCCAAGCTACCCGGCCCACCTATGCCGCTGCCGTCCAAGGCGGCCTGCTCAAAGGCCAAATCTCACCTGCCCATGGCGGCACCGGTGGGACGCTCATCGAGGCGGCCATCCTGGTGGAGGAGTGTTATTCCGCCGAGCCATCGGCCGCTCTCACCATCTTCGCCACCGGCTTGGGCCTAACCCCGCTGAACATTGCGGGCAAGCCTGGGCACGCCGAGTTTCTGGCCCCCTTTCTCAGCGGCGAGGACGCTCCTCTGGCTTCGCTGGTATTCAGTGAGCCCGGCGGAGTTGCCAACGCCCTGGAGAAGGGTGCGCCCGGCTTGCAGACCACAGCTCGGCGGGACGGCGACGAGTGGGTTATCAATGGCGAGAAGATGTGGGCGACCAACTGCGCGGGCTGGGACTTTAGGGGGTGCGACCTGGCTTGTATCGTTTGCCGTGATGTGACCGACGGCGAAACCCTACAGCCGGAACGTAGCGACCCCAAAGACCGCGTCATGATCATCCTGGTCACCCGTGCCGACCTCGATCGGAACGGAGCCGGCGCTTTCGAGGTTGTCCGTCACATTTCGATGCCGGGCCACACGTCGGTTTCCGGGCCGCACGTGCGATACACCAACGTCCGCGTGCCAGCCAAGAACGTTCTCTGTCCCCCCAGCCAGGGCGCTCAGGTCGTCTTTGCCTCGTTTGATGCTAGCGCCGTGCTTGTCGGTGCTATGAGTGTCGGTCTCATGCGGGCGGCTTTTGATGCGGCACTGGGCTTTGCCAGGCGAGACTCGCGCAATGGTGCGGTGCCGCTGCTAGAACGCCAGGCGTTTGCCGACTTGCTGTCCAATGTCAAGATGCAGACCGAGGCGTCGCGAGCCCTGACTTGGAAGGCTGCCCACGCCATGGAAAATGGGCCCGGCGACTACAGCGCGCGACGGGAGTTGGCGTTGGCGGCAAAAGTCTACTGTAGCGACGCAGCCGTCAAGGCTTGCATGGACATCATCAACGCGGTAGGAGTGTGAGTTAAGCTACTGGAAGAATGGGAGTTTTATCTCGAGTCCGTACATGTACACGCTGACACTGAGACAGCACGGCTTACGACCTGAGCCAGCCATTTTCTGAGTTGCTCAATACTGCCCTGGCGCTTCCCATCTTCGATGGAGGCAACGTTGGAATTCGGAGGCGCCACTTACAGCAGCTCATGCTGCTGCCGTCTTACGATCCATGGGCAGCAACGTACGGACCCTCAGAAAGCAATTAACATGAAGCGGCGCACTCTGGAACGGAAAGTCAAGGGCATTCAGGCATCCTATGTTCCGAGATCTAAATTGAAGTTGCCGAGGGAAAGGGATCCAGGAATACATGATACAAGAGAACATCAGGTGGTAGGTGGGCAAACGGAACCTCCTGCGCTTGACAACACGGTACACAGGAGGAAAAGCGGTTCCCCATTTTGATGTCTACAAGGGCAAGCAAGGTGTCCTATGTAGAACACCAGATTCAAATGCTCATGATCGCTACCGCTACCTATGTATGCTGGGTGATGTGGTAGGTATGGCATCGTTGCCTCCAGGGTATTCAGGCTCGGTACTCAATGCTTGCGGCTTGCCTAAAACCTTCCGTGTCTACGCAACTGATAAGTAAAGAGCATACACTAGAACGTATCAGTGGTCAAAATATTAGGTACATATATGTTCCTGAGCCTAGACTGCCTTCAGTTACTTCCAAGTTCCAATAACTGGTGGAACCTGGAAGTAACGTATGTGGTGGAACTTTTCTACAAGTGAGAAGCCAAGGCGGGTCGTGCACTATTGAACCAGGATCCTCTAGCGTAGACAGATAAGACGGCCTTCCCTTTCTATGGACGGGCTTGAACAAGCTTTCAGTCAAGCAGTATCCGTAGGATAATTCCAAATGTTGGACAGCTCCCAGCTCGTTACACGAAAGGTATCATGGACAGGCCAACACGATGAGCGCTGTTGGCAATGCATCTTTCTCCACCCCGTGCCACTGTGGAGGCACGAAGATAGCACGTCAAAGCGCGGCACTCACGATCCAATTTCGCGAAATTGCGGCGGGTCCGTGGTGGAAGGTGGAAGGAAGGACCAATCCTTGGCGACGCCATGTTCAGGGCTGGGTTGCAGTGGCACCAGGGATGCCTTTCTCCTTCTTTCCTCCTTCGTTCGTTTTCTCCATCTCAGGCAACCTGCGCTCCGGCGCGATCGAATGGTGCCAACCGCTACAAACCCGGCCGCAAACCGAGAGGATCTGTGGCAGCGGAACGGATCGCGCCAAGGAGTACGGTATTTGGTCGCAACGGGAGCGGAATGGACCCCTGGCTCTGATCATCCAAACCATGGACCCACCACACCGCCGAGGATCTTCGCCCGGACCGCAACCGCAACCGCAACCGCAACCGCAACCTGAACCACACGACAACGACAACAACCGGCATCATGTCCGCTTCGCCGAGGTGACGCCATCGGTTAGCCATGGCAAGACGTCCCAGCAGATCCCAAGAGGCGGGAAACCGACGGCCGGCGCAACCGCTGACTCTACACCGCCCGCTGTGTATTGGGACGATCGTGACGAGACAAACCTCGACCAGTACACCTTCTACCGTGAGGGGACTCCACCGCCTGCCGACTATGAGATTCATGAAAAGACGCTCGGTCATGGAGATCTGAATGACCCGGTAGCGGAGAGCACGGCTGCAAGTGGAGGTGTGGGCGGAAGCGAACGCAATTGGAGTCTCACCGATAGCAATGACTTGGGTCCCACCACCAAGAATCGAGCCTTTTGGATCAAGGTTGCCGTTGCCGTATTGATTCTTATTGGAATTGCCGTAGGACTTGGAGCCGGACTTGGAGTAGGCCTGTCAAGGCCGTCAGCACAGCCGGCACAACAGCCATCAAGGTCCGTAGCAGCTTAATGCACCCCTGGCAAGGCTGCTCATGGCTACTGACAGTTAGCTAATGCAGTTCAGCAGCTCTCTCCCTGCATCACTAATGGACGGTGGTCCAACGCCAACAAACTCCCAATCCACCTCTACCTCCAGTACTCAGCCCGCCGAAACATCCTCAATGGAGGCGGCGTCCCGGCCAGAGTACAACTCAGATTGCCCGGCCTTGAACAACACAATCTACTTCGTTCCAGGTTCAACCAGGAGTTTCTTGCGACTCTGCGGCATCGACTACAGCGGTGATGGCGCCACCGATTTGGCACACCTCTACACAAGCAGCATGGCCGACTGCATGAACGTCTGCGCTTCCAATTCGGAATGCGAGGCTTGCTCATGGGGCTACATAGCCGGCGATGAGGACAGCAGGCATCGTTGCTACATGAAAGCTGACCTGCGGGAAGCCCATAAAGCGGACAGCGATTGGTGCTTTGCGATTTTGCAATAACTTGACTGCATCCAGCTCTTTCACATTACGCTGATAGATGACAGAGATACCCCATGTACATGCCCCTAGACTTTTAGCATTTATAATCTGTAATGACTTTACGCCCTTCGAACCGTTTTGTACATGCTGTCCCTCTACAACTTCAGACTGGCCGAGCTTTAAGCTCCTGAGTCTTATTCCAATCTTTGTTTACTCATTCAGCGATATCGAATCTACATCACCTCCGCAATACTATCTTCCAGATTGCAGCTCCGACGCTGATAGAGATTCACGGCAAAACTTGAGACCAACAACACCAGACGAGTCTCCTCGATGATCCACCATCCTTACGCGATACATACAGACCCATTCGTGCCGCCAGCGGTTTACATGGCATTTCCCCTGCCTCGTGTCTTCCTGCGAGAAGACAGCACCAGCCCGCCTATTCGTACACGCCCTCGCAAAAACCCTCCTCTTTCTGAATTGCTCCACACTCATCAAGTGTCGGCCATATCATCACGAGGTCACCTTGAACTACACTCGAAGCGGGGCCTTCGCTTTTACATTACTGACCTTCATTTCTTCATCGAACACCCCCGGTGCGTCATCAAAGGCCTCAATCTCCACGAACGGAACGAGTATTAGCCCCGCACCTACTTGGCTACCTTTAACATTGCATTACCACATACCTCTCAAGCCCACTGACATGGTGCTGTCGTGCTCCCAGCCAGGGAAGCCCTTAAATGTCATTGCTACGTTTAAACACTGGGTTCTACTAACAATTCATGTCAGCGAAGCGGTGAGGATGGTATAACAGACCTGAGCCGTGAGTCATGTCTCGCTTCAGGACGAGGAGGGCTGCTACATCTCCTTTGGTGTATTGCTCACACGGTGAAAAGGGGAGACCGCTAGATCGTTCGGTCCGGAAAGATTCGGGTTGCACGTCCGTGAAAGAGCTTGGTGACTGGAAGCTGTTAGCGGCGGGCTGGGAGGGGACCCCGAGGGCCCACTGGCGGCATCAGAGGTATCGGACGTGGGCACGAGGGTGGGTGGGGCGCGGTATTTTAGGAAGGGGGTCGTGTGCATTTGGGGGAGGACCAGACCGTTGATGGTGAACGACTCATGATGTAGGGCGGAGGAGGTGGTGGTGGTGGATGGGGAGAATGGGAGGGGAAGTGGTTGGTTGCACAGCCGGTGAAGAGTCAGGGTCCAGGTGCGTGATCATTATGATACATTGCAAACTCTAAAGCTGTTGGTTGGCTAATTGAATTTGACGGAGCTCGGTGAGGACATCCAATTGCAGCTAGACAGGGTCGTCTAAAGAAAAACAGCATATCATCCTTGATTGTGCAACAGGCGGAAGCAATTCCGGGTTGGCTTCACCTAGCCAACGGGTACTTGGCTTGCCCATCATAAGGTACCCGACTTGAGCCCGGCCTCCCCCAACACCCGAGGCCGGTTAGTGGATCTTTGGCAGCATATTCGCGGCTTCCATTTCGCCAAAAACGTCTGACAACGACTTCCATGTGTCTTGGTATCTGAAACATGGTCAGCATCTTCCGTTTGACGTGTCTCGGATACAATTGGTCGACTAGAACTTACCCCGTCCATCCAGCCTCCCTTGCCTTGCTCATGCTGACGACAATATCGTAGTTGCGCCCAAGAACAAAATCAATGAACGCCCACGTCCCTTGGTCGAGTGCGTCGGCCTGCAGTTTCTCGCGCTCAGCCAGCCGCTGCCACGCCTTCCTGACGTCGTCTCTCTTGCTCCACTTGACCAGGCTGATCCTCTGCTCCAGTTCGCTCGGCCGAATCCGGCCGCGGAGCCCTGCCTCCTCCGCAACGGTGCTGATAGGCGGCTGTGGGCCGAGCCCCGTCTTACTCGCCAGCTCCGAGTCGCCAGCGAATTGGTCCGGGTTGACCCTCATACCGAAGCGTCGCGCCAAGCGCGGCCACAGGTTCTGCCATGATTCGACGTCGCCGTTGACTACGTTGAAGGTCTGATTGGCCGCTTTCGGTTCCAACATGGCCCATTCGCAAAACTCGGCGTGGAGCTTGGACGAGGTGAAGCTGTCGAATTTGGTGTAAAACGTCTCGGACCCGGGGAATGCAAGGTCCTGGCCTAGCTCCTTGCTCACGGCTGCGTAGATGCCGAGACCGGCGGCAAGGTTCATGAAGTTGCCCTTGGCGAAGCCGATGACATCATTGGGGTACGTGACCACCCAGCTGATGCCCGAGTGTTTCTCGCAGAAGGACCTGAGGATATCCTGCTGCCTGTAGTAGAAGTTGGGAGGGAACTGCTCGTCCCGCAGCCAAGGGTCCGTTTCTAACATGGGGTTCTTTGCCCGTCCTAGGTGCACGCCGTATTGCTTGCAGCCAGTGACCAGGAGGATGCGCTTGACTGTGTTGACCGCTCCCGTGATTTCAAGGGCTCTCAAAAAGTTATCAATCATGTCGCCTGGTGGTGTTGTCAGTCACTGCTTGTATCTACACGGCAACCACTAACAAGCAGCTCGGCTGGACTCACCGTTTGTCCGCCAATTCTCCTCCTCCGTGTCCTTCTGCAGATAGGCTGCAAAGAACACATACTGCGCTTCAACACCCTCTAACTGCTTGGCCATGTCCTCGGCCGAGTCCAGTAGATTGATGTGGCTGTGATGCACATTGGACGGATACTCGTCCTTCTTGCTGCGAGAGAGAGCGTATACCGTCTTCCAGGTCCCCTGGTTCTGGCCGAGCCGTTTGACAATCTCTCGACCAAGGATCCCTAGGACTTGTTAGCCTACGCTTCGGACATGACTTGATTCCATGTGAAGTGGACGGCATCGCCTACCCGTTGCTCCTACTACAATCGCGGACGGCATTCTGGATCAGGCTGTGAGCGAGTGGCGGTTTTGGTGGTTTGGCAATTCTAGTCTCTTGTTCCTTGCAGTTTCAAAAGATAGAAGGTGTAGTTGAAAACGGATGAGACTGGACGATTACCGAGACCATCCAGAGCAATACTGATTTAGGTGTTGATAAGGGCAATTCTCCACCTCGAGTGTGAGCAGCAGACTACATGACGTCAAGTATACTCCACGGATAGCCAGAATGCAACACAGCCTCTACCTATGAGATCATGTCGTTAATCGCAGGCTTGTGTCGGTATACGCTGATATGGCGATGAACGGCTTCTAAACTGTTCTATAATTCTATTGATTCGTTATTTTTACTCATGATAATTGATGCCCGGCTGATCATGGCTCTCGGATATGTCCATTCCGTTTCCGAGTTCCGACAACCCTCAGCTGAAGAGTGAGATCTATGAGGCCTCAGACGTCTCGAGCAGAGTAAGATACTGCCTCGTCCAATGTTATGAACTTTGGACTGCCATGAGCCCTGCTGAAGTTTCTAAACTTGGACTCTTTACCTTTGGGTATCAGTACCCGGAATTTGACACTGACTGACTCAATTCAACCGCTCATCTACTCTAAGAATATGGCCTGATCATCTGATGAGTTCAGGCGTTGACTTACAGAAGTTAATGAAACTATTTCATAGAAGAGTTTAAAGCATTATGCCTAACGTCCAAGGTCGAAGGACTCCACAGATCTGAGATATCTAGTACGGTTGCCGGTGTTACGGAGTACCTTACCCTTTCAGGGTATTATTAGCCCGACCGCCCGAGGCCCTGCGCCCGAAGTACGGTGTAGTCGCCGAATTATGGAGTAATCGTTCGAGTGCTCTCATATACCGTGACATGATCAAGAGTCGTCGGTATAGCATCAAGCAAGACTAATAACAAGCGAAATTACAGAGCAGACACGCGCATCCGCTGTCGGGAATGAGTGAGCAAGTTCAACTGTGTGAAACGTTACCACCAAGATTTGCGCTGTTTGGTAGTGCTCCAGGGCAGTGCAAGTGTTTACCAAATGGCGGTCACAAATTTGACAAATGAAAAGCCAGCGACTCAGGGACTCCCTATACTTTTCCAGCAATTTTAGCCGTCTACAGTTCCCTTGCACCTGCACGTTTTGCAGACTGCTTCCGCTCTCCGGACGGCGTGCATCTTCTCGCGGCGGGTTCCGATCAAAGTACCTGAGTACTGTTTCCACAATGCTTCTACACGTGTGCACTAGCGTAGTTCTCTGGGGTCTCGCTTGGCCAGATCTCGTCTCCCTCGGGGTTTACTACCAGGAAGAATTCTTAGGCGATCGCCTAGCGTGTGGGTTTGGCTACTCCGTACGGCGTCTCGCTTCGGCGTCTCACGGTGCTTGCAACATCGGGCAGGTCCCAGGACCTCAGGCATCAAAGATGTACGGTAGAGGCCTCACGCTAGGGGATTTGATGGGCATGAAACATACTGAATGAAAATTCTCCTGGGCCAAGTTGAGCGCTGTGAGCGTGCCTCTGGGTGCTGCACTCCCAAGGTGCAGAGAAAGTGCTGACTGCTGACTCGTGAATGGACAGCGACGACGACCCGAGAAACGAGAATCGTCCCACTGTTACACGAGCCGCCCTAGCGCGATGCTCCCGTGCACCTTTTTGCGTTTTTTGACTGCCCGCTAGTCTGCACCTGCGGGAAAATCTAATTAACACCAAGTCAAACAATCTCGCACGGCTCTCGTCAATCTCGCGTCAAGGCTGGGCTTCGATTGTGGCTGGCGATCCTCACCGTTCTTTGACCTTATCATGGGGTCAAGGAAAGATGCAACCCGGGGTTGCGGCAAGTTCCAGCGCCGGCTTCGCCGCCCAGTTCAGAGCTGTGGCTGTCCCGTCCCGTTCCCCTGAGATTAGGCGGCCACGGGATAGGCCCACCGCCAAACCCGCGTGGGGAAAACCCCGATCCTCATCCCAGATTCCCAGCCGAGCACCGTTGGGGACCCGGGGAACGCGTGAGAAGTTGAAGAACAACACTGAGTGCCGAGGGAAACAATCTACGCGCTCCACCGCCTTGGGACGGCCCTTTTACCCACGACTGGCGCACACCTCAGCCACAAGCTTCCTTCCTCATCGGGTTGCACGCTTTGAGCTGAAAAGAGCGGTCGCGCGGATCAAAGCCAATCAGGGTCGACTCGGAAAGGGTGCGGGTCCGACTCCGCCGCTGCGGGATGCAGGCATGATGCTTAGACGAAGCGAAAGCCAATCGCCACTGTCAATCCGTTACTAACCCTACCGGCCGCTCCAGAACCTTGGGTGGGGACTGAAGCCACACATTGCATGCATGCAGATCGAGCACAACTGGCACGTTACTTTCTGACATAACGCCGCCTGGTGGCCGATATGCATGAGCCGTAGGGCTGAAGGCGTGGAGCAATCGGCGAAGGGATGCGCAGACATCCTTGCCGTTCCAGGGTGCATACTGGTCCCGAGAACTTTCCCCTCAGAATTCGGGGTGCGATGAGGACTTTCATAGGCCGGTGGGATGGTGTGAAGCCGCTGTACTTATAAGCTGTAACACGCCATGCTTACAATCTACAGAAACTAAGAGGTTTGCTCGCTTCTATCAAGCATTTCACAGACATTGCTGCCGAACGCTGTCTCGGCTCTCACTGTCGTCCGCCTCTACTATCTCGAAGCTATCAGAGTCATCCTCTCACACAAACACCCCTTCATAGTCAACATGCTAGGGATATCAAGGACAAGTTCGCGTTCTTCGCAGGATGCTCCAGCCCCGAGGCAAAAGACCCGGCAGGTGTGGACGCCCGACGAGGACCAAAAGCTCTCCGAGGCCGTGGCAAAGGGTGAGTGAGGACTCTGTGCTAGCATCGGCGTGTTGCTCCAAAAGTTCGCACGCTTGATCAACGACTGACAAAGTAACCACACCGGCAGAAACCCCTAAGAACGGCACAGTCAGTTGGCACAAAGTCGCCGGCCATCTACCTGGGCGCAACAACAAGGACTGCCGGAAACGCTGGCATTACAGCATCGCCAACACCATCCGAAAAGGCACATGGATGAGGGAGGAAGACGAGAGGCTTCGTGAGGCCGTCGAGCTCTACGGTGCGCGGTGGAGCAAGATTGCAGAGGCTGTCGGCACCCGCAACGGGGACCAGTGCTGGAAGCGGTGGTACGACTGCCTCGACCCTCGCATCGACAAGAGCCCTTGGACGCCGGAAGAGGTATGTAGCTTTGACCCTCTTGCTTGTTCAGGTTTCCAAATACACAGTGCTCACCAGGTATGCGTTATAGGATGCGAAACTCCTCGACCTAGTATCTAAGAATGGCCGAAACTGGAGCGACATCGTACATCAACACTTTCCCAACCGGACATCCCTGTCGGCAAAGAACAGATACAGCATCCTCCGCCGCAAGCAAGCCGGGAATGCATCCAAGACAAAGGCTGAATCCATAACGTCAAGCCCAAGCCTTGGACATAATCTCAGCATACCCCCAACGCCTTCACCTTCATACGCAACTCCCGAGCCAGATATGGTTTCGAGCTGGATGGACCTCAGCCAGACCGAAATTGACGAGCTCCTGCAACCATCATACCAGATGGCTGCCTACACTGACACATGGTACACCGGCAGTGCTGGCAGCGATGCTTCGGCCAGCCCGAGTCCTTATATGGGGTGCGATTTGGACTGGAACGGTTCAAGTCCTGATGCCGTAACTACTGCTGCCTGGCCTTCGCCCGCTTGTCTCGGCTCCGACTCCAATCTACTTGCTCCACCGCCGGCTAACGCGTACTACCCGCGGTCTCAGCCATCGTCGGCATCATCAACGGCAAACACCACCGGGATGGGCTACAACATTCTTGGAATATATCAACACAGTATGAACTTTCAGCAGACATCGAGTGCGCCCCTATATGAGTCTGGTGAGGGGTTGATGGCTCAGAATGCGGCGGGCAGTTTCCAATATGGCCTTGGGAGAGATTGGTGATGTAAAACTAGATACCTAGACTGGGACTGGGAGGATTGTTCTCACGAAACTCAAGATTGAACGCATGAAGTGGAGTTTGGGTCTAAAGCAAAGCCAGGATGCTTAAGCTGTCATTGGAGCATCGATTAACCAAAAGAGAAAGGCCACTCAGCCAGTATTAGAGAGCCAGAGTTTGCTCCATCTTAACTAGATACCTTACTCTAGTAGTAGGAACTGAAGTCTGAAGAGCATCGGGGCTGGACCTTCGTCTCTTGGGTGCAATATACCTAAGTACTACTGTACTAGTAGACGCTACACCTTCCATAGGGCCCAAAGAAACAACCCACAGTTTGTTCTGTCTGCTACGATGAAAGTCATCGCTTGCTCCTGGCCTACATTCTCACAGCCAAACTAATCTGTCCTAACCCTTCCGGCTGTCCGTCTCTGTAACGGTCACGAATGTATGAAACCTGGAAGCCCGTCTACCTAAGTGCCTACCTGGTAGAAAGTGCACGTACCCTCACCCAGTCTCGGGCGTCTTTTGGCGGTCATGTTTGCGTTGCAGTGAGACGAGACTATAGCAAGTGTAACGTGCTATCCAAGCACAAATCATCTCAGACCGCTCCGACTGAATGCTGACTTTGATCATGGTGTTGCTGCCCGCTGCGGCATAGCTAGACGATCCAGGTTTGCAAGTTGTTTTGCTCCTGTGTAGGTGGTTAAAATATCATTCTCAGGGCCCGGGGCAATCTCACTGTTTATAATCACTACCGCTGGTTAGGGTCATGACAACTCTCTCGGCCCTAATCGCTCCGTCTTGTCCGAACTCCGAGCTGCAATAACACCCGCCGATCACTTGCATGCCGCTAGCCGGGGGCACTTGGACATGGCCGTGACCATATCCGCATATCGCAGTCAGCGCTCTCCTTGCAGTTGAAGAATACTTCTCTGCTCATAGAGTCTCTGAGTGATCTCAGCCTTTCAGGTTTGAGACTTCGGCGTCCGTTCTTAGATGTTCGCAACTTCAGTCTTCGACTTCCAAGTTCGAAGTTCGCAGCATTCTCAAGCCTCCTAAAGCCAATAAAACAATCTTAAATCAGGAAGTCGTTCACAGAGCCCTGTCCAGGGTTGTCTAAGTGCATTCAATAAGCGAAGTTCTAACAAATCATGAAGTTCAAGTTAACCCGTCTTACAGTGTCATTCTTATACACAACGCCGCATATCCACATCTATTTCAGGGACATCAGGGTTCAATTTCCCCACTTAAATCACTGTTATTGGTTATCGAGTCGTTTGCCGAGCCACAAGCCCAAATGGCTGGGGCTTTCAGGGGTGATCTCACAGGTAATCAGCCCCCTGAGCTCGTAAGTTTTCGCATGAACCGGCCAAAAATCTCTTTTCTCCAACAAGTCGACGATAGTCAACAAGCAGATCAGCCATTGCCGCCAAAAAGAGCATGCACACTTGACTAGTATGAACTGTCTCCTGGATAATTAACCTGCTTGAGCCAGATTCTGGAGGCCTCTGTTTCCAAGAGTCAAGATGGAATCCATAATGCGTTTGCAACATGAAGTTGCAGGCTTGGACGCAACAAATCATCACAATGATCACATGCAGAAGCAGGCTCTAATAAACTCTCCCAAGGTGCTCACCGAGACTGCAAAGAATCGCATATGCATATTTCAAGAGAATGAAGTAGATCAGGGCTTAGCACCCAAGAAGCGGGTGAATTCAAGCTCGCGGTATACAGAAATGCTAATCAAAGTTGTCAGCACGTCTAACATCCTAGGGTCAGTTCTGGAGACATACCTTGACAGCCTCTATTTTTAGGACTGAAATACTACACCGCGGTACCTACCTCCACCAAGTAAGGCAACTCAACGTCGAAGTCGATCCAAAGCTCGGCCTAACAGAGATCATCACCCGGGGTCAACAGTAATGCGGGTGAATGACGGAGTAAGCGTTCAAGGCGACGACCTTGGAGAGTCTTCACCCGGTGCCAGGTCGCTCCAAGTATAAAGCCATCAGATGCATCACGGTTGCTGGTCTCGGTCCTTTGCTCTACCATCAGCCGATCAATTCACTCGTCCGCACTGAGTTTCGATTGAAGCATTTCCTACGCTCGAATCCAGCTCGCTTCCATCCCTCCACCATCACCATGCAGCTCACCAACATGTTCTTGACTCTGGCGGCGGCCGTCTCCATGGTCGCCGCGTATCCAATCACGGGAGACGTCGTCAACTGCCGCGACGGCCCCGGAACCAGCCACAAGGTCATCAAGACGTACAAGCAGGGCACCGACGTCAAGATCACATGCCAAACCTATGGCGAGAACATCAGCGGCAACTCGATCTGGGACAAGACATCCGACAACTGCTACGTCTCGGACTATTACGTGAAGACGGGTTCCAACAGCATGGTGACCAAGGAGTGCTCGAGCGGCGGCGGCGGATCAGGCGGCACCTCAGAGTACAATGGCAAGATCAGCCGGGCCGAGATCATCTCGCGCGGGCAGTACTGGGTCAACCGCAAGGTGCCCTACTCGATGAGCGGCTACTACCCTGACCCGCAGGGGCGCAAGTACCGCACCGACTGCTCCGGGTTCGTCTCGATGGCGCTGCACGCCACCGCGCCGGGCTACAACACGGTCAGCCTGCCCCAGATCGCCAAGGCCATCGAGTGGAAGGACCTTAAGCCTGGCGACTTTGTGGGCACCCTGGGAGCCGGCACGGGCGGCGCCGCGGGCCACGTCACCCTCTTCCTCTCGTGGGCCGACTCGGGCAAGACTGCGTACAACACGCTCGAGTGCAAGGGCGGCGACGGCTGCGTCAAGTACAAGCGCAAGGTCGGCTGGAAGGTCGGCAGCTACACCGCCAAGCCTTACCGCTACATCCGCGTTACCGACTAATTTTGGGGAGGTTTATTGGTTGGGATGGACCCCTTCATGAGTACATACATGCATGATTAGCTGTACATAGAGATCATAGAATTTCTTGTCTTGGGTGCTGCCACGGTGACAGGGGAGGGCAGCGAAGGCTCGGGGTTTGTCGCTTATGGAGTCTTCGTCGGTTCATTCTTTTCGGGGATTGGGGCTGTATTTTATGACTAGAATTCAGACTTGGTTCATTCTTGAAAAAGATCGAGAAATATGCGAACTTTGCATCTGGACGCGACTGCTCGCTTTTTGAGCCTCTCCAAAAGAGGACAAGCAACCGCAACTTGTGCAGGTGGACCTAACGCTACACACTATTGGCGGCAATAAATGGTTAGAGCCGCCAAGGCAGCAACCACACTACCTAGTGAAGACTAGATTAGGTAGTCACACCGATAGAGTTATCTGATGATCAGATAAGATCCTTCCAACAACCTCAAAGCGTCATCTTTCCCCCCCTCTTTCCCATCATCCCTCAACTTCCTCGAGGAGCATGTTCGTCGGGCTCCCTCAGCAGAGCTCGCAGGCTATCCCTCTGCCGGAGCTATGGACACCACAGAAATATGTCTGCGGGCGCGAGGGCTTTGGCGGATCAGGTTGCCGCATTTTCTGCGTTGTCTCTGCAGCCTAAGCGAGGGCGGGGGCGAGTGCAAGCGCGGCGGCAACTGGTGGGACGACCCGGACAAGGTCGAGTATGTCCGCCAGGTTATCGATGCTCTCTACCAAGCCCGGGCTATCGTTGCGTCCTACAATATCGTTCTTCTCTCTGTCATTCTAATCTTGGCAGTCCTGCACTGGCGCCAGAGAAGGAGAGACAAGCATAAGTGGCTGCGATTAAGGGAGCCGCCGGAAAACTCGACTGATGGAATTTGCTGCCCATCCGATGCTGTTGAGGACATCGATGTCGAGCGAGCTCCGTTGCTGGCCGGCCGACCAACCCAGAATTTCAAAGGGAACATGAAGAACGTCCTCGGCAGGCGAATATCCTCTTGGCTTATACGACAGCCGCCCCCTTTGCCGATCGTCAATCGAACCCTCCCGTCCAATGCAACCTCACTATTCGTTCTCGCCTGGGTCGCCCTTAACGTCTTCATTCACTTCTTCCGTCTCCCGCTGCGCTGGGATTTCTTCTTTATTTTCGCCGATCGTGCGGGCTTCGTCTTCATCGTCAACCTACCCCTACTGTACCTCCTCAGCGCAAAGAACCAGCCGCTCCGCAAGCTCACCGGCTACTCCTACGAAGCCCTCAACCTCTTCCACCGTCGCGTTGGCGAGCTCATGTGCTTCGAAGCGGCGGTGCACTTCATCGGCATGCTAGTATGGCAGTTCGTGCTGGCAGAGGATTGGCTCCTCGCGACGCATTCACCAAAAGCCTACTTCACGCATCCGCTCATTCTGTTTGGTGTTGGCACGCTCACCTGCTACGAGGTCCTCTTCTTCACCTCCCTCGCCAGCTTCCGCCAGCGCTGGTACGAGCTCTTCCTGGCCACCCACGTCCTCCTCCAGGTCTCTGCCTTGGTCTTCCTCTGGTTCCACTACGAAACCAGCCATCCTTACGTGGTCTTCTCGTTGATCATTTTCCTCGCCGACCGGTTCATTTGGCGCCTGTTGCTTAAGCGGGCCAACCTCATCGCTACCATCCACCTCCTCGATAAGGAAACCTACCTGCTGTCGGCAGACTGGCCCATTCCCTCCGACGGCACACCGCCTGAACAGTCAAAATCCTCCCGGCTATTGCCCCTCGGCTACAAATCCATCCTTCACGGGTGGGATCCAACGGACCACGTGTTCCTGACCGTTCCGGCACTGGGGCCGTCATACGCGCTCCAAGCCCACCCGTTCACTATCGCCTCAGCCGCGCCCGGACGCCCCCAGCACCACCGCCTCCTAAATTCATCATCATCAGCACCAGCATCAAATAAGGACGATTCCGTTCAGATCCATGCCTCGCTCACCCTCCTGATCCGTGCCCACAGAGGCTTCACGAGTGACTTGCTCCGCTATGCCCAACAACAGCAAGAAAAACAACAAGATCAATCCCAACCAGGTCCTCTCCGGCTCTCCGTGCAGCTGGACGGGCCGTACGGGTCACCCCACGCGCTTGACATGCTGCGCGCGAGCAGCTGTGCGGTGCTGGTTGCCGGTGGGAGTGGCATTGCCGTGGTGCTGCCTTTGGTGTGGGCTCTGCTTCACGATCACGGTCACCATGCCGATGGTGGTGGTGACCATGATGACAATACTAATAGCAGCGTGAGAGCCTGCAGCAGCAGCAGGACTCAAACTCCAATGACTCGGAGGACGCCGGCCCGGGTCTGTCTCCTGTGGGTGACACACACGCGAGAGCATCGCGCGTGGGTTCCCGGAGGCCAGTTGGATGAGTTGGCGGCCTCCCCGGGAGTGGACCTCGTCATTCCGGAACCCACGGCTGAGGCTGGCCGGCCGGACGTGGCGGGCACGGTGAAGCGGTGGATTGAGAATGCTGCTGCTGCTGGCGATGATGGTTTTGATGGTGGAGAAAGGGAGGTTGGTGTGCTGGTGTCCGGCCCCGACGGGCTGAACAGGACGGTGAGGAACGTTTGTGCGGATGCGGTCGGGAGGGGGAGGCCTGTCCGCGTGGCGGTGGAAAAGTTTGGTTGGTAATTCGTCGTAGATCGTATACTGTCCGGTATAGGGTAAGGTAGGTAGGTTTCGCTTGGTTAAGATCGTATGTTGGATAGCATAGCATAAATAACGGTCGATAGATGCACGGTTATATGTGATCAATGCTGGAGAAGGGATACAGGGAGATGGGAGATTTTGATACATGACCGAGCTCTTGGATAGGGGTTAGGCCTTCATCATCAGCAAGGTAGAAAGCAAAGACTTTGGACATGGCGAGACAGATCCTCATTCCGTATCGGCATATGGATATCAACAGTTCAACTAAACAAATTTGCGACAACCATTCTTTCAGTTCAGTTCAATTTTCAACCTTTTCAGACGTTCCGAGATTATCTCCCTCCCAACAGCTTCAAAATCAATTTATCAAGAATCAAGACTACTTGGTAGGATCCTTCCACTCCCCAGCCTTCTTCACCCCCTTAGCGCCCTGCGCCACCGTATCCTCAACACCGGTCCCGAGGTTGGCCATCCCCTCGCCCACCGGCCGCCCGGTGTTTCCCGTCGCACTGCTGACCGTCTCGCCAAGGCCCCGCGACGCAGCGCCGATCACGCCGCCTGCAGTGTTGGCCAGCCCGGCGGCCGTGTTGCCCAGAGTCGACGTGACTGTCTTGCCTGTGTTGGCCACGGCGTTGGAGTTGGGTTCGGATTGGGTGCCGGTGGATTTCATGTTCATTTTCGTGTTGGTGGTAGATTGGGTGTTCATGCTGTTCATTCAAGTTGGGGTTGGAGATCTCAAGTAGAGCTTGGCTGTGTTGTGGAGGGGAGATTATCTGATGATGATGGATTTGGGGTTGTCGATGGTCTGCCCCATATAGAAAAGACAATAGACGCGTAACTTGAGCTGCTAGATAAGGTCTGCAACAGGGTGGGAATAAAGGGGTAATAAGTCTCAGTCAAGGCTCTCGAGTATTGCCACACGACGTCATGCCAGGGACGCCTGGTGTCAACCAATTTACAGTCTAGCCTGCTTGCTACTCCCTACTGTCCACTGACCTGCTCCAATACAGCAGATATCGACTACTGTTATCGATGTTTTCAGCCTAGAGGCGACCCTCATTTCATTGAAATGCCAGCGAAAGTACCTTACCAAGGCTCTCATCGCCGCTACGGAATTCAGGTTCCTTCTTCGACACCACCCCGTGTTATAGTATATATAGGTATTAGTTAATAGGTAGTTTGTATGTAACTTATATAAGACTGATCCATTTTATCGCTAATACAATTGTAATACAAATCACTAACTTATATTTTGTTATATTCCGTCCCATGCTTTTATTGTCCTGTACTTTCCTAACCCTCTCACAAGAGAGCGGCCTGTCGGAAACTCCCCACTGCATCTGTCAAGTGGTCGTTTCACCAAACTCCTATAAGCGAAGCGGTGAATATGCCGTAACCGCTGGGGAGTTCAACTAATAAAAAGCTTCCGGTCGACCTCCGAATCAGAGATATTTGGGGGCAGTGCAGCCTGTGCAGGTATCAGGTCATCATTGCCCCGAATATCACTCCTCCTGATTGGCCAGTTGAACTGCCATGTCTGTCGCCAGGAAGGCGCGAAGCTCACAAGTCGGCAAGCTGCTACAGGAATGGGAATTAGGAGGTGACGGTTTGCAACTGCCTCGTTCCGGTTTGAATCCCTACGTAGGTACCTAGGCAGCTACCCTTGCCAACGAGTCACGGCTTCACGACGCTGACCTTTTCCCACAACTTACTTGACAGGAGCTTTCGAGGAATTGACGAGAGCCCCTTATTCTAACAAGCGCAAACTTTTGGTTGTGGGAAATAGGGTTGTACTGCTGCGTAAGTAGCTGATCTCTGCGGTGAAGCACGCCAACTTTCTTTTGGCGAATTTATTTCCGGTTTTGTTGCCATCACCGCTGCTAGTTGCTAGAGACGAGCCAACTTTCCTGCTTGTTCTTACAACTTACAAGAATGAGTCGATGGCACAAGCTGGATTGCCCGGCACCAACTGTTTGTGTGGACAAAGCGGGTGCAACACCAACCTGTCGAACTTGTAGCAGCGCTCCAAATCTCGAGGACATCATCAACCACTATGACCAGGAAATTACGTTTGCTGGGCCTCCTCCGGATCAGCCCCGTGGCAAGATGAATCTCTGGTGGCCCCCGTCAGTTCCCTATCGCGCCATCGAAGGCCTTTCCAATAACAGTGACAACGGCGAGGATGATGATGGGGATGAGGCAGTCCCTGGCTCGGAACGGATGACAGCGCGACAAGATATGCAGGCTGTGGAAGATGTGAAAGATGCAGTTCAGTCCCCCATCTACGGTGAAAAGCCCCTCATGACAGGCGAGTTTCGGCTTGCCTGCGTGTCTCCCGCGACCGCCGTCGACGATCAGATCCATCTAGACCTTGAGACCTACTCCTTTGACAACTGGCCCGAATACGAAACCGCTTCCTACTGCTGGGCTGGAGAAGACGGCGACAGTAGACGCCAGCTCCCCGTCTACGTCGGTCCATACTGGGACGTCGCTCTACAGACACGCAATTGCTGGGAATTGCTCCGACATGTCCGCCCCCACAGAGGAATCCGTCTGATTTGGGTCGACGCGCTATGCATCAACCAGGCGTGCCAGGAGGAGCGCGATGCCCAGGTTGCTCAAATGAGGCGCATTTACTCTGAGGGCACCCAGGTTGTCGTCTATCTTGGCCCGGATGTTGCTCATACTCTCCCTCCCGGGCGTTACCCACGGCGGCACAAGCTGGAGGAATTTGGAATCATTTCACGAGTAAACAATGATGCCGAGCCTTCGTCAGCTACCGGGGTGATTCGGGACATAGACACGCTTCTACGCAGACGCTACTTCAGTCGACTTTGGGTTATCCCAAGAGCTGATACTCTCGCCGCGCGTCGTGATGCGGATCGGCGACATCGACTTTTGGACCGACAGAAAGGCGAATGGGGGGTTGTGGTCTGAACATCAAGGGCTCACCGCACCATGGGTTACTCATTTGGCCAAGGGAGCTCCCCTAGAATTATCTCTGCTCGAGGTCATGCACCTTACTTTCTCAGCAGGTTGCGCGGATCCAAGAGATCACCTGTTCGGGTTGATGGGTGTGGTTTCAGGCAGTAATCGGTAATCCGGATCTTGAGCCTGACAACATAATCGGCATGACGCTGACTCAAAATAGCGCTTCGATTCTCCTGCCTGACTATTCGCTCTCCTCTCAGCATGTCTTTATCGGTCTCTTCGCCCATTTATTTATTACAAGGGACCTGCAGCGCCTACTTGCCCATGGCTCAGGACTGATGGAGCCGTGCTTGATGTCTTTGGTGCCTTCCTGGGTTCCTGACTGGACTCGTTGGGATTCGTGGCGGTCAGTTTTTGAGCCTCGTGTCTTTCAAAGTGAATTGCTGTACGTGTCAGAGCAACCACTGATCAAGGAATTTATCTTCGAAGCGCCCTTCAAGTTTCTACAGAAGTTTCTGGAAACAGAATCCCCATGCCCGTACACCCTTCCCGTCCCTGTCGTTCATCCGACCAGAATAGGCTCTCCCGCTCCAAGCGACAAATGCCAACCCCTGGCTGTCGATACTAGTACTGGCGCTCTTTTGGTCCGGATGATTCGCTTCCTGGTTCTGCAGTCCTCGCCGAGAGAAATCCCCGAGTACTCTAGGGAATCTGAAGCGGGTTCGGGTGTTGGTTCACAGAAGATGTTTGAAGTACAGGTTGGATTGAACAGTACAGGTTGTACATGGCCAGCAGTCATCGACTTGATCTGCTCGTGAAACCGGGATGCGACGTCTTGTATTTCTTTGGCCATGGTGACCTTCTCACCATGACGGGATGCTACATTTTGCGTGAATGGGATGGAGCCAAGCTCCGCAACCGCAGTGTCCGTCTGGTTGCGAGCTGTGACATGGTGGCATTCGCCGTCCCCGTTTCGTTGGTTTGCCGAGACGTCTGCGAGGGGAGCGCCTGGCAACGAAGCAGATTCTTCGTACTTAGCAGTTCAATCCGCCTCCCCACGGTGGGACACTGGGCCTTCGACTTATGCACCAAAACGCCATATGTTGGGACACCTTCATGCCGCCCGATACTCCCGAACAAGCAGTCAGACGGGAAAAGAGTTGGCTTGGCAAAACACCAGTCGTTGGAGAACTTTACTGGAACTTGTACGACGTGGTCAGGAATATCCAAGGCTGGTTAGTTAGCGAACTTGAGCCGCAGGAGCAACTCCTATTCCTCGGCAAGATCAGCCACCAGGATGCTCTCCCTGTATATCAAGCAGCACTCGACACACCTGCATCGGATCAGAAGGATAACCGCGGTTGCCCCATTCCACTAACCAATACCTTCATGAGCAGTTTCAAGAACGCATTCGGGAAAGATGTAAAGCTTTCCTTCGATGTTTGGGGAGTTACCTTCACGGTTCCGTTTAGCGTCATTCACAGCCTATATCAGGAACATGCGTTTGGAGGCATTTGGTCTGAAGAGGACGGCAACGGCTGCACGATGATCTCCCTTCATAAAAAGCCCGCTGAGGAGGATCCGAACGGCTGGTTCAGGGCAAGAGATGTCTGGACTTGGCAATTGGAACGAACGGAACTTGAAGCTCGGCCAGAGTTTGCGGCAAATTGGAAGCTTCATATACCTTACCGCACTCTCGGGCTCGTACTCCTGAAATCGCGTGGCCTGAGACTCGTTTATTTGCTCCGCAAGGCGGCCGAGAAGACAGGAGAGAAGGAAGCGCAGCTGATGGCACGAGCCCCGACGGATGCCGACAGACTCGTCAAGATACCATGCGGTGCCTACGCAGAAGCACTTATCAATCACTGCGGCTGTGAAGGAACGGCCGAGGAAGTTCTCATCTTTTGATGCCCGAAGGGGTTTGCGGGCTCTCGTTTGACCCGGGCATGTTTCCAACAAGTCACGATACCAGCCTTTCAGTGGCGAAGGTAATGTCAACTTGGGAGTGGGTTAGTATATACTTGTATCTCTTTATACCTATATAGTTCGGCGTAACCAGGATCCAGCCGTTCATCATGAGATAGTTGAGCCCGTCCCGTTCACTTCATGTCGGGTGCTCCCACTCGCTCTCGGTACTTCCCCCCCAAAGCAGCGCCATCCGGTCCCTCTTGGCATGAGAAGCATTCTTTTGCACCGCCTTGGCCTTGAGTCTCTTGACCTGGAGGCTGGATTCCATTCATACTATAAGTCAGCGATCCATGCCATCCAAATTCTCAAGGCCAGTAACGGCGTTCCAGGAATGCCCATGGTACTAACCAGTCATCGCACTTTTGTGCCTTATTAGGCTTGCCCTTCCGGCCGGCGTCAATCTTGCCACACCATTTATGCGGCAGCTGCTCGTTCCACTCACGGGGAGTGAAGATGTTGGTGGCACGCGCACCTCTGTCGTAGCTGCGAGCCATGCCAGTGTTTGTGTCAGGGCAGCCGAAGACTGGATGGGTAAGGGGGATTAAGAAGTGGACTAAGGAGGCTTAGGAAAGTTGGGGACAAGTTGGAAGAAAGGGGCCCGCACAAATATATATACAAGGACTGTTTGCACAGATATAGTGAGACTTAGCAAAGATGGTTCGTAGAAGGTTGAACGTTAGAGCATTCGGTGGCGTCAGATGGTCAGAGACGTGCGCAGAGTTCGCCTCGCTTAGTCAACTCCCAACCCTCAGACATGTACGGAGACGGCTAATGCCCTCGTGTTCCTCTCAAGCTTCTCACCGGCCCAAATAGGTCATGGAGCGATTTCACCACTGGCGCATACAAGCGGACCGTGACCGAACGAACTCAAGCTCTTTTGCTAGAAAGATCAGGTTTGAATTAGGGTAGCGGTAGATAGCAGCGCAAGCTAAATCTCATCTAGTCCTGCCAACGTAACGTCATCAGGGTATACATCGTTCCATTGTCATTATACATTTTCATCTCACAAAGCAGAGTATGTCAAACCATCATCAGACAAGGCGTATTCACCACCTCCTTTATCGCCTTAGCCCAGCAAGGACATTCATCTCGACTCGTAGTCCCCGTCTTCCTCTACCACCACGACAACATAGCGCCGAGAAGTCGCCTCTGAGAACCCAGGGACGTCCTCCCCAGTCTCCTCCGTGACATGCACGGCATGGTTCTCGGTAGGATTGGAAACCATGCGCGCCGTGCCATCAAGCGCGTTGATAGCGACGACATGATGGCGATGGCGCTCAAGCACTTCGGGCGGTGCCGTACCTTCGGCAAACACCACAACGCGCCGCTTCCGTTTCTCTGTGCCGACACCCGGGCCTTTGCCGCCAGCATCGCGCTCCTCATCAATGACATAGAGACTTCCCGCGGCCAGGAGGGGATCCGTAGCCGGAGCATGAGGTGCTTCTCTCATGACATACCGCCGCTCCGAGGTTGGCCTGCCAGATGTATCGCTGCTACGCGGCCGCCGGCCCGAGCCGGGCACGGGCGTCTCCAGAGCTGCCTGGAAACGCACCTGCGATGTGACCGAATCCACGCTGTCCGAAGCCGCTGTTGTGGCGATGGAAAAGTTGTCGACGCTAAAATGTCGACGGTGGGTGCGATGCTTCCCACCCCCACCGTTATGTGCAGCCAGAGAGGTATCGTCTGAATCATCCCCTGGAGTGTAGAACTCTGCCGTCTTCCTTGACCCAGGCTCCCCTGCATACCCATACGAATTGCCGATCGAACGATCATTTGCCAACAATGGCGCCGACTCTTCATCTGAACTGCTTTCATCACGAGGGTTTCGGATATCTGTGTCCGGGCTTCCGAGCCAGCCTTGCATGAACAAGAGTACTAAGACGCTGGTGAATGCGGCCACAATGGCTAGGGAGCTGGTCATCGTCTTCCAGCCCCATAGCCAGCTGGTGGCACCGGAAAATAGAGGGCCAACCAGGGTACCCCAAGCGTAGGCAACGTTTGGAAGGCTTGTAGCTTGTGCTGCAGTGTCCCAGGAATCGCTGCCGACGAACCCCACGACATCCACCATCTCTTGAACTAACGGTTCTCCAGAGAGGCCCATTCCCAAGGAGATTCCGCCAAGAGTAAGCAGAAACGCGTGCCGGACTAGCTCCGTGCTCTGAGTCAGCTGGCCTAAGTACACCAAGGCCGGGACACAGGCTGCAAGGCCTACGGCCGCGGAGAACCGGGCTGATCTTGGAACCCGTATGGCCAAGGCTCCACTAACGAGGCCAACAAAAGTGGCTGGCGCGAAGAGCGGCACGAACATAAAACCGATAGCCGATACGGACCAGTTGTAGCGCCGGGCCGCAAAGAGCGGAAGCACGCTCTGGAGTGCAGAAGCAAGTAGACCCACGGCAAGATACCCTGAAAAGTCCACAAGGAGGCGGAAGCTCCAAGGGATGGGAGTAACACTGCCAGTAGTTCTCTGACTCGACCTGGCTGGAAGGCGCGTTCTTGGGGAAATTGATCGCGACGGGCTCCTGCTCCGTTCGCCGGAAGACAAGGTGCCATAATTCCGGGCCCGTCCATCAGGTGTAGCCGCCATGTCGGCTTGGCGGATGCTGGCGGAGTTGGCTGCGATCAAGCTCGTCATGGCGGTGAGAACAATGAGCGCGTAGGCACAGTAGAAGACGGCATCGGTGCCAATATACTCGTGCAGAAAGCCAGCGATCGCGGGGCCTGCTGCCATTGCGGCGTTCTGAATGAAGGCCGGCGAGATCCCTGTGATGGACCTTATCCGGCCTCGGGCGCTTCCCGCCGTAGCCAGCATGGCCGAACAGGCGCCAGTAGTTGCCGCCGCCGAGAAGCCGTGGAGAGCCCGCGCAAAAATCAGAACATGGAGGTTAGTCGAGAGCTGTAGAAGCACAAAGGCACCTGCGACACCAGCAAGGCTGGACAGCAGCACGGCATACAACATCGGGTCTTGTTGTGCAAAGAAAGGCATCAAGGCTAGTCAAACGCGGTCAGCCTGCTGGTCGCTGTGGATGCGGTAGGAAGAGTCACTCACGAGATGCCACAGCGAAGCCCCCTCCATATGCTGAGACAAGCACAGCGATCCATATCTGAACTGCAGGCAAAATGTCAGCTAAGCAAAGAGACAATCGTAGGATCTTGTGTGTATTGGCACAGTACCCTGTTGCTGAGGAACCTCAGTCCTGCTCTCGAGAATTGAGGGGATCAGGGGGATGACCTGGCCGCCGTGTCAGCTTAAATTGTCCAATAGGTTGTTGGTTGATAGACGAGGGCCATACAAGTCCGGAGAGTAACACATCGGTGAAGACAGCCAGTTTCGCTAGCATAACGGGAAAGCGGACAGCGCCCGAATGGCCACCTTGGAGCTCTGTGTCTGGAGGAAGGTACCGCCGGGGCCGCTCAGGGGTTGACACGGCTGTCGTGGCGAGCGAACTAGGACGTGTGTCGGGCCTCATGGGGGACTTGGTGGTGTGGTCTCGGTCGAGACCTGATATGACAGCAGCGGCATCGGATGATGCGTGGGCGCTTGGACGCTGTGCAACACTTGCGTGAGGGGCAATGCCAGCACCGCCTAAGCTTGCGGCGACCATGTGCGCCTCGTCGACACGCGTCACCCGCGCGTGTTTCTTGTTGATTTTGTCGCGTCGGCGCGAGATCTCCTGAACCCCACAGATTCCTAATGAAGGCGGGACCTGACCTTGAACCTCGACGCCTCGTTCAACGATGCTTGCCCCCAACTGACGTCGACGAAAAGCCTACTCACTCACCCAAGGAAAAGAAAACAACAGAGGAAAAAAATGAGAGAAAAGCAAAGGAGGGGTTAACAACGATGGGTAAGGGTAGGTTGCCCGGTTATCGTTGCAGAGAGCGATGGGCGTTTTCAAGCCAAGTGGGACCGACTGCCCAATCCCCGCCGTAAGCCGGTCCACTGCCCCACAGCTCGCCGATCGTGGCTTTGCCTGCAATTGGCCAATTGGCCGAATCGTCGCTGCCATGCAGAGCAGCTGCTTGCCTAGCGCTGCACAAGTGCAGGCTCTCGGATCAGGAAACAGGGTCCTCAACGCACTTCTCCCTCCTCCATTCGCCTGTTTGCATGCAATTCGTCACATATCTTGATGTCTTGAGACATATTACAAGTTGCAGACTCAGCCTCGGGCTGTTCAAAGTTCTCGGCACTACGGAACGTTAGGTCCTTTGTATTACCCAACTTTGCAACACTTCAACGCCTGTCAACACATCTTCCCCTTCGCCTTTCCTTTTTCCCTTTCTCGAGCATCTCAACTATGCGCAGCAACGATGATCTCCGCAGCCCGCTCGGCAATCCCATAGACGGCTGTCTGCGGGTGCGCTGAGATCTCGACAGGTATGACACTCGCGTCGGCGACCCGCAGATTCGCCGTGCCGTACACAGTCAATCGCGAGTCCACCACGCCTCCGTCCCGTCTCGGCAGCATGGCCGCCGTTCCCATCGGATGGAAGATGGTCAGCGTCGTGTTGCGGATGTACTCTCTCCAGTCGTCGCCCGTCACCACCAGGTCCTCGCCGGGCTCATATTCGTCAACCCAAACCGACCGCATCGGCTCGGAACGCGCAATCCGTCTGATGAACTTGAGAATCTCCACCAGCCCGGCCATGTCGTACTCGTTATCTACAAAGCGCGGGTCAATCACCGGCTTGCCCAGCGGGTCCGCTGCGTCAATGTGCACGCTGCCCCGACTGAGCGGGTGCATCAGCCCGCCGATGAGCGTGACAAACCCCTTCCCGCGCAGCGGCGACCCCACGGGCGGATATCCCCTCACCCCCGTGTACCCATCCGAGTAGATGACCTCCACCTGCGGGACGGTCATATCCCCCAGCTGCTCCAGCTTCTTCTCCCTGCCTACATCTCGCGCACCCTTACTAACCACATCCTTCGCAAGGGCCACCAGCGCGGCATCGTTCCCGCCCTGCACAACCTGGCGCCAGTTGGCAAAGACGTAAGCACTCGCGGTATCGTCGTAAAATGACGGCTGACCGGCAAGCCTCTTGGCCCACTCTTCGGCTGCGAAGGTGGCGTTGACGAGCAGACTGTCGCCGTTGGGCAGGTGTTCGTCACGCAGGCGGAACGAAACCTGCACCCGCAGGTGGTCCTGGTAGTTCTCGCCCACCCCCGGCAGCTCAATCAGTGGTGTGACGCCCGCCGCCCGCAGCACCTTCCCCAGTCCGATCCCGGACAGTTCAAGGAGGTTTGGCGTCTGGATCGCTCCTGCGCAGAGTATGACTTCCCGCCGGGCCGGGATCACAGTCCCGTTGAGAAGTGTCACCCCCGTCGCGAGCTGCTGACGGCCTGGTCTCGGGGCAAGGTTGATCTTGATTACTTGCGTGGAGGAGAGCACGGTCAGGTTGGGCCGGGCAAGTGGCAGGTAGGCGTTGGCGCTGTAGGACCGATTGTACGAGGCTGGGGCGATGTTGGACGGCTGGTACATCACCCCGATGGGGTTACCCTGAAGGGAGTCCGGGTTGAAGGGGATGGGGAAGGCTGACGAGACAGTGGGGATGAAGGATTCTTGGTGGGCTGGGTTGACGCGGTTGATGACGGCCGAGATGGGCCCGGAAGTGCCTGATCCCGGGGGCCCGCCGTGGTAGGTTTCGGCCTTTTCCATGGCGGCTGTCATCGAGTTCCAGTTCCATCCTGGGTTGCCGACCGCCTGCCACTGGTCGTACTCAGCGGCCGAGGCTCGATCCCAGGTCAGGAGGTTCAAAGCCGACGTGCCGCCGAGGACCTTGCCCCGCGGAGTGAAGATTGTGCGGTTGTTGAGGTGAGGCTGAGGCACTGTGGTGAAGTTCCAGTCATATCTACCTCCCAGTGTGGAGCCCTTGAGGCCGGGGACGTTGATACCGTCCTCATGGAGGGCGGCTGGGCCGGCTTCGACTACCAGGATTTTGGCATGGGGTAGCCGTTGACTCAATCGCGTAGCAAGGGCGCTCCCCGCCGTTCCGCCTCCGACGATGATCTTCAAACGGTCAGCTGATGTGGTTCCAGGCCTTTATGTGCTCGACTTACATAGTCAAACGTCTGATCATGTGGTGGCCTAGCAGGATCCGCAGCGAATGAAACGGCTACCGTAAGCGCAAGCGAGGACAAGACGCACCTCAGCATGTTGTCTGAGGCTGTATGAACTCAGGAGTCGGGTCCCAGGACGCCAGAGAGCACGGATACCCAGGGGCGACGGGCGAATCCCGCTCACTCATATACTGCTCTAGACCATGAGATTGCATCTCACTGGTGTGCAGGATGTTGTATGCTTTCCTTCGTCATTCACTCTACAGCTACTGCATATCATCGGAGGATGCATCCGTGCATGACTAAGACCCATACAGCATCAATGGTTCCTGCAGCTGGGACGGGACGCAGCGATGGAAAATGTGGTTCTCGAATAGAAATGACGCTTGGAATTGTGCCAATGTCCCAAAAGCCAATATCTTGGGCATCGCTTATGTCGGCGTGATATTCTTTGGGACTAGGTCCCTGCAGTGAGATCAGCCAATATTCGATATCGAGGGAGATGTCACTGTAGTAGTGAGTGAATCTGCCTTGCCCATCCATTGGCCATCTACAGACAGACACTTTCTATTGAATTGCTTTTCAAAAACAAATATTCACCTTATTCGACATGCTCGTCACAGTAACCTACTATGAATGGCAAGCTTTCACTTTGACAAGACAGCTTTATCCCGGACAACATCGTTGTCTTGCGTGCCACTCTCACCGCAGCCCGGCGAAGCCCCTAAGCAGGGATCATAGGTCAGTAGCGGGCTTGTATATATATACGATCTCTTCTTCTCTTAATCCACGAACCACGTCCTTGGCGATCTCAAGCTCTCAAGGCCCCCTGCCGTCCTTCAGCATCTGGCGTATCAACGGGATGACCCGACTCACAAGATCCCCATGGCGTTTCATCGTGCCGTGCATAGGTCTTGCTCTTCTGCTCAGTAACCTGAAGGGTCCCGGAGGCCGGAGATGGCTCCGCTCTGATTCCCCTTTCCTTAGTTCCCACCGTGAAGAAACTCATCGCTTTCTGTCTTGAACCTCATTGTTTTCTGTTTCCAATCTCATTACTTTCTGTCGTCGACCCAACGTAAGGAGGTGGCAAGAGTCATGGCATCCTCCGAGTCGCGCTTCACTTCGGCTGTATGCCCGGATTGGCTTGTGTCGATGAATTCCAACGTCCAGTAAGTCCCCGCTCAAACTGACCACGACGACGTAGGTAGATGTGATCTGACTCCCCCGCTTCTTCAGCGTGTCCCGGGACCGCGCGTGGTTTGTCACGTACACACTGTTCAAAACGTTAATAGACGCCGTTGTGGTTGATGACCGACAAGAAGCAATTGGTATCGGTGATGTTGAGATCCCAGTCAAGCGGTTCCCCCGGGGCTCTGGCTACATGGCCCATGGCAAGCTCCGCCTGCGCAATGTCCTCATGTCCCCACCTCCGTATGCAATATCGTGGGCAATGAGACAACCGGCGATTACCATGGCCTCCTGCTTGGACCAATGCAAAAGAACGACGCGTATGGGCAGATCATGGATAGGCATGGCAACCGGCTCGCCTGTGTCCAGAGACGGTGCAATCTCCCCCTCCTCCAACTCAGCGGACCTCCCATCGGGCCTGCTAAAGTCCAGTCACTCTTAAAGCCGAACGGAATATACTTTATACTCGCCAACTGGCCTGATGCAGAGCGACTCAGATGGGCCGCGTCGCGATCTGCTTCCCGTACACCTTCCCCTCTCACTGGTTCCTCACTGGATTCGGGTTACACAGCCGAGGAAAAGGAGTGGCTGAAGCGGAATTGGGGAGGCGAGTTCCGGTTTCTCACGTCTCACGGACTAAGCATATATGATGAAGACGACCGCGAGGAGGGTAGGAGGATTGTGAGGGCCATAATGGAGAAAGACGATGACGAAGAGCGAGGAAATGGACATGGCTACGTTCAAATAGCGGGGGAGAGGGGGGGATTTTTGCTGTAAGCGCCGTTGGCCTGATAGCTCTTTCCCTGGCCGGAGCACACCATCACGGCCGCTGTGCGCTAGCCTGTGGTTGAGTGCCGATATAGCCCTCATCAACGCAGAACCAGAGAGTTGATATTCAATGTGATATGGTATGATGTGAAGCTAGGTCCCATCCATCCTGGTCCACCACTTGACCACCTGCGGGTGATCCGGAATTCATAACTATAGTCTATATACATAGGTACAAATGCAGTAAGAATCACTCTTGCCCAAAAACACAACTGTCCGTGCAAGCTTAAGAAGGAACGGGTTGAGTTCATGATGCTTTCAAGTTCCATACCTTATCCAATCTCTACCAGCGAGAAACTTCAGTTTCCACAGTTCACACTCGTCGGGCGCCTAATTAGGTACCTATGGTGGCGTCATTCCCAGAAAAAGATGAAGACCGTCAAGGCCAGTAGCGGAAATAAAAAAACAACAGGATAGGTATTTTCAGGTTGAAAACAACTGCCAAGGAAAATAATCAAGAATTGTGGCATCTCAGGACGGTTCCCGACAACCCTCCAACTTGAAGTATTCTTCAACTCTGTGCTTTCTTCAGCTTCCCAATCAATCCTTGTGTTTGACAGCATACTTCTGACACTTCTGGTTGTCCGATTGCAGGACAGGCCGACCCGTTGTTGGCTGGCTCCATGGCTCCTCTCGCCGCGTCTCGCCCAGCCAGCAGTTCAAAGAGTAGAAGCCCGACGAAGCTTGTCTCTGGCTGGATCCGCTGCTGGTCGACGACGGAGTGTTTGTTGCCTGTTCAGGTGACTGGCCGGGGGGATGGGTGCCCGGTGCGTCCATGGATGGGGTTGTGCCCCTGATTACTCCGCTGACCTAGTGATACCTTCTTCATGTTAAGCAAGGTTAGCAGCCTGAGAAAAGAGACCAGAGTGAATGACTCAGGTACATACGATGACTTGCGGGTTGAAGCGGACTCAAGACGTCCGTCGAACTCTAGGAGGAATTTCACCCAGACGGCTAGCTTTGAGTTGGGGCTGTCTAACAGAAAGAGCTCTCTCGGAAGGTATCCGGCCTCAGCAAGAGAGAGTCCTCGTCAGCGTTGCTAAACCCACCCTGCAGACATGAGAGATGGCAGATACTTCTAGACAAGGATCGATCTGTGGAGGGCATTGCGTGCACCTGACAGACTGAAAGGTTTGGCTGGCGGTTTATATTTCAAGTTCCTAACCTCCGGCTCAGGTATCTTACTTACCATCACACCTGAATATACATCCCACCTCCATGGAACCCAATCAGTCGAAGTTCAACTCAGGCACACTTCCGCTCAATCCCGGGAACCCGAGACTCATACTAGCATGTATCAGGTGTAAACAATGGCCCGCTGCTCTCCAGCTATATTGTGGCATCGATTAACAACGATTCGAGGTTTCAGGCAAACCATCCCCTTGACGTGAGTTCAGAGCCTCGTCTGCGGTGAGTATGTGCAGTGGTAACCCAAATGCGCGGTGACTTACGTCGACAATATCATAAGCCGGAAACGTGACATGGCAATTGGACGCCATGAAACGTAAACATACCCTTTGTATGCCTTGTACAATAGAGTGAATAGATGTATGCAGCCTGGCAACCTGAACCAGAATGGTCCGGCCACCTGAGGGAAACCCCTTCCGAGTCATGTTTCAGGTTGCTACCGTTCGTCAACTACTCAGCTGCAGCCTACAGTAACTCAAGCTAGTATACCTATGGAATCATTCCCAAGTGACGATGCCTGTTGTTGACATGGACAACTTGGCAGATCACTGCAAGCTACTTACCTTAATGTCACCTCAGGCTCGGTTCCAGCATCCATACAGATCACGGAGTCGATCGCGGACTACTCAATCAGTAGGTAGTGTCGCGAATAAAATGGTTTCTGCATGATAAGCTGAGTGGGTAGCTCTGAACCAATGATTGTTGATTTGATAGATGTCGTGATCGTTGATGACACGGAATACATGCAGTGTTATCTCAGCCTCGCGGATCAAGGCCTTGAGATCTAGAGGTTTCTAGTTTCCTGTTCATAGTACCCTTCCGGTAACCAGTCTATCGCTCCGGCTTGCTCCGAGTTCCAGGAGCACTTGCGCACTCGTTCAGCGCCTATCTTACTCCTAATTCCTAAACTACCCAAAAACTGCACTCCTTGAACAGATATCCACGTTGTCCTCTTTTTGAGTAAAACGCCCCAAAATGAACCCTGTTCCATGATCTAGTACCGCGCCTCTGGCCCAACCAGGCGATGAATGCCAGTCCATCCGAGGATTCCCGTCATGTTGTGGTTCCCATCCTCCTCTCTTTGTCCCGTCCCGCGGAGTCCCGGGTTTGTTGACCCTTTAACCAGATTTCTCATACAAAACATTAGAATGGCTAGTGTAAAGCGACCATATATGACCGGGGTCGCGCTGCGAAAAGAGGCTTGCTCTGAAGGGAAGAGAATGCCCAAAATCAGTAAACGCAACAGAAAGGCTGTCACCGCTGCGTCCCGAGATGCTGCCAACCAGCAAATAACGAGTCGTCCACTACCGTGGCCGCCATGCTGCTCCAATCCTCAAATAGACCCATGGGAGCCACCACCGACTCCTGCTGCTGATGCTGATGTTGATGTTGTTGCTGTTGTTGTTGCATATGCGGCCGGACATGCGTAACCGTCAAATCATAGAATGCCCCCGATGCTGATGCTGCCGCTGCCATGGGCTGTGCGAAAGTAGATGATACTAATCCCTGCGTTTGTGGTGGTATCCTCGGCTGCTCAAAAACCGGAGCCGGTTTCGCGAATGTCGACGGAAGAGGCGCTATGCTGCGCTGTTTCTTCAAGCGCACATGACTCTCATCGTATGGAGGGGGTGGTGGGGGGTTCGGTTGAGGGACGGACATATGTCTTGTCGAAGACGCGGCCTTCATTGGGGCCTTAGGCTTCGGCGATGCGGACGTCGGTCTTGATAATAGGGCCGGGGCCGGTTCAGCAGCCGCCTGCAGCTGGTGCCGAGGCACAATGATGGCCGAGTCATGGGCCAAACGGGCTAAGGATTCCGGGTCATCTCGGCTTTCGTCAAAGAACTCGAGAAGATCCTGCAGATTCCCCGGGCTCTCGCCCTCTAGAAACCCCTGCGCATGCCCGGTTCCATTGGGATCCCACTGCAGCTTTGGATGCTGGTTACGTGGTAGGTGGCCGTATAGCGCGGCATTGAGCCTTTCCCAGGCGTCCTTGATCGCTGGCTGGTGCAAAAGACCGTAGATGACGAGAGAGTGGTTCCAGTGCGATTTATTGCAGCCGTCTTCGTAGTGCCGGGCGACGTGATCGAAGTAACGGTCACGGCTGGCTTGGTACCCGCCGCAGAAACCGCACGCCCTGGCCACACTATTAGAAACAAGAACATGACAACAAAACTCTCAGAATGGCACATACCAAGCCCGCTTTCGGTGCGTATACTGCACAACACTGTCCGCATGGGGACATGTAGTGCATCCGTGGGCATTCTTGTGGTGTTGGTTAAATGTGTTGGAGCCCCAAAACATGCGATTGCAGTTCGGACAGGGGTAGCGCTTGTAGCGCTCGTGGAATTCATCCTCGTGGCGCTTCCAGTCAAATTTTCTTTGGAATGCCACGTCGCAAAAGGTGCACCAGTAAGCGCCTTGAGGCTTTGATGATCCTCGGCTGCTCCCTTTCGTGGGCGGCGCAGGGGGCGGGTGCAGTTGCGTTGCTCCTTCTGCGGCTCCACCTTGGGACGAGACTGAGCTCATCGTGGTTGCCGTGGACATGACACTTGCCCTCCCGGATGATTTCGAGCTCGTTGTCGACACGGAAAGTCGCGTGTTGAGACTGCTCTGGCTCATCATGCCCTGTGCCTGCGATGTTTGCTGGCCAGGCTGTGGATGCTCTTGTTGATATCCCGTGTCCATCCTCGACAACGCATCTGCCACCTTGTCAGCCACAAAATTCTTGTTGGAACAGAGGTGTAGTTCTTTGCTTTACCATCTCTATAGTTTTCGAGTACAGCTCGCAGTAGAGCTTCGCGCGGTAGCCCGCAATCGGTCAGGGCCTGGACGTGAAGCCGAGCCGCGGCCAAGGTGTCGACCGGCGGGTTGCGGAACGGATCCATAGTTTAGCAGCTATAAAAGGCGCTCCTAAGTCGATCTTGATCCGCGCTTCAGCCAGGTTATCGGAATATCGCACGTCGCAGACAGATCTCGAGGGCTTTGAGAGAACTAGCATCAATCCATCACGGCAGGCGCCAATTGAAGATCCGCAAAGAGGAAAGGAGAAGAACAATGGGTTGGTGAGGCGGGTCTGGCCGCGCAGCGGGCGCTTGTGGGATATTAAGAGGCAAGCTCATGTGGATGACAGATGCCGAGCCAACCAGGAGAGCACGAACTCTGCTGCAAGGGAGGCGCGGCACCGAAGGGTCGGGAGAGCAATGAGCAGATTGCGCGGCGCAGAAGGCTCGCTACTCGCCGTCATGGTTCATCAAGGAGAACAGCTCACCTACTGTTCGATACAATGTATGTACTCGAGGCATTGGGCCGCACGACAGGGACAGGGTACAGCAAGATCGTAGGGCGCATCTTGCGGGAGGGATCCAGCAGATGGCAACCCGCTGATTGGTGCGAGCAAAGCGAGCCCTTGTTCCACCTGAAACACAACCCAGCGCATGTTTCGAAACGGAAAGCCTGCATGTGGCACCCAATCAATGTGCGTTTTCAATGTCTCCCCGATCCGCTGCTGGGGAGTGTTTGCGTCTTGCGAACATCGCCAGCCCCTGCGCCTCTCTACATACTGACAGGCCCGCTTCTCCGCAGCCTGGTCTCCCAAACGACGGCCCAGAACTGGGTGGAGGAGTGTCCTGTCGTCCAAAGTCTGAAGAAGGCGAGAAGTTCATCTGGAATCGTTTGACCATGTCTTCGCGGACCTGGAATACAATCGACTAACGTTGGAGAGCACAACTTGACAAAATGCCGCAGGGCTTTGAAGGCTTGAAGCAGGCTGCTCAATGCTCATAACCGACAGTTGACAGGATGAGAATTGACGTGTGGTCAGCTACACTTCAAGGAACCAGGTTTGCTGCGTAAGCCGCATTTCCCGATGCAATGGTCGTAATGGAGCTGGCATGATATGGCTTACCACACAAGGGTAATCTCTTCTTTTCACCCTATGTAGTCTAAACACTTTGGCAGGTTGTGAAGAGTCAAGCCGCGATGCTTTTGGTATCTGGAGTCGTACTCCTCGCCCTCACGACGGGCGCAGGGCCAATCGTGGGTCATAGTTCTGCAAAACAACGGTTTTCCTCACTTTCTGATGAGGTGCGGGCAGCGGACCGAAGCGGGAAAAAATGGATGTGTCGCTGATCCACACCAAACGCCAACCATTCTTGCCTGACATGCTGTTTGAGGGTATGGCCACCGCCTGACAACACCAAATGGAATGTTCCATGCTATCCTTAATCTTCCGATTTCGACCTAAGCGGATCCCATAACCATACTCCGTACGTCACTTTTATTCCCGCTTCTCCTCTCCTCCCCCGTGATAGGCAGGAGAGGCAGAAAACGGATGATGATGTGGAAAGGGACAGTGACATCCGAGTCAGGGGGGCTGTGTTGTTCATTCAAAAGGCCGTATCACTGTCAGTGAATCATCTCAAAACCAGCTTCTTCCAGCGCCTTTCCAGTAGGCAGTATCGGACGCCCTTGCATCGGAAAGGGCCAAAACAACGGATTCTCCATCGCGGTAGCTACTTCCGGAATGCCGGTGGGCCTCGTTCCAGGCCCTTGGTCGAAGCCCGTCCCAGACGCTGTGCCTCCGCCCCAATTACGGTTAAGGTCAGACTCGAGAAAATTGGGCGCGAAGAAATTCAGGCCGCTGGTTACTGGTCGCGTACCATGATGAGAGCCAGACGGGTCAAACTGTCCGAGTTCCTCTGCTTTCGGGTTGGTTTCGACATCAACATTCCACTTTTTGGCCAGGAACCGGAGGATGTTGAGTGCTTGTTCCGCAAAATGGTGGCATGGCGCCATTTCGGTCAAATCTGCAATGCCACGAGTGATAGCTTCATAAACGCGGGGATTGGTCTTAGGCTGCTGCTGAGACGACTGCGACGACTGGCTATGATCTGGCACTGAATCGGCGCCTCCAGCAGCGGATTCGGAGCTGGGCGAGCTTGTTGCTGCAATGGCGAGGTGCATGATCGATGATGTCAGCACAAAATACGGTACGAACGATGGCGTTCGCCTGAGCGTGTAGAGTTGGGAGTACGAGCGTAGGAGGCCGGATATCGCGTCCGCCGCCTGCGAACAGACATCTCTAGGGGATATGCTCGAGCCAATGATCCGAAGCTTGATGAGAGGTCGAAAAAGGAGAAGAATGGCAAAGTGATAGTACATGCTACCTCGCGAGTCAGTCATAATCCGAGAGATGGAAATTCTCAGGAAGCGCCCATTCCAGACATGGACATGGCGAGACCATAGTAACTCACTGCGCGAACAATACGGCCGGAGTAAAGTTGTGACCGAGTCGAAGCACCTCAGGGATCCTGTCGTACCAGTTCAGGTACTGGGTGTAGATATTTAGCAGGTCTCTGCTCGAGAGAGGCCGCCCGGGAGAATGTAGTATGTATAACGATTGGTGAACAAGCTCGCTCAGCTCACAGAAGCATTTGTATACGGAGCGGACATTGGACGGCTGCTCGCAGGAACGCTGGAGTGGAGCGCCTGGTGATAGCCTTAGTCTCCTACAATCCTAATACCGGAGCAAGAGATCTTACCGTCATCAGTATATGGAATCCATAGTGAGGCCTCGATATCGTCTATTATGGCAGGCTTCGGCGGTAGCCGTGGGAAACACGAGCACTGTGGCAGTGACCCCGTCGCTAGGGACCACGCGCTGAGAGTAGGTTAGCTGCGAGATCGGAAGTGAAAAGAAGTGGTGACAAGGAGGATATCCGGGCTTCCTTACTGGTCCAGGGCGAATGCCCCCCAAAAGGTCGCCGCTTGCACTGCACTTTCGTCATCGTCTTGACCGTCGTTTTGAAGTCGATGTAGTCCCATCTCGATTGCCAATCGAATGCTCTGGCCGGCATAGTACCAGCTCTCCGAGTCCCTCCCACAACTCGCCTCTCTTATAGACATAATCCCCAGAGCCTGGATGGTGGTTAACTTATGATGGTTATCCTCGAGATAGAACAACCGCTGGGATTCTCTGAAGAAGTGGTCGCCTGACGTGTGCGGATCATCCGAGTTGGCTCGAGTGTTTGGCTGGCTTGAGAAGCGGCACCCCAGCGCCAATAGCGCATTCACGAGGATGGAAGAGCAGAACCGGGCGCGACCCTCCATGAAGTCTTTGAGGAAATGCTCTTTGCTTAGCGAAGCGAAGGTGGGATATTCCCAGCAGAAGTAGAGCGCCAGCAAATGCTGGACAAGCCCCGAATCGCCCGTGATGTTGGTCCATGTCTTGGGCGAAACTTGCATCTGGGGAATATCAGGGGCAAAAACCTGGTCCAGGCCACGAGCTCTCTGGTTCTCAACCCATAAGCCGTCATGCGTTTGATGATGGCGCCTCATGGCGTCAGTATTCCATTCCATGCTATCGGGGTGTGAAGCGCCCGGGGTGACGTGGGTTGTGTGGGTGGAGTAGCCGCCCCAGGAGCTCTGCCGGTCGCTATCATGGTTGCTGCTATGCGGCCGCGGGACGGTGGACGGGCTAATCGGATTCAGACCAGGGGGGACCGGCCCATAGCTCCCGTGTGCGCCGGGAGCGTATCCAGGGACGGCAGAGGCGCCGCCATCCGAGTGGCCAACCCGGGGGCTGATGGGAGGTAGTGCGCCGCCTCCCGATGGAAGAGTCCCTCCAAGCCATTCCGATATTGATTCCACGCTCTGACCGTTGCGTAACCGGTTGAGGACCTCTTCCCACAGGTCGGGGCGGACAAGAGCATTAAGGACCTTGTCATTATTGCGCTGCTGGCGTCGGAGTTGCTCGATCTCGTGGCGAAGGTTTTCCTTGGATTGGCGAACAGGAATCTCGTAAACGCATTCAACGTCTTTTTGTGCCTTGCATCGGCCACACGGCTTTTGTCCGTCGCACTGAGCGGAGTGTCATCTGTGAGCTTATGGAATTGGGATGCCATCGCAACGAAGAGGTGGGCTCAAGCCACGTCCAGGTCGCGAAGGGGACAAACCTTTGCGCGTTTCTTGCGGCACTCGGTACACGCGTTTGGCGTAACAACGCCGAGACCTCGTTTTCTCTTTGACACGCTCGGGGCGACGGCGGTGGGAAAGCTGGGGGTACTAGCTCCGGCCGAAGACGGAGCTGGCGTGCCTGGAGCGGCGGCAGGTATGCTCCCGCCCGGCCCGCTGCTAACGACTTGAGGAGCCGAAGAAGGGTGTGGCGGGGGTGGGGGCGGGTTGTGCCCTTCACCCATCTTATCCTTTTCCATCGGATCCATGTTCTCAGGCGGAACCCAAAGAATGGACTCGAGCGAAGTTCCGGCCGAGGTGCATTAGCACCATGTTGTCTAGAGAGCTGGAATTGTTCGGGACTCGTGGCGCCAAACGCGCGCTAAGGGTCCCTGGACCGTCCGATGGCTGAGAGATCAGCGGGCGGGTTGTCGGTGTTGACGAGGGTAGTTACCCAAGTGGGACGGCTTCTGCAATGGGGAAATCGCACGCTATGGGAATGCGGAGGCGGCAAGTGCAAATTCCCATCCATGCCCGCCTACCGCTGAACATCGTATAGTGGGGCAGGATGGCGATTTACAGAAAAGGTACTAACCCACTGGATCGAAGTGTTGAGAAGTTAAACGCAGGGGCGTCGAACTGAGAAGAAACGCGAAGCACATCGAATGGACTCAGGTACCTCTGAAAGCCGAATCAGGTTTGGTCAGTTTTTGGTCAACGTTTCGGTTTGTTGTCGTGTAATTTGAGGGCTGGCAGTTTCCGCTGCGTGATGGTTCTAGAACCGTGGTGATTTTGGAACCGCGTCGAGGGTTGGCGGCCGGGATTGGCTAGAGCAGAGATTGAAAAACAAAGTGCCCCACCCCGATAGGAAAAACGGCCCATCGCCGGGAGCTAGGACCATATCGCTGGGGCAAAAGTTTGATCTTATACAAAGCTCCTGCCGATTCTTAACGCTCAACAAACTGGCTTGCGAAAAACGTTGTCTCCTCTTGGTGCAGAATGATCCAAGTTATATATAAGATATTGATAAGATGCAGCATAACCCTGCTCAGACCGTTATAACATTACAGCAAGCTCTGATCGACACCACAACCCCGCTCCGTGGACGTCCAAATGATGTCACAAAATTGCCCTGATCCCAGGAAAATGTAAAGTTGCACAATCGCGGCTCCACCAGATTGCTTGATCGGAAATCTCGGGCTGGCACTGGACAGGCACAGGGTCCTGAGGATAGGGTAGTCATCGGCACTCCGGGTCTCGCAATCTGTTCCTTCTGCATGGCATGAGAATCTCACATAGGTAATTCCCTCGAGCCAGTGTACCTCTGGTTGCAGCATGCATCATCCAATCAATACTGGATCGTACTGCCCGCTATCAATAAGTTGATGGCCTTCTACATTGATCTTCTGCGGCCCGCTGCATGCGATTGATCAGGAGTCTTTCGATTGTTGTCTTCATCCTAACAGTCCCGCCCCCTTCACGCGGTCGGCTCCAGGAACTACCGGTAAAATCACTAGTGCATTATCGTCTTCGTATGTACGGGTACGCATACCTTTGCGATACTCCTTTGGAGCTAACCTAACGGTTCTTGCCGCCCATCCACTCACCATGAGGGGATGCGCCAAGCCAGAGGTCCGGTTTGCGAATGTTCCAGAACAATAGAACTGAGGGGCTAAGGAGCGACCCTGAGGCATTTCCGTCTTATCGTTCGCTTCCCTCCCTAGGGATTGGCATTGTGCAGCTGTATAGTGATACGCGTGTAGCCAGGCGAGCGCCTCTGAAGATTTCACTGAGCAAAACCGTATGAGACAACACGACGGCCCGTGGGACTGGGAGTCAGGTAGTTGAAATATCTATACGGCATCTGTCTTGTGTGACTAAACCCTTCAAGTGCCGCAAGTACATACATAGATGAGTATCAGCCCAACTCCAAGTCACGCATCCCACCTCCAAGCCATTCAATGCACAAACCGATCCGAAGGTACTGTACACGAACATAATGATACAGCTACAGCGGTGACGCCGTAGGACTGGACTGATCCAATACATGAGCCAGCTGGGAATGAGTTAATAGCCAGAACTCCTGCCCCTAGAGCCCTTTGAGGGGCTCCAGCTCCTGTCGCCTTTGCTGGGGCTCCTCCTGAGCGAGGGCGTCGGCGGCGGCATAATCGATTGGATATCAGGCGAATTGTCCGTATCCGTCGCATCGTTTGCGAAGTACTTCTTGTGCATGTGTTGAGGCGTGAAAGGCGCCAACATAAAAGTCGGTTGGTGATAGCTCCCTGCCGATCCAAGCATTGGGGTCACCGCTGGAGGGGAGTGCAAAGGTCCTGCCGACTGCGCAGGATGAGGGAGCGCGGATTCCCGGAGGAAGCCAAAGCCGACGTTGCTAGCGACGACCGCCACCAGGAAAAGCGACATGATGAAGGCCTGTGGTACCTTGTTAGCATATGGGGTAGGATGGCAGAAGCTAGGCGGACGTGACATACCCAGGTTTTGATTGTCAAGACACCGACAAACTCGTTGAGAATCTCGGCGACATTTCGTACCGAGACCTGGACCTTCATGACGGCTGACGAGTCCTGGTTCATGCACATCTCCCAGTCGTTACAAGACTTGTCAAGGGCAGGCGCTCGAGCTGATTTAGGCGAGCAATTGTTCTTTATGTAGTTATCGCTGCATAGCGCCATCTCGGCAAGAATTAAAGACCGAGCTTTCTCGTTTGCGTGGGCCAAGTCGGAGCGTATCTGAGCCACGATACCAAAAATTCCGAAGAGAACAATGCCGACGAGGATGAAATTGATTCCCAGTTGCAACCATTTGGACAAGATAGCCGGGGCACTCGGGTGGTCGCTGACGGCGGAGAGAAAGTTACCGAACCAGCTACGTTGAGGCCCTTGCCTGCCAGTTCCCTTCTTGGAGCCAACCTTTGGCCCCTGCGACTCTCGCCAATCGCTGTCGGACTCGCCGGAGTCAAGGGCGAGCCGGGACCGGGCGCTACCAACATCTCTGTCGCTTTGCAACCGCTTTCGTTTCCGGACCTTGTCTCGGCTTCCCCTTGGAATCTCGCCTCTTCCAGACGCATGATTTCGCAGCACGGTCTTGCCAAAGAGGGACTTGGTGGGGGACGACGGGAGGCTCATCTTCCCTAGGTCCGCTTCTTCTCGGTCAACCTCGGGTGTCTCGGCCGGCATCTCTGATGTATCGGTCATGGCAGGGCTGGATTCGGCAGGGGAGAATGTGATTTCACTGGCATGCTTCTGCGGTGTTATGAATGAGGGGTTCCGGAATGGCGCTGCTAATGGCTTGCTCTGCAGATGAGGGTTAAAGAGCGACGATTGCGGCGGTCGAAATTCTTGCGACTTGAGCGGCGAGCTCATAGCAGCAGCAAACAGGTTTGCGCTGCCTCGGTCGGGTTTCGAAGGCGAATCAAAGGTTGCTAGAGGAAGCCGTGCGCGGTCAGTCGGATCCATCACTCGTAAGCTGTGTTCGCCGGGCACTGAATAGATCCCGAGCAAGATCCGTCTCTGAATGTTAAAGTAGATTGCCGACGACAAAAACTTACCCGCTGGCTGTTTCTGAGAGAATTTCGCAAAAGGACTAGAGGTGTGATCAACCGGCCGTTGGTATTGGTATTCCCAATCCATGGGCGCCTCGAAACCCCGACGCTCCATGGCGCAAAAAGTACTGCTGGTGCAATTCGAAGCTAACTGAGGGAGAAATACAATAGGTGATGATAGTGGCGGGTTGTTGTCGCCTTTTCACTCCGGCGTAGTAATGTCGAAGGTGCGCAGAGTTGCGTGGTCGGTGCAACCACCCCGAAGCAATGTAAACACGGGACGGAAGTTTTCTGGATTTGAACTTCCATACGGAGTACAAGGGGCGGGTCCATGCACCACTTCCATGTACAGTCGCCAAGGCTGCAGTCACCCCGCCTGTAAATACCGTGAGCGTATATTGTAACGTGTATTGCATAGAACACTCATACAAGGCATTAGTTACATTACATACGAAGGAACGATGTCCATGGGTCATCTGCGGCTAATCTCATTGCACAGGCCCAGTACGGAGTACTTTGACTGCTCCCCGATGCAGCCTTCTGAAAGGAACCGTTAGCAACAAAGGAGCATTTATCATCTCCAACACGTTTTGAATTGAACCACGATCCAACAACCAGCCAGGAATACTAGAATTCCTCTGCTAAAGAGTACCTTGGGTCTGGATTTCTTGCCTTGCGTTTTCTTTCGAGCAACCAAAACAAAAATCGCCATGTCCGCTGCCGATTCGCCTGCGGGTTCGCCCGGTGAGGCTACCCAGCATCGCGAAGACGAAAGCCCGGATAATATTCAGGAGGGCGGCGCCGGCGGTGATGCTGGTTCCGACAAAGACTCCGACCTCCTTTCAGAAATCGACGAAGAGCAGTTCGAGGACTATGATCCAACCCTCGAAGAGAAACCCGTGGAAATCGACGAGAATGTCGTGAAAACCTTGAAAGCAGCCAAGAGAAAGCGGACAGATGGCGAGACGACAAAGAAGCCAAAGGAGGGCCGCAGACCGAAGAAGCGAGCGAGGGCGAATGACGACGATGTTGGTGACGTCGGGGATCTAGAGGGTCGACCACGGAAAACACGTGCTACGGATAGCGAGCGCGTTGCGAGGAAGGCGGCCGAAGAGGAAGAGGAACAGGTAGTTGAGGAGAATTTGACACCGGAAGAGCGGCGCCGTCGGGCAATCCAACGAGCCATGGACAATGCCCTAAAGAATCCTACTAAGCGAAGGCGCAAGAAGGACGAGATTGTACGTGCCGACGCGATTCCAATAATGGGATGTCCCTAACTGACAACTTTCAGGACCTCGAGGAAGCACTCGATGACCAAATCGCGAATCTCAAGGTGGCAATTGAGAAGGCCTGTGTGGCAGATAACGAAGCCCGCGACAAGCATATGGCTGCGACACACAAGCTCAAGCTCCTTCCCCAAGTCACAGCGCTCCTCAACCGGACCTCCGTCCAAGATGCTGTTCTCGACCCTGAGACAAACTTCCTTCAGTCCGTCAAATACCTGCTTGAGCCCCTTAATGACGGGAGCCTCCCAGCGTACAACATCCAGCGCGACATTTTCAATGCGCTCGCAAAACTGCCAATCAACAAAGACGTACTCCTCAGCAGTGGGATAGGCAAAGTCGTCTTCTTCTATACCAAAAGCAAGCGACCTGAGGCCAGCATCAAGCGCATCGCCGAGCGCCTTGTGGGAGAGTGGAGCCGGCCAATCCTCAAGCGGACGGACGACTACAAGAAGCGCCAAATTGAAACGCGTGATTTTGACTTTGTGTATGTGAATTTGTTCCCAATCATTTGAACGCAGGCAAGACACAGACGCTAACCTGTCTTTTTTTTCCCCCAACCATAGCGCCGCAAAGATGGCTCAGCGTCAGGAAGCGGCGGTAAGCGGCTCGCAGATCACGCTTACCCAACGGCCCGCCGGCAAGACTCGCTTCGAGCTTGAGCGAGAGCGCCTGCTTGCCCCCGAGACCAAGAAGAACCGCGCTCAGCCGGCCGGTCTCCCAGCGAGCTACACGATTGCCCCGCGGAGCACTTTCGATGCCTCCCGCCGCGCTGATCACCGGCCCATTGGAACCGGTGGCATGGAAGCCTTCCGGAGGATGACGCAGAAGGGTAAGGCAGGGAAGCGCTAAATGGGTTTTCAGATGGACTGGCCTTCGCCTATTCCAGGTAGCTGAGCTACCTTAGCGCAAGGTCGTCCTAACGAAAGTATCTTACTTCAATTCCCTTGGTTGGGACGAACGGGCATGCGGAGGGTAATGGGATTTGACGACTGTCGCGTGATTTGGGACGCTGCGTGACTTGGTTCTTTTGGGCATTCACCATAGGCTGAGTAGCACGATCGGGAAAACAGAGTGGCAGATACAGGGCCAATTTGACCAAGCTCTGGTAGTGATGATTTGCTCCTGAGTGGTGCGAGAGATTGCCCTTACGCATAGCTTAGCATGAGGTCTGGATCGTCTGATTCCTTTCCGGGACAGCGCAGGGAAGGTGTCCCACGGTGGTAGTGTCCAGGGGCAGGAGTTGACTTATAAACATGCAAGACACTTTTAATTACCCGCTCTTCCTCTAAACAAGTCTCCAGCGCTGCCGCTTCCATGGTGTTGTGAGAGAAATCATGCCAACCAACAAATAATAGTCTGCAAGCAAATGCAACGTAAGAAAAAGTTGATGAAAAGGAAGCCGAATGAAGAAGAGGTAGAGAGAGGAGAAGGCACACCAAAGACTACTACTTGTAGCTGTCAGAGTCGTAAGGTATACGCCATTTTCTCGTGGCACATTGGGTTGTATCATATCCCGTTCAGGGTAAAAACAGCAGATCTGGCGACAACACAAGAGGGCCAAAACTAATGATAACCCACCCAAGTTTCGTCTTCCCCGTCATAATCGCGAGGTACAGGATGGGACTGAAAAACAGGGAACGCAGCAATTAGGAAGGACAGCGCAAACAGTGAAGATGTAAAACTTCGCTGGAATATGGATAACGTATAACGTATTCATTCATCTACTCCGTCATCATCCGTAACCACGGCAGCCACCTGAGGCAGGGAAGCCAAACATCCAGTAGGAATCTTCTTGCAACAGTTCGTCTTTATAAAGGATGTTGAAAGGGGTGGAATCGAGATAGTACTGTGCAAAGAAAGAACATATGGTTAGGAGATCGTGTATAGAAACAAAGAGTAGGAATCAAGTACGCAGAAGAGCCCCATAATCAGCAGCAGCAAGAAGCTGGGGGGAAATCCTGAGGGAATGAATATAAAGCTCGTCGTGTTTAGATCATCATACGCGGGTGAAAGGGGGCCCTGAAATCCCCGAGCCGAATAGCAGCCGGCAAGGCGAACCCAGAAGTGCAGCATAACCCAGCTGATAGGGGCCAAGTCTGACTTCAAAACCATCCGATTTCCGAACAAAGGTGATTCTTCTTATCACGGCTCGCCGGTGTCGATCAGGGGATTAGAGTGGCCAACAGGTCCGGAGCCAGATAATCCAAGCCAAAGCACGTCTACCGCTTTCTTACTTCACTTGCCCAGCCGTCTATGCCTTCCCCGCGACTCCCGACTTCAACCCCATCAATCTTTATACCCTTCATGCCCGGCGTGTCATCCAACCAAACGTGGCTCGCCATGCCGCCTGCATTCGCCCGCTTCTCGGGCACGAGCTCCAGCATGGGGATGAGGAAATCAGAGATGCGCTTGGCTTCATCCTCCTTGAAATGGTACTTCTCCCGCAAGACATCCGGGAGAGCCCAATGCCGCAGCCGATGGATATTCCGCAGCTCTCCCTTTCTATTGAAGATCTCCTGCGACCACTTGCCCGACAAACACAACGACTTGGGAAACGGTCCGAGCAGCTCGATGATCTGGGCGATGTGGTCGTCGTCTTTTCCGTACTTTGTGCCGGACTGGGGGTCAAAGAGATAATCGCCTGTAATCAGCTCGAATACCTGTGTTATGTTAGTCCCGAAGGCCAGCAAACCTGAGGGGGCGATGACTGCATACCATGGCGGCCATGCTCCATACGTCTGTGCTTGCTCCCCATCTGGCACCTAGAATCACCTCGGGAGAGCGGTACTGGCGCGTTTGGATGTCGTTGGTAAAGTGGTGGTTGACCCAGCACGCGTTCCCGAGATCGGCGATCTTGACGCTGATGATGTCAAAGCCTTGCATATCCTCGGCCTTGCGCTTCTCGCCTGTTGTCGACAGAGGGGTAGCAGACTTGTCTAGCGAGATGCCCGAAACTTCCTTCGTGAGAATATCAGCCGTCTTTTCCCGCTGTTTTTGGCTGTCCTCCCCACTGTCTTTGTCGGGTCTCGGCGACGGTTCTTTGGATAAGGGACCTGCTCGGCAATAGTCAGCAAGCGCCAGCGTGGCCTCGGCAGCGAGGCGTCTCAGCTCACCTTCATGCAGCATCTGGCCGAGGCTGTGCGAACCGGGCGATGGAAATAGCGACGCAGAGCTAAAACTTGCGTTGAGCGGTGACGGCAAGGGCTGACTGCCTGTGATGAGCGTCCTACGCCTGCGACGGCCGTTCCTGTTGTTTTCCTTATCGTTGGGTTCGTTCTTTACCACCTTCTTCACGATCTGCTCAACGTCGCCGATCTCGATAAGCACATTCTCTGGCTTGAGATCCGTGTGGATGATTCCACATTCCCGGTGCAAATAATCGAGGCCCAGCAGCACCTGCTTTGTGATCTGCTTGACGAGCGGCATCGGGATACCCCTGTGATTCCACTTTTTGATCAAGCCCAAAAGATTCTCGCCCAGGACCTCGAACACCATACATACGTGGGTGCCGTTTGGGCCTTTGTGTTCGAACGAATCTAGCAAGCTCACGACATGCTTGCGACCGGGATGGTTCGGGTTTGCTTGGACAATCTTGTTGAGAAGCTTGATCTCATCGACGGCGGTTTCCGTATAGTGTGCCGCTGACCGTACGACCTTGAGCGCCACATGTTTGCCAGTCGTGTTGTCCCTTGATAGCCACACGGTTGAAAAATGACCCCAACCCAACTTCCGCACAACGGTGTATTTGCCGTCCTTAAACTTTTCCCCAATCGTGACTGGGTGATATCCTCCTTTGCAATAATCTTCAGAATCTTCCTCGTCGGCAGTGTTCTCGGCGGGGTCCTCAGGTGAGGAAGACGATGTCGGCGAATGTGTCATGACTTGGGCGAGATGAGCGGCCCTGTAAATCAATGTGTAAGCAGAAGGTTTGCTAGATAGCAGCGCTTCGAGCCGACGCAATCGCCCGATCTCTAAACGGCATTGCAACGAGGCAGAGATGGTGGCGGGGCGGCGGCGCGGGCATGTTAGGCAGGCTAGTAGTAATGTTGCGCACAGTGCCGAACTTTCGGCTGACCCAAACAGTAACAAGTACCGCAAAGTGTAGTGTATGCAGAAATGGTAATTAGAGTGAAAAGCGGAGGAGACCTTGTCTTTAACATGGTCTTCATCTTGGAGACCAACTGGACGGGTGCAATAGGGACCAACGCGAAAATAAGCTAGATGATGCTGAGGTTGCTTTGACAGGCTTGGGTGATCACTCTGCCTCTTCTACACGTAGTGGGAGGAGTTGAGAAGCGGTAAGAAAGAGGGAGGGGATTTGGGGGGCGGTGCGACGATGGGCAACGCCGCAGCTCACTAGAGCCAAAACAAAAGATACCTTGTATTCGTGGATCAGTCCCCTTGGGACCAGTGCTGCGTAGGCAATGCCGCAGCACCGCATGGACGCTGCCATTTCCCCTCCATGGGTCCATGGGCCTATGACCCCCTTGTCGCACCCCGCCATCTCTCGAGAAAAACCGCAGCGCAAGGTGTTTGCAACGCCCAGGCGGCGACACATCGCGCACACAAGCTGAGGCGGCGGGATGGGATGCAAACACATTCTAGAAACAAAGAAGAGGATGGCACGAATCGATCATGCAGTGGAGCAAGAAAAAAGCGCAGATGCACGTACCCGGGGCCCTCGGTCGTAATGATAGGCTTCAAGCCGTCCTTCTTCCTCTTCTTGTTCAGTGCCGAGTTGCCGTTGGCGGACGCACCCTGTGATGTCGTCGAGCCTTGCGATGGCTTTTGCGCCATTGCCTCCTTTGTGATTTGCGCTCCGTTCATTATGCGCGAGTGAGAAATCGACAGCTAAGCAGACAAGACGGGCCTGGCGATAGTGATGGTGCACGCGTGGCAGTCCCGGCGGCAACGATGTCGGTCAGGGTTTTGGGGCGGGCGAGAGTGCGGCGCTGTCGACCGGGGGAGATTCGTCAAGGCCTACGGCGATGGCTCTGTTAGCGAATTTGGTGCCCAGAGCATCGGGTCGTGGCAAGGTTAATATGCACAACAGTTTGATTCGACGTCGGGGAGCGGGTCGTCGGCAAGGGGAAAGGCTGGGGTGGCTCTGTCGCGATGAGGATGCGCGCTTCTCGACTGGGCCTCGTCTTTGGCTGTCGACAATCGATGAGGAAGGAGTGGTGGCTGGATGCTCGTTTTGCCAGTGTCTGCCTCAGGAAGTGGGAGTGCAACCCTCATAGCCCGGCTTACCCATGCCGAATCTAGGTTAAAGCGAAGCGCGAAGGTGGGGATCTCCAGCACGCAAGCGGCTAGGAGGATGCGGATTCGCAGTCGCAAAATCCAGGGTCAAATAGAGTCGTAGGCTGGATGTCTGTATGATTGTCGAAGGTAACCTGGGCCTGTCTCGGGCGCGGGCTGGCTGGGCCTGGTGCGGACCGACGGCGGGAGCTGATCCAGAAGGGCTTGATTGAGGGGAGGAGGGGCAGGAGCTGGGCACTGGGCGCTGGGGCTGCCTTCAAGTTCGCATAACAACAAACTGGAAGCTTACCTGACGTGGGTGTTGAGCACTGGATGGCAAACTGTCGCAGAATTGTGCTATGTAAGGTAACTACACTGGATGGGCTTTTGCTCTTAGCCGAGTCACGGCAAGGACGTCATAGGCGATGAAGCAAGGAATTTGTACATGTTGGAAGGTTGGGTCCGCCGACGTGCGTTGCCTGCAGGCCGATTTGTTGAGACCGGATATGTATGCGCCAGGGCAGGGCAGACTCGTGAGAAGTCCTCCCTTCAGAAGGCGCAGCTGAAACTGGCACCGTGGTTTAGTTAAACGGCCTTGGCTCGTCGAGAAAAGCACAGAAGAATCGGTGCCAAGACATAGGTAATGAATAGAGAAGAGCAGCAATCGAGGGCGAGTTGTGTATTGGGAAGACGTGTTTGATAGACTTGGAATGGCAAGGTGCGTGGTGAGAATCTGGCGTTCGAAATTGACAAACGGGGGAAGACACTGATAGCCGTCTCCACTCTACAGTGCGACGCGAATCGATCGAGGGTGCTTTTCTGCGACGATTCTAAAACCGGCATTCGCGCGACTTGGGATGTACTGGTAAGTACGGAGTATTTGTACCTTATTGCACACAGGGCGCAGCACAACTCTCACCATCACCTCCAATCTCCATCCCTTATTACTAGAACCCCAAGAGTGACAAAATGGCGATGTGGCATTTGATTCAACAAGTGATATGACTTCCACCGTCTTGCCTCCGTCATCAACATGTGCATCAATCATCCGAACGTAGTTCCATCGCCAGTCTAAGCATCCTTGTCATATCGTGTAAAGTACGAAGTACAAAGTACAATTAAATGAATGGATACTTCCGCTCGTCCCTTGACGCGAGTAATTACTTGTACGGATCCGGAGAATTTGTACGGTATGCACGAAGTATACACAATACACACCATATTTCGGACGTGTATCTTTGGACTTGGAGTGGGATGCCGGGGGATGAAGCAGTGATTAGGAACTACCTGAATTACGGATACAGAGCATTGTACTGAGCATACAGGTACTGCAATGTACTGTAGAGTACTAGCTCATGTCGCTACTGTATTTTACCTGTACGTCTCACAGTACGGATACAGTACAAATACAGTACATATGGAACTCGATTTTATTTAGGATTCAACCCTCACAACAAACGCTACCTGAGACTCAAAACCAGCATGTGACTCCAGATTGACCGATTTGTTTCCAAGTCGGCCATTATTAACGTTAGCAATCGTTCAACTTTCAAGTGAATGAGCTCTTTAATATGCAGCTCGCCTATTCAGCCAACTATACCCAGATGGGTTTCCCAGACCTCCGTACTCTCCAGGCCGTCAATGCCTTCTTGTTCGCAGATTGCGCAAGGCCATGGCGATGACGACACCCATCACGTCCGCTTGATGGCATTCTAGGAAACCCAGGCTTATATTGCGACACCAGTGATACCTGATAGAAGCGCATGAATTGCCCAATAACCTCCACTGAATCTAGCAGGCTTCTATTGTTCCTCAAAAGGCATAACTATCCAAGAGAAGTTCTTATCCCATGAATGTTCCTCGAGAGCCTCAACCTCACTGCCAACCCAAAATCACCCACCAGCTTGACAACGCGGACTCCAACAAGCAACTACAAGTCCATAGAACCCTCTATAATTGTAGGCAGCCCCTAGTAAGGTGTAAATCGGAAGCGAGAAGATTCTTCTTACTTACGATCCGATACGGGTGAGTACGGTATAGCTATAATCGGATTGATTGCAGACCATCTTGGGGTCAGTATGTCCCGCCTGCTCCAGTTCCCGGTAGTTGAACTATATTGCTTGGTACTGCGATATGCCTTCTAAAGAAGTCGACAACACCAACATCACATCACGGCTTCCAAGCCCACCCACTCGATTCTCGAAATTCTATCTGTGGTTAGATAGACCTCAAGAATCAAGACTGGTACCTACAGTATATACTTAGCCTTGCCATCACAGCCCGCTGCCGGTCGACCACATACGTTTGCTCGTTTGTTGTCATTTGCTACCGTATGATTGGTGTCAGGAAAACTCCATTCAGTCATGACACTGGTAACGTGGCCAAGATGAGATAGCATCATCAATCGAACCGCATAGAAACTTTGCGAACCCGCCTAGGCTGGTTCAAGTAGGTATGAGAATCCACCTGGTAGACGGTTATGGCGCGCACAGGATGTCCAGCACCCGTGTCAGAGTCATTCGAGCCAGCAATCAACATGAATCGAGTGAGGGCTGCTGTGTGGAACTATGTTGTGGAAAGACATCGTCGATAGATCAAATGGCGCTTTACATATATAGCCACCGTAGTTGGCTCTAGCATGAATGGAAAGCTTAGGGCTAGCAATTTGTTTGTATAACTACGAGGGAGTACAAAGGGGGCTTATATATAGCAGTTGGAAGTTGTCCACCTAAAGTGCCTCAACTTCTCGCTCCACTGATTTTCCTATAGATCACACAAATGAACTACACTTTATTTAGCCCCTACATCAATCAAGATGGTGCTACTATAGGTCATGCTTAAGTCTCCAGAGTCTTGAGGGAAACAAAGGGCTGAGTCCTCTTGTTGAAAGATGGGAACTTCAATGATCGCGAAATACATCACGACAGTTCATCTATACCGTTATGCTGTCAACGGTGATTCCCAATCAAGGTTACGAAGATCCTAGGTCACCGATAAGGCAATTACATGTGAAGTTCCCTGCTACTTTCTCCTAGATATTTGAAATGCAACGTGGCCATAGCGATAGGATAGAGACGATGGCTGTTTTGATGTGCTTCTATTGCTCACGAATTCCACACCAAACTTAACGTTTTCTCAACCATCCACTGTCCGATTTCCTGGGTTATACGGGATGATATAACGTCTCAGATTCGTTTTAGTGTCGGTTGAGCCTTGCCGCCGCTGGAAGTAGCAGCACACCACATGCTCGAGAAGATCAGGCTGTGCGGAAGAAGTGCTAGCGAACTAGCACCTGTCCAGGCGGGTGACCGCGAGGTCTGTATCGTGGCATGGCGGTATGAATCATAGGCCATTAGCTCGCCGCCTAGCAAGTTAATCCGACTCGGGATGCTCGTCGTCACCCGAATCGGGATGCAAGTGGTAATCCGAATCGGAAGGCTCGTCGTGATGCGGGCAAGCTAAAGCGGGCCCCCAAATCTCGAGGTTGATCCCGCGTTCTCCCAAAACCTGCTTTATCTTGTCCTGCGTAGATATGTGACGGTCCATTTCCAAACCATCCTTCCACACTCTGTTGTCATCGCCATAAAGGCAAACGTATTTCAAGCTAGGCGGTGCGCGCCTGACCAGAGCGCGTGTGACCTCATACAGAGTGACTTGCTCCACATGGAAGCTATGTTCATCGGCGCCGATCATATCTAACTCCAGCGTCTCCAGATTTGGGCACGCAGCAAGGACGCGCCTTAGCGAGATCTCGTCGATTGAACAGGCCTGGAAGTCCAGGTGAGTGACCTTGTCAAGCGTCAACGGCGAGGGCAACTCCCAAGACACACTCCCGTATCGAAACACAAGAGTGGTGATATTTGGTGCTGTTTGGACAAGGCTGGTGAATGTTGCTATGCCTATGATTGACTCCGTGCGTGCTGCTTGGAGGACGACAGTCCGCAAGTGTGGTATGGTTTGCGGAGGATACAATAGGAAGGCGGACTGGTAGTAAAGTTTGCCGTGAAAGACCTCTACGTTCGGACAGAGACTGGTCAATATACTGACTGAGTACTTTGTCAGTGGGAACTTTGGAGGTGAAGGACCTGGTTGTGAGGTGTTCTGCCCGAGCAATTCTTCCCACCCCATTCCGAAGGCTTTAGAGTGGGCGTTCCCATCCCTCAGCGGTCCACTCATCAGTCCTCCCTGTTGCTCGGAGTACTTGATAACCTCCGTCGGTATTGCGTATCCGTACGGCATACGACTAAGCTCCGGACTAAGATGCAGTGCCTTGACGAAGCGAGCCAGGTCTGGCCGAACGATGAGAGTCCGCGAGAGTAGCCACCATTCTCGGCAGAGAGGTTTGTGGTAGAGGTGTCGTGTTGCTACGATGTTGAGTTTTCTCGATGCCACACAGAGGGAAGCAAGCGCAGAAACACAACGGAATTCTTCGTACCAGACACCATCGTGAAGATGGCCCTGAAAGTACCAAGCGCGGCTTCGTGGCAACGGAGTGCAGTGAGGGCAAAGGCCCTCAACAATGATTTCGATGAGTTCGATGGGAAGTTGGTTTGAAAATTCCATTCTTGGTTTCCTCCTTGAAGTTTGATTCGAGCTGCTCTTTCGCGGTAGAGCCTTACACACCGGTTCGAATTCTCGGCGCCGAAAGGAAGGATCTCGTTAGTGCAGTGTCGTTATTCTCGAATTTCGATCCATGAACCAAGTGTAATGTGTGAAAGAATGTTGGTCGAAAGGAAGATGGCCGAACGAAAGTCGGGCGAACGAAAGCGCTGGTTTAAGGAAACTAAAGGTTTTTAACTGGAAGGGAAATTGAAATCGATGGGCTTGATCAGAGGGAGGGAGGCACCTTCGTTACCAAGGTTCACTCAGCTTGGGTGGTGATTACCAGTATGCCTAGTAGGTACGCGAAGGTACTTAGCCATATCCAGCCCCTTAGGTTTTCATCTTCACACTTGGGACGAAACCACTTAGCACATGGTTACCTTAATTAGGAAGAGTGAAGCATTGGGTTGTAATGATCTCGGTCATGCCGACTTGATATACCTAATCTCGCACATATGGTCAGATTCCCCTCGCGTATTGCTGCGAGTCCCGAAACACCAGACACCAAGTTTGAAGTTTCCTGGATCGGGGCCTGGATCTCGAAGAAAGAGAAGCCATTAGCGTTGAAAGACGGTGGATTGATGCTGGTTCTGAGCTAAGGTGATGTTCTGCCGGCAGATAGCTGAGGGGCAACACTGGCATGTGTGAGGATCCCCATGTCGTGTCGTCGGTCGTGGTAGCCCTGGACGAGGATCTTATCGCAAACGAGATCTGCCAATACCACCCTTCGAGGTAACCTCACCCTTGCAGCCTGGTGTTTTGATGACCTGATCCCCTACTGCGACCCGAACTGTCGGGGCGGGAAAATGGAGATTGTTGCTCAGGAAAAACCAGGGTTTCGTGGAGTCACGCCCCATTGTGCGCAACAATTCTTCCTCTCAGGGGTCAGTGCGACCATGCAGGTCCAAGCAAATCCCGTCTTTGCAGGCCCACCCGACCAAGCGCGGAAGCTCGGATTTGAGCCCGTCCTGCGGGGAGCGGACGCGTCACAGAGGGCGTTAGGCCCAAATTGGATGCGCCATCACTGCAGATGCGCGAGGCGAGCAAAGCTAGCCGCCGGGTGGGCCTTGGATCGACGAGATTTGCCAATTTCCAAGACGGCAAGACCAGGCACCAGATCGGTGTCACATTCTGGCCGCGATCGATCTTTACTCCAGCGTTTATAAACTCTTGTCATCCCTCCCCTGCTGTTGGATGTTTTACATTATGTTCAGGGTCCCATCGTGAGTCGTGACTGGAACGTCGAAACACGAAATGTCGAGTGTGACAACTTCAACCGTGACGAAAGGTCGATGAGAGTCGACATGATACGGATGCCTCATCTGCTCTGTATCTACCTCGCCGTCCGCGACGCTGCCTCTCGTCCCCACGGCCCATGGTGGTCCTCCGACGTGGCGCGATGACTTACATCCCTGTCTCAGACAACCCGCGGGGGATCACGATTCTCGCAGTCTTGTGGCCCTTGACTGCCCTCTCGGCCGCCTTCCTTGGTCTTCGACTTTACTGCAAGATCGTCCGACGTCGCCAGCTTTGGTGGGATGACTATTTTATCATCGTCGCCTGGGTGTGCATCCGTTCCGTGATGTTTATCCGAGCTCCAACACTGATTATGTGTCATCTTGAAAGATTCTTCTCCTCCTCAGCTGCGGGGCCACAACGGCGAATGTCCGTCTCGGCTTCGGCCTGCACTTTGAGCAGGTTCCCGTCGAGAATCTGATTACCTATGGCATCCAGAGCAACATATCCGGCTTCGCCTCTATCATTGCCGTAGCCTGCAGCAAGACTTCGTTTGCCATAACACTGCTCAGGCTGACTGATGGCTGGATGAAGTGGTTTATTTGGGGTCTCCTTGTTCTCCTGAACGTCACGCACTATTTGAGCGCGCTGTTCTTCTGGGTCTCGTGCAATCCTCCAGCCAAGACGTGGAATGCCATGCTTCCGGGGGAGTGTTGGCCAACCAGCGTCACCATCAACTACAGCTTGTTCACAGGAGGTAGGTGGCTCCCACTTACATTGACCACTGGCGGGCAAGCCAACTGACATGAACCTGTCACAGCATGCTCCGCGTTCTGCGACTTCGCCCTTGCCTTACTCCCCTGGAGGCTGCTGCTCAGATACAACATGTACAACAGAGAGAAGATTGGGGCGGCGATTGCTATGAGCATGGGTGTCTTGTAGATCCCCCTGGGCGCGTCCGCCATCCGCGGCACGACTTTGCTAACCATTACTGCCTCCTTAGTGCTGGCATTACGTGTATCATTAAGATGACCACGATTCCCCTCCTGTACGACAGCGACTTTAGCTGTGAGTATTATTTGATCAAGCATGCCAGCAAAGCAAGTGCCAAAAGGGGCCCCAACTAACCAAGTTTAACCGCCCAGACAACTCGCTACCGCTCGTCCTATGGGGCTTCGTCGAGCCCGCCTGCACCATCGTGGCCGCGTCGATCCCAATGATGCGCCACCTGTTCAAGAAGCGCGGATTGTACGACACGCCGACCGAAGTGGCGAGCACGAGCGTGCACGACTCGATCCACAGCCAAAACGTCAGCGGCAGCGCCAACCACCGTGCCTACCAACAACAACAAGAAAAGCAACGGCAGCAGCAGCAGCAGCAGCAGCAGCAGCAAGAGCAAGAGAGGCGCCACGCCTAGCTCGGCCACGACAACCACAGCGACATGAACACATTGGGACCCCAGCCGAAGAGCAGCAGCTCGTACACGCTAGGCATGAGCAGCGAGGGCGGCGGGGCGGCCGAGAAGTCCACCGCTGTCATGTACGAGATGACTAGTTTTGGGAAGCGCGGCGGGTAAAGGTTCTTTGGGTTGAAGGAAGCGCTTGAAGGCCGTTTATTCCCCGTTTTAATCTTAATCATCCCATTCCATTCCAGTCTTTCTCCCGCTCAGTGTTCTTGTTCAGTGATGCCTTGCAGGCTTTTGTTTGGGTTATCTTGACAGGTCGGCCGCAACTTTTGATGTCTGGTTCACCGCACTAACAAGAAAGGGCTTTGGGGAATGGGATGATCATTGACTTTTTGGCGGCCCGATGTCAGTGATGAACGTCACCAGTGTGCTCAGAGTTACTCCCCTCTTCATCATCGTCAGTTAGTATCGGCTTCCACACGACATCTCTCCACAAAGGGAGATCAAGTTGCCCCGGTCGGCAACTTTATTCTTGAAAATGAGATACTGCCGTGACCATGACCAAGGTCAGGCACTAGGGATTCATCACGAGTGGGACTAGTGGGCTGACCGGCCGAGCACTTGGGTCTTTTATTGAAGCATAGACTTAAGAACAGACTCAAACTCAAAATCCACGTTGTCCACGCCAGGAATAGGCTGCACCTGTTCCTGAGACAGTTGCCCACCCGTCGCTCCAGTTGCCCCATCGTTTATGATCTCAGAGGGCCCAAACTCCGGAGGTGGTCCAAATCCGGGACCTTGCTGGCCTTGGGCTTGACCCTCAGCGGCATATCGCCCGTTCTGGGCTTCGACGTGGAAGTTGGCCATCATCCTTGCAGCTTCGCTCACCATTGCGGCAATTTGGGGGGCCATCGTCATCTCGAAAGCCAACTTCATTTGGCCGTCGTAGGCGAAGGTCTGTTTCAGCCGATCCAACTCAGAGTGAAGAGAGCTATGATGGAATTCGAGCGTTTCCACCGTGGTCGGGCCATATCCCCCAAAGTGCTGAGGATCTGCACCATGTTCCTGTGGAAGGGTTGTCAGAAATCCTATCGAGATATTCTCATGGCCCATTCGCCGCGATCATAGGCACTTACCTGCTGCTGCTGGTTGATTTCGTCGGCCTCGCTGGGGCTCACAGCCAGCTGCTCATACTGACCGGGAGTAGGACTAGGAGGGAAGACAAGGCCGGGGGGGAAGACAAACCCCGAGGGGAGGACAGCGCCGGGAGCCGAGACGGGGCCAGGGGCGAGGACAGAGCCAGGGGGGGAAGCAGAGCGACCGTCGCGGTCCGCCTCTTCAGGCGGGGTGCTCGGCTTGGGAGGATTATGGATGCCCAAAAGAGCATCTTCCGCCTTCGTGTTCAAAAAACCGCCCAGGTCGCCCCACGACCTGATCGAGTCCGCGTTTTCGTTGCACCACTTGACCAAGCGGTCTCGATTTTTGCCGGGGACCGCATAGAGGCGAGTATAACAATACCTAGCAAAGTTCGCTAGGTGCTGCTCCTTGATTGGGGCCGACTTCAAGTCGCCCTTGTCTTCATATTCTTGGAGCTTAGTGGTAACCGCCCTGGCATATTTCGTCTCAGAAATAGGTCGAGAGCGAGGAACCCTGGCACGATTCTCCTCGACGCCGCCAGCAGACCTGAGGCCATCCATATCTCTGTCGTGTGTCGGATCTTTTAGTTTGGATCACTAAGTGGCTGAGAAAGAACGCTCAAGTGAAAGGTTGATCGTGGAGCAGAGAGAAACCTGTCGAACAAGAGAGGTGAAGATCCAACGGAAAGTCAAAAGTTTTGGAGGCGAGGGGCGCTCTCTCTCCGTGACTTTCTGTGGGCGGGTTCCCCGTCGACGACAGCGGGTCACCGTCGACGGCCACTCAGGTCGCAGAGATGGTGTTTTCACCAACGCGGCCAAAGGTCAAGTTGGGGCAGGGCAAGGCAGGTCTCGGCATCAGAGTCCGGGGATCAGCAGAGAACAGTCCCGGCGAGAGGGACAGTTCGTGTGAGAGCAGTCCAAGGGGCCAGCTAGTAGGGACTCCATATCAGGGGTGTGATACACAATTCACACATCAGGGACAGGTTAAGCGTTCAGCACAGGCGCATGCGGCTACATTGACTTCCATGATTCACTCTGATCACTCATCGATCAAGGTTAAGGTACGGACGACGGTGAACATGGCGGCATCTCGATGTGGTCCTTGTTCTTCCTTCATTCCTACGGTCTTTGTAACGAACTAAAAATGCTAAATACCTAGGTATCCTTCTATAGACTAAGGACGCTATTCGAACTTGCCAGCAAGCTAATCCAGCCTGGCTGAGAGGACCCGGATGACACGCGAGTTCAGGTTCCTAGTGACGCCCCTGTCATCGACCTGCAGGAGGATATGATACGGGTTGGGTGAGCCAGCAAGATGCTGTTGATACCGCCAGACAAAGAGGTCGAATAACAGCCGCCGCTTGATAATGAGGCGGTCAATCGCGCTGTTAGACACATCTTCAACCTTAGGTACCTAGGCTTCCCGGTCGTATTGCCCCTTCTTCCACTCAAGAAGCTCCTGATGTACGGGTGTGGCTACAACGTCTGGCTGAAAGAAGGGTTTCAAATCAAATTGCTTCTCGGCATGAAAAATTTGTAGTGTATCATTGTATGTTGTTAAAAACCGTCGACCGCCAAGTCCTGTTGTTAAGATGCTGATCAGCCTGATCTGGCTATGTATCTTAAGCGTAATAAACTATTCAACTTGGTAAGGAGGTACTATATTGGGAATATATAAGGTACCTTCGGTATACTCAGGTGCGTGGCTCACCAGAGTGGTATGGATTCTGCTCCCAGCACATGAGTAGGTACCTATCAATGGTATTGGGCAGGGGCTTGTTAACCGATACATTACCATCGAGGCAAGCTCCGAGTCGTTCTCATCGCAAATAACAACATTACTAGTACGGACATATCGAAGCAAGGCTTACGATAATACAAACTTTCCCATGTATATAAACATAGATTTCGACTTCCAATACAACCCAGGTCCGTTGCGTCTGCTGCTTGTCCATTGTGCTATGCCGCGCCCATGCGAACCCACTGATAACATTCCACCTTGTTACGGCTTCGAGGGGAGTACGTGATGGTACTTTGTTGGCCATCACGTTCTATCACAACCTTCATCTTGTTATTGAGGGAATCAGCAGCCGTCGAGAATGACCAGAACCGAACAACCTTGTCGCCCTCCCTGATTCCCGCCTCCTCGGCTCTCGACCCGGCTACAAGGCCTGTGATGACTCCGCCAAAACTCGCTTCAGAGAACCCAAGTTCCAACTTCTCAGCGTCCTGTCTGACCAGTTTTAATCCGTACTTGGCGAAGCTGTCCGTGGCGGGAATGACGAGTTTACCGCTCGTCATGTCCTCGAAACTCGCCGCGGCGGTTGTGTTTCCTACGTACTCGGCAACCGCAGCGACGAATTGCTCGCCCTGGGTCACTGCGTCAGTTTTGTACCGTTGATAGAGCGCGAGCACGACGTCGTCCAGACCTTTGGTCCCGTCGGTCGCCTGCTGGACCAGCCCGTGGACCTGAGCGAGATATATGAAGCCCCTGAAATACGACGTCCGGACAAGGGGTGTGCTCGTCCAGTAATTCTGCAGAACATATGTCCAGTTGAGGCCCGTCGTGCCGCCGGTATAATATGCCTGCGCGTTGTTGTTCATACACCGCACAAAATAATCGCCATCCACAACGCCAGCTAGGAAGGGCGCCATGACGGCGTAGTACGTCGCCACGCCCTCGCGATACCAAACGTCTTGCTGCCGGACCGGGTTCATCAACGCGTAGCCATGTACCGACTCGTGCGAGATCAGGTTTTCCAATTCGTCAATCGACAGCTCCTCGCCCGCAAGACTCGTAAACTCCATCATGAACGACCGGAACCCGCCCGCGCCGCCGTATCCCCGCGCCGCTCTGCGCCAAAACATCCTGAACGAGTCCTTTCCTTCTCCGAAAAAATTGCGAACGGCTGCGGTCAGCATCTTGATCCGCTCACCGAGACGGTCCAAATCCCATGGTGGTGCCTCCCGGACCCAGTACATGGCGAACGGCCCTTCATTCTCGCTCTGACTCTGACTCTCACCCTCATCTTCCCCCCAAGGCGGCCACCGTCCCAACCTCCGGACCGCAAAATACGTTTTATCAACAATCCGTCCTGGCCGTCCCTGCGCCCTAACCTCGTGTCCCTCCCCGAGCGAAGAAACCGCCCTGATCCCATTCGGATACGCATCAGTGTTCTCCCATCTCACAATAACATCCCACTCCTCGTCAACTGCCGGACGGGGTAGGAAACCCTCCCCAAGCCCAATCAGCCCGCCCTGGTCGCGACGGAGATCTATCCTCGGCCCGTTTCCGATCCCTAATCCGGGTGGGACTTCAGCGAGGAATCTCACCGTAATATCCCCGACTATGTTTCGTCCAGATGGTACGGACCAGAATTGAATTGCATTCGAGGTGTTCTTGTCGACATGTGTGGAAAGTGACAACGGACCGGTCGAGTCTGATGCGGAGAGGGTTGCGTTTATTGTTCTTGTTGCGCCATTGTTGAGAAGGTGCGAGAGGAGCGGGGATGTATACGGCGCGCCGGTTAGGACGAGCGTTACGTTTAGGGCTGTTATTTCGGGTCCGGATGTGGAGGATGTTGTCGTTGGCGTGGAGAAGATTGGGGTTAGAGAGATGAGGAGGCGGGGGAGGGGCGGTGTTGCCGTTACCCTTCCGAGGAGAAGGAAGGTGTAGATGATGGACAACATTTTGGAGTCAGGTGCGCGGTGGGAATAGCTTAGGGACACAAGATGGGAAAGGGGATGCGATGGGAAATGTAACAGAGATGAGGCCGCCAAGATTGAGGTCAATCAGTACCTACCCGGATCATGGACGTTAGGAACGCTCCTGCTTTCTATATGCTTTCCGCCTCCTTCTTCATTGATTCCATACTTGTACTAGTTCGCTCGGAGTCCGAGGTCTATGTAGTATCCTCTATAATTTACCTGTCGGCTAATGCTTATGTGTCCGACCTTCCGGATGTGGTGCCTTTACTGCCTTGTGCTGCGAAGATTCAATATTTATATCTAGGGAGGGACGTTGGGTGAATTATAGTTTGTGCTTGTTCCTCTGCTATGTTACTATGATGACCACTGTCGTCCGGTATTTTCCATGATGGAATGGTGTTAACGGGTAGCTATGTGCTTTGGGTGACAGCCTAGTGAATGCTGTATATGCCTTGTACTGTATAGGGCTTTTCAAAGTTAGTTCAAACCCGGATTGAGGCCGGATAATGAGAGACAATAATATGTTTTGAACAACCCGAGGGCAACCGGGTGGTAATTCAGTGCAGATCACTTAGCTCAGCTTACATTGTTTGGTGCCCACCGACTGGTAGTAACAACAAAGGTGTTGCGGGATCCTCGTGGATCAACAAGGATCTCGCTGGTGATCCAAAGGTCGATATCAAGGAACGATACCTTCAAGAGGCACGACGCCCAGGGCACACCACATCACACAAGTGAGGTGTGTACTCCAGACGTAAGATGATAATTGATTGATTGAAGGAAAGGGAGTCCTGATGGACTCCTGGGATCTCTATATACTACGGATTGGCCAGCCACATACGTGTCCTGAGGCTGAGACAAGGAAGCCTCATCCTGGAATGGCGTATCCTGACCTGTGGACTCGTGGAGGCGAGAGATCCCGCAACAAGTGCCCCAAATTTGAAAGAAAAAAGCAGCCGCATGGCTGTAGAACTAAGATTACAAACCCATTTCCTCAATCCTCCTCGCAGTGCCAGTGAATTCACTGCCCATCCTCCAGAATGCCCTGCCGTAAGCGCTACGCGGCCATTGCTCACTCCACCATGTCTTCCGTATCAAAGAACGCCTGAATCCCAGTCCCGCGCCCAGTAGCCCTGCCCAGAGTCTTCGCGCCAGAGGCAACCACAGGAAACATGCTCGTCTCGAGTGAAGGGCCGAAACGCTCGTAGATCGCTTGTTTGGGGACGCAGTTTGGTCTGCTAGCTTGCGCTTGTTGGGGCGCGTGGGTTGTTTCGTCGGCGGGGCCAGGATCTTCTAGGCCGAGCGCGGGGTGTGATCCATGATGATGGGCTCTTGATACCGCGAAGCTTGCCTTGGCGTAGCGAGCCGGGCGGCGTTGGCCTCCTGAAAAAGGCCTTGATTATATTTCCAGCAGCCTTGTCCGGCTGGAATTCGATGTATAACGGCAAGGGAGATGCTGAAGAAGTAGGTGAACGTCCTGCTTGTTCCTGCCTCGTTCATGCAGGACCATGATCGAAAGTGGAAGCGTTCCGAGAGGAACATGTAATGCGTCTATAACTCAGTTAGAATTCGCACCAAACTAGATTGCTCTGGAGTCAGAACGGACGGAACTTACAGCGCCAGGAGCAATGTCAACGACGTCAACCTCGTTGGACTGGGGTGTATCTTGCATATTCGTGAAACTGGGTCTCGAGACTCAAACTGAGTCCTGTTGTTCCGACGGCCATCTTCAGCCTTGACTCCGCCCTCCTCTTCTTCATCCTCTGCTTCGGGAGCTCTATTGGCGGTACTGAGATTAAGGCCGAGGCGTTCGTAAGAGCTAGACTACCGGTATCCGTAGTCTTAGCTAGCCCCTTACTCACATCTCGTTGGCCAAGCTTTAGTAATGTAAAGGGAAATCAGCGGCTGCTTTCTGGGCTGAACTTCCTCCTTCAAGTACCTTATGCTCTCTTATCTAGGTATTCTCTTTGTTTGTATCCTACATTGTAGCTTTCGTCGGTGCACGCCGCCAGATACGTCGTTCCATATTCGTCGCTCTTTGATAGCAGGCGTAGTCGACCAAGCACTTGTTTCCTGCCAAACAGCAATGAATGTGCCCAAACGCCGCGGTCCCGCAGGGAATAAAGGACGGGAATCATCGGCCAGCCTACCCTTCGCATAGTAGCAGATGCCGTTGCTGATAAGAAGGTCTGTCTTTGCGTCAATTCAATATACATTAGCCAACTCATGGCGAAGCTCGTCAACCTCGTCGTCATCCTGGTTTTCGAAGAGCGCTGGGACCCAGTCGTGAATGAGCTTCAGGTTCCGGTCGAGGTTCTCAGCCTTGCCGTGGAGCTCACAGACTTGCTCCCCAGCAGGCCTGGGCCATGAAGACCCTCAACTTAATTTCCTTGCTCAAACGACAGCTTTCTTGTTGAGCACGCCGGCAGAATAGTCCGGCTCGTCGGCCTCCAGCTCATCTCCCTCGCCGGTCTGTGGGAGAAGATGTTTGGGAGAAAATCTGCTCTGGTCATTTCGTGCCCCTTGGACACCCTATGCATGCTCTGGGGTCGGCACCAAAGTACGCCCGCCTGTTTCCGGACGCCCGTCCTCCACGCAAATCGTCTTGCGATCCTGTCAGATACGATTAATCAGGGCCCTCCGCAATTTCTCTCGGCTCTTCCGTCGTGATTCGGGAGACCATCAAGCTGGCTGCCTGTACGCGGCTAAGAAGCTTGCCGCGTTCAGCAGCCTGATATCTTCTGCCTTCATCGTCTTGTATTCGCTCGCGGTCGCTCGTCTGAGTGAGCCGGAAGGCTGTATTCTCGCTGGTTGGTGGCGGGATCCTCCCGCCAAACGCGCCTGTTCCGTTCTGCTTGGCGCCAGCGGGTTCGGTTACAGGTATCATGATTCCTCTTGCTTCCGGCAACGCCATTGTTCGTCTTGGGCCTTTAGCCAATGCTCGCTTGTACCGCGTCCGTGGTTTCATTCCTACAACCCCTTCGAGCTGCCGTTCGGGAAGGCGTAGACTTGCTCCATGCCGGTCATGACGCCTGATTTTTCTGTTGGAGCGCATGCTCCAATGCACCGCACAATCCCGTTCGGCAACAAAAACCGCACCGACTGAAAGTTGGGATCGCTGCTGGTGTTAGAAGGATATTGAAAGGAAAATACACGAGCTTGTCGAGTTTGTTGCAGAGTAAGGGTTCTCCTTGAGGAAGATTGAGAGGAGTGTTGCGTACGCAGACTTGCAGAATTTGACGAGGGTGTAGGGCTGGCGCCAGTCGATGTGCTTGAACTTGGCAAGAAGAACCTAGCATTGTGTGAAAGAATGTGAGGAAGATTGATCTCTGTCAGTAGCGACCTCGCACGAGTACATCAACAATGTCAGTATATAACCCTAACCCGTATGATTCTCGCTCCTCTTCTCCTGATGTCTCCTCAGAATCCTCACACTCTCAGGCGAACTCATCACATACTTTTTATACTGATTCGGTCCCTGCTCAGTAGTGATATGCTGCCATTACACTATGCTTGCCTGGAGACTCCACAACAAACAAAAAGGGGTTTGTTTGGTAGCAGACCTACTTCCCCAAATGCTCTCAAACAGACAAATGCTTGATCTTCTGCCTCCTCGACAAACTTGTCAGCTACGTGAAGCAAGTTAAGGTCACCCCCAAACAAAACATTTGACAGATCTTCCTTAGAGTTTGGTTTCCAGATGCAGGAAAAAATGAGAAAAATATATGAGCCCAACCCGATTTGAACGGATAACCTTGTGATCTGGAGTCACACGCGCTACCGTTGCGCCATGGGCCCGATGTGCTTGTTAAACATGTTCCAAAATCAGGGATGATGAGGGTGAGGTTGTGGCTACGTGGCTCCCTTATCAGAAGACAGCTCACGATTCATGTTCTTTGTTTCTGATTGTCGTCAATTTGTGCTGTAAACCGTGCCTCTCGGAGTGTAGTGATAGAACTTGTTTTGCTTGGGACTGGGAAGTGGGAACACCCGAGTTCTGCGACAAAACCGGCGGTGCTCCGGGTTGTGGGACCATCATCACCAGAACCCCGCTAAGCCAAACTTGGGCACCTTCACCTTCACCTTCATCAACCTCACAGCCTGCATCAAACAAAAAGTCAGCTCTCTGCCTCAGCGCGCTTTTCAACTTAGAACGACATGGAAAACGGCACAGTCACCCAGGGTGAGGGTAAGGACCCGTCTGGGTTTCTGAGCGAGATCATTGGGAATCCCGTGACCGTCAAGCTCAACTCGGGTGTTGTTTACAAGGGTAAGTTTGTCCTCTCTCTTCCGCTCCAATCTTCATGCTAACTGACAGCCCGGTCTTCTCGCTGGACACAGGCGAGCTCCAGTCGGTGGACGGCTACATGAACATTGCGCTGGAAAAGACCGAAGAATACGTCAACGGCGTCAAGCGACGGAGTTACGGTGATGCATTCGTCAGGGGGAATAACGGTCCGTAACCTTTTCACCGGTATTTGGTCATCCTGTTCTGTTCAAGTTTCTGACATCGTATGCAGTCATGTACATTGCTGCCGATTGACGTTGCAACTCCTCTACGGGTCTGTGGTCAACAGAGTTTGTGATGCATTTTCAGGTATGATGGGCCAGGCTGTCTACGATGTAGTGATACGGTAGGAACTACACAGCTACGGTTTGTGGCACGCAGTTCAGAATTTGTTTTAATAATGTTTTTATTATTGCTCTTGGGAAAGGAATGACTGATGACTATGAACTACCGTCACCGTCGCAGAGACTGTTCCTGTTCCTCAAAGAGAACGAATGCGCTAACCTCCAATGCGCCTACGCTTCCGAACCGGCCAGATCCATGCATGCGAAACCCCAAACTCCAGATCCTCCCAAGTCCCTCATGATGCCATGCCATGATCCCAGAAACCAGACCAACTAGTCCTCCTCAATGGAACCCCATACTTAGTTGATGGCGATGCGGCGCGTCTCGTGCCTCTTGGCCTTGGGAACAATGAGGCTCAGGACGCCATTGTTGAGGTTAGCCGAGACGGCGTCCTGGTCGACGCGGGTCGGGAAGCTGAAGGTGCGGGCAAACTCGCCGACGGAGCGCTCCTGGACCCAGTACTTGTACTTCTCCTCCTGCTGGCGCGCGCCGCCGTTCGTGCCATTGTGCTGAGTCACCTCCTTGGACTGGGCCTGCTCCTCGGCCTTCTCGTCCGCAACCGAGGCCTTGCGTGCGTGGTTGTTGTTGTTCTCGGCACCCTCGCCCTTCTCGGTGATGGCGCCGCTCATCTGCGTGCCGCCCTCAACCAGCCCGGCAGGCGGAGTGCCGCTGGTGTAGGCGCGCTCGACGCGGCCGCGGATGACAATGGTCTGCGGGTCGGTGAACTCAATGTTGATGTTTTCGCGGTCGATGCCCGGCAGCTCGCCGTGCAGCTCGTAGGCCGTGTCCGTCTCGCGGACGTCGAACTTAGGGCTGAAGGTGCGCATCTGGTGCCGGCGGTGGCGCGATCCGCCGCCCTCCTGGTTGCGCACCTCGTTGGTGTAGTTGTCGAACTCGTCCAGCAGCCGGAAGAGCGGAGTGAAGCTCGTGTCCGGGCTGTAAAAACCGCGCGGGAAGAACGACATTTTGGGTGCGGTAGTCGAGATTGCTTTGGGAGCTGTGGTTGTAAGAGTTCGGCGAAGAGTGTTGTTGTGCTTGATGACTTTAGGCAGTCGCGAGACTTGTGCAAGCGTTCGCGAGAGAGGTCGGTATGATTGCATCAACTAGTCGTGAGTTGCTTTGCTGTTTGCTTTGATGTCTGATCTGAGGAGAGGAGAGGTCGGCGATGCCCTGCACCTCAGCCCGAATATATACCCATGAGGCTCGAAGAGCCAGGCAGCGTCCGCATCTTCCACAAGCTTCATGAACATTGTTCGAAGATGAATTGAGGATGTTGTGGAATGTACGATGGTATTGTCGACGTTTCTGGAAGGGTGGCGAGTCTGCGAGAAGTCAACTGTTTGGTGTTGCTGGATGGTGAGATGAATGAAGATTGACGATCATCTTTGTTCACGATGTTGTCAAACCTTCCACCAGAACCGTCGGCAAAGCTCTAGAAGCTTCAGGTAGTAAACACAGCGCGCGGTATGCGCGCAGGCTGTTGCATTTGCAAACGCCCATCAACCACACAATCTTCAAATCGAAGAGGCTAGAATTCGCGAGCATCTTCAATCGCTTTGCAGGCAGCAATGCACGTCAATCACAGCAGTTTGCTGATGAGGAACAACGATAACGTCGTGGGTTGTGGATTGCGCGGTGGTGAGATCGACGAGATATGTGTCTTGGCATCAATGACGTCATCGTCCATCGCCACCACTTGAGAAGGGCCCTCTGAGGGGCATACGCGGGGATTCGCAACAGAGAAAGGTATGCTTTAGCCAATGAGAATCTTTCCAGCAGAAGCTCAATTCAGGTCAGTAATTCGACGCTGTTCTATAATCCCATCTCTGACCTGTAAACTCAACCGTAGTCTCGATACGGCAATGAGAACGATGCAATATGACTGGGCACAATTGTCTGTCACCCCCACCTTTTCGGACCCTGATGCATACCCATCAGCTATGAGCCGGAGGAGGAGGGAAGCCAGGCGTGACGGCCATTGGGATTGGGACGCGGATTCCCGCGGGGAAACCTTGTTGGGCCCCCAAGCCCGGAACCACCATCCCCAACGCCGGGCTTTGCGCTGCCCTGTTGAAAAGCCCAATCAGCCTGCGCCCCACCGACGGCTCGAGCTCCGTCCCATCCCTTGCAATTTTCACCTCCCTGTTTGAATTCCAGGGGTTCCTCAACCCCCGAGTTCGATAGAACGGAAGCCGAGCCGTCGACAGCCACTCCAGCCGGAACGGCTTACCCCACGCCCTGCTGGTCTCCCCGGCACCGCCGCCTGCACCCCCACTATCTTGGCCGCTCCGGACGCTGCTCGTGTCCCCGCCCACTGACCCTCCGGAGCCCTCGTCTTCCTGTCCACCATCAGTCCCCTTGTCGTTGCGGTCTGCCTCCCAGAAGATGGTGCCACGCGCTGAGTCGTCAATGATGCGGCCCTTGGGCGCATATTCCGTCGCTTCGGTAGGTATCGCCTTGGGTAGGTCAACGTCGCTCGCCAACTGTGCTGTCGGTGCGAATTCGATGGCCGCTGCGGGATCCTCGTTGATGGGTGAAGCCATTCGCGCGTAGCCAAAGTACTCGCCCGATTTGTTCGCCGAAAATACGAGGTACACGTTATCCGATGTCTATAGTAGATAGGTGAGCTCATACTGCTCCTTTTCAATGAGGTAAACAAGAAGTCTGTGTTTCTTACCTTGAAGGCCGAATTCAGCGTCTCCTCGTTGTGCGACTGCGTAGCCCAAAGACTTGTCCGCACACTCAACTCGAGATCTTCCACTGTTAGACTTTTGAGGATAAAGAAACGATCCTTCCGGAACGGCCCGGTGTCGGTCGGCGTGCTTGCTGACTTTGTTTCAGGAGCGCTAGGAGCCGGTGTGGACGCGGTGACTCCATTCTCGCCTGTCTCGTCACTTCCTGCGATGCTCGGCTCCTGCGTAGATCCCGCCTGTGGCGACGATGCCGCTGGCCCTGTCGGAGCTGTAAGACCTGCCGGCCCCTCAACAGTGCTCTTTCGTAACCGGCTCACTAAGCGGACAGTCATGAATTTGGAGTCATGTAATTTCTTCTGAGCCGCCGAGCAGGACTGCTCGTCTTTGAAGTTGGCAAAGGCGCAATTGCTTTTGGAGATGAGAAAGAGCGACTCCAAGCCGTCCGCCTCCTTGCAAACATGCTGAACCAGGGTCATTAAATCTGTCTGTGGAGGGAGATTCCCTATCCATATGGCGTGACCTAATCGGGCTTGTTAGGCTGCTACTCGGGATAGGCTCGGGGATCTGGTTGAGATTTTGCACTTACCGCTTTGTCGTGGCTTCCTCGGGGGTCCCCGGACGACATTCTGGCGACTCTCGGCCGAGCCTGCGTGGGTATCAGTTCCCCGTCTCTCCGAATTTCCGGAATATCGGTTCTTACCATCCCCGTGATGGCCAGCCGGCACAACTACCGGGTTCGCATCCTGACTGTTCGGCTGTGACTGCCTAGATCTCGGCGCCGGATGCTGATGTAAATTCGGTGGCACGAATTGCCCCGGCCCAATTTGTCCCTGTACATGAGGAGGCTGTCCGGGGATCGGAGATGCTGCCGGGTAGTAGTAATGGGTTCCCAGATGAGGCGACTGATTAGGGAGGACTGAGGCTGGATAGTAACCCATAGCGGCTCTCGGAGGCATAGCGGCAGGTGGCTGGGAGGTCAAGGGAGCTGGGTAAAACTGCGCCATATGCACGTGTTGCGGGACGTAATACTGCTGGCCTGCGTAGGGACCCATGGAGTTTGGAGCCCCAAACGAAGAGACAGAAATCGGGGCTACTCCAGGGGACTGCATCGTGGGCACATTGTATCTGGGTTGGCTTTGACTATAGGGTTGGACCGGGAAAGGCGGTTGCGGAACTTGCGGTAGTGCGCTTGCCATGCTGCTCAAGTCGAATGATCCCGTTCTCTGCTGGTGCGCCATGTCGAACTGAAACGCAAAAGCATGCTGAGGGCCGGCCGGTTGCTCGGGGTGCCGCCAAGCCTGTGGTGAGAGCGGGGGAGGGTAGCCAGCGGCTACGGGAGCGTCCTGTTGAGGAAACTCTGTTGGAGCACTGGACTGGAGTGGTTTGTCTCCCATGGGCCACTGATGGCTGCACAACCCAGCCAGAGAGACGGTGCCCACTATCCGTGAGGATCGGATGGCAGTTGCTCCTGGTCGGCTGCTCGAAGCGTAGACCTATGCCTGGTAGCCTGGTCCAAGATGCTCCTGTCTGTTTCCTCGGCCTCTTGAGGCGGCGACGGTACCGTCTGTATGTCCGATGCAGGGACACGGGCCCAACGCGCCAGTGGGTACGATTTTGCTAGCACGGGGGCTTTTTGGAAAGGCCGATGAAAACGGATGATCTCCGGTGAATGGTAGAGTTCAGCTCCCCTGCGAGACGAGACGACCTTGACAGCGGCAAAAAGCCTCGAGACTCATGGAACAGATAAGAGGGAACCAAGCCCAGGTACGGTAGGAAAAGCTGGGGAAGCGCGCGACTCTCAGATTCACACCTAGACGGCCGGCCTTTGCCACGATTGGAGTTCGGCAGCTGGCGGGGCAGGTGGCATACTCTGAGCTGTTTCGCCCCCGGCCAGCAATGGCAGGCTGTTCCGCAGTGGAAGGGGCGGCGTCGATGGGGAAGAAACTTTCGGCCGAGGAAAGGGGTGAGCGAACAGCAGCTGGGTCTTCCGGAGTGTAGAGTGTGGCGATAGTTGGGATGTAGAATGCTACTGGGCAAACCTCTCGTGAGCTCCTACACATAGACCATGCAGCAGCCGGAACCGGCAGAGCGTGACCCTGCCCAGATCTGGCAGATAAATGTACAGCGTTAGATGAGTGTATGTGTATGACTGCTGCGTTCAGATAGTCGGCGGCGGCAGATTCCTCTGTAACTTGTGTGCCCTGCCTGACCGTCACGAGCTTCGCTTTCCGGTACGATAGCACGAGAGACAGTTGTTGAAACGTACAGCGGAGCGTCTAGGGGGGTGGCTAAACCGTGGGTAGGGCTAGACGTCCCGGCTGACGGAGGGAGGCGACAGGTGGGCCAGATATGTTAGCGTGTCGATGGGGGTTTTCGTTATTGTGTGCGTCTAGAACCACATCTGATGAGGAGACTCAGACCGGGGGGCGGCGTGCAGTCTCCGGGGCCTGTCGTCACCGCTCGGCATTGGTTGGACGAGAGACTGGGACTGGTATCGAGTCAACGACCCGAGCAAATCGAATGAGTGCGGAGGACAACGCCTCTGCTTCTGCTAGGCCGTTTTGCAACGTTGCTGCAGGGGACTTATCAAAGAAGAGTACAAGTGTAAAGGACCCGTGACTTTCGAGAGAAACTTGGAAGCTGACTGTTACTTCTGGGAGCGACCGGGACGAGGGAAGCCCCGAGAATATGACAATGGGATGCAGAACACGCCGGATGCCGACACTGTCGGAAACCCATTATCAGATCCAATCCTAAGGAGAGGGCCGACTGATGCCGTGCCGTGCGTGTACAGACGTTTCGATGAGATGGGATGAGGCGATTACGGGAGCGGCAGGCTGGGGTGCTGGATCAGGCAAAGATAGGCATCTGGTAGTGGCTGTTTTGCCACCGCATACGGCGAAGCAGGATGCCTCGCAACAACCAACCTTAACCTTGGCCCGGGAGTCTCCTTCCTGCATGTTAACTTCAGACTCCAAGACAGCTACTTACCTGCTGCCATGCGCTGCTCGGAGATTTCCAATTGTTCATACCCTAAACGTTAGCCAACCCGTACCCCTACACTTAGTGTAGGTAGCTCCAGCAATGGCTACCTAGCTGGGCAATCCATCTCTTGACAACTCCAAGCACTCCTGTTGTCGCCGCCTCTTTCCTGCCAGTAGTCGCAGGTAACAACAGTTTTTCATGAGCCGTGATGCCTGTATGACGAAGCGCCCTTTTTGCCAGCGCTACTCTTGTATAACAGGTTCTGCTCTACTGTCTCCAAGTTCCCGATGCTCGGATTGAGGAGACACCCCAAATGACATGGTTGTCCTGGCGGTTCCTGGTTGTTCCTGTTTGTTCCATGGTAGAGGAAAGTGTGTGGGGCCAGCCTTTTGGCGTTTGTGAGCTCGCAGTTCATTACGTCATCGAACACGCAGTCGACTCTGCAGTCGACCCTGCTCTCTTGTGCCTCGAATACCAGTATGTATACCTACACCGAGGTGCTCTTGCAATCCAAGACACGATATGATTATACATGTCTGTGACAACACCTCTTGGTTCTAATGTAAGCCTGCACATTCGGGGTCTCGTAGGGACGGAGATGCAACTACGGAAGCATCGAGTTCCCAGTGCCTGACGCTCATAGATCTCGGCCTAGCATGTATTATGCAGTGAGGAATCGGCTATTTGTAGTTGGTACTACCGGTATCTCAACTCCCATAAGTTGCCCACCTTACTTAGACTCTTGAACTTGGTTTACAGAGCTCCAAGGGGCTTCAGTCCGCACCCTCACATACGCATATCTGCAGGGAAGCATATCCGACGTTGCGTTCTGTTCTGGGTCAAATGCACAGCTTGGAGACCGGAAGAGTCGTAAATGGACGTTGCATGACATATAGACACCCCGGTGCTCATATCCACTATGAATCTTGGGCTATTTCGATGTTCTTCTTGAGAGCACGGCATCTTCGGGTGCCTGGGCCATTGGCAGCTTGAACAGCAACTCACGGCTAATTGATCTCCCTCCCTCCCCTTCATGTCACCATGATCCAAGTCTAACAGGCAAAGCGTTTTGTACAAATAGACTGGGGCTGCTTGTGTGTGTACGCCATCTAGTCCCTCTTGAGCGGCATCAAGATCTCCTCGATACCGTCCTTCGTGATGACCATCATCTGCAAACCGTCGCCGACCTCAATATGCCGCTCCACCGCTCCGTCAAAGGCGTCTTTGACCAGAACTTCAACCTCATTCCGTGACAACGGCCGCCGTTCGCGCTCCTGGAGAGCGTGACCCTCGCCGCTGTTTGGGATGTACTGGTTCTTGAAGTTGACCTGGTTGTCCAGGAAGGGCATGATCAAGCTAGCAGCCGCACCACCAGCCCGGCACTGCTCTCGCTCGTAGCTCCCGACGGGATCGTAGGAATAGACGGCGCCCTTGCCTTCCTCGTCAAGTCCGCCCAGGATCGCGTAGGCATAGTATGGGAAGAAGCGCTTCTGGTATAGAATGGTCGAGAGTCTTTGCGCGCATGCCTTGACGCTCATGGGCTTGCCGTGGCGGTAGCGGTACATCTTGCAGATGGCGTCAAGCCGTTCTTTGAGAGCCTCTCCATCGGCCGCAAAGCCCACTACCGAAAGGACGATCGTGGCATCCTTCTGATCCGCCGTTGTGCCGCCAATCTTAAACAATTTCGGGTGGTGCCGAGAGTTGATGCTGTAGCCCGAAGTTAGACGGGTGTCGCCGGCCATGATGGTGAAATCGGCGCCGGCAATTGCGAGGGTCGAGCCGCCATTGTCCGTGTAGCTGGAAAAACCAGTCAGTCGCGTGCACATAACGAATGAGAAACAACATCGCAGCTTGCACCGGGTAGAGCATACGGGTCGAAGCGATGTTCTCGAGCACCTTCGGGGGCGCTGGTTCTGGGGCTGTCGTTGAAAGAGTAGTTGGGCCCATTCATGAGCGGGTTCTGGCTAAACATTGCAGCCATATTTGTCGATCTCGCCCGCCGAAAGCTGTTCAACGGATGACTTGCACCGGAGAAGATTCAAGTTTAGTTGCAGAAGAGATGCAGGTGATCCAAATCAATGAGCGTTGTATGAACTTAGGTCCTTCAAAGCTGTAGAGATGGTGTTGCGAGGTTGAAAGGTGGAACCTCGGCGCGTCAGCCCTGCAGCCTAGTGTAGGTGGGTGAGTCGCTGGGCTGAGGCTGACGACTGGGAGCTCAGGCACCGGCAGGACACAAGCTTCGGGGAGCTCCCTTGTGATTACTCAGCGTAGGTAACTTGTAGCGGTAGCGCCTCAAGGGCCGCTATTCGCTCGCTAATTAAAGACTCCGCTACACTAAATTATGGTCGGCATCTTGCGCGGACCAACAAGGTCCTCGCGCTTTTCCAAGTCTTCGCAAGCATCCACACCATTGGGACATCGCAGACCATCGCAGTGACGCGCTTTGCGCTCTGCATGTCGCATTTTCGAATTTCCCCAACGACGGCTCCCATTGCCGCCGAGTACGATATATCGAGCTCCCTGGGCAAACACTCTCGCCCTCCCTGGGAGCCCGAGACGACGGGAGCTGTACGCTACGTGTAAGATACAGTACATTTTCCATCACACTTGAACAGTGACCGTTATTCCGGCAAGCGACCGATCATCATCGACAGAAACTATGGCCCACGACACTCGGCGAAAAGCCCTTCAGCGGCTTGCTGCTCTCGCTGCGACGAACTCCACAACGTCGTTCGACAAGTCCGATCTTGACAGGTTGTGTAAGGCTGCACCAAACCGAACTGGTCCCCTGTCCGCTACCGTCAACGGCCATGCTGCCTCGCTTCCCAAGCCCGAGGTTGGCAGAATACCCATGGTAAGGGATCGGCTTTTGATACGGGACTGACTCCTTGCTTCTGAATTTGTCCTCTGCTGACATGTACTACGTGTCCAGACCATCCGCGAGTATGAGGTCCTCATCGCTCTTTGCAAAGCAGCTCCCGGCCTGCAGACTCCCCAGAGTGCCCAGAAACTAGTCCGTCATCTCGTGCCCTATCTCATGGACGCCCACGTCCAGGCATTTGCTCCTTCGCCTTTCTTCCGGAAGATTGAGCCCTCTCCAACCGAGTCTTTGAGCTTCCACGTTACCGCTGCGTTGCTCTCTCTAGGGGCCCGTCATGCTGATGTCCAACAAACCATATCCGACAACATCTCGGCCTTCCTCAATGCCTGTGCCTATGCGACAGAGAGTGTTTCCCGGGCTGACGACGATGATCCGGCGGCTGTAGAGGATGCCATCCGGACCGCCACTATCGCTATCGCCCTCTTGGGCTTTCTGAATGCTGCCTGTGCTCAGGCCGATTTCTGGCGGGCGGGCGGTCGTCTCGGGCTTGTGACTCGAGTCCGGGACCTCCTCTCCCAGCCGTTTCTGGTTGCCGTCGAGGCTGCCTTCTCGACCATCCGTAATTCGCACTCCCATGACCGCCCTATCAAGGACTGGAAACGATGGGTGCGCCGCTACGACGATATCGACCGCCCTCTGGGCGCCATGCTTTTGCAGCGAAGCTTCATGAGGTTGCTCGTCGCTGCGACATCGCTCTTAATCGCGGAGGAAGACGCCCTGCGGGGATCGCACGTGCTCGACGTCATAATGTCTGGGAATGGCCTGCGCCGGCCTTTGACTGCCCGTAGTGCAGAGGCAGACTTTCGCTCGGTCGAGTTCTACGCTACCGTCGCCATTGACCAGATGAACTACCTCGAGTCGAGCGCCGATTTTGACAGTCTGTCTCCGCCTAAGCAGAGACTCGCCTTCTCCGTCAAGGCATGCGCCTTGATCAGCTATCTCAACGCATGCACTTTGAATGGAGATGCTGCTGACAGCGAAGTCCTTATGGCTTGGCTTGAGGATGCCCTTGGAGATGCCATAGGCATGGCTGATGAAGAGCTCGCAACGGTAGTCCTTAAGTCCATGGCACTGCTCTGTAGGGTATCGCCTTCCTATGCCATCAATGTCAGCAGGCTTCTTCCTCGGTTCATAGTCCAAAGCGGTGCCACAAGTCAGGTCGTTGCCGTGGCGTCCAAGTCGCTCGCATTTGTGCTGCGAATGCTCTCCAAGGATGCCGTCATCACCACACTCTACACGCTCGGCAACGTTCTGAGTTCCGGTGACGACCGGCCTGTTACAAAAGGTACAAACGGCGACTCACGGCTCGACGGCCATGATGGCACTCACGTCTACACTGGCAGGCAATCGACTGGCAGTTCCATCTCACTGCAGGTATCCGGCGAGGAGGAATCGTTGATCGTCCAGGGCAACGTTGTGCAGGCGGTGTGCGAGATTGCCGGTGCCTGCAAAGACGAGAAGATCACGGGTCTTGCCCAGTCAATGCTTGCGCAGAAGATTGTCAGGTTAAGTAGCCCTATTGATGCTCGGATCATCACTGGCGCCGCTGCCCTAGCCCTCAGCGGCGGCCAGTCCGAATTTCGCTACCTTCTCAAGAGGTATGCCGTCGCTGCGCATAGCGCTGTGCTGGAAAACAACCAGGGTATATTGCAAGCTGTACGTTCGCTAAAACTCCGAGCAGGTAAAGGCAGCCATGCTAACAACATGTCAGATCATGGGGGCCCGGAATTACCTCTCTGCCAATGTGCAGAGAGAGTCGCCCTTGTTTGATATCTACCTAGAACATTTGCTCGATGGCATCATCTCGCAAGGCGATGTTCACGCGCAACAGAGCCACCACGCCAAGGAGTCGGACGTAGAGCTGGCTGCCCGCGAGATTGCTCAATTGCTTCCTCCCCTCGCCACTTTCATGTCTGTCAATCCCACGGCGTTTGACGGCTCCTCGGACGATGAGACTCGCTCCATGCTTCGCGATGCCTGGTTCAATATCGTTGTGCACGGGTTCAGCCCGGCGTCTGACCGCGGGAAGCAAAATATCAAGCACCTCCGCATCATGGCTGTTTACTCTCCACCATTGGTATCGGAGAACCGCGGCGAGCAGGATGAGAGTGACATTGACCTCAATCCTATTCTCCGCAGAGGCGAGAGCTCTGATCGGGAGTCACTGCAAAAGAAGCTTCTTATCGAGCTGATACCGGCTCGAAGCAGCGAGATCAGGGGACTCAGCTACCGCAAGACCATCTTTCTCCATGCTGCCTATCTCCTTGAAAGTCTACGCGCCGACGCCGGCGACTGCACCAAGGCGCTATCATACTTCCTTGAGCCCAGCACACGGCGAGGAGACGTGGGCAGGACCATGGATGGTATTATGAACGCCGTCGTGGACCGGTACCTGATCAAAACCGTCAATGCCGCAAATCCCGCCTTCTCCGCCCAGTACGCGGCAACCCAGCTAGCAAAAATCTTCTGCAGTTGTTGCCATCGCATCGAGCGAGTCCAGCAAGCTGCGTTTGGATGCGCCGACCGACTAATGCAGGTCGTACCGTCGGCGCTCTGCCAACGCTCGTCCCTTTTTGCCTTGCTTGAGCTTCTCTCGCTGATGTGGTCCAGCTGTCTGGAAGCAGAGACGGATCGGTACGAGCCTAGGACCACTTTCGAGTCCTCAAAGTGGGACGTTGTTGTCGAACTCTCCGACGACTACCAGTTCAGACAGCTGACTCTCGAGAGTCTGCACAAAAAAGCCAAGAGCTGGCTGGCAAGCGCCATCAATATCGCTCCCGCCGATGTCAAGGGACTACTGCAAACTTACCTGTCCGAGTTTGATGACGAGAGCGCCTACGGCCACATGTCCCTCGGCAGGTCGTTTGCTGTCGAGGTTGGCTCGACCATCCCGTCGACTGATCAGAGACTCTCGTCACTCGACATGCTCAGTGAATACTCCATCAACACGGCGTCTGACTTCATGGCGCAGTACACCACGCGGCAGGAATACCGGTACTCTGAAGCGCTACCCGATCACAGCTTGGAGTGGCTCAGCTTCATGCGCTTGGATCGCAGGGCGTCATTTCTGCCATCGTCCGATAGTGAGAGTGCCGATGCTATAACAGCGCTTTCTCACATCGAGCGGCGTATCCTCGACCGGAAACCCACCTCGCTCGCCGACGTAAGAGATATTCTTCGTCGCGCTGCTGCCCTCCTTTGTCGCAGCGAGCACGACGAGTGCTCTATCATCCACTATCTCGTGAGCATCCCGTTTGCCATGTTTACGAGGCAGTCAATCAAGCTTGGCATCTCGCTCTGGCTCGGCGTCATGAACGAGAACCCAAGGATGGAATCTCGGATCCTGGCCGAGATTGTGCAGCGGTGGGAATTTAGTGTACAAAAAAGACAAGGTCTATTCAGCCCTACCATCACCAGCCCCGACCCCTTCTTCCTCAGGCAAGACTTCGCACCCAGCGACAGCGCAGCCCTCTCCAAGCGTAAGCAACTCGTCCACAATCTGCTATCGCCTCATTCTCGTCTCCTGCAGTTCCTGAGCAGCCACTACAATGCCACCCGCTTGGGAACTCCTGATACTCATCACTTATTCCTCCGTCTTCTTGACGTCACGTTGGACGCGGTGAAGAACTCGACCCCGCACCCAATGGCTAGAGAAATCCGGTTCCAGGTGGTGCTCTTTGGCCTCAAGGTGCTCAAGACAAGCACCACGATGGGCGCGATCGCCCAGTACCGACTAAAAGACCTGATTCTCTCGGCAGGTCTCGGCTGGTTCAAGGCGCCACCACGCTGGTCCTTTGGAAGCAATAATCTCCAGCTCAAGACCGAGATTCGGTTAATGGAGGATGTCTTGACAGCTTTGGCGGAAACTTCCAGCATCGGCGCACAATCTGTGGGCGGCGCAATGAAGAGTCTTGCGCCCAAGGAGAAGCTGCTCGCGATTCTCTTGGAGAGTGAGCAATCGCGACTGCACGTCTGGGTTCGCCCTATCGAATCGGGCAGACCGCAATCAACAACGTTCCATCACTCGAGCAAGGAAAGCGCCTTTGAGGTACGTCGGCCTTTCTCAAGTCCTCTTCCTTCTTCGCTTCCCTGCCCTCTCGTTCAGGGATGATTTGCTTATTTTGAATTGAGCATTTACAGGCCGCAATCCAACCGCTTATGCGGACAGCTTGGGCCGAGAACCCTTCCATAGCAGTGCATCTGGCGAGCAGGTTCCCATATCCGCGGATCCACAAAGAGGTCCGCTGGTTGCTGCTGAACTTCCCCGCCAAGGCCGCCTCAGAGCCCGAGGCGATCCCGATTCTCATTGACGGTGCCTTGCCCGAGGATGTCAACTTCCAGCTCAAGGTAAGTCAAGTCAAACTGGGCGCTCATGCCATTTTGAAATCCTTCTTTATGTTTGCTAAACACGTTTAGTACCTGCTTTTCTGGGCGCCGGTCAACCCCATCACCGCAGTGACGCTCTTTTTACCGGCATATCGGCATCATCCTTACCTGATCCAGTATGCCATGAGGGCACTGGAGAGCCACTCAGTCGATGTGACCTTCTTTTACGTGCCCCAAATCGTGCAGACGCTTCGATACGATGCCCTAGGCTACGTGGAGCGCTACATCCTGGAGACGGCTCAGTTTTCACAGCTCTTCGCTCACCAGATTATCTGGAATATGAAGGCAAATGCTTACAAAGATGACGAGTCTCAAATTGTCGGTATCGGCCTATCCTTGGAGCTCTTCATGGTCTGCTAACACAACTTGCCTAGCCCGATGATATCAAGCCAACCCTTGATAAGGTCATGAACGACATGGTGAACAGTTTCTCTGATGTTGACCGCGAGTTTTACGAACGCGAGTTTGCCTTCTTTGATGAGGTCACCAGTATCTCGGGCAAGCTCAAGCCGCTGATCAAGAAATCGAAGCCCGAGAAGAAACAAAAGATTGAGGAAGAGCTGCGAAATATCAAAGTCGAGATTGGTGTCTACCTGCCGAGCAATCCCGATGGTGTGGTTGTCGGCATTGACAGAAAGTCTGGCAAGCCCCTGCAGAGCCACGCCAAAGCCCCGTTCATGGCGACGTTCCGTATCAAAAAGAACAAGGGTGGTGTGGAGGAGGCCGGCGAGGCGCTTGAGGAGAGCATCAAGGCCAACAGCAACGTGGCCGCTCAAGCAAACACTATTGAAGTGTGGCAGTCTGCCATTTTCAAGGTGGGCGACGACTGCCGGCAGGACGTGCTGGCTCTCCAAATGATTGCCGCCTTTCGCGGCATCTTCCACAGCGTCGGCCTCGATGTCTGGGTGTTTCCCTACCGCGTTACAGCCACCGCGCCCGGCTGCGGCGTCATTGACGTGCTCCCCAACTCCATCTCCCGCGACATGCTCGGGCGCGAGGCCGTCAACGGGCTGTACGACTACTTCGTGTCGAAGTACGGCAACGAGGATTCCCTCCGGTTCCAGCAGGCGCGCAACAACTTTGTCAAGAGCATGGCGGCCTATTCGGTCATTTCGTTCCTCCTCCAGTTCAAGGACCGGCACAATGGCAACATCATGATTGACGACGCCGGGCACATCATCCACATCGACTTTGGCTTCTGCTTCGACATTGCCCCCGGCGGCATCAAGTTTGAGCGGGCACCCTTCAAGCTCACCTCGGAGATGCTTGCCGTCATGGGCGGCAGCCCGGACCACCAGGCCTTCAAGTGGTTCGAGGAGCTGTGCGTCAAGGCGTTCCTCGCGTCCCGGCAGCACACCGAGAAGCTGTCTCAGATTGTCCTGCTGATGATGGACAGCGGGTTGCCCTGCTTCAAGCCGGAGAGTATCAAGCATTTCAAGGAGAGGTTTGTCCTGGAGAAGAGCGAGCGCGAGGCGGCCGAGTTTATGCGCGGATTGATCAAGCGCAGCTATGGCAGCTATTCGACGGGAATTTATGACCAGTTCCAGTTGTTGACCAATGGGATTCCGTACTGATATTGTTTTGGGGGTCTTAGGAGTTGACGGGGCTTTCTTACTTTAGTTTGTATACAGAGGAAGCGCACGACAAGGTACTATAAGCGGTTATAGAACTATAGGATAATATATTTTATGTGTAGGACCCCGATTGAGACTTGTCCTGGTGATATGCTACACATATGCAGCGGAGGTTGGCGCCGCGGATCCTGTAATCCCTCTGCCGGAGCCCTCGCTGAAGGCACGCACCGGAAGCCATGTCCTCTGTGGCCTTCATCTAGCTTCGGGAACGCCCGACCCTGCCTAAATAACTGGGAGTTCGTACGCCCATTGATCCTCCTTGATGCATGGGCGTGCACCTCGCCCGCAGACCGCGACTCATTCCAGCGTGTGTAATCCCCAGTAACGGGTGCCCAGAGCTCGAGAACCCAGAACCTTATTCTCACAACACGCACAGCACAAATGCTGGTGTTCTAGGGCGAGGCGCCAAGAATTCAGCCCGGAATGGATCATTCTTGGTCTCGTTGTCGTCGCTGGACACTAGCACTGGTCCCTAGGAGGCATGATAGGCACTTGCTTGCCCCAAGACAACATTGTTTTCGTGATGGGGGTGCTGCCTTAGGTAATTTGCTGCGACATGTGGGTGGGCAGGTTGTAGGTGGCGTAATCAACGTGCACAAAGGCCCGGTCGACGATGGGCACCGATTCAAGAACGTACTGTAGGCTTTCACTATACAAGCATGAGGTATGATGATTACCCCTGATCAGCGAGGCACTCCACGAAGGGAATATCCAGGGAGAGGGAAAGTGAAAAGCTTACGCTAGGTCATGGCTGTCCTTGAGGGGCGTGCTGGCGTCCAGAACAATGTCCACTTCGACAATCAGCTTGTCGCCAGCGTGGTAGGCCTGGAGACCCTGGATTTGCTTGATGGTCTTGGCGAAGCGCATGGTCAGGTAGAGGACTGTGCGATTGAGAGTTGGTAGCTGTGCCAACAGGGGGCAATAAGACAGTGACTTACGAATGTTCCGCTGGTCGGCGGTGGCTGAGAAGCCCGAGAGGTGCCGGATGTGTTCGAACGATGTCTGAGACCAGTTGATGATAACGACCAGGGAGAGGAGGAGACCGCCTAGGGCGTCGAGCCACCATATCCCGGCGTAGAAACCGACTGTGAGAGAAAATCACGGTAAGCGGCTATCCTGATGGGAAAGCTGAATCGTGCACGAACCTAGAGGAAACGCGATGGAACCAGCATTGAATATGACATCTGCGCGGTCGTGTCAGCTAATAACGGATTTTTGAGAGGGTTGTAAATGGGACGCGGTGGTCCGCCGTCTAACTTACCTGTACTTGCGTCGGCGGCCCTGTGACCAGTCGGTTAGTGGCCGGCCCCTGAAGCGCGAGAATTCAGACGACATGAGCACAGAAGGGTGAACTCACAAGGCCTGCACACTGGAATTGTTGACCAAACGGCACCACAGCCAGCACATGCCCTTTATGACAATGGTGCCCAGCATGATGGCGATGGCGGGTATTCCGCTGTTGATGTTGTCAGCGAGCAGCCGCGGCACGAGATATACTAATCATAAGTGATACGCACAGCTTAATGATTTCATGATCAGGCGAGGCAAGCCGCTGGATGGCCTCGAGGGCGACCTGGACGAACGAAGTGATCATGATGACGGAGAAGACCAAAACGCCCAGCGGCTCAAGCCTGCGCCTACCGACGGGATACCGGTAATGGTCCTGCTTGCGGATGAGCCAGGTGGTGACCCAGACGATGGCGGTCGAGAGGAAGTCCAACAAGGCGTCGACAAGGCTGGCCAGCACTGAGACCGAGGGCACCGACACGATGACGGCGATCTTGCCGGCCAGCAGAATGGCGTTGGCGGCAAAGTTGACGTAGATGGCGAGCGTGACGATGGGCGCGTCGCTGTCGACCACGTCGTCTTGGAGCCAGGGGATCTCGTGCTTGGAACGGCCGGTCTCGACGTCGGCGTCCTCGTTGCCAAAGCCATACCCGTCGTCATTCCCATCATCAACAGCGCACGGGGAGGAGATCAGGGGAGTGGTCTCTGTGGGGCGATAGATGTCCTTCGGCGTGCGCTTCACCTTGCGGGGGGGTTCCCGTTTTGATGTCGCTGACGAGCCCCCGGCGATGGTTGCGGGAATCTCAACGCCGCCTGAAAAGGCTGAGACGGGCATGTCGTTGTACTCATTGAGAAGGTCATGGGGCAGAGACGAGTCCAGCAGCCGGTCAATGTACAGATACTGCTGGACCAGATAGTTGACACGCTCGTAGTAGGCACGGCTAAACCGGTCTGTAAGCTGTGGACAGTGCGGAGTCGGGCGTTCGATCCTTACATGTGCTTGGGCATCTTGGCCAGCTCGGCCTCGGTCTTCCAGTAGCGCTCCCAGCGGTAGCGGGGGTTACTGTTCCCAATCAAGCGCATGCTGCGCATATTGGAGCTGTTGAGGATGGCGCTCATGCGGCGCTCATCGCGGTGGTGAGACTCGTCCTCTGGGCCATGGCTATGGCCGTGACCGTGGCCGTGGTTGATGCCATCGTCGTCATCACGTCCAAAGGGGCTGGCCAGCGCGGCAGCTGGATTGTTCTTAATGAGGGAGGCCAGCGCGCCGTGGCTCAAGCTTAAGGGCGTGCGCGGTGGTTCGTCCTGGAGCAGGAGAAAGGAACCTCCCGGTAGTCGCGGAAGCGCGGCAGGCCGCGAAGCTGTTGGCGAAGCCATTGATGACAACCAGTCCGATATTTGCAGTATCTCTTTCCCTTTTTCCCTTTTTCTCTTTTTTCCTTCTCTTCCAGCCACTTCAAGCTCAAGTTGTCAGCGGCCGTTGACGCTAACGTAGGCCGTCCTGCAGGTGAACACTGTACGATGGATCACCGAACGCTGTCAAACTCTCAATTCAATGTTGCCCGTGTGATTTTTCGAGTTTTCAGTGAGAACATGGAACAGTGCTTGATTCTGTTGTTTGTCCGCCCATAACTAAATTTCTAGCTCTCATTGTGGTTTCAACTTGTCTTGTTTTGTTGCGCCGAGTCAGCGACAAGCCTGCTAGTACCAGGTAGTGATAGAGAGATGCGACGTCTCCTTACTCCTGTTTCCACCTATGTATCCTTCTTTGATCTCTGTCGTGTTTGATGTGAGGAACCGGGTCGAGTGGGTGGCGATCTTGGCTCAGCTTGTCGCTTCCAGAATGCCGCTTCCTCGGCCGAGCTCCGCTTTGACTCTCCCGGACCGTTCCCCGCCCATCTCTTGTCACGGTGGCAGCGCGCCCCTGACCCCTTTGCACGTTTTGAAACGACAAAAGTTGAAACATTGAGACAGTACTAATTCACTACATCTTGTCCAGCTTTTGTGTTCTGGCTATATTTCTGTGCTGCTAATCCGGGTTGTGATCTGCACTGGACCATACGAGGCAGCAACTACCCAAATACATACAGACTATCCCATCTGTACCTGCCTTATATGCCGTGATCCGTGAAGTCCTCTATCCCACTTGGTCCTTCCCAGGCGTGTGCTGCCCTTCCCTCCCGTTCTTTTTCCAATTGAATCGAAGCCGTGGGAAGCAGCCCAAGCTCAATGTGGGCGTGCGCAGTTTTGGGCCGGGGTCTCCGAGAACATTCTTCAGCCGATCCTCCCCAGATGCGGAGTTGCGGATGGCTGCCGCCCCGAGGCCGAACTCTGCATATTGATGGAATCCAGTTACGGACCGGAGTCCGGTTCGGCGTCTCAGGAGCATCTCATCACTCTACACTTCCCCAAGAGACTTAGTTCGCATGCCAATAAACTTGGGTCGCCTAACCAACAGTCACGGTTGCCGACCGATTGGTTGATCCACAACTCAACATCATCGAGGCACCCAACTCGACCCATTCCTCGGAATGCCATCTTCTTTGACATGCTCGAGACATGTATGGAATACCGTGGCTGTGTGATGTCATCTCCACTGAGCCCGTCCAGGACTTCAATGCGCTGGGTAACTACGGAGTACGAGGTATGTACTTGCGCTGCCGCAGCGATGCAACAGAATCCTGAAGGGAAACCCACTCAACACGAGAGGCTCCTAATCCAATCGCCGGCTCACCTGCAGCAGTGCACCGCCGGGGGAAGGCGAGCTGAGACTCGCTTCTCTGTAGTGTAAGGGTTGCCGCCTTACAGAACACGTATGGTTTCTGCCGCTTGTGCATCAGCTTCGATTGGTCGAGCCATTCAATTCTCGTCCTACTATGTGTGCAGATTCCATACTTGCCTTTTGAAACATCCAGAGGTGAAGAAAGGTATCTGGATGCCATCGATCGGACAAGGCCGAGTCCGACCAGCCACCCAAAATAGGTCTCGCATGAATGAATGAATCCGAATCAACAAAGTTGTACTACCCCTATGCCACATCTATCAGGGTACACGCTATCCTAGTACGCTGGAGTTTTGAGCTGTGTGCCTCTTTTGGGTCGTTTGCCAATTGACTGCTGGAGTATCCCAAGTCGTGGACCATTTGTTCGAGTCCGGACAGACATGCCTGCAGTCCGGGCTATGCATGTATTCGTCCTGTCCATACATAGCACTCCTCCGTAGGTTAAGGCCTTTAAAGACGCGTCATAGCCTAGGTAAAAAGTCTGTGTCTCATATGCAACCTGCAGCTAAACATGAGCATCAGGGCACTCACTTGTCAAAGCTTCCGTTGTTAATGTCGTACTTGTCCGAACCCCTGGATTGCTGTGTTGCTGTGTCATCGGCTCATCACAACTCGTCATTGTGCCACCTCATGTCAGAACCCAAGGTAAGTTACCATGCCCGGCGGCGCGGCCTCGGTTTTCTGCTCTCCCAGCAGGGTTTTCTACACAAAACGCAACGCTGTGAAGTATGAACCAAGGATGATTGTCGACAAACAAGTTATAGCTATAGTTTAGACATTATGGAAATCAACCGAAGAAAATAACGTTACAGTAGTTAATAAATTGTCAAGACACAACCTTGATGTCTCCGTACCTGCCTAACCAGAACCAGTGGATTTTAGGTATAGTAAAGTGGGTCCCCATCAGCGGGCAGCTGAGCAATTCCCCGAGTTGCGCTCTGTGCGCCGTGTGCGGCGAGAAACGTGGGGCCATTTTCGACTATCGTTGGTAGCCCGTAGCACATTGACGAAAGCGCCGTCTACAAACATTGAAGGATTGGCTCCTCAAGAATAACCCAAGCAAAAATTCCCCAGCCCGACTACACTTGTGCATTGTGTAGGTTCTGCCGGAGGATACAGGCGGCTTGTTGGTTCCTCTCATGCGGAGACTTTTTGTCACGGCGAAGTCATCTACGCAGGTAAAATACAGTATGTAAGTTACGTACATTACGCTGTACTGTGAGCAGCTCCGCACGCGTCGTTTAAAGACCCACACCGTCATGGTTGCCGGTGATCTTGTTGATCCAGCGCGTCGTCTAGCGCCTTCGGTCACGCTTGGCCTCGAATTCGTTTCTTTCACAATACCCCTTCCGGTTCCGCCAGCAAGAGACACAGAAGAAGATGATGAGGCGGGAAGAGAGCCTACCGCATTGCGACACATTCCTTTAAAGGCACGCATGTCTCGTTGCGGTGGCGGCCTGCCGAGCACCTCTCGCATCTTTTTGGGCTGGTCGTGGCGCTGCTGGATCCGCTCCCGTCTTGGTGGGGCAGCCGCCCGATGAGGCAGCACTTCCAGCCGGGTTGAAAATCGACCCTCCTGGCCGCTGTCAGGGGAAAGAAGCCTGGAACTCCGGTTGTGCGTCCAACCAGGAGAGAGTGCCGTGGCAGCTGTCGTCGCAATTGCCCTGGCAGTCCCGTCTGGCGCCCGTTCGTTACGACTCTTACGAGCTTGTAGCGCCTCTGCGTACCCCCACTTCCCATCTCATAGTGCCATAGTGCCATTGCTGGGCCATGGAATAAAAATAATTCTCTGCCAACCACATTCTTTTCTCCTGGTTCCCCATCCTGTCCGGTCCTGCCGTCCTCATCACTGTTCGGTTTCCTGCAGTGCTTCTCTCACCATCGCCATTTTTGACCACGCCGTCGTGTATTTTCCAATCGTTTCTCAGTCTTGAAAGACGGCACTTGCTTCTTTCCTTCTCCCGTTCTCTGCATTTCCTCGCGGGCTTGGTGCGCCTTCCCAATTGCATCGACTTAATCTGTGTCGCGTCCACGGTCTTCTCAGTGCTCATCGATTCTCCGTCTATCTTTACTATTCCGGATTGCCTTTCTGGCCTTGCATCTTTCTTGGTCGTTACCGACCGAACCAACAGCGCGCCTCCTTTATATACAAAGGACCAGCCGTCCATTTTCTGCCTAGTTGTAATTACTTTGACGAGACATCCTTTTGGCTACTTGCTAGTCCGGTATGTGTGAACCTTCTTCCCTCCTGACCATCTCATATGACCGATGCCTGGCCCTTCCCAATGGCAACGCTCTTGGCCCTGAACACGCTACATAGACTGGATACGCTACATGGAATGAGTGACGGAACAAGATACTGTGCGCCAGCAATTGCCGCCAGTCTTTCCCTTTGCCTGGCATCCTGCTCAGCGGGCAGTGGTGGTTGCAAGTGCTACCCCTAAGCGCTATGGGATCACGACGTGCTGTTCCCCTGCTCTAAGCAATCTCCGAAACTAACTCTCGTCTTCCCCACTTGCAGTTGACCAGCGTTATTTTACGCTAGAGAGGATTGCTTAGTTCAGAGTGCTAAGTCCCTATATAACAGCGCCTCGATTGCTGCCTCAAACAACCGCGGCGGTCCCGCCGAGCACGTCACGAATCCCTTTCCCAACCGGTCGCTCCGGGGGGTCTTTGCTCATCTCCATCCCCCTTCCGAGTAGTCCGGCCCAGAATCCTATATGCCTAGGTTCTCAGTCGCATTCGGCAGGCGGAAGTCGACCGCTGACAGTCTCGAGAATGCCGCACCAACAGGGCCCTCTTTTCGGGTGCTGGATCGATCAGAGGTGATCGGTGCAAAAGCGTTCGATGGTGGTGCGAAATTGGCGACAACGACTCATGCGCTCCACAGGCCCACAGCGTCCGAAGTCACCATTGATGACAACATTTTTGCCGATCTCAAATCCAACCGGTATGTTTGGCTCTGCTCTCTAGCTTTCTTTTTGTCTTCTCGCTAACCTACCTGCAGGGGGAGCGGCTCCTCAAACACCACAAAGACCACTTCGACGGATAACTCTTCGCGGCACAGTAATGCCTCAACAGCTCCGTCGTCTGCTGACACCGGGGGCCACGAGGATTGGCGAAACACACAAAGGAAGCCGCCCGTTGACATCCCCGTCCCTCCAATTCCGAAGTCCTCCTCCGGCGGGTTTCTGAAAGCGGCCGAGCGCACCTTCTCGTTTGGTAGGCAAAAGAAACATTCGGCTCCGGTGCCCGTGGAAGACCACTCGCCTCCAACGAGTCCCGCCGTCACAGGTGCACAGGCACATCCGAACAGACGATCCAGGGCCGCCACTACCTCCACCTCTACGACCGTGACTCCCCCGAGAGTTGATAGCGATTTTGACCTGGATCTAGGCGGAGACTTCGGCAAGATGTTGCTCGGGAACGACAAGCGAGCCAGCGTGGCTACACTGAAAGACAATCAGTACACGCGACAGGCGCCGACCCCGCGGTCCCTCACCGGATCCCGCCCGAGCCAACCTGCCCCCATCCCGATTGACACTACGACCAAGATCGAACCTCCCGCGCACTCGTGGGGCAGCCAACACTCTAACGATCAACTTATTGGGCCGGCCAGCCCCGCGCTTTCTCCTCTCAGGGAGCATGTGCCTCCCCCTGTTCCCCGCCACAGCTCTCCGCTCGCTGAGAAACAGCGGCCCCTCACATCCCCCGAAGTAGGGCCAAAGAGACCTCCGCTCGTCTCTCGAGTGTCGAGCACAGAGCAGGAAGACGCGGAGGATGAGGAAGCTAGGCTTCTCAAAGACTCACTGTCAACCGTGACCAAGTTCATGACCGGAGACGATTCAACGGCCTCGCCATCGGCTCCCGGATATCGAAGGAACGGGAATAACGTGGATAACGACGAGGACAGCCTATTTGACACGGGCAATCCGTACTCGTCAAAATACGGCAGCCGCTATGTTGCTCGACGCAACCAACCTCCCCGGAGTCACAAGGTGATGACCCCGGCTGAGTTCGAGAAATATCGGAAAGACAAGGAGCGACAGGACCGAGAGCGTGCGGTCGAAGCCAGGACGTTTGGTATCAAGGGCACTGAGGACGACGAGGAAGAGGAGAATTACGAGGACGACGAGGACGATCTGGAGAAAGCCAAGCAACAAGAAAAACAGAGGCGAAAGCAAGAAGCCCATATGGCTGTTTACCGGCAGCAGATGATGAAAGTCACTGGGGAGTCTGGGAATGTGCAGCCCTCTAGGCCCAGCCTGCAGATATCCTTCAGCAGTCCCAACTTGCCGGAAGTTGCCGCCGGGCTAGGTCCAGCTACGACTAACACATCCGATCCCTCAGACGAAGATGAGGAGATCCCCTTGGGAATTCTCGCTGCGCATGGCTTCCCTAATAAGAACCGCCCACCGACTCGTCTGAGCACTATGATGTCGAACCCTAATCTCCGTGCCTCTCAGCAGCCGAGCTATCAGAGACCCGGGTCAGCTATCGGTGATATGCCAAGCGCAGGAAACTCTCGTCTTCCTGCATTTGCAAGAAACCTTCCTCAAGACCCCTTTGTCGGCGCCAGCCTTGTCCGCAATCCTGTCCGCGAGAGCTTCGCCCTGGGTGGGGGAAGCGGCGCTCCCGGGCAACCTGGCGCGCCTGTGCCCCCGGGCGGTCTGATTGGGGTTATTGCCAACGAGGAACGTAGTCGCGCGCTAAGGAGAGGCAGTCCTCATATGGACGGCCCCGCTACCATACCCCGTGGACCTGGTTTCGATCCCATCGCCGGCATCCCATCTCATATGATGTATCAGGGCAACGCCAATCCGCCAGCGTTGTCAGCTGGCGACCGAGCGCAGATACAGATGACGCAGCAGATGCAGCAGTTTATGCAGATGCAGATGCAGTTCATGCAGATGATGGCCGGCCAGAACGGCAGCGGGCATATGCCATCACCGTCGCTCGGCAATCTGAGTGCCACAGGCAGCATGCCCGGTGTCGGGACTCCAGAGATGCGGCATTCGTTCGTTGGTAACGACTCAATGCTTGACTTGCCCTTCGGTCGTGGCGAAACGCAGATGCGCACAATGAGCATGGTACAACCTAGCTCGGCTTCGTGGATTCAGCCGCCCATGCCGGCCAAACCAGGTGGTTTTGCGCCTTCAATCCGCATCCAAGGCGGCGGTTACGCGCCATCCATTGCGCCGTCGGAACGCAGCAACATCGGTCTCCCTGGCCGGTATCGCCCAGTGTCCCACGCGCCAGCGACGCAGCCTCCGACCCCGGGGCATGTACGGAATTCGTCTACCATGTCTGGGGCTATCCAGAAACCAACTATCTCGGTGACTCAATCCGGTAATGCTTCGGATGATGACGACGAACAGGGATGGGAGGCCATGAAGGCAAAACGCGAGAAGAAAAAGTCAATGTGGAAGAGCAGACAGTCTGTTGTGAACGGTCTTGGCGCGCTTATCAGCTGAGATGGTCGAGGTTACCATTCCAAATGGGCCGCTGAGCTAGAGGAGATGGGTGGAAGATGGGAAAGAAGCTCGGCCTTGACGGTGCATATGTTGGATGAATAAAGCAGAGATCAACCTTGTATATTCCTTTTCTGCTTATGGGGTTAGTCAAGGGGGCAGAAGGCGTAAACAGGAGAATTGTAGCTTGGGAGTGGAGGGCGTGGTGGTCTGCGAGGACCGCGATTGATAGACACAGCACCTCATGCAGCGCTAATCTAGTAATACGAAATACCAAAAAGCGATTGTCCCTTCAACCGCTATTTTGTGTCTGCGACTTGGCGATTCTATTTAATACCTTAGTCACGAGGCGGCTTCTACTCAATCTTGCCGGCTGCCCAGGCCTTGCGCTTCACTCCCATCTCGACGGCCGCAAGCCCCCAGTCCTCTCCATGGTTGTGGCTCCCTTCTATGAGGCCCGCCCTCGCCTTGGCCTGCTCATCGTTCAAGACGGTCAGAACACCAAAGATGACGGGAACGCCTGTGTCGAGGGACAGGCGCATCAGGCCGTGCGACACGCTCTCGGCTATGTACTCGAAGTGCATCGTCTCGCCTTTGATCAGTACACCGATGGCGATGATCGCGTCGAACGGTTCGGTTGAACCTGTTGTGGTGCTTGTAGTGGCGGGAAGGGACGACAGGTCTGTCGTTGAGCCGCCGAGCAGGTCCCCTGCGGAGCCGGCGCCGAAGGCGCTCGATGAGGATATGGAGGATTGGACTTGGGAGGCGGCATAAAGGCTGTTGATGTGAATATGATTGAGTCAACCGGTGCAAGTCATGTAATGCAACAAGAGCAATTTGTCGTCTGAGATAATGGTACGGTAATAGGGGGTTTCTAGGACTAGGGAACAGGCAATTGGGGTGGAACATTGTGTTCCGGATTAGGTAGGCGTGGGAGACAGAGACACAAAGAGGAGAACGACATGGGAAGACTGGAGAGGGAGAAGGGAGGAAGGGGCTCTCGCGCGCGCGCACCGTTGAACTGCAATTGGGAGCTCCCATGACCCGGGGACCGTCTGCACCACGATATTTGACTCCTTGACGCCGCACTCTAGCAGCTTGGCCTTTGCGCCCGCGAGCAAGGGGTCGATGATGGTGTCGTTCCACCGCGCATGGACGATGCCGATGCGCAGGTTGCTGCCGTCGTGCAACTGCGGGGCCGGGCCTTTATTGTGCATTTTTTCCGCTCTTCGGTAGTCCAGCGGATGTGCTCGTGGCAAATTGGTTCGAAAATGGAGAGCTTGGACTATCTGACTGAGGGTATGTCGTTGTTATTTGATGTGGGACTGTGTTGCTGGAGGAAGGGGTAACCGTCGATGAGGTTTCAGGGAGGGAGGGGTATGGAGGGGTAGCTGCTCCCCTGAAAGAAGCTTAACTTGGCCGGAGCTAGGCACTTAGTCAGCAGAACAACCCCAACCGACATCTGCGCTCCCGGTCAGTCCTTCTCAAGTTATCGTCAAGGATAGCAGCTCTTTCCTCTGCTTCTCCGGCGGTGACTGCCCCCTGGTAAATCTGACAGATCACGATGGATCTCGCAATGCTCTATTTCCCTATCTCAAGCATCTGTCCAACGTTGACGGATACGAGGCAAAATAGTAGTACACTGCCTTGTAGTCGATGAGAGTCAGAAAACTCCCACACGGCTGTCCATCCAACCCATGGACCGGACTATATGAAGCTTCATAGTTCTTTCAATACCCGAAGAGACAAATCTCTCTTTTGTTTTCTTTCTCGAGCCCATATATGCACTGAGCGCCACATCTTAGAATCAGGATGCCAATCTCCGCCCTGCCTCAAGATACAATCCGCCGAATAGGGGCAACCCTTGCTATCACTAGCCCCGTTGCCCTACTCAAAGAGCTCCTTGACAACGCCATTGACTCGGGTGCCACTTCCATTGATGTTATCGTCTCGTCGAACACGGTTGACAGGGTCGAGGTCAGAGATAATGGCCATGGAATTCACCCAGATGACTTCGACTCCCTTGGTCGTCCAGGACACACTAGCAAACTCCGGTCCTTCGACGAACTTGACACACTTGGAGGAAGCAGCCTTGGGTTCCGCGGCGTGGTGCTGGCGAGTGCGAGTGCCGTTTCGAATGTGTCCCTGACCACAAGAGTGTCGACCGAACCCGTTGCGACGGTGATGTCACTTGCCAAGGGAGGAGGGATCAGCGCACAACGACACTCACCTGCTCCAGTCGGCACCACGGTCTGTGCTACTGGCTTGTTCGCTCATCTGCCCGTCAGGCTAGAAGCTACCGTCAAAGAAGCTCCCAGGCATCTCACCAAGATGAAGGAACTTCTGTATTCATACGCACTTGCGAGGCACCGGATCAGGCTGCGATTCGTGGTACCGAAAACCCCGACCCTTTCGTGGTCTTACGCTCCTGCTGCCCATGGTGGCGTCAGAGAAGCGGCCATGCAGCTCTTCGGCACTGAGCTTGCATCCCAGTGCATATTTGAAATAAGTCCAAGCAGGAGCCCCGAGGCCCCCTCATCGAATCGTCTGAATGGCCTCGATGCCTCCACCAACCGGGAGACAGGTCCGGTTTTTGAAGCCCTTCTACCAAAACCAAGCGCTGATGTCCGGAAGATTGGAAGAGGGGCCTTTATCTCTGTTGATTCGCGACCAATCTCTTCAGTTCGAGGGACGGCCAAGAAACTCTATGCGCTCTTCAAGGAGCGCATCTCGGCTCACTTCTCCCAGGCTCACTCAAGTGATGTACCCAAAAACCCATTTCTTAGCCTGAACATTCGGTGTCCGTCAAGGTATTACGATGTGAACATAGAGGCATTAAAGGATGATTTTCTTTTCAAGGATGAACAACAAGTCCTGGACCAGTTTCTGTCTTTTATCTCTCTCATTTACTCTACTGCTGAGGTCGATTGCTCAGCCCAGTTGGCTGCTGAGGCAACAAATGATGTTATGCCGATTGGTGTCTCCTCGGAGGCCCGCGAGCACGGTTTGACCCCCCAGGTAAGGCCTTAGAATCGTTTACAATCGGGACACTGCTGAAATGTCAAGCTTACTCCTCCATCATGGCGCGTCGACATGTCCGCTGGACTTGACCATTTGAGTGAGGACGACAATGACATTGAGCATTCCTCACCGCCGGCCAGCGATCTGAGGGCCTCTGAGAATAACTTGGTCATTGACGAGGATGATATGGCCGAAGGTGACGATGCCAGACGACATTCGAAGGAGGGCTTGAATCCGTGGTCTATCGCTAAATTGGTCAGCCATCATCAGCGACGTGAACCACTCCCTAGCGACACTTCGCAGAACCATCGGCGAGAGGTTCAATCTCCGCCTCGCGACACCGCTAGTCCCGGGCCTGGTGAGGGATTGGCGCCAATCTGGCAGACTAGACACCCCCTAGACCATCGAGTCCGGAATCCTCCTTCGTTGAATAATCATGACAATTTCCAGAGCGGTACTGTGAATCGTATATCCTCTCAAAGGGCAGCAGCTTCGTCGATACGGCCTAGGAGACGCCAAGATGGGCATGGTCACCGCATTGGACTCCAGAGCCCGCCCTCCTCATCTCCTCACGGAATGGATTTAGAAGACGCATTTGCTAGGGAACGACCTGCTCGGTCCCGCAACGCAGCTGGATCGAGCCGACTGGTCCAGGCCAGAATATCATTTGATAGGGGGACCAAACGCCCACGCAGCCATAACAATACCGATTCAGAGCCCCAAGTGTTTCCCAACTCCTCTAGCCTTGATACGCAGGCAAGAATTTCAGGAGCAAGACGACGTGTGAGTGCCGAGCACGCTCGTGATGCAATGGCCGATCGCGACCTGAGACAAATAGTACTGCAAGAATCAGCGACTCCCCGACACATACCACACGTCGCTGCCGATGCAGCTGAGGGTGAAGGAGGTGTTGATCACATAGGCGGACAGAGCGAGACAACATCACAACTCAATCCGCTAGCCCAAGATGCGAGAATACAGCTCATCAAACATCAATGCCTCATGGCGTCGAACCCGCAAAAGAGGCTCAAACGCCTGAAGACGGAGCAGCTGCCGCTCGAGACCATCCCGCGCGACTTCATAACAGTCACTTTGCAGATAACGATAACGACCAATTCTTGCGAGCTGACGCAATCAAGTATCCGTGCGACTCGCTACGACGCTTATCCGATCACCGGGAAACTAGGAGGCGGGTTTGAAGATGGCATCGGCCCCGAGGAAGCAGCCGAGCTGGTCCGACCTCTCCTGGAGCGTCCCGACCGCTGATTTAGTGTACGGCATCGATGGATCTCCACTAGATCTACCCAGCACCATGGCTATGCGAAAGATGTTGATGTGAGTATGATCAGGTTGTTGAGGGTGTTCTCATTTCGTATCAAGCCTTGCTATATAGCTCTCTTGCTTGACGGGTAATCGTACCATCACTCCGGGAGTCATTGCCTGTATTTACTAACCTATTGATGCCCTGGGGCGGATACGACTGAAGCTCACGTGAAAATGAGGTAGCTGAGGCTTAGCAGAAGCAAACGTCACTGCCTTACCACACTTGCCGGCTTGCGTGTTCCGCCGATGGTCTGTCCCGGTCTCACATTGCCCACACGAACACTACCTGAGGTACACCGTACCGCTAGTGTAATATGCCCGGCGGCTGAAAGCTGCCTTAAGTCAGCATGGTATTGGTTGGACCAGACAACGTTAGGTATTGAACTGTATGTACGGATTATGTACAGGACAGTACTCCGTACTTTCTGTATACACTGCCAGTGCTGCCTTGGTCGAACATCTTAGTCGACCTCTGTTATAGCCATGTGCAACTTGGTATGCAGCCGATCTGCAATCCATACCATAGTCGATGATGAAACACTCGGGCTGCCCTGGCCCGAGCCTGGCTGATACTTGGGCAAGTATAGGTAGACTGACAACAGGCTTCGCTTCACAAGCAGCCAGTGTCCAAGTCCCGTTCATAGACACATGCAATGCCCCAAGCTGGTCCTGATTGAAGGACGGGCGACACGAGTTCATGGCTTTATCCTCCCTCCCTCTGCTGGTGTGGGGGGTCGGGGGCTGAGTCGGTCGGTTTGACGAAGGAACACCGACAGAAAGGATGCCGTCGGACGAGTGCAAGTTGACTTCATTGGCTGTTCAGTGATAGCCAGGCCGTTGTTACCGCTGTGGGGTCTGAGAAACTGCATGAATGTTTTGGCCCATCTTTGTTTCTGGTTTTGAATCTCGTGTTGAGCAGGAGCTTACACGATGGAAACCAGGAACAGGCTTTGGACCCCATTGTGCAGGCACCACCAACTTTAGTCCTCCATTTGGTTTGTTGGTTGGTCTAGCAAACATTGGGTTCAGCGTTGATTATTACCCCAATCTCTTCCGAACCTATTCCCGGACCCGGTGATTTACGCTCGCAGGTGATGTAAGGAAAGTAGGAAACCATTTCAGGTTAATTACACTATATGCGCTGGCATTTAGGCCTAACTAAGACCTGTAAGAAAGGGGCCAAGTTCCAACTAGTGTACAGTACATATGTACTGTACAGTACAGTACGTTACCTTACGTATTGCCTACAGCAGCCAGCCCACTGAGTGCCCTGCAGCCAACCAGTATGCAGTCGGTGCTGATTGTCGGGTGATGTAGTGGGCCCCTGCCGCAGCCGCTGTGGAGGATGCGGCCCTGCTCCACCGTCATTCCCGTCTTCCTTTGCGATTCTACAAGATTCAGACCGACCGCAAAGCTATCCTTTTCCCGCCGTCACCAAGGGATAGAGAGAGCCGTTCTCGCCGCCAGCCAACCCTGCGAACCCGGCGCTGCGGTAGACGGGCACTCGGTGCAAGATGCGCAGCACGTAGGGCGTTGATGCCTTCGCTTTGACCCGTCGTCCGCCCGTCTCGCTTTCCTCCCGTCCCTTGCTGTCGCTCGCTTTGCGTGTCTCGAGCCCAGCTGGTCCCCAGACGCCATTCTGAGGTGCATCCCTCGGGGCCTGGTTCTAATCATGACCGCAGTCTATTCTTCAGCCTTGTCATACCCGCCTCTCCCCGGATGCAAACCCGAGTTATGTAGTATTCACCGCAGCCGCAGCTCGGGTAGGCATCGGCACCTCGTCGATGCGCTCTGCCGTCCTTCTCCCGCCGCCGACGACCGACCAGACATTTCCAATAGAACATGGCGTCGATTCCGGTTGCCCTGGCTCTCAAGCCTCGCTATATTGGCTTCATCGTTGCTCGCATCGACTTCGCTGTTCACTCCCGCCGTGGCTGTCATGGTGCCCTTTGAGAACTGCCTGAGCGACCCGTACATCAACAATGTGCCTACACCGCTGCAATGGGTGCCCATGTTTGTCGATGCCGCCTTCGACACGACAGATCCTAAGCACACACTCCGTGTGACCATGTGGGGAAACGTGACGGGCGCCTCGACTGCTGTTACCCTCCCACCGCCCAATAGCCCGGACTGGGCTGATCCTAGCAAGACCGACGGCAAGATATTGTACGAACCTGAGCCCAACGTGCCGGAGCCCAAGATCACGACGCTCCATAGCAAGATTGAGGTCCTCACGTACGAACCGTGGAACGAAGGCACAGACTTTTGCAACAAGTCGCTTACCAATGCCTCGTGTCCTCTCGCTCCCGTCTTCAACGCAAACCCGAGGTAAGTATCGCCGATTCACCTAATCGCCGTCCGATGATACAGTTCGGATGGTGGTCGAGTAGGCTGTGATGATACTGACCCTCTTGGGACCCTTAGGTCGCTTCCCTATGCCCTTCCTTCCGTGACAATGAGCCATGACTTCTACTCGACCTACGCCTTCACATCTCTGACGGCCACGTTCTTGATCATCTATGGCGACACCAAGGGCACAAATATTGGGTGTGTTTCGGCAGCCGTGACGCCTGATTTGGGCAGCCTGACTTGGATGCTCACATTCTTGCCCCTTGCCGTGCTGCTCTTTGTTGGGGGTGCTACCGTCTTTGCAGGGATATTCAGTCCGTGGGGGGCCGCCGACATCTTCCACTGGAGTTCCAATTACGGCCGCGATCCCGACCTACTCCGGCTCGTCACTCCGGGTTTCGGAGATTGTCTGCAGTACATCCAGTTCGTTGTCCTGACCGGCGGCCTGACCCTCAACTACCCTGGCTTCTACCAACCCATTGTGAGCCAAGGATCGTGGTCAGTGCTCATGTTCAACCAAAGCTTCGTGAGCAAGGAGCTTGGGTGGCGCAGTGTGCGGGACGGCATCTACGTGACCGAGGGCAGTTACGGCCTTCAAAAACTTGCCCAGCTAGTTGGCATCCCCAGGCTGGAGGACATCTGGGCTGGCATGATGGTCTGGCTGTTGGGCATCATTGGTGCCATGTTCGTCATCTTCTATGGCTGGTTCTTTCTCCAGTGGATCTATCGGCTCATTAAAAACATACCCGAGGAAGACCTTCGTGCCAAAAACTTTCCCTTTACGGTTGGCAACGTCGTCAGGATCGTCTTGAATTATTTCCTGTTGCCGATCGTGGCTCTGTCAACCTTCCAACTCGTCGTCGCGAGCGAGTCTCCAGCCTGGACCGTGGCACTGGCCGTCATCACGCTGGTGCTCATCATCGGCTTCGCAGTCTGGCTGCTCTATCTCATTATTACGACAAAACCGAGAGCGTTCTTGTTTGATGACCTCCCTACCGTCCTTCTCTATGGCCCGCTGTACAACACGTACTCTGACGAAGCTGCAGCTTTCACCCTCATCCCTGTACTGCTGACGTTTGTACGTGGCATTGCCATCGGGGCCGTCCAGCCGGCTGGGGTTGCCCAGATCGTTCTCCTTGCTATTTGCGAGGTGATCCAGATCCTTACGCTGCACGCCTTCCGCCCGTTCCACTCGCCCACCTCAATGAATGCATACCACACGCTCTTCTCCGCGCTCCGTCTCATTACTGTTCTCTTGATGGTTGCCTTTGTACCTTCGCTCGGTGTGACCGATGGCCCCAAGGGCTGGATTGGCTACGCCATTCTCGTCGCTCATGCCGGTGTGCTTGTGCTCGGTTTTCTTCTAAACGCCGTACAGACCATCGTCGAGGTTCTCGCCCGAATGCTCGGGGCCGGTGGCGACGACATACGTGGCCAATCGAGGGGTGCTCTGTCGAAGATCTTCGGGATGCGGCAACTCTCCCGACGTATGTCTAGGCGGCGGGTGCAGGGCCCGTCTCGACAAAGTCAGTTGTCTAGCTCTGCAATGCTGGATGCTGATGAAGTTTCCAAAGCTGGATACATCATGCCCGGAGGCCGTCTGCGGAGCGAGTCGGCAGGAAGCGTGGGGATCGCGATGCATCGCCGCCAGAGAAGTTCGTCTGTCCTCGACAGCCTCAGCCTTGATGGCCCGATTCGCAATCCTGACCAGAGTGTGGCTGGCTCGTACACTCCGACAACCCCAGGAGAGGCCAGTGCATACTCCTTTTTGCCGTCACCCAAACATGCAGCTCGGCCGCCGGCTGCATTCGGTATGCAGACGCCGGACCCTTTCTATCGCCCGCCAAGACACCGGCGTCAGACAATGGAGAGCTCGCCTCTGCAGGCGGCCAAGACCGGCGGCTCGTGGACTGCGGGCGAATGGTCCCAGAAGCGGCTTAGCCAGTGTCCAGCGGGACCTTCCAGCGAACCTGCAGAGCTCGGCACACAGATCTCGAGAGATGCCACGCCCGCGCCGTATGCCGCTTCCTTTTTCCCGAGGACTGACTACGCAACTCGCGAGGTAGACTTCTACTACGGCGTCAGAGGAGAGAGGCTGAACTCGGATGCGCGCGGTCGTAAGCTAGGAACTGGCCCGGCTGACCCAACCTCGCCAATGGCGTCTGCCGCAGGCTGGCTTAGGGGAATGTTTGGCGCAAAGAGAAAGGACAAAGGGAAAGGATTTGAAGTTGTCAGGAGTGCGCGAATGCCCCCTGCAATGCGCGCCGCTGGCGGGGACTATGAGGAGGAGGTCAACCCTGATGGGATACCAGTCGCGATGGGCGTCTTGCGGAATGGGCCCATCGAGTCGGACGAGGAAGGTGATCAGCGACAGAACAAGAGCGTCCGTCGGAAACGGGGAACGTCGCCGGAGCCGGAGCAGGAACCGTTAAATCATGGAGCCGAAGCGGGAACCGACGAGGCAGATGACATGGGCACTGCAAGCGCTTCGGCTGTCCCGACTCTGACACTCGATATTGGAACCGAGGAGAGTCTCAGCGTGGCGGTTGCAGCGGCGCAACCCGGCGGGGATAGCGAACTGGTTGTCCCGGAAGTGCCTCGGAAGAGTTCGAAGCGTACTTCTTGGAATAGCCCCCATCTTCAGGCGGCTCAATCTCCAGCACAACAACCTGGGCCGAGCAACCCAGGCAACCTCACCTTATCCGCACCGACGCCATCGTCTCGATTGCCGTTTGAGCGGACTCCGTCTCAGAAGACTGCTTCAGGCTCGTCGGCAGGGCTCACCGATGAGTTTACTCAGGTCGACCTGCAGGACCGGTCTGATAGCACCGACGGAAGGCCTACTAGCTACGGATTCGTCAACCAGGGGAGCATCAACAGAGTCGACCGCGAGGTTGATCTGCTAGGCAGTTCTGCCGAGGTGGTTGATGAGAGACGATGACACATACCAGACGTTCTCCTGGTCGTTATATAATCCTCCGCACTCCCTCTTCGCCTTTGTGCTCCTACCGCACAAGACCTAATAATTACGACGATGCCAGTATACTTCGTTCATGGAATGTTTTAGCAGGAAACAATTACAGAGGACGGCATCACGACTTTTTTCTTACCCAGCATCGGCGCTTTGGTCTATGACGGAGTATATACTTGAGGGTCACTTATTTCGTTTGCGCGCGGCTTTGTACAATGCGACGGCGGCACGGCCTATCTGATTTCTTGTTTGGGGGTAATAGGGCTTTCTATTGTTTAGCGACGGCGCACAAAACCGGTGGTACGCTACGAGGGCAGCGAAGATGCATCCGTTCCTTTATGGGCTATGCTTTTGTTAGATATGGATTATTGGTTGTAAAACAAAGCAGATATAGATGGATTGGGACGTGGGCCGATTGGATACCGAGAAGGTAGTGGACAATCTAGCAAGTTAATATGCTTTGTCTCGCAGTTGAAATAGCCGTGGCTTTAAATATTGTGCTGGCTGGCCGACCTGGTTCGGCGGTTCGACTTTTGTATCACGGACTCGGCGGGTAGAGGAGACACAACAGAGCAATTGCCTCATTGCTACGATGTTTCTCGCCGGGCATGATTAAGTTAGCGCGTTGTATGGGTATCAACATCATTTGTGTCATCAAGTCGTAACTATAGCCATCAAATATACATACGCCACAGAGAAACCCCCTAGAATCCCGCTTGCCTGCTATATCAGATATGCCCGAGGAAGAAACACCGGAAGAGGGCGCCCAGATTCTAATGAAAGCCCCCAATATAGAGCCCGCCGACCTCTGTGTCTCCCAACCAGCCTTCCCTGCCTTTCCACATCCCCCAACAGCTAGATTCTGTCACTCACAAGCTCACAAGACACCAAACCCCGCCACGCCAGCCGCAACAGCCCCGACCAACCCAGCACACGCTGCCATGGCCGTAGGCCTCGGCGCCGCGTTGCCCGTTTCCGTGCCGAAAGAGAAGCCAGCCGCGGTCGTCCCAGACAGTGTGCACATGGTGGACTGCAGGCCCCTGCACGCGGCGCTCGACAGACTGTTGCCTGAGAACCGTGTCAGGATATGTACAGCCGAGAAAGGGAACAAGAGAATACTCACAAATACTAGTCGCCCCCGCAGCATCCACAGTCACCCCCCCTCCGCCCGTGACGGTCGTCCCGCCGCCGCCTGGCACGACAATAGTCACGGCGTAGCCGGCACTGGCCGCACCCAGCTGGGCGGTGCACGCCTGGTAGTTTGCGCTGCACTGACTGACGGCCGCGGAGCAGAAGCCCGGGTTGGCGAAGTAGGTGGCGACGTAGGGGAAGGAGAAGTAGCTGTTGGGGACGTAGCTGACGGCGGTGATGGCCGCGCCGGCCGCGGGGGTAACAAAGGTTGCTGGCGCCGTGCCAGTGCATACCGCCCTGTTGTCGGATGCCGGTTAGTATCCAACATGGGAAGTAGAGTAAGTAACGTAGGTAGGCTAGGAAAGAGAGTGCATCATATACCCGCTAGGACAGCACGCCGGATTGCTAGCCGCGTCGAGGGCACATAGCTGGCCGTTTTGGCAGCAGACGCCGTTGAAGGCGGGGCCTTGGTTCGCGCAGCTGTAAAAGTTTGGCAGGCATCCTGCTGCTTGCCGCTTTGCGACGGCAGCAGGCGCCGTCTCGACGGGCCGGAAGGGCTGGAGGCTAGCACAGACGGTCGAGATGCATGCGAGTGCAAGACATATCGGAATCCACGGCGCGGGGGAAGGGAGCGCCCGCCTGCTCCTCATGCTGGTCCGGGTGCGGGCTTTTAGGGGCTTCAGAATTTGTTCGCAAGGACAACAATTGGACGAGGTTGTAAGGTGAAGCGAGCGAATATCGAGTTCTTGGGATGCAATTAAGGCCCAACAGGCTCGGGCAGCTTTACGCAGTTGAATTGGCAGATGAGTGTACTGCAAGCATATGCACTTGACGGAAGCAGTGTATATACAGCCCAGAGATGAGAACGAGAACAGCGCAGCGCCGAACTGCGGCACTGCAGCGGTCCAACTGAATGCGAGCGGTGTAACAGAGCGCGAAGGGTGTGGATTAGGTAGGATTTCTACCCGGTAACAGCTCAGCACTGCAGAGCTAGGCCGGCGGTATCACGATAGGAGGTTTGGCGCAGCAGTGAACAGCTCCGCTGGCCAACCAGCGGCCAGTAAACGTGAAGTGATGTCATCCAATTGCTGGCCGGGCAACCCGCACTCGACATCGACACCCCAGCTCAGTTTGGGCGTCAGCGGGGTACAGAATGTAACCTCTCTGCGGGGCATTCTGATGCCCATATCAAGCCTTGCACGTGACATCAGGGATGGAGTGTAATTCAGGGGCTCGAGGGGGTAGCTGTGTATCCCAATAAGGATCGAATTGACCAGTGAATCTCCGCCTGGCTGCTGTGATGACTGATGAGAGTGCAGAGCGCAGACGACGTCTAATGCGCGCCCCGGAGGTGGCCGACGATGGCTCGCAGCCGCAGCAACGCTGTCGGCTCAGGCGGTTTCTCGCCTGGCTTGACCTCTTCCAGCTGTCGAACCTCAGCGCGTGCCTCCTCTACCAGCGCGCCGAGGTCACCCCAAACCTCGTCCTGATAGCTCGTCAGCACACGAGACCACTGTTCGATCCACTGCTGCCAGGCCTCGTCGGCATCAGTAGTGCCCAAATGCGTAGAAAGATCATCCTCCGCTGCCGTATGCCCACGGAAATACTCTGGTATGAAATTGAGCACATTGTCCCACGTGGAAGGTGTGGCGCCGGGCGCTGACTCTTCGGGGAATAGAGCCTTGCGCAAACTCGCAAGGTCGTCCCGTGATATGTGCTCATCGGCATCCGGGACGTAGTCGAAGTCGCCGCCACCAGATAGCAAGGCAACGACGTCAGCGCCGTCCTTGGCCTGCTGCTCCGCAACCGAATGCGAAAGCGTCTCGGCTGCGGGTGTTGGGTTCGGGATGCTAGTGACAGCGCTCGCCGATTGCCAAGCCCTTTCCAGCTCACCTGAACCCGACGACATGGCTGGGACTTCGCTGTCCAGAAACGCGGCAAACGATGCTTCCTCTCTGGCGACATGCTCCTCGGTATGTGCCGGTTTTATGGCTTCGCCTCCTAGCGTGTTGGATCGCAGCTGGACCGAACTCTCACCCGCTCTGGCGAGAAGCTCACCAGTGCGTGAAGACTCGGCTTTCTCATTGTCACCAAGTCCGCCGGCGGGCGGCCCTGACAGCAGGAACGAAGGCAGTGCCGCAGCCGATTGTGCTATATTGGCGGCGAGGGATGTCCTGGTAGTGCTGCTCTGCGCAGTGCTACCTTCCGGGGGACTTTCCTGGGTGATAGATTCGACATCCTTGCCTTTCCCCTTTGCTACCGATCTGGGAGCAACGTCATCTCCCATGCTGGGACCACTGGGTTGTCTCTGGTTTTATGCCTGTCAACACGGGTCAAAAGCAATTGCAGCCAATGGGTACGTCTAACAGCAGAACTATGCACGGCAGCCTTACTCACATCAACGAGCGCACTCCACGTTGCTGCGCATGTGATGATGTGGCTGATGACGGCAATGCAATGAGCCTTGCTGCCGGGACCAGGGTTTAAAACAGTAACATGGAAGATCTTGTTATGGGAAAGATGCTGCCGAGATTCAACAGGTTTTGCTTGGGACTCACCCTAGGTAAAGTGATCTTTATCAGAAAGAAGTGAAAAAACGACCATGGTTGCTCGGAACGGTACTTTTGTCCTTGGGCAAGCGGAGTTTATCTGTACCGTAGTGAGGCACGAGGTACGTTTTCAATTGTCATCAGAGGGCTGACTAGGACAAGGGTCTCCGGGCTTCGACAGGCCAAGAGCTACCGGTGTCGTAGTGTACTGTACAGAGGTAAGCAGGCACCTACTGGAACGACGTTAGGTTGGTTAGATACCGCAGTTAAGGTAGAATTCAGAATCAGGTAATCAGAGACAACTTCACCTAGTACCTGCCTATTGTTGCTGCAATCTTCAGACGTTTATGCAGCATTGTAATTCCGGTTGTACCTCCCGTCTTTGGCAGAGGAACTTGAAGGTTTCCTGCTTGGGCATTGCAACCGCCAAACCGCACTGTGTGCCTGTGCTCTTGACGCCCCAACTTGGCGCCGGTGGATTTGGGCGCACCCGCACCACCAAAAGTCGAGTGCGCCAACACCGACTCCATCATTGCAAGCTCGTTCTGTTTCCAACAAACAATCGGCCCCTCCTAGCGCCGCCAGCAGATCACCACACCCGAGTCCCCGTTTCCAGTCTAGACGACGCGCTTTTGCATACTCGCATATTTTCGCAAGAAAAGGTCGACATTTAGGGTACGAGACAAGTTTCTTTCTTCCACCCGTGTCCCAACGCTGCCCCGGCGGACATACAGATGAATGTCCCGCCAACCCAGCATCTCCTCGTCACTTCTGCACCCGCCCACGCACCGCGATCTCAACCACTAAGCGCTCCAAGTCCAGATCCTGCCCTCTGCCTCCACTGAAAAAGCTTGCTCCGTATCCTAACCAGCCTCGCCCACCCCCTGGAGCCCCAGTTCAGCTTCAGCTACAGCTATCGAACCCCGCCTTCGGGCCGCTTGCCACCGAATCCGTCGGGCCCCTTCTGCACCCCGAGTCCTCGGCTTCTTACATCGCGTGCCGACCACGTCGCTTGACCCTGACCCTGCGCCGATTCCGACCCCTCCCTCCGTACCCCTTTGTTGGCAGAGCGGGGCACGTCGTCGCCCTCCTCTCCAGATCGTGAAGATGGTGGACACAGAAGCGAATGTACCGACATGGAAGTTCACCCAGTAAGCCTTGTCTTCTTCGGAGTCCGGTTCCGTCTTTATTCGGTTGCACTAACCCTTGCGTTCCAGATGCTTCGGTGACAAGGGGGATGTTGAGGATATCACAGAAGGTATGTCACGCCGCCGCAGTTCTCGGAGCACTTCTCGGCATGGGCTTTGCCGACTGATGCCTACTGCAGCGGATATCATCTCCACCGTGGAATTTGACCATACGGGCAATTATCTGGCGACGGGTGATAAGGGTGGGCGTGTTGTTCTGTTCGAGCGCAACGAGACAGTGAGTTGGTTGTGTTCTTGCCCCTGGCTAATATTCTCTTCCGATTCTATATTTTCCTCTTTTGCGGTTCCTACTCACACTCCAAACAGAAAAAGACATGTGAATACAAATTCCACACGGAGTTCCAGTCGCACGAGCCCGAGTTCGACTATCTCAAGTCGCTGGAGATAGAGGAGAAGATCAACAAGATCAAGTGGTGCCGGCGGCAAAACGCATCCCATTACCTTCTTTCAACAAATGACAAAACGATCAAGCTGTGGAAAGTGTTTGAGAAATCCCTCAAGGTCGTTGCTGAGAACAACCTGTCCCATGACCTGACCCCGGCCAACATTGTTGGCGGGGGTGGAGCGCCGCGCCCAATGCCCAACATTCACTTCCGCAGCGCCAGCGACTTGAAGCTACCCCGGCTCACTCACCACGACACCGTCGTTGCCGCTGTTCCTAGGCGGACGTATGCCAATGCCCACGCCTACCACATCAACAGCATCTCAGTGAACAGTGACGGAGAGACCTTCATCAGCAGTGATGACTTGCGTATCAACCTGTGGAACCTCAACATTCAGGACCAGAGCTTCAACATTGTGGATATCAAACCTGCGAACATGGAAGAGCTGACGGAAGTGATAACTGCGGCCGAATTTCACCCACTAAGCTGCAACTGGTTCATGTATGCCAGCTCCAAGGGTACCATCAAGCTGGCTGATATGCGGGAGAGCGCCCTGTGCGATCAACATGCCAAGCGTAGGTGCCTGCAGAAGTCTGCCGTCAAACCGCGTGTGTATGACTTGGTAGCTAACTCATCGCAGTGTTTGAGCAGGAAGAGGACCCCTCGTCGAGATCTTTCTTCTCCGAGATTATCTCATCCATCTCAGATGTCCGATTTTCGTACGACGGCAGATACATCCTTTCGCGCGACTACCTGACAGTCAAGATCTGGGACGTCAACATGGAAAGGCAACCGATCAAGACGATCCCAATCCACGAGCACCTCAGGCCGAGACTATGCGACACGTACGAGAACGACAGCATCTTTGACAAGTTTGAGGTTGTCTTCTCCGGAGATGGCAGAAATGTCATGACGGGGAGCTACAACAATAACTTTATGATCTATCCGTCGGACCCGGAGAAGGAGGTTGAGGTGGTGCTCCAGGCGGACAAGTCGGCATTCAAGGCAAAGAAAGTGGGCGTGCCGACACCGATAAACTCGTCAACGAGCCCGACAGCAAATGGCAAGAAGGGTGGCTCGCGGGCAGGGAGCCCAGCGGCGCCGGGCCAGGCCCAGAGAATGCGCAAGGAGACGGACGCAGACCAGATTGACTTCAACAAAAAAATTCTGCACATGAGTTGGCACCCGTTCGAAGACAGCATTGCGATCGCGGCAACGAATAATGTAAGGCTGCCCTACCAACGCCCACAACGGCGGGTTCCTTTGACTACTTCTCTGGTTGCTGACTTGCTTGTCTAGCTCTTCGTCTTCTCAGCCTTGTAGGGACAAGAAAATTAGAGCCCATAGGCACCTCAGCTGTGACTCCCATCCGGGAACTCTGCCCAGGTAGGGGAACTGCGAGGGCCGAAGATATATGCTTCCAGCGCAACCGGCTCGGTCGCATGTGGTGGACGACGCAAAAGTCGCCTCGCCCGCCCGCCTCTTGCTGCTTCGGCAACAGCCCACAAAAACAGCGATAGGACGGACAAAGTTTGTTTTCTGGAGAAACTGGGCGAGGGAACACCCATGCAAATCGCAGGAGGTGGGATGGGAGACTGGCACCGATGTAGACCGAATGCATTGGGAGGCGGGCTTGGTTAGGCCGGACTGCGGTTGTGCCTTGACTAGGCCCCGAGCATTTGTATTTAGGGAGTAGACGTTGTCTCAAGCGGCCGTGTCTTCAACCGGGCAAGGCAGCGAAGAAGGATCAAGTTAGAGAGTAGCATGCATTCCACTAAGCGCTTGGCGATGTTTGAATTGCAGCTAGACTCCCTAGGGTTGGACTGCGAGGTTGTCTGTATCCTGTACACTGCGCAACTTGCCTTTTGTGAAGTGTAATGGATATCTCGAATGTCGTTGACAAGACTACCTAGGCCGCTAGACTGGACGGCCCGCTAGTACCCCAGTGACACTCTTGAAACCTTTCGGAACCTTCTTTGAGACTCTCCAGGTCTGGTTTGCTCTTAGTATTGATGCTTGCAAGAGCTCACTTTCAGGGGGAGGACGCCTTACCAACGGACGTTATCCAGGGGGTGGGAAGGTAATGTTGGGGGTACGAGTTCTTTGTACCTAGTAGACCAGGTGTGGCTGCAGAAGCCCCACCGATCAAGGCGATGGTGGCTGCTCCCCAGTTTCGCACTGTGGACTTGACGACAAAGACCGATTCTCAGCTAAAACTAGTACCGTCTCAGAACCGGATCTAAACTCTGCCCAAGACAAACACCAAGTTCATATCGGCAAAAGCAGGTCACCTCTGGTATTTTGTCCTGACCCTGCGCCAGTAAACCGACTGCTGAACATCGCCGCTCTTGTCACGCCGCAGGCAAGAAACCTCCAAGAGAATCTCCTCGTCTCCCACTCCCCGAACCTCCGCTGCGCGCCCGTCTGTTCGCTTGCTTGCCAGTTCATGCCCACATAAGCGCGAGCACCAACAGAGAGACACACCCCACCGCAGGCGCACGAGCCGAACGAACCAGTTAGCAGAGAAGGAAGTCACAGAAAGAAAGAATGGCACAACAAAGAGAACGACACCCCCCGACATCGCGCTCCAAGCCGCCGCCGCCGGGCGAGGAGGAGGCGGGCGCGGTGCTCAAGCTGGGCGAGTTCGAGGACGTCGACACGCTGACGCTGTCCGAGGCGTCGCTGGTCATCAACGCGCTCATGGCGAAACGGCGGAAAGACCGCAAAGACCGCAACGAGACCGACGTGCTCAAGAAGACGCTCGACTACCTGGACGCGTTTGCACGCTTCAAGCAAAAGGAGAACGTCGAGGCTGTTGAGAGGCTGCTCAGTGCTCATGCGAAGCAGTTGACCAAGTTTGAGAGGGCGCAGATTGGTAAATTCTTGTCCCTGGTCCCTGGTCCCCATCCCCGTTTTGGCCTTTGAAGAGGAGGGGTTGTGGTGCGGTGTGCACATGAGATGGGGCATGGAACCTGGGCTGACTCTTACTGTGTCTTAGGTTCCCTCTGCTGTGACGGCGCCGATGAGTGCAAGACTTTGATACCCTCCCTGCAGGACAAGATCAGCGACGAAGATCTGCAGGAGCTTCTCAACGAGATGGGCAAGCTCATGAGCACCTAAGCTACGCAGTAGCTAGGGGTTATATTTCCTAGTTACCCCTGAGAGCGATGCGGTACGGCTCAGGCACATTACGGATCCTTGCTCCACGGAATCACGGGAACTGGTTGGACTGGATAGAGGGAAAATCTGCGTTTCAGTCGCAGGAGCTGGGAAGGCATGGTGGAGGTGTGCAGAGTCAGCCGACACCTTCACCATACACGGCTCAGCTATGTTGGAGCAAAACTGCACGGTACGGCGTCACGGCGATGTAAAGGTGATTTGGTTCGTTCTTTTCGGTTTTACTGCTATACCCCTGAACAGCTCAGTTGCTGTCAAATACGCATGGCCTATTAAGAAGGTACATTTTCGTGGCGGCATGCCCAACCTTGCTCTGGCTGTGAAACATGTGGAATGATAAGGCTGAGGCAGTCTCTGGTCCACCTATAGTCTTCCCGGCATGTCTCCCGAAATCTTCGGGGGTATTGTATCATACCGAGCCAGTTTCCTCCGCGATGACTAGCCCCTTGACGAGGAATACACCGCCACTCCAAACACATCTCATAGTTGCAGATTGTGAAACCTAGTCCAGCTGTTCGCGTACGTGCCGGATTGCCGCTCTTCCTGTGTCGATTTCAGAGTAGCCCGTGGCTCGGCTATCTTTTCGTCCTGCGTGGCGGGGAGTGACTCAAGTTCTGCCGCCTCCGAGCGTGGTCCCGAATCTCCCGCAACCTCCCCGTAGCATGGAGTCGAGTCCAGCTCCGATGGGCTCGATGTTATTCCAGTTCCCATCGAACTGCCCATTGTGAGGGGACTGGGGAGGCCGCCGCGCATATCACTACTCAAAGGCCTGGAGTGGCCATTCCGCACCAGAGGAGTAAACCCCGGAATGTTTCCCCCTTCAGCCATCCGCCCTACAGCAAGGCGATTAGAGTCAGCGATATCTATCGGCATGCCGTGGTAGCTCAACAACAGGGTGTCATACCTTCCGCTGTACCAGAAGAACCTGTGGGTCCGCTCTGAGCCTGGACCGGGGGCTCACGTTGATCACAAGGTCCTCTGAAAGAGGGTAGCGTGTTGGCTTGCTCGCTCTTCTCTCTATTCTCTCGCTGACGTCGCCTCCACCACATAGCCGCCATAATGGCCGAGAATATGGCGAGAATGCCACAGGCAGCCGAAATCCCAACCAGGGCGCCAACCGAGAGGTTTATCCCATTGCCGCCGCCGCCGCCGTCGTCGGCAGATGTTGGTGAAGAGGAGGGGATTGATATTTGCGCAGACGCTTCTGGACTCGGTGTTAATGAGGCCAGGTGTGAGGTTGGGTGTGAGGTAGACGCCCTGGTGGTACTGGTTGGTGTGGTTGGTGCGGTGGTGGTCGGGCTGAGAGAGCTGTAGCTGGGGTAAACGGTTATGATGGTTGGCACTGTCTCCGTTTCCATTACAGTTTCCACGATGAGCGTCGTCAACGTATTGAAGATGGTTGTGGTGCTCGTTTCCGGGACATCCCTTGCCGACGGCGGACAACCGATCGGATCTTGGTTGCAGGGGTCGACACGGCAGCAACCGCTATAATAGGGGCGTTTCCAGGTACAGACGTACCAGTGATACCCCTTCTCGCAATGTCCGGGTGTCGTGTCCTGGGGAGCCATGGCGGATATCCAGACTTATCACGCCTCGCTCGACAACATTCTACGAGGGTGTTACCAATGCTGGTTCGAGGATTCGACAACTGCGCCGGAGAGTTTCTGGAATTTTCGTGGAACCGCTCAAGGGACAGAATCTTGGAACAGGAGAAGTCGATCCGAAGTCGGAACTGTATTCAAACATGTGTGACAACAATCCACCCAGACGACGGCTACGGCGAGAGGTTGTTTGGCAACTACCGCATTTCGTAGGATTGTCAATATTTGGGGAAGAAGAGAGGGGGGAAGGAGGGAAATGGAAATACAGACTGCCCGTGCGGTGCTCAGCCCTTGTGCAAGTGCAACGAGACTTGCTGTTGCTAAAGGAAGGCGCGAGGATGAGCACGGTGTTGAATATGAGGGTACTGGCCAAACCTCGGTTCTTGCAACTACTAGCAGTTAAGGTTCTCTGTCTTGAATCATGACGGACAACACACTGTATGTACTTTGCCGAGGATGAGGGTGCTCCATGTGTCGTGTAGGTACATCGACGATGTTAACTCGCATCATCAACGTCTGAAGGCCTTAAGTACATATAGACTTCGACTCCCTTCCCGGCGGCTTACCAAGAGGATGTTGGCTTGAGGGACTCATTCAACTTGCCATCCAGAACATTTCTCGATATGACGCTACCCTTCCACGTTTCACAGAACTGCAGACGACCGAGGAGCACAGGGCAAAGTCAGACAGGCTAAGCGATTATATTGTTCCAATGCAAGATAGACAGAGCAAACAGGGTAGCCTTGGCCACAAGCAGCAGACCAAGCGCCGCTAGACAATGCCTCTTGTAGCCAGACACTGCAGCTCATTCTCTCTCTGATATTGGAGCCGGACAGTCGTCCAAGGGTCTCAAATAGCAGCCCCCCACAGCTGAATGTCACATAAGACCAGGTGATGCCCCTAGTACATATCACCATTTCCAGCCGGCCTTTGGAGATACTCATCCCTTAGCTTTAGGCCTCCAGTTTTTCCAGCAGAAGCTTTGCCCCCTGGTTCCCTCCAGCTTTGCCCTCCTTCGGAGCAGCTTCCTTTCCTTTCGTCTTCTTCTTGGCCGCATCTACCTTTTCAGCCGTGCTAATCCCATCTCCAGAAGCAGCCGCCTCGAGCATCGCCTTGTTCTTGCGGAGAGTTTTGAGCAGCTCCTTCTTAGAGGAGAAGTCAGGAGCCTCCAACAACCCTAGCACTGTGAAAGAGCTTGGCCCGGTTGCCCACTTCATGATATGTTCCTTGATAACAGGGTAGAGGACGTCCGCGAAGTTGAGTGGTGGGTCTACTCTCTTCACAGCACCCGCTGCTTTATCGAACTTTCCTCCGGAAATCAATGTCTTGAACATCCTGCCCCCGTGAGGGGTAAGAGAGATGTGGGGAGGTGGTGGATAGAGAGGGTCAGCCTCTTCAGATTGGGCTGGCTCCGGGTCGCCGGCAGCTGTCGAGGCTATAGCCTCCAAGGCCGCGATTTTGTCCCCAGTCGCGGAAAGCAAAACATCAGTAACAAATTGGCACCCAAAAGAGGTAGCTACCAGGTCCTTCGGTGACGTCGCGACTGCTGCAAGCAACGGAGGGGACATGGCTGCCACCAACTCCTTGCGCCGGACCTCTGCATCTTTCTTGCTCGTCTTTTGGCGGATTTCGTGAATCTCGCGGAGCAGCTCTAAATCATAGGCATGACTGGCTGGGAAAAGAGCTTTTGACTGCCCTTCGAATAGATAGAGAGCCGTGATGCGGGCGTTCAGGTCGTTGGCTATGAAGATGATGTTTTCGATATCCTTCTCCTCGTTCTTCCCAAAAATCTCGGGGAAAATAGTCTTGGATGTCAAGACGGTATCGTCGATGACGTCGTACGCAGTCAGGATAACCATGTGAGCGTGCGGGTCGCCGCACATGAGCTGAAAAGTGTCTTTGAATGTCTTGATGATTTGCTTCCGGTCCTTTGCAGTTCCCAGAGCCAGGAGCAAGCATACGAGACGCGCGCCAGACTTGGTGAATGCCATGTTTTTCAGCAAGTCACCGTTGTCGTCCTCCTTGACAACCTCGACAAACTCTTTCAGCTCCTCGCTCTCGGGCTTGAGGTTGAGGAAATACTGTAGCATAGCGTCATGGAGCATGGTGAAGCCTGTCATCTTCTTCTGGATCAGGCCGTTGATCATGTCGAACAGATACTTCAACGCTGTCACTCGTTTGCTGGGTTCCGCGGCAAGGATTTTGCTGAGATCGGCAGTAAGCTCGGCGTCGCCGCCTGGCTTGAACAGGGCAAACTCTGGCCCGTACCACTCTCGCAGCATATGCGCCTTTTGTTCTTTCGTAGCCACCCCCCGGTAGATGTCGTCCAAGATCCATGAAGCCTCGGCGTGGTTGATGAGTTTCCGCACCTTTCCATAAAACTCCGGAATGATCAGGTCCCTGATCTCCTCGTCGTTCTGAGTAAGGAGCTTTCCGATCAGGAACTTGGCGTATCTGCTCTCAGCAAGCTGTGCGTAAGTGCCTTGGAGTTCCTTTGCGATCTGCTTGCGCTGTGCCGGAGTAGAGTACTTGATGGCAGTCTGGACCGCTCGCACAGCGTCATGTTTAAGCACAAAGTCCTTGATGCGCCCCGTGATTATGCTGTACAGCTCGTCGACAAGTTGCTGCCGCTGCTCCTTCGGTACATGGGATTTCCGGCGCAGCTGTTCCCAGAGCTTCTTCGTCCGATGCACTTCGTCGGCCAATGGCTTTGCAGCCTTGCGCTCTTGGGCTAGTTGTTTCTGCTTTGCGTGGGCTTCGCGGGAGCTCTGGCCTATGGGTGTGTTAGAACGGGAAGTCTGAATCGTTCGAGTATGGGGGACAAACCTGGCCGCTCGACCGTCTTCGCGTCTGCGTTGCTGTGCTCCTTTGACTTCCCTGTTCCTCGACTTGAGGTAGCCTTCTTGTCATCGTCGGACCTTTGCCGCTTAAGCTCGGCTGCCGTCCTCGCCTTCTTCGCCGGATTGCCGGCGCTGTGCTTGTCACTCGATGCCTTTCTTTTCAACGAGGCGGCAGATTCGGATGTCTTGTGCGCCATTGTGTGTACTTTTCAGTGAGCGCTCCAACCTATTTGACGGTACAAAATCGGTGAAATCACCGAAGTCTAGGTAACTTAGGCTTCACTGAAGGAGACCTGAGCAGACCTTCAATTGAATTTTTTCTAGAGCATCTACCCTAGACCCCTGTTCTGCCGGGCGGTAAGGCCTGCATCAACAGGGGTTTTCCCGCTTACCCCACCCGGGCCCCACTATGCAAGCGCACCCAAGGGCCTGCTGCCCCTCAGTCTCACTTTCACAGGGTTTGAGGCAAGTCTTAACAGTATCTCGCAAAGACTGGGAACCAACCTGTTTCACCATTGAACAGATCTAGCAGCTACCACAGCAATCTTTAAGATGGGGAAAGAGGAGCAGATCGAAGAACGGGAGGTTCTCAACTCGATATTCCCAGAGGAGATTACAGGTTGGGATTTTCTACCTCTCCGGACTTGTCGGCTGCGGTAGGCTGACCGGCGACTTGGGGTATACAGATATATCAGAGAGCGAGTACAGGATATCCATCGCCTTAGACATCCCAGACGACGAGGGCGAACCACCCGTCATCCTTCTCACTGTGCGGTACCCCGACGAGTATCCAGACAAAGCACCCTTCCTGGAGATCTCGGCGCCTCCGAATGCAACTCCCCACCAATATCTGAATGTCGCCGAGGATAAAGACCAGTTGTTGCAGGGTCTAGATGCGACAATAGAGGAGAACCTTGGCATGGCCATGGTATTCACTTTGGTATCGACGCTGAAGGAAGCTGCCGAGCAGTTGGTGGCTGAGCGCAAAGAAGCGGCCGCCAAGGCGCATGAGGAAGCGCTACTTGCCGCTGAGCGTGAGGAGAATAAGAAGTTTCACGGCACCCCAGTGACCCGCGAGACCTTCTTGAAGTGGCGGGAGTCCTTTTTGAAAGAGATGGAGGAAGCACGGATCAGGGAGGAGGAAGAGAGAGCCGCAGAGCTGAAGAAGGCCAGAATAAAAGAGCCGGCGAGGCTTACGGGGAAGCAGTTGTGGCTTCAGGGTCTTGCTAGGGGTGACCAAGATGAAGGCGACGAGGATGGGATTCCCACGGAGGATGTACAAAGACTCAAAATTGCCGATAACTAAAGCAATTCCGATGTCGTTGAACCATAGTGGGTGACGTTGTACATTCAACCTCACTATCGGAGAGGCATCGAGGTCGTAACCCCTTCCCGACACATCCACAGTATAACTCTATACCCGATGAGAACTTTTGCCCTAAACGCCTGATATGCCGCCAATATGGAAGTCATAACCCATGTCCTGTCGTGTGATCGGAGAAGAAATCTGCAGAGAGAGGGTGACCATGATCGGGCACCCATCACTGCATCTCCGTGTCCTCATCGTCATCAACGCCCTCTTCGTCCTCCTCGTCATCAGTATCCTCCCACGCATCCTCATCTTCAGCATCTTCGAGTGACTCCCCAAGCTCGCTCTTGTTGTCTGCCAGAATGGCCAGCAACTCTTGCGCGTGCTCTCCTAACCTCGTATCTTCGTACTCCTCTTCCTGGAAAATTCGCAGACACCGTACAAGCCATTTCCGTGATGACCGCCATTTGCGTTTCCAGACCTCTGGATCGGGAGCCTGATCCGAGTTCTTTAGCCTCTCGCCCGACCTGAACCTGGCATATCCGCCGAGATACAAAACCTCCACGCTCCGGTCGTCCTCCCCAATCATGCGCTCGGTGACCTCCATGGCCTCGTCCTCCATCTCAACTTCAATCAGCAGCCTAACCAAGCTGACCCGCGAGGGGAAGGGCGGCACGGCCGGATCTTCGGGGGGAAGATCCCACCACAGGGCCAAACTTCTCTTCAGCGCCTCTCGTGCCTCTGGCATCCTCTCCTGAGATATGCGAACATTTGCGACGGTTTGCCACGTCTCGGCCGACTCGGGGGCGATCATCGTAGCCTCGGTGATGCAGGCCTCGCACCGGTCTTCTGCGTCCTCGTCCCAGCTGAGGTCCGTCATGTACACCTCCACCACGGCGCAAAGCACCTCTGCCAGTTTCCTCCGCTTCTCGGCTATGACGGCCTCCTGCTGATCGCGCGTCAGGGGCCGCGACTCGAGCGACTCGGTGAGGGCGCGGATCTGGGAGCGCAGGGCCGTGGCGCCGCGCTCGTACCAGGCGACGCTGTCCTGGCCGCCCTCCTCGCTGAGCTGCGCGAGCCAGAGGAACTTTTCGGGCCCGCCGCCGACGCCTTCGGGGAGCGAACCGTCCTCGTCCAGCTTGACGGCGGCGGCGAAGAAGTCGCGGGCGCTGTCGATGTCGCCCAGTTCGACGTGTATCTGGCCTAGGAGTGATAGTGCCGCGCACGCGTGCCGCCCGTGGGCGCCAATGTGCTCGTACGCCTTGCGGGCTATCGGTGCTGCGCTCTCCGGGTCGCCTTCTTCGAGGAAGGCGGCCGCTTGGGCGAGGAGCTCTCTGGGTTGGACATTAGAACTTTGAGAGGAAGATGCCTTGGCTCGGAGTCTATCCCTCGCTTTGTCCTTTTGTGATTTCTTTTTGGGCTTTGTCGGCGCCATTGCGTTGCTGGGAGGGATTGCGGACGACTTGAAGAGCTAGATCGACGAGTGAGGATTGCCGGCGACTTGGATTTTTTGGGTCTGGATCGAGTCCTTATCGATAAACACACTGCTTGGCGAAGGTTTATCAGCTGTTATCTCAGACCCACCTGACGTATGATGTAAAGGAGCTTCTAGGTACCAGCGGTCCCAAGGTCAAGGATGTCGGTGTGAATATGATCAGGAAAATTGAATCAGATGAACATGTTTACCAGTCTCTGTTTATTGAACATTGAGTGTAATGTGAAGCCGACAGGCAATCTTGGTCAAGAAGCACCAGCGGTTGGTCGTTGTGCGAGCTTCATTCAAGTACCTATGTACCAGTACTTCGTACTACTAGCGGCTTTGATAGGCCTCGATACCCCGCCGAAATATTTTAGCCCCGCGGTTATCACCTGCCCAAGAGTACATACACTACGAAGTACAAGTGCCCGACGCAACATTCCCTGCAGGCGCCTCGGTGCAATTTCACAGCAACAGTAGTGGAGCAAACCAACCTGGAAGATGGATGATGGTGAATTAGAACGAGTATGCTCTAGCTCTCGAAACCCTCGACACCCATTCAACTGACGTCGCGCCGCAGATCCGCAAGGCTCGCCTGGAGCAGCTCAAGGCCCAGGGTGCGGGGCAGGCAGTACCAGGTGGCGGGAGCCAGGAGCAGGCGCAGAGAAAGTAAGTGAGCATCGAACCTACAGCCAGAGCACGGGGGTGAGAGCGATACTGACGACTTGTCAATCAAACAGACAGCAAGAAGGTATATCATTCTGTCACGTCACCCTTAGAGAAGTCAGGACGTGCTGACTCTGTCTCCATAGCCGAAGCGCGCCAGTCGATTCTTAACCAGATCCTCGAGCCCGAAGCTGCCGACCGGCTCGGACGCATCCGTCTCGTCAAGGAACAACGGGCCACGGACGTGGAGAACAGGCTGATCATGCTGGCGCAGACGGGTCAGTTGAGGCAGAAGGTGACTGAGGAGCAGCTCAAGGAGCTGTTGAATGCCGTTGCGGACAATAAAGAGGAGGAGAAGATAGTGGTTAGCCGGAGGAAGGGGTGGGAGGACGACGACGACGACTTGTTGGACTTGTAACGGCGGTAGGAACGTTTACTAGTGGTTCTGGATGCTTCCTGCTACCCCGGCAAAGCGGTCTGCCGGTTTTACTGTGTTCGGGCTGATATCGTACATCTTTAATCTTACACGGGTGGTCCTTTTTGAACAGCCTCATACCTATCACACGCTCTACAACCCGGCTGCCCTTCCCCTTCCGCTCTCCCTCTCAGCCTCCTCCTTCCTCCTCCGTCTCTCCTCCCTCTCTCGCTGACGGATAGCCCTCAAATCCGGCGGGGGCTCAACGCCCAACTCGCTCCTCAACTCACCGACATCCCTCTCTAGCTGCTCTTCCCAGTACACATTGATAATCTCCTTGGCCCTCAGCCCGTTTCGGAGAGCCCAAGGGAGGTAGATGCTAACAAAGCGCCTTCTCTCGCTAGGTTTCAGCGTCGCAGCGGCAAAGACGCTGAACCCGGTCATTGGAAGGAGCGTATTTGCAAACTCAAACGCCTTGAGCGCCACCTCGCCCTCGCGGTACACGGGCAGGCCGGTCAGGGCGTGGTAAAAGTCGTGGCACTCGCGGTAGCGCTGCATGACGTAGGCACATTCGGCGTCGTCAATGTAGCGCACGGCCGCACGTGTGTCGGGCGACACCCCCTCGCGGTCGAGCCACGCCACGTAGGTGCGCCCCACCGCGTTGGCGGGTAAGGACCGCAGGTAGGGCAGGTTGAGCGACGTCGACGTGATGCGCGGCCGGTCCCGCAGAATGCGCCGCCCCGTCGGGTGGGCCAGCATGGCGTCGCGCAGCCGGTAGATGAAGTAGGGAGTCGCCGTGGCCTCGGCAAAGGCGGCGATCAGGTCTGGGTGAGTTCGCCGGGCGGGGGGGCCTGCTGTTAGTGGGCTGCTGCTGGAGAGAGGAGGACGCGGGAATGGTAGGGGAAGGGCTTGCCTCCTCGCCGCGGGTCGCGAAGGGACATTAGCCCGGAGCCAATGGCCAGGGCGGCCTTTTCGAGAGTGGTCAGCGGCACATGGCCTGGGTAGTTGGGCGGCGGGCGGGTGAGGCTGGAGAGGGAGAAGTGTCGGCGGTTGACGGCTGCGGCTGCGGATACGGCAATCGAGCGTCGCAGCCCCCCGGTCTGGGCTACAAGAGCCGCTGAGCGTCTGAATGTCACCTCCATGGTGAGGAGTGCATCCTGATGGATGACGGGAGATGCGGAATCAAGGTGCTGTTGAGACAGTGGTTCGATGTTCGGAAGCTCGGACTGCTTCGGTGAATGCCGGACAAGGATGCTCTGACCGAAGATAAGATAACGTTACAAGACGGGGACTGGACCAATCGAGGTCACCGGTTGGTGTTTCGAACGGAATTGGACGACATCAACCTTGTGGACACAATGAGTCCGGATGTGAATTGTGAATGAAATATATACCCCCCGAGAAATAGTACAGGTCCAAGATGGTACTATAACCTGATGACCTTGACTTTAATGAAACTCCTTGGATTCTGAGTATCAATGTCACGAAGAGCACCATGAATCGCAGCTACCGTTCTTTCCCTTTTCTCTATTCAACCTCGACCTCCTCAGTGTGCTCTTGACGAATCCTGCAATTCTCTTTTGAAAACATCGTGTTGGTGACCTCGTGTATTATGGAGGCCTACGATGAGCTCCTGCGCTGGGCACAGGATCGGGGAGTTGTGCTTCACGGCATCGAGCCGCGTCTCATCCCCGAAAAGGGGGTCGGAATGGTAGCCACCAAACCACTCAAGGTGAGATAGATCAATCAAGATAGAAACCTCCCCAAACCTCTAACATGCAGCTAACCATTCCCTCAGGCAAACGAGCGCGTCCTCCACGTGCCCACCTCCGCCCTGCGGACGCTGGAGACGGTCAAGCCCAAGATCAAAAAGAACCTGCCCGCCGGCAGCACGGTGCACGCCCTGCTGGCCGCCGACCTGGCGCTGGAGAGGCCCAACTCCAAGTACGCGCCGTGGACCGCCATCCACCCGTCGCGCGAGTCCGTCTCTCGCTCGCTCCCCCTTGCCTGGGCCGACCCGGCGCTGCACGCGTACCTGCCCCGGCCGGCGCGGACGCTGCTCGAGAAGCAGCAGGCCAAATTCGCCCGTGACTGGTCCGCCATGCAGCACCTCCTCTCTGCCCTTTCGTCCTCCTCCTCCTCAAAACTGAAAACCGACAACAACAACAAAGTGTCAGCAACCGTCACCCAAGCTGACTTCCTCTACGCCTGGCTCCTAGTCAACACTCGGACCTTCTACCACGAAACGCGCCGCACGGCCCGTCTGTCGCGCGACGACCGCATGGTGCTGCAGCCCGTGGCCGACCTGTTCAACCACACCAGCGGCGACGACAGTGACGGTAGCGACGGGTGCGAGGTGGCCTTCACGCCGGCCGGGTTCAGCATCACGGCCGACCGGGCTTATGCCCCGGGCGAAGAGGTGTGCATCTGCTACGGCCGGCACTCGGATGATTTTCTGCTCGTTGAGTACGGCTTTGTGCTTGGGGGTGGGTCTGGGCCAGGGGCAAGGAATCGCTGGGATGAGGTCTGTCTTGACGACGCGCTGCTTCTGAATGAGGGCGAAGATGAGTACGGGTACTTTGACCGGGACCAGAGGGAGGTGCTTGACCAGGCAGGGTTCCTCGGCAACTACCGCCTTGACGAGCGGGCTGTGTGCTACCGAACCCAGGTGGCGCTGCGGTTGCTGGTTGTGGGCGACGTGGAGACGTGGAAGAGGCTTGTGGAGGAAGGGGAGGATGGCGGGGAGGACGTGCAGCGGGCGGTGGATCAGCTTCTGGCCAAGGTGTTGAAGAGGTATTTGGTGAAGGTGGAAGCGATAGTTGAGGAGTTGGGAAGAACTGGGATTGGGGGGCCCTGTCAGCGAGAGGTTCTGAGAGCGCGGTGGAAGCAAATAAGCCACTTGATACGGCAGACCATTGAGCGGCTTAGTAAGGTTTGAGGGTTTCATTGACGGTTTTAGATGGAGGGGCTTTCCATACTATGGTACTTCAGAGTCCCAGAAAAGAATGAGACTCCCATAATCGATCCCCCAAAAACTGATCCAGGACAAGACAAGATCGCTCCTCAGCGCCACTTTCCTCTCTATGCCCTGGTTCAACTGATATGTATCCCGTTGTACGTAACGGTCACAAGACCACATCTGGAACACCATAGATCCACCGGAGATGCCGGCACCACAGTAACGTCTGGACAGACCGAAGTTAGAACCGGGTCAACACTCGCACAGGTATCGCGCTCAGTTACACTTTTACTCCGTAGCTTCAATCGCTTCACAGATGCAACCAGAGCGCCAGTACACCAAACAAGTCGATGACATGATAGACCACAAGCAGCAGAACAACCCAACATGAGCCCATCCATGATTGATTTGAAGTATCTTGGGAGCCAAGAGCAGAAACGAGATCCTAACGAGAATGAAAGTGACCTATGTTTCGACCATGCCTGTAGCCCAGAACGCCAGTACTTTGAAGGAAATGAAATAGCAAGGGAAACCGTTTCACACCCAACCCAATATGCCCAGAATCTCATGTCAAACCACCCAGCGAATGCACATCCGGGTCCTGGTTGATGCCTACATGTTCTGGCGGTGGCCGATGAAAAGGAGTCAAAGCTGGCTGTTGTTAGGAAGGAGACAATCTAAAGCCAAGGCGGCTTAAGGGCGGTCTCCAAACATGCGTGGAGATTGAGCGTTCAGGGAGGCGTTGTTCAACGAGGTCGAGAGCCGGAAAATCGGAAAAGTCATTGCGGAGCGGGGAGGACTCGGGAGAGACGTTCGCCACGAACATGGTGCAGCATGAGAACCCTTATTTTGGAGGTGAGGCAAACGGCGGGTTTGATGCTGCCCGCAAATGTGGGTGCGTTATGAAAGTGGAAAGCTGTATCTTCGATGAGGTGGTCCAGCAGGTACGATGCTGTAATGTCGTGTGACAGGTTCAACCACCCATGGCAATTGTCCCTTGAGAAACGACAACAGGCGTCGAGTCAAGGTGATTTCGCAACGGAGGATCGGCTGCAGCTAGCGCCTAGGTGCCGGGAAGCTGCCCTACTCGCCCCTGGCTCTCTTGGCGCCGTGTGGGTTCTGCCACTCATTCGACTGGTTGCCGCCACCGAAGAAAGCTGGGTTGAATTGCGGCTGCATGCCCTGGAAGCCTGTTGTATCTCGTTAGTCAACCTGGCAGTCAGAGTAAAGGCATAAAATTCGCGGGCTGGGACGTACCGGGCATACCAGCGCCCATCCCGGCACCCATGCCGCCGCCCATTGCACCGCCCATCATGCCCATGCCGCCCATCGGCCCAGCCATACCTCCCATGGGCATTCCACCTCCCATGGGCATACCGCCCATCATGTTCATACCGCCGCCACGGCCGCCGCGCATACCACCGCGCATGCCACCGCCCATCATGCCGCCTCGGTTGAAAGCTCCTCCGGCGAAGCCGCCTCCACCCATGGGGTTGTTGAAACCCATATTGTTAGCATTGAAGGCGTTCATGTTGGGTCCCGAGAAGTTGCGGTTGAAACCACCCTGGTTCATACCGCCACCACGGGCGCCGAAGCCGCCGCGGCCGCCGCGGAAACCAAAGTTGGAGTTTGGGGTGAAATTGCCGCCACGGTCGTTATACCCCGGGCCTGGGGCCACCCGACCCTGCGTATCCTTAGGAGCGCGGTTCGGGGCGTCTTTCGGCAGAGTGCGGAAAGGGTTGTGGGCGGGAGACGAGTAGATAACTGTGTGTCGTTTCTGACCGGGCTGGTTGTACTCATCGGCAAGTGCGTCAATGCGATGCTTGGTGGCAGTAGCTGCTTGCTGCGAGGTGAACTCAATGTATGCTTGACTGTTGTGCGTCAGCAAAGCCATGTACTGGAATGGTGATGTTTTTTTTTAGAAGCGAGCTTACCCCTTGCTCTTGCCGTTGACCTTGTGTTCGCTAAACGTGATGTCTTTCAGCTCGCCCTCGCAGCCGGCTTGCCACACCCAGCCACGGATGTCATCGTCCGTGGTCCACCAGTTGAGTTCTGATACTAGAAGCGCAGTGGTGGCGCCAGGATCCACGGGGCGCTCGTCAGAGCCCTCCTTGCGCTTTACGCCTTGCTGGGGACGCGGCTGAGGAGGAGGACTGGCAGGCTGTACCTCGTGGGGTCCATCATCCATGTTGTCTTCTCTGTGCTCTTCATGGTAGTCTTCATGGTGCTCCTCGCCGTTTTGGCCTTGCTCGCCTTCATAGGCATGCTGCTCGTGGTCGCCGTGGTCGTTGTGATCGTTGTGCTCTTGGTCATTAGCCGAGTCGCCGTAGACATCAATCTCAAACTCCTCCTCGGCCATGATGATATGGTTCGCTTGCTGTGTGCCCTGGGGCTGGACTGGAACCTGTCTGTTCTTGCTTGGTAATTCAGATGTGAATTGACGGCTTGCCTATGGATTAGAAATACAGGGACGTCTGTAGCGCGTGACCCTACAATCAGCAACTGACATGAGGTTTTTTTCCAACATTCGCGGCGAGAAGGAGATGGTACTTGGCTGACCAGAGCCGAGTAGATGCCATGGTTGAAGGGCAAATCAAAACAGAAGGAAGTAAATAAGAAAGCAAACAAGAACAACGAATATTGAACATGAAGAAACAAATACAGCAGAGGTAGAGAGCTCGTCATACGTACATTCCGATCCCTTTCGAACGACGAGAACCGTTGGCCCGTTGAAGAAGATGGAAGAAAGATAGCCAGGACGAAGCTCTGTGCTTGCAGTCTGGTCGACAGGAGTCGGGCTCTTGATTGCTTGCTTGTAATTGCTGCTCTCCTCCTTCAGTCACAGGCCTGGCCGAGGCGCTCCCCGGACACAAGTACAGGTGGTCTTCGACCTCAATCAACCGCGCCCCAGATATCTGAATCTTGCTCAGGCTGCTCGCAGCGACAAACTCGGACCGTCTATGAGGCTATCACGCTCCTACCACCTTGGATGTAGGTGATTTCGCAGAAAAAATCTGTGGTTAATGGTCTAGCGTGGCAGGTTGGACGCGCAGCTCCGGCGTCGTAGGACTCCGATGGCTCTGTTCGACGACCTGAACGATTCCGAGTGGGAGCTATCGGATCGCGGAAGCGATGGAAACGGAGTTTGGCAAAATATGGCGGGACCTCTCGACAACCAGAAGTAACTAAAGCTTAAAACGGTGGAATTACTTCGTGATCGCGCTGGATGGGGGGAAAGGGTTCCCGCTGTTTGAAAAGTCTCGGGGTTGCGCAAGGGAAATTGTCGAGCCTTGAGGAATGCTTTCCCTTTCAAAGGGGCGCGGCAAGGCTGAGGCAGGTGCGCTAGGCTGTTGGACCGTGCGTTTGCGTTATCTTATAAGCTGGCATGGGCCGGGGGTACATACGCGAGATACGTTACTGGTGTCCGTATCCGTATCCGTACGAACTTGTATGAAGAATGAAGTACTTTCGATAGGTATGCGTCGCGTCTCCGACTTGCGTAGCGAAAAGAATAATCCCCGTTTTAATATCCCTACCTAGACTTCTATGAGAAATGCACATGATGCGTGCAGCGGCTGCGGTAGATAAAGAACACCAGAGTGGATCAGCTATCTGGTGAAGCGGGTGCATGCTGCCAACACGGGTCTCGGGACCTGAGGTACTGTATGAACAACCAACTTCAACTCAACGAGGAGCCCAGCCAGCTTTGGGTATATAATGGCAGAATCACAAACTGCTGGTAACCGCTGGACACAGCTCTCAAGATGACTCTAATAAAGCAATTCAGGCTTTTGGGAAGAACTTGGCTTATCGTTCGTCATCCGGTATTTCTTCTCCTCAAAGACTTGGACAGATATATCCCAAGGCAACACCCATGTCCCAATCCTCCAACTCCGCTTTGTAAGAGTAACCAAAAGATGCATCCATCATGCTATACCCATATTTCGGTTGATAAATAATCGGTACATCCAGAAAGCATAATTTCGTAATCATCACCATCACCACCACCCACTTCTCTCAACATACTGCGGCTCTCGGCACGGCTGCAGTTTCTCGTTTACCGAAAACCCCATTTCCGGTTCACCCTCGTCGCTGTCACCTTCGTTGTACGAGTGTATTGATGCTGTCCCGCCATCCATACCCACGCCGGCCCATGACGAAGCTGTTGTAAGTGTGTCATGTCAGCAAGATTCTATCCCAATAACAAAGCTGAGGGTGGAGTAGTTGGGATCAAACCACTGACCAACAAACATGGGCGCATTGGGATGCCAACCGACGTCCCGAACCAGTGCCTCCCAGCCATTAACGTCCCGAAGATTCCGATGCTGGAAGCGGGTTCTTCGCTCTGGCCTTGGGCGCACAACGTCCTTGGTAGCACTTCGAACATCAATCTTGGCCGCCAGGGTCGCATCCAGGTTCCAGACATAGACAAAGCCGTCGTAGCTGCCAGAGTAGACATATCGCGAGTCGGTACTGTTGGGCGGCGAGAAGTGGCATCTAATCAGGGTCCTCTGCACCTTGTGCCCGCGGAACGTCACCAGCGAGTTGTCGTAGGGATGCTGGAACCACTGGTAGTCCTGGTACTCTTGCCAGCGGTAGTCGTAGTCGTGGCGGAAGCGCGAGCGCATCGTCGGTTCCAGTTCCCGGAACCTCGAGGTCGACATGGCCATTCTCAGATCCCACAGTTTCATGCTTTGGTCCTTGCCGTTGCTCAGGACGTACCGCCCATCTCCCTTGCTGTCGATGTAGGTCAACCCCTCGATGTGGCCCATGAATGCGCCAGCCTCTCTGCCGTCGCCCAAGCTGCGAGTATCCCAAACCTTGATGGTGCAATCGTCCGACCCTGAGTAGAGGATGTGGGGTGATAGCTTGTCTGCGAAACACACTGCATTAACGTCGTTGGTGTGTCCTGCAACGTGGTGCAGTGACTTCCGCCGTTCAATATCGTATACGACGATCGAGTCCGCACCAGTTCCAGCCACCAAGTGACGCCCATCCCCCGAGAAGCGGATTGAGAAGATTGCAAATCCCCCAAACATGGAGTTACTCATACCATCCGGTGAGCCCTCGGCGAGATTGAGTGAGTAGGGCTCGCCTGTGTCGTTGGGGTCGGTGGCTGCGATGCCGACGTTGCTCTGGAGCGACGAAAAGCAAAGCCACTTGTTGTCAGGGCTGAGGTCGGCGTCCGTCATCGTCCACGAGCCAAAAGGAAACGGGACTGTCTTGTAATGTTTCCAGTTATATGGACTTGACGTGTCATACATGCGAACCCTGAAGTCCTGGGGCAGTGTCAGGATCGCACCGCGGCCGTGCTGAGAGGCAATAATTACTTGCCTTTACACAGGCGTAGAAGAAGTTGCCATCATCCGAGAACTGCCCGCAACAAACCGGTTCGTCATAACGGATGACCATCTCGGGCTTCTCTGATGGCATCATTTGCTAAACATGGACTCTTAGCGCTCGTTTCGAAGCGCAGCGGGAAGAGGGTCATCTCCGCACCTGAGCCATGAGACCTTGGTTCATCTTTTGGGCTGGTGGGCCACCCACCCCCAACTCCCGGTCGAGAATGCGCCGAGCTATGGCCTTGCGGTTGGGCGATCTCCAGTCATAGGTGCCAAAGGCGCCGGATTCCATCAAGTTCCGGCCCTCATCGCTGGGAACCTTGGGGAATTTGTCGCGGTTGTTGCGACGGCCTACGCCAAGACTAAAGCGATGGATGCCTTCGGAATCGCCGTAGAAGATCGGATTGAGATCCTGGCCCCTCAGGAGGGTCAGATACTCATGTTGTGTCAGGAAGGGACGTCCTGAGAGGCCTTTATGTGTCTGTCAGTACCGTGCGCTTGGTAGCTCTGGGCTGGACCTTAATGACGAGTCTCACATACCACGCGCTATCCTTATGATCCTCTGGTGTGGCAGTTCGTCTTCATCTTCATCCTCGTCGTGATCATGAGACTCTTCTCCCGCATCCCCAACGATCTCCTCAAGCAGGTACTCAAACTCTACATCATGGCCTGCATAATCAAGTCAGCGTCTTGATGGGTGTTGTGTAACGATGAGTACGCCTGCAACCGACATGGGGAAGCCGTTACCTTCATCGTCATCGTCTTCGGCTTCAGCTCCTTGAAGCCATTCGAGCCAAAGAGGGGCCGAAAAACTCTCGTTCCCCTCATCTTCATGGTCATTATGAGCAGACTGACCACCACTCATGGCGGACGAAGTTCACTGCGATGTTGCGGGGTGATGTCGAGGGAAAGCGCAGAACGATACCCGAGTCGATATGAGCGAGGTGCGAGCAGTTTGAGTTAGTTCACGAGAGTGTGCGAGGTTCTTGGCTTACACTCAAGAATAGATGAGTTATAGTGAGGTTGCCGAATTATATGAACACCGATAACGATTACATGATCAGTTCCGGGAACTTCCCCGTCATCGGTGATCGGTAACACCAATGACGGCGGGTCAGAGCGGACTTTAGCTCGGAGTTAGCTGATGACGCAGGAGGACGATTGGGAACTCAGAATTAACCCTAACCCGCATTGCAAAGCACATCCGCGCACCCATCAAATTTACCGCTCAACTCACCCCGTTGAAACGGATGCAGCTCAAAGAGCTCCTTACGCCCTTTCTACCGTAAAGGCATTCAGATGGCGATCATTGTCGGTAGATAGCGCAGGTTCGAGTGAATCCTCCCTTCACTCACTTCCTAGATTGGTCCTTATCAGTACCTTAGGTACAGTAACTTCGGTAAGTGATTCGTGGCAAATCACATTCTCTTCCCTCCAGGCTAAGTCGCTGACAGAAGGCAGGTAGGTACTTTCATGGAGACTGGACTGCCCGGAACTAATTGTACATGACCATTGCAAGGGCATGTAAAGTCAGATACCTAGGTAGGTACAATATACACACGATCTGGGCGGCGTTCAGGAACTTGGGCAGGCAGACAGGGCCCGATCGAGCAATATTGGTGTTTAAAATAAAGATGTTCAGACCCAAGCTCAGTTCATCTAGCAATGTCTAGCCAGAGACGACGGCAATTCCACTGCAAGATGGGTCACCTATCTCCCGTCGTCGACTGCAAAAATCTCAACAACATGTCTGGCCCTCTACGACATCTTACCACCCTGGTCCAACCCTGCCTGCACCGCCGGCCTCGCCAGCATCCGATCCATCCACCCCTTGACATACGGGTAATCGTCCAGATTATACTCCTCCGGGCCGATAACCTTGACGACGACCGTCTGCCATGAGACAAAAGCCATGTCAGCAAACGAGTACTTGTCCCCAACCAGCCAAGGCCCCGTGCCGCCTGCCTCGGCCTTCTTCTTGAGAATCCCCTCCAGCACGCCCGTCACGCGGTTGACCTCGGCAACATAGCGGGCGATGGCGCTCGGCAGCTGCTCGTCGTGGAACTTCTTGAACCACGCCGCCTGGCCGTAGTAAGGACCCTGGCCCGACACCTGGAAGAACAGGTACTGCTTGGCGAGATACGACTCGGGCGAGCCGGCGGGGAAGGACAGCTTGTGGTCCGTGTCGTACTTTTCGACGAGGTACTCGATGATGGCGCCCGACTCCCACAGGGTCAGGCCCGTGTTGGGGTCGTAGATGGATGGCAGCCGGCCGTTGGGGTTGATGGCTGTGTACTCGGGCTTCTTGAGGTCGGCGAGGGGGACAAAGACTGCTTCGTACGGCACCCCGAGTTCCTCGAGCAGGATGGCCACCTTGGGAGGGTTCGGGCCGCCCTTGCCCCAGACTTTGATGGGCTTGAGGTCGCTACGCGTAAGGGACATGGTGCTTTGCTGGGTCTGGTGTTATGAGAAGGGGATGGATTCCGGTGGCTCGGGTGCAGTCGTGAACAGGAAGTTGGTGCGTTCAAGTCTCACTTAGACTTGGTAAGTAAGGAGAGTCGAAGAGGGCGGCAAGGAAGGGAAAGGGATATTAATACCATGTCCTCAGGCCGCGGGCTGTGCACGAAGGTGAGTTTCGTGATGAGAGACTCGGAGCAAGGCTGTGACCGACCCCGACAGATGCCCCTGGAGCTCACTGCCCCCTGAATCGGAGTTCGGCTCATACTAGGCAATCGAAGGCACCGTACTACTACTAGTCATTCGTAATCATTCAGGTTGCCCGCCATTCAAGTTGGTAATCATTTAGGTGCCACTGGCAAGGGGTGCCGATTCACCTTTGTAATCATAAATTGTGATGGGTAAGCATATTACGAGATACTCAGCTGCAAGATGAAGGTGGGGGCGGTGGACTGTTCGAGATTCTAGGTCCCGTTACAAGCAGCAGTACCTAGCAGCAGCGTCAGCATACCTATATAGTGTATGTTCGTACATGTCACGGTAGCAAGCGAGTGCCTCACATAGTACTCAGCCAGGGGGTTTTTACAATGAGCCAATTCGTCCTTGGCCATGTGTACACGGAGGTTTCATTAGGCAAGGTACAAGTACCTACTTTAATAGAACAGATGGCCTGGTACCTAAGAATGTTAGAGTTCAACTTTAAAGATGGCATGCTAACATTCGAGTCCTGGGGGAAGTCAGGCTTGAAAAATGATACGACTCGATTATACGGAACCTCTAATATGTTTCAGAACTACGAGGTATGGAACCCGTAAGAATATTCAACGCAGGAGAGATCTGTGACTTAAGGTGGCCAACAATTTGAATTCATATATCCATCGTAGGTATTGTACTCTCGTTCATACATTCAATACCTAGCTAAGTACTAGGTACTTTAGTAGTTTTGATACATAGCACACCTCACCAGTTGTAGGGGACATGAATCTGTACTGTATGTGAAGAGGGTTTCTCCGAACCTAGAACACGGCGGTAGGTCCTCCTATGTAGCCATAGAGATAGCACTGCACCCTTACACCACCGACTTTGAAATATCTACTTGGCTCGGAACCGTCTCTGTCGCCGAGATATACTGCGCAGCCCCCGTGTACCTCCACCGGTTGAAGTAAGCCTTCGGCGTACAGGAGGGGCAGTCTAAGCCCGTTCCAGCCCCGTTACAAGTGGCATAAACCCCAATCAGGGTGCCCACAAATGGCCCAGAGCCGCCGCTCAATAGCTCTGCGGACGCCGTGCCAAGCACAACCTTCTTCCGTGTGTCTGATGCCAACATGGCTGCAAAAGTGTACGTATCTGGGGTGGCCATTTGAATCTGAAGCCGGATCGGCTGGTTTGCCCACCCGGAGGGCACGGCAGTCGTGTTCGTCCGGCCCGAGGCATTAAAGCGGAAGGACAGCTGCGAGTCGACGATGACGACACCGAGCTGGATGTTAGCCTCCTGAGTCAGGAATGCCGTCACACCAGCCTCCTGGCCTGCTTTCCACGGCGCGAACGACAAGTCGACGCTGAAGGTGAAGAGACTGTGGGTCTGCCGCCGGCCAATGAAGGAAATCGCCCTCGCGCCGTATTCCGCCCCCCCTTTCGAGCCGGCCAGGTCATTCCTCCCAAGCACAACCTGGAGGCCTTTGTCCGTGACGGTGAAAGCCCCGTCCCGCGGTACACGCCAGTAAACCAAGTTGCGCGGGATGGGCTCACCAAGCGGGAAATCGTACACATCCGGATCGGAGTTGAAAGGCCCATCGCCGGGGAGGTCGCGACTCGGCTCGGGCAAGGGCCATCCACTCATTCTGCCTCTGACGGGCTGCAGAATAGGCCAGTCACCAGTGTTCCACGTCACCGGGAAGAGGACCGTCTCACGGCCCATCGGGTATGATTTATAAGCCGGACCGGAGCGAGTGGCTAGACACATGCCCCACCAATTCCCTTGGGCGTCTTGGAAGAGGTCGCCATGCCCAACCGTTTGGAAATATTCCTGCGTTCCGCGGTTAGTCATGATGGGATTTCTGGGATGGGCCGTATAAGGTCCGGTGATGTTCCTGGATCGAGCAATGGTGATGGAGTGATCCTCGGCGGTCCCTCCCTCGGCGATCATGAGGTAATAGTAACCGTCTCTCTTGTAGATGTGCGGGCCCTCCGGCCAGACGCCGCCCGTCCCAGGCCACAAGTCCCTGGCAACGCCCAGTCGGCCCGTGTTCATGTTCATCTCCTGCAGTTGGATCCCTTGCGTAGCAACATAGACCTTTCCATCGTCGTCCCAGAATAGATCGGGGTCAATCTTGGAAACGGGGAAAGTGACTGCGTTGCTCCAGGACGCATCGTCGAACGGGTCCGTCGACTTGAATAGAACACCGGCGTCCTTTCCAGGCGCGTCAAGATACTCGCAGATGACGTAGAACACGCCATCGTTGAAGCGGATGGTGGCAGCGTACATGCCATCTTGCTGGCCCTCGGTGATCCAGCTATAGCCTGGGAGCTGAGACTCGCGATTCCACACATGGCTAACGTGCTTCCAATTGACCAAGTCCTTTGACGCATAGATGGGCAGACCGGGGAAGGAGATGAAAGTTGATGTGACGCAATAAAACGTGCCGTTGACCTGAATGCAAGACGGATCGGAATGCCAGCCAGGGAGAACAGGATTATAGTAGGTCGAATTCTCCGGCAGCGTCATCGCTGTCACGGTCAGCTTTAACCAAGTAAGAAGAGCCAAGGTCAAGCTAAACAGGAGCCCCATTGTTGCAGGTTGTCGTAGTACTATCCAACTAACACAGGGTCATGGCAGAGAAGCTTCCCGCTTTTCAGAAACGGTAGGAAGCGAAAGGCTCATATATGCTCGAGCGTTGAGACGACCCAGGACGACGGAGGAGGTGGAATACATCTCCAATACCGTAGTATTGGGGTCCAGTATCCGACCGCCCACCGTTCAACGTACCTCTTCGCTTGCTCCCCTTCCCGTAGAATATAGATTATCTGGCCCGTCTTCCCGGGTATCCAGATTCCAGACCCAGGCCAGACCCTATTAATCTTTGGCTTGCATGACAGAAGAAAACCCCACCAATTCCGCTGCTCGAGTGCTTTGATCGAGCATCGTCATCCTTGATGTTTTCAAGCGCTCCAATGCTTCGTCAACGGGTAATGTCACTAATGTGGTGTACCGTCGTAGCCGGATAATATGCCGCAGATCAATGCCGACTCGGATTTGGGCTATGAGCTGCACCGCACACGTCACAGCCTTGGGGGTTCTTCTGTCGGTTGGAACCTCGAATATAAACCGAGCAGCGGCCAATCTGCCTAGCTAGAGATGTTCAAATCGAGATGCGAATGTTATCAATGCCAACCTGGAAGTCAACAGACGTGGCATCGAGGATTGGCCCGCTTGAGGAACAAGATAGTCAGGTAAACATGACTGTGACGGTCAGATTCAATGGGCAGGGACGACCCAGCTGTAGGTCCATGCGATCAGATTGCGGCACTATATTCGAAGAACGAACTTGCCGTCAGTCAACGATGATGAACCTCCCGGCAGGCACGATTGTGTCTCCCGTCCATTCCTGGTGGCTTGACCAAAATCACATGTGTGTAGCTGGTTAGCCAGCCACGTGACCGAAGATGATTGCCACAAAAACCAGCCACAGGACAACCTAATCAGCCACAGATCACCCCTTAGCAATGGTAACTACGGGAGCGGGGACTGTGGGGAGCCTTGCGGAAAACCGCGGCAAGCCGAACGAAGCTCGGCATTGGGTCAAACTCGCCATATTCTCACGAAAAGGGCCTCTTTCTCTTTTGAAGAGCATACGGTTCCGAAGCGATCGTCGTCGGTAGATTTCCATTGGCATCGTCCCAATTGATACCAAGGAAGAGGCTGCAAGACGGTTGCAGACTGCCAGAGACGCCATGTCTGCTGCCAACCGCGGATTGCGTCAGGCTACGAGATCACTCCGGCTGCAGCCCCATTACAGTCCGCGCTCGGCGCTTCGGCCCCTGAGCAGCTCGCTCAAGTGCGCCGCTTCCCCCCTCTCGGCCGCTGCCACACCCGCACGCAGCAGATTTTCCACCATGGCCTCGCTGCAATCTGTCTCCGTTGCGACGCCCTCGCCCGCGGCGAGCAAGGGGTACGACCCCGAGATCAAGGATATCGCCGACTACGTCCACAACAAGGCAATTGACTCGGATCTTGCTGTGAGTGATAATCTTGACATGTGCCCCGTCGTTCCTCTGGGAGCCTCCTGTTGACGCCGCCTCGGACAGTTTGACACGGCAAGATGGGTCTTCCTCGACACTCTTGGGTGCGGGCTTGAGGGTCTGCGGTTCAAGGAGTGCACTAAGCTCTTGGGCCCCATCGTCCCGGGCACCGTTGTACCCAACGGCGCCAAGGTTCCCGGGACGCCATACCAACTCGACCCTGTGAATGCCGCCTTCAATATCGGCGCCATGATCCGGTGGCTGGACTACAACGACTGCTGGCTCGCAGCCGAGTGGGGCCACCCCAGCGACAACCTGGGCGCCATTCTGGCCGTTGCCGATTGGATTACGCGCACCAACAAGGCCGGCGGGAACCTTGCCGGCGGCAAGATCTTTACCATTCGCGACGTGCTCGAGGCCATGATCAAGGCGCACGAGATCCAGGGCTGCTTGGCCCTGCTCAACTCGTACAACAAGGTCGGCCTCGATCACGTCGTCCTGGTCAAGGTTGCTAGCACTGCCGTTGTGAGCAAGATGCTGGGCATGAACGAGAAGCAGACGGCCGATGCTGTCACGCAGGCGTGGGTTGACGGCCAGAGCTTGCGCACCTACCGCCACTCCCCCAACACCATGTCCCGCAAGTCGTGGGCCGCTGGTGATGCCTGCCAACGGGCTGTCAACCTTGCCCTCAAGGTCCTCAAGGGCGAGACCGGTATCCCCACTGTTCTCTCCGCCCCCGTTTGGGGCTTCTACGATGTGCTGTTCAAGGGCAAGAAGTTTGAGTTCCAGCGGCCTTATGGCAGCTATGTCATGGAGAATGTGCTCTTCAAAGTGTCGTATCCCGGTGCGTGACCCTAGTCCTATCCTCTTTTCCATGCGCAAACATCTAACACCGCCCATTCTCCACAGCCGAATTCCACTCGCAGACAGCCGTGGAGGCATCGCAAAAGATCCACGCGCAGCTGAAGTCGATGGGCAAGTCTGCCGCGGACATCAAGGGCGTCACCTGCCGGACGCACGAGGCATGCATTCGCATCATTGACAAGCAGTTCAAGCCCATGGATAATTTTGCCGACCGCGATCACTGCATCCAGTACATGTGCTCGGTCATGCTCGTCTTTGGCCGGCTCACCGCGGGCGACTACGTCGACGGCTCCGAGGCGGCCACTTCCCCTCTGGTCGAGTCGCTCCGCAAGAAGATCAAGTGCGTCGAGGACCCGCAGTTCACGGCCGACTACCACGACCCGGCCCTCCGCACCATCAGCAACGGCCTGACGGTCGAGCTCAACGACGGCACCGTGCTGCCCGAGGTGGTCGTTGAGGCCCCGCTCGGCCACCGCCTCCGCCGCGAGGAGGCCAAGCCCGAGATCCTGGCCAAGTACAAGCGCCACTTGGAGCACCATTACAGCGCCGACAAGGTGCAGCAGCTTGTGGACCTTGGTTTGGATGCCAAGAGGCTTGAGGCCACCGAGGTGGATGAGTATGTTGACTTGTATGTTAGCAAGGGTAGCAAGTTTGTCAACTAGAAAGGGGCCGGTGCCTGGTTAGCCCTGTTGTTGAAATACGATGTTTGATGGTGTCTCTGGGTCGGATTAGGGTTGAGATGAGCTGTGAAGGTCGGGCATCGCGCATCAAGCTCTCATCTAGCCTGTCTTTCTACGCATGGGACGGTACAACCCCTCCGCCATCTGCTAATCGCGCGTAGTGTACCCAGCCCCTCAACAACGCTACTGCGTGGCGTGCCCTCCCTTACCTGCCCGGGAACGTCACCTCCCCGCGATGGCGGCGTCAATCTATGCATACTACCGCCTGACACGTCCAGTTCAGCGAAGTTCTACACTCTATCCCACACCTCGAAAGGGAATCCATCCTTAGATATCTGAAATGGGAGGCGGGAACACCCGAACCGGACTTGGTACTTCACCCTGCTGTATCTCGCATGAGGTATGTACGGCCTTGGCCGGCAAATGCAGTGGAACTCCAAAGCAGGCCTCGAACATTTTGTAACCTGTCGCATTATTATGTGGCCATGGACTGTGGCGTTTATCGACCTCACCTCTATTTTCTACCTCTTCCGCAACTGGCGAGGCCAAAAAATCTCCCTTCTGTCACTCTCAAGTCTCAACCCCTCGCTCAACCCAGGCTCAATGTTTGAGAAATGAGAGCTCCTCTTCCAAATTCGTAAGGTATCCCATCCCTTTATAGAGAGTGGGCCCCAATCCGGCCATCCCTCCTCCCTAGCTCGGCATATCAGTATTGTGCATGTGGCTAAGCGCGTTTGGCGGATTTGGCGATCGGATTCAGCAACTGTCGAGGTCGGGTCCGGTGGGCGCTGAACGATCCATGCCGCGGCTTTGCAACTTGAAAGACCATGATGCAGAGCCGATAGCGGTTGAGAGAAATTGTACCGCTTCCATGCCTTGTTCCTGGAACTGTACAACCGGAATCGGGTGGTTGTTCAGTTGGGCCGCATTCCTCGGCTTAACCAGAAGAAAGACTAAAGAAAATGCGGAACCTGCACTGGCATGAAATGCTCTTTGCCTGCGGTCATATCAGCATGCCCTGTGATAACTGCCAATTAAGCGGTATGGAAAGATCTAGACAAAAGCAACTTGTTCTCAACTTGAGCCTTCCACCGGTTAGGCAAGGCATCGTCTGTTTTCGGGCAGCTTTCTGTCAAGCAACTACGTCTCTCCCTTGTTTTATCTGGTTGTCTTCGGACGGAGACGGCGGGGTGTAAGACGCCTCATGTGCAGAGTAGGTGCTTCATGCAAGCCATGAAGGACGGAACCATGCGCCTTTCATGAGGTTCATGACTTGACACGGTCAAGTATATCTAGCCCAGTCCTGGTTTGTGTTCCTGTGTTCCCCCTGGTCTCGGTTCCTCATCTTGGGATGTGGACGAGGCACTCCTTGCTTCGTTTATGAGGCTTCCAATACCAGGGATAATGCGATACCCCTATCTGAGATCCCTTGGAACTTAATTCATGAGCGCCAACATGAACATCTGCTACTGCGCAACCTACTATGTAACTATGTATGACCCTATCAAGATGGAACACAATGACCGAGCGGAGCTGACAACAGCTTGTATTTCCAGTGCGCCATCCGATGCACCAACCGGGTGAGCAAGTTTGGCCAGAGATGTAGGCTTTGCATGGTAAGTACCTAAGGTAGTATCCACTGCTGGGTGGACAACATCATGATGGCCCTTGCTGATATTGACGGCCAGGTCCTCGAGAGCGGCGCCTCGCTGAGCCCGGGACTTCTACCTGAGGACTGTGCGTTCATGTTTCCGCCCGAGCACCGGGAAGTTTGGGATAGCAGCGTCAGTACGCCAAGGACAACTCCATCATGGACGCTTAGAGGACTATCATTGTGGTCAGCGTCGTCAAAGAAGTAGCACATAACGGTGGGGTCCGGCATGAAGTTTCTCGCAACACCCTGAAATAATGTAATCGCTTCAATATGGGATTCTAAACTAGTAGTAAGGTCGAGAAGTGCAATTATGAGGCACTCGGAAGGCTTCAGGTTAATATGACGGTGGAGCGAGCGGACTTGCTTCCAGTCTAGGAGCAGCTGTGAGACAGGAGCAGGATGCTAAAGGACCATGGAGAGATACCTAGTAGGTTGCATAGCTTCAACATAACTCCGAATACACGAATACTCCATTCCCTAATCTGTTTGTATTCCAATCTATAGATGATTCAGCCCTAACTTGCAAATACAAACCACTATACCCCCTTTATCCAAGATCAACGAACGCCGAGGCCGCCATAACCCGAGACGTGTATGCATCATCACATGCCCCTGAAGGATAAATGCCATCAACAAAAAGTCAAAACACATTGCAGCTTCGTAACCCATCATGACAATATAACCACCCTCGCTCACCACAACCGCCGCTGCCAGTACCCACGCTCCTGACCCCGTGATAACCGCATAATCTCCTCCTTGATGAGCCTGCGGCGCTCAGCCCTACTAAGCGGTTCTTGTACCTGCTCAATGTCGTCTTTGTCGGCCGCTGTTTGTTCTCCGTTCTCACTCTGGACTTCGTTCTGCACGGTTTCAGTCGGCTCAATATCCGCGGACGGTTTGTCCGCCTTTCTGTCTGATTGCTCCCGTACAATTGCTTGCTGCTCATCTGGGGGAGGGTCTTGCTGCCCCGTGCCGTTGTCAGGCAGGGTTGGCTCGACTTTTATAACCACGTCTTGACTTCGCCCCGCATCGTCGTGAATCCCTTCTTCACCATCGTCAATGGCAACAATGGTGCCATCGGGCAGCTCTGTTGTGGACTGCTTAAAGCGGTCTGGCAAAAATATCACGGGCGATGGCCGTGGACCTGGCTTGATTGATGCGCGGAGCTCTCGCAAGGTCCGTTGCTGAAGGACGTAGCCGCTGAGGAACAGGGCGAGTGTGAAGAAAAAGACTACGGGACAGGTTAGCGGGTTACTATGGTGGCTGGAATTGGGATCTGGTATGCAGGTTGCCGTCACAAATAGCGGACATTTGCGGAGGGGAGGGAAGGGAGGGAAGGGAGGGAAGGTGCATACCAACGCCTGACGATACAGCAAGGGACACCTGCGCTGAGGTGAGGAGCATTCTTCGAGGTTCACGTTGCGCTTTGACGCAACTATTTGGTAGAATTGATAATTATGCCGAGATGACTTAAGACGGCAATTTTCAACGCATATGGGAATGTTTGAAGCCTATTTGATCCAGTATGGTAATTCAATGGGTGCGCCCGGCACCATCCCCTGTGTGTCCCTCGCATTCTAAATAAAGAAGCGTTGGAGGGGCAACGAGCGTTATCAGTGCGTCAGACCACCTTATCAGCCAACGCTAACCTTGCCAAGACGGCTTGAGCTCCAGAAATTGTTGAGTGGGGCGGATAACGTACCCTTGAATCAATGTCAACGTGCAACAATCCAAGCAACCCTTCCACCCTAACTTACCTGGGTTACTGGTACTGTGGGCTACCCGCAACTCAACGGACGACGGTGCGTCGGACATATCAGGCGCCATGAGCAAACCAGCGACCCATCGCGCCGATGAGCGGCGCTTCCTCGACGAGCGGGGCAGCACGGGACCCCTCGCCCCGAACGGGCTCAACCCGGCCACCATCATGGAAAAAGCCGTGCGCGAGCGCATCGTCGACAGCTATTTCTACAAGGAGCAGTGCTACGGCATCAACGAGGCCGACATTGTCGATCGCGTCGTCGACTACGTCGAGTTCGTCGGCGGCATCTACGGCACCGTGCAGAAGCCAACGCCCTTCCTCTGCCTGGCCTTCAAGCTGCTGCAGCTGGCGCCCAGCGACGCAATCCTCGAGGAATACCTGCACTTTGGCGGCGAAAAATTCAAGTACCTCCGCGCCCTCGCCGCCTTCTACATCCGCCTCACGCGCCAGGACAAGGACGTCTACACGCTTCTCGAGCCCTTCCTCGAGGACCGTCGCAAGTTGCGTCGCAAGGGACGCAACGGCACCACCCTGACCTACATGGATGAGTTTGTCGACGACCTGCTGACCAAGGACCGCGTGTGCTCGACAAGTCTGTGGAAGATGCGAAAGCGGGATATTCTGGAGGATCTGGAGATCCTCGAGCCGCGCGTCAGCCCACTCGGCACTCTGGAGGATCTGCTCGAAGAAGAAGAAGACGAGGCGATGCAGAATGGCGGCGAGCCGAATGGAAATGGTCGCGAGGAGGATAGCGATCTTGACAGGCCAAGGTCGGGGTCAAGGTCACCATCAGAATCACGCTCAAGGTCAAGATCCGCGTCAAGGTCTCCGCGAGAACGGTCAGATCATGATAGGATGGATGTAGATGAGCAGGAGGATCGACGGTCGGGCAGCGGAAGGAGCCCATAAGAATTGCAGGACCTCTAAGCCAGAGACTTCAATCCTGCCGCTGCAGGAGAGAAATTCCTGCTTGATGGCGGCTTGATTGTCAGATGTGTACGGTAAATGGCTTCTCGATCTGGCTGCCGTTACGCCTCGCACGTTCAAGGATTTCCGTGCGTAAATGGAACACTCGTGCCCCCGGTCTCGCATTGGAGAAGGATGGGACAGGCGCTGGTTGCGCGACCAGATACGTCCGTACCCCAGCTACAAGCCAAATACCCAGCCTGGTATTCAGCTAATGCAAGAGGACAGCGACTGACCGAGGCACATTAAGGGTGCAAGACCAACATACATGGTTCGTGCTCCAGGTATAGAATCGCGGCTATCGCCACTAGATAGCTATTTAGCATGCTCTTAGTTGCCATTTCAGGGATTGGAGCCCGCGCAAACCTCTGCGCATCAATACCGGTACAGGTATAATACAAAGAGATATACATGCATCTCTTTACAAAGGGTCAGTAGCCGATACTGCGGACCGACCATCTGGCAATACCGCGTTCAGGCCGCGACTGACCACTGTGTTCCTTCCATACACTCAATGCAAGAGGTCAGGGCAAAGATCATGCCTTCTACGGAGCCAGATCCAGTGCCTCCTCTCAGCAAATCGAATACCCCATGCCCGTCAGCTAGTCGGCGCCATAGCTTTAAGAGTCTTGGACACTGCGTCCGCCACGGAAAGCAGCCGCGCGTCATCCCAATACTGGCCGATCAATTGTAGTCCGGCAGTACCAGGCGTGTCCCCTGCCGTCTCCGGCTCGAGTGGCATCGGTATGCTAATGGCAGGCAGCCCGGCCAGACTTGCCGGGACGGTAAAAACATCATTCATGTAGGCGTCCAGAGGAGTCTGGTTCATGACATCCTCCAGCCTTGGTGCCAGTGTTGGAGCGGTAGGACATAGTAAAAAGTCCACTTCCTCGGGCCCCCACTTGTCCTCCATAGCCACACTATCGGGCAGATCGCTCAACGAGAATGTCTCTTTGTCGTGGAGCGGATTATCGAGCGCAAAGACGCGGTTGAAATCCCTCCGCACCAGCCGTCGCACACGCTGCGCCTTGATGAAGTAGTTGTCCATGGCCTCGGAACTTAGCGTGTACGATCCGAGCAGGATGCGCCGTTTGACCTCGTCGCCGAACCCGCGCCCGCGGCTCGCAGCGTAGAGAACCCCGCCCTCGGCATCGCTCGCGGCTTCGGGATCCCGTGAGCCGTATCTGATGCCGTCGTATTTCGCCAGGTTAGACGACGCCTCGGCGGGCGCAATCACGTAGTACGCCGCCAGCGCGTGCTTCGTCGAGGGCAGCGACACGGGCACGATGCGCACTCCGTGGCTCTCCTGCAGGGCCTTGGCCGCGGCGGACCACGCATCCCTGATCCGCCCATCCAGCTCCTCAATGTTGTACTCGAGCGGCATCCCAAGCCTCAACCCCCTCAGCACTCGGCCTGCGTCTCCCTCCTCCTCCTGAAACCCGCCATACCCCTCCCTAACACTCGCACATCTCCTCCTGGCAGCAGCTGACAAGCTAGTCGGATCCCTCGCATCCCACTCAGCCCACAACCCCGGCTCCTGTTCATCTCCGCCCACAACCAACCGCCTAATGACCCCGACCCGCCGCGCCAACAAGCCGACCGTGTCAAGCGAGTTGGCGTACGGCACGACCCCAAAGCGCGAGAGCATGCCATACGACGGTTTGAAGCCAACAACCCCGGTGTAGGCGGCCGGCAGCCGCACCGACCCACCCGTGTCGGTGCCCAGCGCCACGTCGGCGTCGCCAGACGCAACCGCCACCGCGCTCCCGCCGGAGCTGCCTCCGGCAGAGAGCAGTACCTGTCCGTCATCATCACTGTCGCCTTTATTGTGGCTCTGGCGGGGAGGTTGAGAAGGCTGTTGTGCGACGGCGCCAAAGGCGGAGTGCACGCTGTGGCTGCCCATGCCGAACTCGTCCAGGTTGGTCTTGCCCACGAGGCGCGCGCCGCGGCGGCGGAGTTGGGTGACGATGGTTGCCTCGAAGGGGGAGGTGTAGGTTGCTAGGAAGGGGGAGGCGCATGTTGTTGGCCATTGTGGGGAGGCGGTGGAAGAGGAGGAGGGGACGGTTGCGATGTTGTCTTTGACTGCGAGGGTGAAGCGCGTGGGTGTCCCGGGTACCCCTTCATCGAGGGTGTATGCGGGAACGGGCTCTGTGGTGGAGACGCAGGTTAGTAATATGGAAAGGTTATAGAGGAGGACGAAGTCATTTGCAGGAGACACACCATTGGATATGAAGTGGTTCAGCAGTCGGCGCTGCTGAACCTGCCATGGGCAGCGGCTCACATGGCGCAGTTGGAGACCTCGTGGTCTCCTTCTTGCGGACATGTATCTTGTCGGAGAAATAGCAATCGGGTTACTGGGCCAGCATATTGGTATTCTCTCAGTGTTTCGGACTATCGAAGGTTCGAAGAACAGGAGAAGCCGTGATGAAGTTAAACGATAAGAACGTGGGTAAGGGTTAGGGTAACTACGGTAGTTTCAACCCGAACCCTCGCCGACTTCGCTCTCTTTGTAGCGAAATGTCTCAAACTTCCAAACACCGTGGATCCATTCTTCCGCGGAATGCCCGGATTCATCCACTCTGTAAATGCGAGACTCCGGGCCAAAGGTTGGTGTCCAGACGCTTTTTTTGTCAGATCATGGCGATATTGAAAGAGCCGCAGCGACACGTTCACTTTGCACTGCCGCGTGCCAATCGGAGTATTTTAACAAGCCCAAACACCATGATGTCACTACCTGGACATATGCCTTCTACATCCGCCCTTCCGAGGCCTCGAGCTCTGGCATTGCAATTCCAGCATTCCGCAACCGGCTGATACGAGGACATCGAGGTTCAAATCACCGTTGTTCACTGTTTACGCACCACCCGCAAAGTTCCATGCATGGTCGCTGCCGAGGCGAGAGATTTAAGCTCAGCCTGCTGACTCGGGATGCCGAGGTCACCGGCGTTGCCGTCGGCGCGGTACAAATGCAACCATAACCTTGTAGGTCATCGCTCGATAAAGCAGTTACCATAAACACTTGAGATCAATCCTTCCTATTCATCAGAATTGCACGACAAGGCATATTCAGACATTGATTATCTGAAACATGCTCATGCTCATAGCTTCATAGCGACCGGTGCGCTCACTCACAACATCACTCGTGACTCAAGACTATCACAAGACCACTCACCTCCAGTCGCCAGTCACTCCCCAAAGCCGTAGTCTCTCTCCAAGGACAAGGCTCATTGGAGTTGCTTTACTTCTGAGTTCTGCAGCCGCAACATTCACCTCGGTGTCCCTCATCAAGCACCGCAACGAAGCAGTCATGTCATCCAAACTAATCCCTCCCAACCCGGACGAGGTGATGGTCATCCGTGACCTAACCCCAAACATCGTTACATTCTCAGTACCATTCCTCCGCTTCGGACGATTTCCCATCGGCGGTCGGGGCACGCTAGGTAAGCACTCACCATCCTGCCCTCCTCAAATCAGTATGTATCTCAGTGCCGCTGACTGTTTCAAAGTCCGCCTTACATCAGGCAGCTTAGCAATCTTCTCCCCTGTTGCCCTCACCGAAGCCGCAAAAGCCAAAGTCGCCTCCCTCGGAAACGACCTGCGGTATATCATCGCAGGCGACGTGGAGCATCACATCTTCCTGTCCGATTGGGCCGCCGCTTACCCCAATGCCAAACTGATTGGCCCCGAAGGCCTCCCGGAAAAGAGGCTGAAAGCGGCCGATAGCGACCCAAAGATTGGCAAAGAGCACTTTGCGGCCGTGTTCACGCGGGAGAACAAGACAAATCTTGCCGCCAGCATAGGGGAGGATTTCGCCAGGGATTTTGACGTCGAGTATGTGCACGCACACCCGAATCGGGAACTGGTCTTTCTGTTCAAACCCGAGAGAACGCTCATCCAGGCCGATCTCCTGTTCAACCTCCCCGCGGAGGAACAGTACTCACGCGTGCCGGAGAGGAAGCCAAAGCTGGGCTTGTTGGGGAGGCTGTTTGAGAGTATGCAGACAACCAAAGGGGAGGCTGTTGAGATGAAGAGGTTCCTGTGGCATGTGGTTAGTCGCAAGGACAGGGCGAGTTTCAATGAGAGTGTGAGGAGGATTGAGAAGTGGGATTTTGAGACTGTTGTGCCGTGCCATGGGGAGACGATCGTTGGGAATGGGAAGGAGGTGTTCCGGAAGGTATTTGCCTGGCATTTGGATGGTGTGGGAGGCAAGTAGTAGATGGAGTATGGGTCTATCATGTATCTAGGTCGTGAGTTTTCAAGCCGGAGTATAAGGGAGGGTACTGTTTCTATCATATTACTACTGTACAATGCCTAACTAGGTCCGGTAGGTAGGCATGTTCAGCGAGGAGCTGCCTTTGCATGCCGATATATATGCCAGATGATACGAGGACGTTGAGGCACAGGCAGATTGACGCGCTGCGGAACGATACAGTGCCCAGCCGAATTTGATCTATGTTACATGCGGGTTGGCTGCGGCCTTGCTGCAATATAAACTCGGTAGCCTCCCTCGTACAGTACAGTGGCGGAGACTACATGGATCAGCAGCCTTTTCGAGGCCTCCAGCCCAGTTTATTCATTCTCGTCGCACCAGGCTTTATTCACGTTACTGCGGCAAAAGCTCTGCTTCACACCTGCATGCGAGCCTGGGAACATGGGGCAGATCAATCATATTCTAGGCAGGTAAGCTATGGGTTGTACAGTACTAGGGACCATAAGTACCTATAGATGGCACCCCGCTCGCTGCCCGCAAGGTCATTCCAAGTTGCCTGGCTTTCTCTTGCTCTTCAGAATCGCGTATCAATTTTGATCCTCAGTCACAAGATATCAGGCTTGTCTCTGTTGGCACAGCGTCTCTGTCACGACTCACGAGCTGCTCTTGTCAATAGAAGCAAGTGACCGTGACTTGAAGGATCATGTCACCCCCAGCAGTTGACGAATCCCAACATCACCCTGGCGATCTTCAGATCACGTACCAGCCCGCCTTCACGACCTATTTAGAGTACATTGAGCAGCTGCTCTCAGACCCGAGTGGCGGTGTTTTTCTCGGAGACCACTATCGCCTGCTCCATAGCCATCTCCGCGACGGTCTCCTCGAGCCAACATCTCCTCCTTTTCCTGGAGACAGAGAACAGTTAACTCTGTTCCGCGTTTACAGAAGCGGAAAACCCATTCTCATTCATCGCTTAAGACCCACGCCATCTTCTACGGATCACATAACTAGGGCTAACGCCGCCCAGGGGTTTACCACCGAGTTCAGATCCCTCATATCCACTTTTACCGATGATGTAGAATGCCAGATTGTGATTCTAGAGCCTAACCGGCTCAAACCTCACTACGAGTCCGGTTGCCGCCATGTACTCCCACATCCATGGATCATTGGCATACTTGGCCTGGTGTTGGATATGGATCCGACAGTTTGGAAGTTTTTCACTAGATCCCGCCGGACATCGTCATGGACTCTGAAATTGGATAACTTTATTCAAATAGGCAGCGATGCGCTAATGATCTTGGAGCGCTGTGCCAGACATACGGCCAGAAACAGGTAAGTGAGGCCCGCGGCACCTACCTGCCCTAGTAACCTAATACCATCACCTTAGGTCAGTGCATCCTCCAACCCCCATATCTGTTTGATCTCCTACATGCTATTCAACAGACTCTGACCAATAGCTTTTTGTGGAAACTGGAAGCGGTTCTCTTTGTCAACTATTCTCGAGCCTGGGAGACCATGATGCACCATTCGACTCGTGCGTCGAACCGTGACCCCTATGCCATCATCCATCCGGCGGATTCCCCTTCGGTCCTTGCCAAACGGACACCGGTCACAGTGTCTCTTGGAAACCAGAGCACAACTGGCTCTGTCAATGACAATGTCAACGGGTGGCACACTGTTCGTCTGCTAAGCCGCTGGATTTATGCCGCCACGTCGAGCCTTGAATCCGATGGACTTGCCGCCGGGAACCCACTCTTCGCATGCCTACAAGCAATGTTAGAGGCTCAGAAGTTTAGAGCCCAAGGGGTATCTTTCTCCAAGGGCCATATAGACCTATTGGACCCACGGAGGGGCGGCAAACACATGTATGGCCCAGATGGCTCACTGGCATATAATGATCATCTCGGCAGCCTGTGGTCGAATGTAACCGACCAACAGATTGTGGTTTGGCAGCGGTTAAGAGAAGAGCTGGATGAGGGGAGAAGGATTCTGAACGTCTTACCAGAGTATGTCAAGCTTAACTTCAAAATCGACGACCCGCGCATCAAGGAGGCGCTCGAATCCGCCGAGGGCTCGTTCCGGCGATACCTGAGAGAAGTAGAGACATCCGAAGCCGGACTCAGAGACCAAATTGGCATAACCAGCTCTAGACGTAGTACTGAAATGGCCGAGCGAAGTATTCAGGAAAGCAAAAGAGTCTTGCGATGTAAGTCCGGGTCCTCTCTGGCGTGGGGGCGGTCTGTTGCCTCTGAAGTTCCATTCCATATGGCACATGCTAAAGATACCTCTGCTTACTAACTTGATTGCCTCTAGTGACGATCTTTGCCGTGGTGTTTGCCCCTCTGTCTCTTGCTTCGTCCATATATGGCATGGTAAGGCTCCTCTTCTACGTGCATAGAACACCGACATGTCTGGTTGACTGGTTCCGCCAAGACTCAAGAGGGCCCCGGACTTATACAGTAACGTACCAAACCCAGAATGTCCAACAGATCAACGCTTCCGGTCCGGACATAAAGGTGTTCGTCATTACAGCAGTCGTGCTCCTTCTAACTACCATCCTCTTATGGGCTGCTGCGTCCGCTACCATCGCATACCGCAACCATCGCAGAACCCTCCGGATTCACAACCTAAACTTCCCAAAGGGATGGCACTCGGTCTTTGACAGATTATTATGCATCAATCCGAATATTTCCTTCCTGAATATTAGATTGAGGTTGAGTGACTTTGGATATTCCCTGTATGATGGGCCTTCGATTGTGTTCCATCGAGTGAAGAATTGGTTGCGGGAACGGTAGCACTCGTAGCGCGAGCAAGAAACTGAAAGGAATTCATAAAAGAAAAGTGATGCGCCTGGAGAAGGAGCTTGACGGACAGAAACTGAGCTCTCTAGTAGGCACTAGT